AAACCCTAAACCCTAAACCCTAAACCCTAAACCCTAAACCCTAAACCCAGGCCCGGTTCTTTCCCAATTGGATGTATCGAGGTAGCTAAGACATATCCAAGGGTGAATCTACAGTATAAATGAATCGGTATTGAGGGCCAATCATGACAACCTTCATGTGTCCTGTCGCATGTTTCCTTTCGATATCGACTTCATTGAGATTGGACGCAAGAATAGCATATACGGCTATACACATCCTCAATCCTACACAGCATGTCTTACAATGCAGCCTCCTGGAGAATTTGGGAGTGCGTGTTAATAGGAGTCAACTTGCATAAATGTAGGTAGCTCTTTGCACAGTTCTGACTAAGATAGCTACAATTATCTCCTCTATGAAATCGCGGCGATCATGACTTGAGCGGCTCACATTCCCCTGCTTCAGCCATCTCCTTGATAGCGACTTCCGTCTGTCTCATAGCCTCGACGCCGGTTGGCACACCGCAGTAAATCATTGACTGCATGACAATTTCTCTGATTTCAACAACTGAGATCCCGTTCCGTATAGCGCCTTTCGTATGAAGCTTTAGTTCTGCCCAGCTTTTGAGTGCGATCAGGAACCCTAGATCTATTGAGTCAAAGGTTTGTTAGCTTGAGCAGATTTTGTGATACAAAACTATCCCTAATGTGGGTGGATCACATACTTATGAGACTTCGGTATTTACGCTCCAGTTCTGGTCTTGTCCACACTGTGCCCCATGCATACTCAGTGATGAACTGTTGTAGTGGTTTGGTGAATTCGGATTGTCCCTTTTCCAAAGCTTTGTCCACATAGTCGTCGCCGAGAACGGCTCGCCGGACAAGCTCGCCTTCCTGGAATGACTTGCTTGGTTTGTTGCTCTCAGCCATGGCTATCTGACCATTATTACGGAATCAAACTTAAGTTACCTAGCAATGCCTGCGCTTAAATAAACGAGAAAGCCAGAGCGTTTCTATTCTTCCTCCATCTCGGGCATCGTGGAGGCTGTCTCCATGGATGTAATGCTCCGCTAAATTTCCCCAACGTACCTAAGAAGGAGAACCTTGGGGCTTCGATAGTGGGGAAAGGACCTTAATGTCCCGCTCAGATTATAATCTTGCCCCGGATATTGCCCACCCCGAACAGCCGAGCCCTTCTTCAACAATAACCCTTGCAATTGATTTCAAGGTTGATCGAGTGCTCCCAAAAAGATGACGGAGAACAAGCAAAGCAGCGGCTCATCTTCTGTGATGCCGGGCGTTGTCTATGGATTTATTGGTCTCGGGAATATGGGATTTGGCATGGCCAAGAACCTGAGGGAATCCATGCCCGAGGAAGCAAAGTTGCTTGTATGCGACGTCAACCATCAGCGAAGAGATGAATTCGTTTCTTCTGTGACTAGACCGGTTCAAGTCGCAGAGTCTCCGAAAATCATTGCAGAGAACTGTGTGAGTAGGATCCCGGTCTACATGCGGCATTCACCTGAAGACATTGTGCTCATACGCTAGTTATGCGACCACAGGATATAGTGATTACTAGCCTCCCTACGAGCGATATCGTAAAGAACGTGTTCACCGATCCATCCACGGGTTTGTTGAGCATAGATTCTGCTGGAGCATCCAACAAATCCAAGCTCTTCATTGAAACGTCAACCATCGAAGTCGACACGTCAAACTATGTCCGGAAGAAAGTTGAAGACTCTGGACTTGGTCATTTTATAGATGCTCCTGTGTCTGGAGGCATACCAGCAGCGTATCAAGGGAACCTGACTATCATGGTTGGCGGAGACAAGGAGCTATTTGAACGAGCAAAGCCTGTCCTCGCTTCCATGGGTAAGGAGGAAAATATCTTCTTCTGCGGACCTCCAGGTGCTGGACTCGCGACAAAGCAAATTAATAACTACATCGCGAATGTGTCGTATGTGGCGCTCTGTGAAGGTACGTCGGATTCGAGGCAGACATGACATTGCTCACGCCTAATCGAATGCAGCTTTAATCACTGACACATCTTGTCCAGGGATGAACACAGGGGTCCGATATGGATTAGACCCTAAGATCTTAGCAGGTATGTCATCTGCTCAAGGCATTTCGCTATCAGATCTGCCCCTTCGTATGCTCAGGAGACTATAACGCATGATTACTGACCAAAACCTCTCAATGTAGACGCCATCAATCGCAGCAGCGGTATGTGCTGGAACTCGCTTCACATGAACCCTGTCAAGGGCGTCCAGGAAAGCTCACCTGCCTCACGGGACTTTGAAGGCGGCTTCCCGACAGAAGGTGCCAAGCACGTTATGGACATGGCTGTTCAACTCATGGACGCTGTAGGGGCAAAACATGTTATGGGGAATGTCATGAAAGACATATACGAAAGAGCCGTCAACCATCCCAAATGCCGTGGAAAAGAGTGTCGCAGTATCTATAAATTGTTTGCTGAGAATGATGGCAAAGACCTGGGAAACACGTTGATCGGATAATGGGAGGCGCAAGTTTGGAAGAGCAGAGACTTCTTGTTTCGCGGATCTACATTATATATTATGGTCCAGGGTAAGAGGCTCAGCGGCCCAGGCATTCATCGACTTAAGCTCAAAAGACAAAGCATTCTCTCGTCGATTGCGCACAGTATACTCAAAAAGTCAGCAAAAGAACTCGGCGTTCTGTGTACTTCAACTAACAAGGCGCCACTTATCAAACTCCACCATTCCCTTTGAGCTTGCACGAACAAATCTTGATAACGCGACCCAAGCCCGGAATGGTAGTTCCTGATCGATGATAAACGAGCTTGGCAGAATACCTGGCACTACCTACGCTGCTCATCACCATTCACGTTGCCAATTTAATGATATTCGGTTTCGATACTTGTTTGTAGAGATTGGCGTCAAAAGATTTCTGTGGACTACTGTTTCACCAAAGTTTCCAACCGCTCAATCACGATGTCATCCACGTCCAGATACCCCGCAGCTCGAATCTGAGAGCGACGTTTGTTTGACCGTTCGAATGGCAACCTGAGAGCGTCTTTCCCCGCCAGTGTGGGAGCCGAGTGGAACGCATTAACGAGCTTGCCAACCTCGGATTTAAAATCAGACACTGGCCTGAATTTTGCTGGATCAATGGCAACGATGAAAAACCCGAAATCCTCCAAATTTGGTGGCAATGCAGGAGCTCCGGCGAGGATGCCTAATAGCTGGACCGCGATTGCCAATCCGCTGCCTTTAGCTCCTCCCCAAACCGCCAGAGCACCCTTGAGAGCCTTTTCTGGATCTGTGGTCATCTCGCCGTTCTCATCAAAGGCAGTATCCGGGGGGAGCTGTTCGTTTTTCCGCATGGCAAGCATAACTTGAGCATGGATTATCCTTGATGTACCAATGTCGTAGATGATTGGCACGTCAGGGCTGGGAAAACCAATGCAAAAAGGATTCGTCCCCAGTAAAGGCTTGTATGTGCCCTCCGGGGCCACCCATGGGGTGCAGTGAGAGGCGATAATGGTGACCAAATCTGCCGCAGCAGCCATCTCGGCATAGTAAGAGAGCATGCCAGTGTAGTAGGTATTGCTGGCCCCGATGGCTGAAATGCCTTGGGTCTTTGCCTTGGCAATTGCCATGGAGGTTGCTTGGTGAGCGACTAGATACCCGAGCGTGTCCTTGCCATCAAGTTGAGCTGACGTTGGTGATTCGGTAGTAACTTGAACTTGATGCCTGGGCGTCTGTCCATTGAGCCTGTCGGCAATGCTCAGAATCCTTGCGAGCCCTGCGATTCCATAGCCACGGAGTTCGCTGTCAATGAGGTGGTCAGAAACGATGGTTGTATCTTCCTCGCTAAACCCGATCTTCAAGAGTGCTTGGCTCGCTAGCTGCTGGGCCTTTTCGATTGTCACCCTCATGTCTTACCGCTGTGTTGGTTTTCGTGCTTGGAGATTGAATCGAATCAATGTCAGCTTCTGAAAAAGGGTCGGTTCAAGTACCCCGGGTTTACCCCAGTTTTTCCTCCACAGCGAAAGACAGCGCCCTGGAGATTCTGGCGAATCAAGGACGACGAGGAGAATAATCTCCACGCGGCTTTTTGGTGCTTTGGAGAACTACCCATGCCTGAACATTTGCACTATGTGGAGTTGCTCGCTTATGTTTAGGAGATGTGTGTTTGCTGGTGCTCAGTGGTGGAAAGCTGTTCTCGCGAGACGGCTCGGCAGAAGCATATTTGGCAGGTCTCAACGCCGCCCAAGTAATCTGATATATGTATCTGCCTGGTCCGCCTTTCTGGGGGAGAAGCGAACATCTTTCTGTGTAAAGTTCTCGTCAGAATCCTCGCCAAACATGGGCTCCTCAGATACCAAAGCCGTCCATCTTGAGAACAAAGGTCCCGACACGCAGGTCCCAATCGTTCTCGACGACCAGTATGAAAACGAACTACTGGCCGTTCAGCTGGGAAATCAAGACAAAGAAATCAAAAGGATCCTTCGCAAGCTAGACCTTCGCCTGGTGTTGACGCTCTCGGTGCTTTATCTTTGGGCCTTTATTGACCGCGGAAACCTGGCCAATGTAAGCTGGATGACCTTGCAGTACCTGCAGTATAATCCGCTGACAGCTTTGGCTGTAGGCCAACATTGCAGGGATGAGCGATGACCTCGGACTCACAGGAACAAATCGCTACTCGGTGTTGACCATGATAGTATGAGCATCTTCCTGTGCCACCCCAATTCTCGTTTCGTTGAGACTGACAGTATTGTTCAAGTTCTTCATTGGTTACATTCTTATCGATGCTCCGGCCTCGTTCATTGTTCGAAAGATTGGAGCGATCATATGGATACCATCGATTGTGTTGTAAGCCTTCCATGTTGGTGGCGGTTCTGATTTGCCGTGCAGTTCGCTAACTCTGGAACCAAAGAGCTTGGGGGTAGGGCTAAATCCAATGACTGCCATGAGAATTCCTCTTGTTTAACCACCATATCTAGGATTGTGACAATTGCTCAAGGCTTCTGTCATAGCTGGGTACCACTTCTAGGTCAGTCCCATTTTATTTGGTCACGGCAAAAGCTCATTTGAAACAGTCTGCAGAATCATCCTCGGATTTCTCGAGGGCGGTCTCATTCCCAGTGCGATTTTTTGTAAGATTTCCGTACCGCGACCCCGTTCCTGGGAAAGTTTCTGATGAAGACACAGTGATCTCGCTGTGGTACACTCGATATGAAGCTCACAAAAGGTAGCGTCGCATTCAGCGAACTCCTTCAGATTGACATAACTAACACTGGTCATAGGTTGGCTTGCTTTTATGTGGTCGTAAGTGATTGAACTGGTGGTTATGGATCAAATATTCCTAACTGATCAAGGGAATCGCGTCGACTGGACTCTCCGGCCTTCTTGCATTTGGTATTGAAAACATGGACGGTCTCAGCGGGATCGCCGGATGGAGATGGATATTCATCATTGTAAGACTATCCCGATACCTCTGATGGTTTTGAGTGCGATGTTGTCGTTTTCTGACATCAGTTGTAGGAAGGAATTGCCACGTGCTTCTGTGCGATTGTCGCATACTTCACTCTGGTTGACCTCCCTGACAGAGGTGAGTTTTGGACTCGTGTTTTTGGTCTGCCGAGAGGGTATGGGGACGTTGACTTTTGGGTGCAGCTACGAGGAGAAACTTTTTGCGAATGCCACCTTTCTTGACCGCCACAGAGTCCAACCTGATGCACGCTCGTATTGAACAGGATAGAGGAGACAGCACCGTGGAGAAAGTTACGTTTAGGGCCATGTTGAGATGTGCTCGAGACTGGAAAGTGTGGGAGTTCTCTGCGCATGTCATGCTCAATGTAAGTCTCTTTGCAAAGAGAACCGGGTTCGTTTCTACTGACACTCATGAAGAATGTTGCCCTATATGCTTTCGCCTACTTCCTGCCCGCCATCTTGCAAAAAGGACTCGGATACTCAACTTCCAAGGCTCAACTCTTCACTTTCCCTCCATATGCGGTTGCAGCTCCGGTACGATCATGGACATGGTGTGACAGGACGTCAACTTACAGTGAACAGTGGATTCTCTTCTGCGCATGGTTGTGTGATAGGATGAAAGTCAGAGGGCCGATGATGATCTTCAACTCGTCTCTCTATATCATCGGAGTCTCAATGTCAGTTTGTCCTTTGGATACCGGGCGCATTTTACGACTTTCTACTAACAATTACTCCTAGGACTGGATTCGTGGCCAAGCCCGAAGTTAGGTACGGCGGGGTGTTCTTGGGCGTCATGGGAATCACCGGCAACATCCCAACTAACTTTGCCTATCAACACAACAACGTTGGTGCGTAGAACCTGGAAACTTCATGCTCACTCGATGCTAGGCACTCTCGCTAACTGTTAATTCAAGTCGGCCAAACTAAACGTGCCCTGTGCGCAGCGTTGATGACCACGGGTGGAGGATTCGGTGGCATAATTGCAGGAAACATCTTTCGTGCGCAAGATGCGCCCAATTATCAACCCGCTCTCATCATTTGCCTGTCTTTCCAGGTATGTATACCGAGCGATCACCCATTTTTCCCTATCGAGGAGCATTGACGGTCTAGCAGATTTTGAGTATGTCGTTGGTCGTGAAGAACTTCTTCTACTTTACATGGGCCAATCGCCAAGCGGACAAAGGGGAGAAGGTCATTGAAGAGAATCCCACATTCAGATTCACATATTAGTATGGGAGAGGCAATCTCGCCACGCGCTGCAAAGGATTGCCCAGTGAAGATTGTCCAGGATGTTGGTGGGAGAAATGGAAGAGGAAAAAGTCAACGCCGCGCTGGTCCACAGGTACCTAGGTACATAGCTTAACCTGCAACCAATACTAGTGGGTGGTTCAGTGGCCCCGAGAGAAAATGTACAATCGTGGAATTTACCTATCCTCACTAATGCGAACTGTCATCCTCGGGACAATAAAAGCTGGGGTTCCCCCCAAACCTCCTCTCCATCATTCCTCGTTTCTCTCCACACCTTTTCACCTCCTCTCCAATTTCAAGCTCTCGCCCTTGTGGAGAAATTCCTACTGTGCTTTGCAACTTTTCTGAGCCAGCTAACGCAGTATTATGGGAGATACTTGAGGGACACGCCCGAAATGGAGAAGACGTCCTTAAAGTCCTCAGCCACGCAAAAGTCACTCCCATGCAGGTTCTGTAACAGGCATTTTCGACGCTTGGAGCATGTCCAACGACATGAACGGACACACACGAAGGAGACCCCCTTCAGGTGCCCATGCGGCAAGTCGTTCAGCAGAAGGTGAAATTTTCGTCTTGAGGAAACACGCCCCTGTTGATATATCAGAACTGACCACAACATATGTAGAGACCTCCAACGGCGCCACGAGAAAGCTGCACACGGTGGCCAGGCCTGTGGATACTATGTATCTCCATCGCCGGCGCGAGTTGATCAAATCGCGGTCAATGAGGCCAACAATCAACTTAAGAATTCTGAGATATCGTTCCATGATGCAGTGTCATTCCAGACAGTCACAGATCAATGCCACCAGGCGCGACCCACATCCCACGTCGAGGTACGCCCTCGACAGGATGGTACCCAACTGCAACCGCTTCATCCCGAGCTCGGCTTTCGATCAAACGATGATAATGCAGAGATGCCGCTTCATGGCAACACTGCTTCGGCAGTGGAAATCCCTGCTCGAATGATGAGTGACGATAGAACGATGGCCACTGATTCATATCAGTTGGGCCAGAGCAATCTGAGCGTTGAGCCTCACGACCTGTATGGCCGCTTTGATGCGTTTGACTCGTTCTTGGACATGACAGATTTCTCAACGTTCATCCCACCAGAACTCTCCGCTGAGCCGTTCCTTCAGATCCCAACCTATGGTGCAGATCAAACACAAGGTCAGACTTCCCAGAACACACTGATGGTGGACACGGCAGGATCTCAACCCAGATGCGATTCTACCACTGGCGGCACGCATGCTGGCGGAGAGCAAGATACATCTTTCTCTCGGTTTGGCTCCCCGCTTCCCAACCCGCATTTTGAACCCAGAGACCAAATTCCCAAGCCGCCAAAGTCCGCGCTTACTTCATTGCCACGCCCTGTCTGGAAGATATCGGAGGCCGAGTATCGGCACATCCAGGCCAAGATTGAGGCCTTCTCTGATGTGTTTCCGAAAGACTTCAAGCTCCCATCAAGACATACGGTGTCTCGGTACCTGGAAGGGTGCATCAAGGGTCTGCACGTACATGTCCCTTGCCTGCACATTCCGACCTTTTCCGTGACTAGGGCAGCTCCAGAACTCATACTGTCAATGGCCGCAATCGGGTCACAATTTCGTTTCGAGAGCCACGCGAGTCCAATGTTATTCTACGCAGCAAAGGCGGTTATCATAGAGCAGTTGCATCGGCGCGAAAGGGACACGGTTCGGCAATTGCTATCTGACCCATCGTCGTCCGGGATGTCTCGCCCGACGATAAATTCAACACCGCCGGACGGCATGGAAGGCCCATCTCGGATTTCCGAATACGCGGACGCACAGGGGAATGGGTATACCTCAGGATCGACCCAGGACGATGATTCCATCGGGCAAGTGTTGCAGACGGCACAAGCGGTGATCGGTCTCCTTATCATGGGTGCCTGGGGACCTAAACAATTAGTCCGCGAGGCAATGTCCCTGCAGAGCCTGGCAGCGACACTTGCCAGAGATGATGGGTTTGCGCGCCTCGAGGGCCCGGAAGCCCCCACATCAACAGAATCGGGATGGCATGCATGGGTTCGCATCGAGAGCGGAAAGCGCATGAAGCTCATGATCTATTCTATGCTGCAATTGTTGTCCACTGCTTACCACACACCGCCAATGATGCTCACCTCGGAAGTCGACTGCCATCTTCCAGCATCGGCGAGTGAGTGGAATGCAAAGTCATCGGAGGAGTGGGAAGAGGTCCGCCGCCACTCTTCCGTGGTCAAGGAAAGACCTTTCCAAGACAGTTTCGACGCGCTGTTTCAGTCCAACCCCAATCAAGCGATCAACGCAGCTCTGTCGCCTTTGGACAACTACATCCTAATCCTGGCACTTCTCCAGCACATCTTCCTGCGCCAACAAACCTTGTAAGGGGGCTCAAAGAATAGGCGTCTGAATTCTTACGATATCGCGGACATCAGCCGAGCTCTTCTCTGCTGGCAAACCTGCTGGGAGAGGTCTCCAGAATCCAGCATCGATCCATCATCTTCTTCGGGCCCAATTGCGTTCAACTCAACTGCCTTGCTACGACTGGCGTGGATTAGGCTATATGCCGACCTTGGGCCCTGTCGGAACCTAGCCAGCAGAGACATGCACCTGATTGCATCTGCTTTCAATGGCGGCCCTCCCCTAGAGCGGAGTCCAGGGCTTATAGGCCCTGCCCTGCAGGCCGCTCATGCATTGTCCATCCCAGTTCGAATGGGCATCAACTTCGTCGCGAGGAGCCAGGCACTCTCCTGGAGCGTGCAGCACTCTTTGTCAAATCTCGAGTGCGCTATCTTTCTAAGCAAGTGGCTAGAACAGCTAGCAATCACCTCGACAGCGCAACCACTGGACAAGGATGAGTTGCGCTTGGTCCAGATGATCCAAGGTTTGCTTTCAGAAACCGGATTATTTGGAGATGATTGGATAGGGGCGATTGGCATTACCAACATGTCAGATCAAAAATACCAGATCCGACGACTTGCAACGGCCGTAGCCAGGATGTGGGCAGAAATATTCAAAGGGAACCATGTTTTTGAGGTGGTCAACATCATTGGGGCTAGCCTTACTATCTATGCCGAGTCAATGGAGAGCGCGTACACTCCATCGAATGTAGCATAATAAGTTCGAGTCTCTAGGACCTCGCCACATGGCCTAAAAATCATATCTACATCTTCTCCAAACGTCTAGACCTGTTAGCCTAGCTGCTCAACGGTTTCTTATTTCAACAATCACCGGCAAAGGCCGCGGGCCCTTACGTTGAATCATGCAATTGTCTCCAACCCTGCGGTTGAAACTTGAAGGCTCAGGAGTAATCTTTAGTTGTGGAGACGGCGCAGCTAACAGCGTGGAGATGGCTTGGAGACATGTCCCCAGCAATCAAGGCCGAGCTGCATCTACATTGGGGGCGGGTGGCTACCAAGGATTATGGCAGATATATCCAGGCGGCCTTGTGAAGCTGTGCGGTTCAAGTCACGATGGTATTTATTATGTTGAAGTTCGTTATTCCTCTTCTGTCGACACGGCTTATCGCACCATCTGGCACGTACGTGTGATTTACATTGCTTGAAGATGGCGCCGGGTATCCTGGTGCAAGATCATCCCGAGCCACATCTGAATGGATTGGCAAACAATGACACACACGACTACGAAGTTACGGAGAAGCCGTTGGGCGAGCCCAGGAAGCTTCGAGTAATCACCATCGGAGCAGGTGCCAGCGGGTTGAACATGGCTCGACAAATTGAGTCGCACATGAAAAATGTTGAGCACATTGTTTACGAGAAAAACGAAGATGTTGGTGGAACATGGTTCGAGAACAGGTTGGCCAAGGAGAATCCATGCTTCCCTCAGCTCCGGACTGACATACATGACGCAGATACCCCGGTTGCGCGTGTGATATTCCTAGCCACAACTACCAATTTACCTGGGAGCCAAATCCAGATTGGAGCACTTTGTATGGAGCCTCCCACCCACTCCATGCCACCGAAAACACTCATCTAACCGAGTAAAATAGCTACTCTGCTGCTCCAGAGATCTTGAGCTACTTCAAGTCTTTGGCGACCAAGTACGAGCTGTACAAATACATCAAGCTCCGCCACAAAGTCTCAGAAGCCGTTTGGCACGAGGACACCAGCAGATGGCTCCTCAAAATTGAAGATATGACCACTGGCCAGATTGTGGATGATTGGTGTGACTTCTTGATCAATGGAGCCGGGATCCTGAAGTAAGCTCCGCTTCCAAGAAGAAAAAAAAAACCAAAGTGGAATATGAGAGTGTTGACATTGTACACAGCAACTGGAAATGGCCCGACATTCCGGGGTTACATTCATTCAAAGGGACTCTGGTTCATAGTGCCAATTGGCCAAAGGATGTTCACTTGAAGGGCAAGACAGTCGCCGTATTGGGATGTGGATCTTCCGCGGTCCAGATCGTGCCGACAATCCAGCCAGGTAAGGGGTCACCAGTATTGCTTGTCCGGCCGCCCGTGAAATGCTGACTTTAGTCCTGCTCAGAGGTCAAGGACCTGGTGACATTCATACGCTCGCCGACATGGATTACGGCCGGTTACGCTCAGAGTAAGGCAGGCCCCGGGGGATCCAATTTCCACTGTGAGTGTCAACAGGTCAAGCTCGTAGCGAAGTCTACCGTCTAACACTAGGCAGTTAGTGAGGAACAGAAACAGAACTTTAGAGCCGACCCAAAAAGCTACCTCGAATATCGCAAAGATATTGAGCATGAGCTGAATACCCGGTTTAAATTCGTGAGTTGAACCTCGGTGGACTTCAGATCATTGTTCTCACTGATGGCATAGATTATCAAGGACAGCCCTGAGCAGGAAGAGGCGCGACAGTTCTCCATGAATGAGATGAAAACCAAATTGGGCCACGACCCGCGTCTGGTCAAGCACCTGATCCCCAATTTCGCCGTCGGATGTCGGCGTCCTACCCCAGGAAACGGCTACCTCGAAGCCCTCACGCAGCCCAATGTGAGAGTGGTCACGGATCACATCAAGAAGGTGGTCGAAGAAGGCATTGTCCTAGAAACTGGTGAGATAATCAAGGTGGACGTCTTTATCTGTGCGACCGGGTTCGACATCTCGTTCTTCCCGCGATTCCCCTTGATCGGTCGCGGAGGTGTGTCGTTGGCCGACCAATGGAAAGACAAGCCAGAGGGCTACCTGTCTCTGGCCGTCAACAATTTTCCAAATTACTTTAGTACGTGGCCCTCGACCGTTGGTGTTCCATCTTTTGATCGGCATTCTGACTCGCTCTTACCAAAACAGTGTTCTTGGGCCCGAGCTCCCCTGCCGGCCATGGCTCCATCTTGCCCATCATCGAACATGCGACCAAATACATGGTCAATGTGATGAAGAAGGCCCAGACCCAGGGTATCAGAAGTCTAGCGCCCACCAAGGCGGCCGTGGACGACTACAACGTCCACGTCACGACCTATATGAAGCGAACTGCTTGGAGCACGGCCTGTCGGTCGTGGTTCAAGAATGGCAAGATAGACGGACCCGTTGTCGCTTTGCACCCGGGGAGCCGTATTCATTGGTTCCACATGCTGGACCGTCCACGATACGAGGATTTTGAGATTCAGACCTTCTCCCCGAATCGATTTCAGTACCTTGGCAACGGGTTTTCCACCAGAGAAGCGCCTGGCATTGACACCGCGAGTTACTTCGATGACCCAGATAAAGGCTTTGAGGAGTATTGAGTGGGCTCATTTTCGAGCCAATGTTATACCTTCGGTCACTGGTGGACAATAGCACCACCACAAGACAGGTTGTTTAAGATAGACCAATGTCTACAGGGGGATCCTGGGGCTTGCAGTTACCGATACCACTAGTGGAAGACAGTCGTCAGCGAGCAATAATACGGAGTGTCAAAGAGAAGTTCCACCCTTTCTTGCTTAAGGAAATCTCCAAGGGATTTCTGCTATCGACTGTCCTATACTGTGATTCTGTGAATGTGGATTGGTGGATAGCCATTACTCGCCAGTCTTTCAAGCATACATATCATGCTCAATATTTGAATCCCCGCTAGAGCTGAGGAGCCCCAGTACTTCTAGCTTAGGTTTCGTGTACTGTTAATACGCCGAAACCCCAGCCAGACCTTAACACCAGCGTCTCCGGGAGATAGGGTGAATACGTTCAGACACACTCGAGTCCACAAGCAGCTTCGGACATGTACGCTCAAGCCAGCGCAGGGGTATCGGCAGACATCGGCTTGAGATTTCATAATTATACCCTTGGTGCTCATGATGGCAAAGTCAACATACCGCCACCAAAGTTAGAGTGCTTTAACATGAACTTTAACCAACAGCACATCCTTCGATTAAGCTCCTTCAGAGAACTTCGTCATTCTTCTGCGGTTGTCCGTTACCTCAAGCTTGGTGCGCACCCATCCTTTCAATGCTAGCACTTGTCTATTATGGGACCATATGAACCTTCCAAACACAACAAAACACTCCGGCCTTGACAATCTGGTCTTAGTTTGGGCTTCGCAGTGGTGGTTGAGGTGGCGTCAACCTCAAACTGGTTTTCAAGCTACGGTAATTTCAATTGGAAACAACGCAGTTCGTTGAAAGGACACCTCGCCCGGAATTATCCCTACAAAGAGCCTTGAATCAGATGTCTGGGGGTACTCGTGCCCTGTGATGTTACGAGATCGCTTCAATCCACAGAGCGAGAAACGTACTCACGATAGGCATGGACCAGATGAAGCGAAGAATGGTACCCGATCTGCCGGTGAAATGCTTACTCGACGTGTCTACGTGTCAAAAACAACGCCCGTTGCTTCAGCAGGACACTTACCCACCAGTGCCACGAATGATGAGAGTCGTGGGGATGTCTCGCCTTCGAGATTGTCGTCCATGTCTCCTGATGCGAATCCGATGCCACCACCCACGCACGACTTGGGACGAATGTCTTCTAGACAACCAGGCCCGTCTTACACGAGTTCGATGCTCCAGGATGATCAACCCATAGATCATGTCAAGCATCAACAGTTGTATCTGCTCAAAGTGTGTCGCGGCCTGATGATGTACGGGGCGCCTACACATCGCCTCGAGGAATACATGCAAAGGACTGCAGATGTTCTCGGCCTGCGCCTACAATCATTCTACATACCTGGCTGCGTGATGATCTCCTTCAACGACTCAGGATGGCGCTCCACCGACGTCCACATAGTGCGATGTAAGCAAGCTCTGAACCTGGCGAAGCTATACGACGTTCACGCTGTCTACAAAGACATCATTCATGGTAGGATAGTGATTGAGCAGGCAATCACACGCCTGGACGGGATCCTGAAAGCAAATGATCAGTTCCCTCGATGGTCTCGAGTCATTGTCTATGGGCTGGCATCGATGTGTATCGGTCCAGTCTCTTATTCCGCTCGACCCATCGACCTTCCCATGATTTTGCTTCTCGGCACCCTCCTTGGCGTCTCCGAGCTCGTCTTGGCCGCCAGGTCTGAACTGTACGCACACATCTTCGAAATCTTCACCACCATCCTGGTTTCCTTCTTCGCCCGCGGCCTCGGCTCTGTCAAGCTTCCCAATGACTACAGCTTCTGTTTCTCGGCCCTTTGCCAAGCTTCCTTAGTGATGATCCTGCCTGGCTTCATCATCACCAACAGCGCCCTGGAACTGCAAACGAAAAATATCGTTGCCGGCTCGGTACGCATGGTCTACGGCATCATATTTACCCTCTTCCTCGCCTTCGGCATCACAATCGGCACTACCATCTATGGTGCTCTCGATTCGTCCGCCACCTCGGCTCTCACCTGCTCGTCGCCCTGGCCTTTCTGGTGGCAAATCAGTTTTGTTCCTGCCTTCACAGTTGCATGGGCGATTGTCAACCAAGCCCCATGGCGTAAGATGCCCGCCATGGTGCTAGTTACCCTGGCTGGGTGGGTTGTCAATCACTTCTCCGGGCAGTACTTTTCTTTGAATACCGCCATATCTCAAGCTCTAGGCGCCTTCACCATCGGCATCCTTGCGAACCTTTCTTCGAGACTTAGGCATGGTCTTGCCGCCGCACTCCTGCACCCCGCAATTTTCATACAAGTCCCGGGCAGCGTTGCTGCGAACGGTGGACTAATCAGTGGCGTGCAAAGCGCCAATAAAGTGAACAGTCACACATCATCGAGCAATGGTACAACACTAGGGACAGGAGCGGCGCAGGGGAGTTTCGAGCTTTTGAATGCGGGCTTTTCAATGATCGAGATCGCAATCGGGATCACGGTAAGACTTTCTATAAGTGCCCTGATTGTGTACCCATTCCGGAAGAAGAGAGTGGATTGTTCACTTTCTGATACCGCGAGACGTTGCTTTGTTTTGGGAATTGTCGATGTCATATCTTCGCCGTCAGTGAACCAGCAAAGGGTTTCTAGCAAGTGAAGACTTCAGTATTTAGGATTTTTGGCGGGCATCGACCATGAAACGTAGGACAAACCCAAAAAGTGTGGTACACTCGATGAGATCCCTGCGAACCATCCGTCTTTTTCTCGCTCCCACAATCCAGCCGACTCTGACGACCGGTGTGGATGCAATGCGCTTCGACCTTTGTGGGAAATCAACAATAGCCAAGAGTGACCCTAATGAGATACCTAACGATTATTGCTCTCAAACGCACGTCAATCGCAATCACCTGACGAGGCAGCGAGAGCGAATACGGGAGGACAGCATGACAGCAGCAGCGAGACACGTAACGCAGGTTGGTTGCGAATGAAAGGAAGACATCGTCATCTCGAGACATGTGCCCTCGCCAATATTATCTGCAACGCTGCGGGATTCGGCAGAATAGGGTACAAGGACAGGAAATTGCGGCAGATCGCAGCAGATGGAGCGATGGGCACCGGCAAAAGCATGCCTCGACGTGCTGCTTCTCGGCTGTCTTCTTTAGATGAGGTAGCCCAAGTCAGAGCCAATCGTCACCTTTACCCCGCCCATGACACCACAAGTAGCCAGAGGGAGTGTTGTAAAATGAAACGGACGTCATATTACTCGATTGCTGAAATCGGTAAGGAATTCAATTTTGGTATTACAACAGGGAGTAAGGTACCCAGGTAGGCGGCCTCGAGTGCCCAATCGCCACAACGGCAGGCATTTCGGTGGGACTTTTTGCAGGTGGAAACCTCGTCATCCGTGAACCGGTGTCCAGAACTTGAAGGCCAAGGAAGTTGTGAAAACGTGCCGGGATACCTACCTAGGTGACCTCTCGATCGGTGTCCTGCCAAGCACTCACGCATACTTCTACAAGACACAGAAGTACAGGGTCATGAGGCATTCATTTTCGTCGCAATGCCTGAGGATATGGAGGCTTGCTGGACTGGACGTGGAGACCTTGTTGAAAATGATGAAAGGCGCCCTTCCTCCGACCATTGTTGTTGCCATGTATGATCCGTCCGAGATCGACTTAACCGCTACTGAGGTTGCTGTAGCTATCAGAGCGTGGCCATTTCCAACATCACTGGGACACTTGGATACCTTACGTCTATCATGGCAATTGTGTCACAATGTCTGTTACCACCTGGCAAATTCTTGAAAATCATGTTTTTCATCGTACTCTCCACATGTGCATCAGCCTCGATCTGCTGTCTGGCCGTGCTCAGTGCTGTCAAAGCAAGGGCATACACCACTTCTGCTAGTGATGTGGAAGGCTCCTACAACAGCAATGCGTGCGCAGTCTCCGCTGCCTGGCTATTGTTCGCGATGTGGTGTGTTTTCCGCCCACTTCATAGCTGACTAGCTGATCTAAAATTCAGGGTTTCGAATACGCTTCGAGCCTACCATCCCGTGCTGTTGCAGGATCCCATGGTTGCATTTTCCATCTTTCCAGGCGTCGCCCTAACTCATGCTGTTCAATTTTCGACAGTAGAGCAAGGCCTTGGATTCATCAAACAACTCCTCATTGCTTTCTTGCTAGGCTTCTCGATCGCAACTGGGATTTCCCTCCTGATCGTTCCCATTTCAAGCAGGTGCAATGTTCTCAAAGATATCATCGCCTATGCTCAAGTGATAGACAACGTCTTCGAGGCTCAAAAAGCGTACATCCAAATTGCCGAAGGGCCTACAGGTTTAAAAGGAGCCACAATATCGGACAACGGAGTTGATGTCCAGTTCAGTGAACGACATGATCACCAACATCCCCTGCGCAAGACCACCGACGGAGCTGACACCAATGAGAAACAATCAGAGCTGAATCGATCAATGGCCGCTCTCATTGCTATCCATGATAAATTGGCCAACGATCTCATTCTTGCAGAATCGGAGATGGCATGGGGAAAGCTAGATAACACGGACCTACGCAGCATTTTCGTGCTTCTCAAGGCCGTGATGCTGCCTTCGGCCGGTATTTGCATGCTTCCCGACATTCTGAAAGAACTATCAGACAACTGGGTCCAAGAGGATGAATCACTTCCGCAAGAAGTCTGGAAATCCTTTTTGGCCAACTTCGGCAAAGAGTTGGCAAAATCAGCAGAATTCGTAGCTCTAGGCATCCAACATGCATTTGTCGTTCTGGGCATTGCGAGTTCGGAAAGAGAGGGACAGGTGGCCGTTACCTCACATGCGCATCAACAACCTGATATCGAGAAGCCGGCTGAGGAGCTCGTGCCGGGAGATCCTAGTTTCGCTCTTCAGTTCGAACGAAGTGTCCGTGATTTCTACGATCAATGTCGGAACAGGTTGGTGACGGCTTCACCAGCACGAGGTGATGCTGAAGCCCACATTCAGTCCGATACACTTGATTCTCTGCCCAACGAGAGATATACTGAGGAGTCCTTGATTTTCCTCTTCCTGCAACATCTTACGCATGCTCTACTGCAAGCGAGCGTGGACATCGTTCGATTCGCCGAAAGCGGGGTTACTACACAGAGAATGCGGTATAACCGAATGATACTCCCAACCGCGCGAGGGGTGTTATGGTCCTTGACCAAGCACGATGACGATAAATCAAGTTCGCAAACGGCGAAAGACCACCGAAATCCGGAGCACTTACCAGCAACCAATCTGTGGGAAAGGTCTGGAACGGTGCTCGGCTTCGTTCCTCACGTCCTAGCATCCGAGCAGAGTTCTTTTGGGTTTCGTGCAGCAGCCGCCTCTTTCTCGGTGGCTATCCTTGCATACCTACGCCAGACACAGACCTTCTTCTTCGAACAAAGACTTATATGGGTGCTTATTGTGATAGTGATTGGGATGAGTCCCACTAGTGGTGCGAGTCTCTTTAGCTTTGCTGTCCGCATTCTCGGCACCATCATCTCGCTTGCTCTATCACTTACAATATGGTATATTGTGATCGGTCACACCGTCGGCGTGATCGTTCTGCTATACTTGGGAAACATATTTGGAGTTGGTCTTATCCTTGCGAAATCTGTAGCTTCTTGGGCTTACTAACTCTCGCAGTACTATTTCTACGTCAAATATCCCAAATTATTCGGTCCGTCCGTCATATCCATCGTAACATTGAACGTTATCGTTGCCTACGAGCTTCAGGTTGGTGGTTCCCTAGATACTGTCATACTTATTGCCAAGCTCAGATGTTTTCCCAGGTGAACAAGCTGGGGATCCCTCGAGCAGAGTCCAGCGGACAACCATATTACCCCATCTATCTGTTTGGGACGTACAAGCTGGCGTGTGTCATCGTCGGATGTGCGATTGCTTTGGTGTGGACCATATTCCCATACCCCCTATCGTCCGGTTCGCAAGCGCGGAAGGTCCTGGGCCGCAGCCTTTTCGTTCTCGCCAATTTTTACAGCTGCATACATACGACGATACATTTGTGGATTACGAGGTCCCCCCAAGAAGATCCACCTGTGTCGCGAGCTCTCAATGTTGCGCAAGACAAGCTGTTTGCTGATGAAATGCGGCTGCTTGCTTTGCTGCGTGTGCACACCCACTTCACCAAATTCAATCCCCGACTTGGCGGCAAGTTTCCCGCATCTATCTACAGAAGCATTATCGCCGACATTCGGACCATCCTAATAAGCATGGCCTTGATGGTTCAGAGCACAAGAGGCATGAACGGACCGTCGGCACAAAGGGAACTCGAGTGGCTACCGAAGCTCTCGCAAGCCATCGAGTCGACGAGTTTTAACTCTCAAACCACTACATCCTTGTTGTGCCATTTCTCAGCTGCTGTCGCGAATGAACTCGCACTTCCACCCTACCTCTCTCCTCCAGCCTCGTTTGGTATCGCCCGGGAAGTACGAAAATTGAATTTGGGACTTTTGGACGTCTCGAATGCCGACAATCCATTCTTCTCCGCTTTTGCGTCTTTGGAAGTGTTGAATGCCCTGATGAGCGCGAGCTTGACAAGACTGGCTAGGTACGGAAGATACGCCTTCAATATTGGTTGTCAATTTGCTAACAAGGTACAGCAATGTCAAGCTCCTGGTCGGAGAAATTTGCTTTGATGGCTATACGGAGCGACAAGACAGTCCTACTGAAAATTGAATGCACATTGCTTGAGTTTGAAGGTCGAGGATTGGTCATGCGGCTGACCGACTTTGACATTGTATTTAAGTCAGCAGATCTGTCAAGAACGCGACTCGCGACCTTCTGGGCAGGCTTCTTCTTTGGAGATGGAAGTTCAACTTTGGGGGTACGACTTCGTTCAAGCCCCTGTTACACATCTTCTTTTGTTAGAATCAAATCTGTCGGGGTAGAATCAGGTCCCTAACGGGAGAAAGTCGTCTATTTAAAGCATAATTTCAGCGTCGTCGGTGTGGTGATGTGACAGAAGCTGTGGAAATATGATACGGAGTTCGAAAATGGAGACGCCAGCCTTCCAGCCGTGCTAGAAAGGCCTAGTGTGCAATTTTCAGTTACTCTTCCAATAGTCTTTTTGTGGGCGTGCCGTTTGCTGTTTAGCACAGCGGAAGGGGAGGCATGTGTAGCGCGGAGGGTAGTTGATCAAGGTGGCCATTTTATCCCTCTTAGCAAAGGCCACATGCAAAAGGCGAAAGTACTGTATGTGTGACTAAAAGCACATCGACATTTCTTCCACATAATTCTGATGACCGTCCAGGAAAATAACCAACGTAACCAAGGACGGAATCGTGTCCGAAAGCCCTAGCAGGGTCAAACTTGAAGAGCCTCGTCAATTGCAGGCATCGGGATTTCCCCGCATCGGTCTCCAACTGAAATTGAAGGGTCCATGACTGACAACCTGAGCTCTGAGTGTAGTGGGACTTCGGAAGTCATCTCCGTCAGATCTGGCCAAGTCCATCGTGATGCAATGGCAAACATACGGCTGCGTCATAGTGAACCGGAGGGACAAACCAGCCACTCAGCAACTCACACAACACAACTAGGTAACCATGCAGCACATCGGACACCATCAGTAACGCGGCCCGGCCACTGTCTTCTCTGCAACTGTGCATCTACCACTCCTGGCCCGAGCACACCACGTCGCCCTTACATCTGTCAACGTATCAGCAACAACATGCTCCAAGGCCAGGCGAGAATTGTGATCAGCGGCGCCGGTCAAGGTGGGAGCTGTCACTTCGCCTACTCCTGTTTGCCCTGCTAACTTGTCCTTGCAGGCATCGGCCGAGCCGTCGCTAGACACTTTGCCTCCAAAGGTCACAAGATTTACATTGTCGACATCAACGAAGACAATGTCCGATACACGGCCGAGGAGCACCTGAAGGAACATGCTGAGCGGGTAGGCTGGTCAAAATGCAATCTCCGGAGTGTCGACGACATTCGTGCAACCATCAAGAAAGCGGCGAATTTTCTCGACAACCGCATTGACTTCCTGATCAACAATGCCGGAATATCCTCGCCATACTGGAAAGATGGAAAGACCATGGCAGACGAGTCAGTCCTGGATCAATGGCAGGCATACGTCGAAACCAACCTCACAGGTCCATTCGTCATGTCTCAAGCCTGCATTCCGTACATGAAGGTGGAAAAGGAGGATGAGAAAAGCAAGCTTCCAGAATCCAATGTGGGCACAGCGGGACCATGCATCATTCATGTTAGCAGTTTCCGCGCTTTCATCTCGGATCCAAACCAGGAAGGCTATGCGTCAACGAAAGGTACCCTCCATCACCCATACCCAAGCTCCCTCGTGCTAACTTCCCTACAGCGGCTTTGTTGGGCTTGACTCAGAGCATGGCTGTGTCCTTACAATCATTTGGAATCCGCGTCAACATGATCTCCCCTGGTCGGATCAAGGTCACTCATGAAAATCCCGAAGCAGACAAGGAGGGAGAAGAATGGGAGCTGGACGAAGACGACGTGGAAACACACCCCACCAATCGTGCAGGTCGGCCGGAAGACATAACCGAGGGAATTGAGTACCTTCTCGGTGCCGGATTTGTCACTGCGCAGAATTTGGTGGTCGACGGTGGCGTGAGCAAAGTCAAGGGGAAAGCTTGAGCGTCGCTTGAATGGAGACCATGTCCAGTGGAAGTGATCTCACGGTCTTGAAACAACCAGCAGGACCAATCGCTCAGGAGATGCTCAAATTCTCAATTCTCTTTCTACCTCTCATGCAGTCTGGCAAGATCAACCTTCCCGACCTCTTCCAAGTACCCTGTCAGCGCATCCAGATCCTTCGCTTCGTCCTCCTCGGTTGAGCCGTTTCCAAAATAGTGGTACCTATTCCTCCTTCCCGTTTCCGACCGCTGAAACACAAAGTCTTCCCATCTAGGCTCCTTCAAAATGTTGATGCGATGGTGACCCGTGCCAGGCCATCCAAAAAGCGTCCTTGACTTCCCCGTTCCATTCTTCAACCAACTGTTGCAGGAATCACTTGTGACTTTGTCCGCAAAGTACTGGTCTACATATTCGTTGAAATCTGCAGTAGCTTCCTGAGAAGGCGCTACCGATTTGTAACCTTGGCTTTGAACTTTGCGAATGACCTTTGCAATGTATGTGGCAGATAACTCACAATGCAAAGGCACTGTTCCGCCAACGGCATAGCTCTGTGCTTGAAGCACAGCGAAATAGTTGGGCATTTCCGGCGCCATTACGCCAAAATAGGTCTCCGGATATCCTATCGGACCATCAGGTGCCCATTGACGGTTCAGATCGACTCCATTTCGACCAATGGTCGGGAACAGCGGACGGAACCCGTTTTCAAATCCTGTTGCCAGTATGATGGCATCGACATGCCTCTCAGTGCCCTGGTGGTCGACCAAGCCAGTCGAAGTGGCATGAGAGATTGGTGTGTCCACATATGTCACCTGCGACGTTAATAGAGCCTCCAGGTACCCAGGCGCCGGTGTGGTTCGTTTGCAGCCAGGAGCATAATTGGGGAGCAACCGGCGAAGCCATTCTTCATCGCCACCGAGTCGCTCACGCATGCTCTCAATGCACCTTTGCTTGATGGATTCATTCTCGGGACTTCCTGCAACACCTCCCTTGTTTCCAGGATGCAGCCTCTTCTCAATACCTTTTCTGAACTCAAGGTACGCTCTCGGATCTGACGCGAATTTGTCCTTCTCTGCTTTGGTAAAGACATACCCTCCAGGTAGCGATGACTTGGCTTCAATAAATCCGGCAGCAAAGGTAGGCAACACCCATTGCCTAGATCTAACGAAGTGACTGATATGCTCCACTCGAGACAACAGGTTGACAAGAACTTGTATACCGCTTGCGCCATTGCCTACAACCGCAATCCGCTTTCCAGAAAAATCATATGATTCATCCCAGGTTGCAGTATGACACACATGGCCTTGAAAGGTAGTCGTCAACCCTGGGATCTCCGGTGCCTTCGGCTTGTTAATTCTCCCCTGCGCTGAGACAAAAAAATCGGCCTTCTCAAGGAATTCCTGCCCGGTCGTCAAATTTCTCACCATTACCTCCCATTCTGCCGTATCGTCATTCCAAACAGCACTCAAAACTTCATGCTTCAATTTTAGATGCTTGTCGACGCCATAGTATTGCACAACGTCCTCATAATATCTGCGGATCTCTTCGCCAGGAGCATAGTATTCTGACCAATTTGGATTTGGAGCAAAGGTTAGTTGGTACGCATGGGAGGGTACGTCGCAACGGACACCAGGATATCGGTTCTGAGTCCAGCCTCCGGAAACCGAGCCGTTCTTTTCAAACAAGACATATGAAAGGTTGGGGACTTTGGTTGTTAAAAGGATCGATGCTGCGATGCCCGCAATCCCAGCACCAACAATGATCACTTTCACCGGTTTTTCAGGGGTGTAAGGCCCCTGCTCAAGTCGAAATTCTTCATTTTGACTGGAATAGGAGTCGGACTCCGTTGGCGACGTTAACATGGTGTTCTTGTGTTGCTTTTGAACGACAAAGGAGATCAGAGATTTAGAGCCGCGTTGTGTTCAAAGGTAACCAGCACGTTAAGGCCGGTCTTGATGTCTTTCAAGTTTCGAAGACGTACACCCTTGGTCAGATCGCAGGTAATTCTAGCTCTGGGCAGTGCTTCATGATGTCCGCATGCCGGAGACACCCCGAGAAGACTACTCAGAAAGGATATTCTTGTCGGGATCGGGTCCGGTTCTAGGCTGTCGTGCTAGATCCTCACTGGAATCACCGAAAAGCCGTGATTGGCTCAACATTTCATGACGGTGGTGGTAACGTCTTTCAGGAACGTGGCACGCAATCAGAGCTAGTATTTGTGTCTGCGATTCCGCAAGACCCATTATCCCACGTCAAACTTGTTATGAAACTAGCAAAGCTGTCCGGAGTTCACTATCAGGTCTTTCAGTTGATGTCTGACAACTATCCAGGTATAGTGAGTTAGTGCTCCTTATAGCTTGCTATAACGCAGCCCTTCTGGCTGTTACGCTACCGCTCTTGCCACCTCCCCTGGTAGATACCTCCCAGAAGGCGCTCGATAGCGCTCTCGGGGAGCTATCTTGATATAGGATCAAAAGGAAAACGAACTTTCCCTGTCGGGCATGTAGTTGATGGCTTCGCCTCGAATAAATCATTGAACACGCTTGAAAACCCCATAGCTTCCTTAACCAGCGCAAGTGCCTCAACCTGTATATCTCGCAATCTCTCCTCGTCATCGACGCTTGCTGTGCTTTGCTCGGCAGACGTCAGCAAATCCTTCCGTGCTCGAAAGACAAGCAAACTCCGTTTTGCAGTCGACCAGCGGTTGGAAAAAGCGTCCAGGATTTCGATGCATAGATCAAGATTGTCTCTGAGGCTGTCGTCTGGTAGTTCGTTACATTGCTCGACCAATATCAAGCAGATTATCAATATATGGTTGAGTGTATTGTGATGAAGCATAAGATGTTGCTGTCGAAGAAGAACCACGCTACATTGAAGATATTTTTCAATCGACAGACACAAAGGTTTGAGTTGATCTTTGGAGTAATATGCATTCAATCGTGTTGGAAAGTGCAGCAGAATCAGTAACCCATGGTAACGAACGTTGAGCCATGGAATTGTATCGTGAAATGATATGTCGTCGTCTTCCAACTGCGACAAAAGACAACCATTGGCGTACCAGTCGTCCAGTTGCGACCGAAACCGATCGACCACGGCCTTTCGATCGGCACGGTTGATATCAAAAGACGATGTTGGGCTGGATAGATGAATCTTCTGCAGGATATTCCCTTCTAAATCCCGCAGCGCGATGGCATTGCGGCATACTTGTAATATTCTGGTATGCTGGATGCGGAGTGGAGATGCGTACTCCTCGATCGTCACCGAAGGAAGAGGAACATTGATGTTTTCGTCGTTGATTGCAACAGGTAGACCAAAAGAGGCGGCAACCTCGCGGTCCAGAGCGTAAATGCTCCAAAACAAACGATGTCGTGCTTCAACCTCTTGTAGCGTATAACCTTCTTCTGTTGAGCATTTGCGATTGAGACCAAGTGAGATTGCGCTGCGGCCCAGAAATCCGGTCAACATCCATGGTGACATGCCGACAGGATCGAAAATGGAATAAATCGTCACCAACATCAGTATTCTGGTAGATTCGATGCTTGTATCGAGAAGACAGAGCTGGACACAGTCCTGATAAGGGACGTTTATCGTTGCCAAAGCCTCGTCAGAAAGTTTTCCAACTCGATGAAGCGTGGCCGATCCAACAGCGCATAGGAGATACACAAGAGGCGTCACCTCGGTTGATTGGTCGCCAGAGGGTGTGTCTCCAAGCTCGTCAAGAATTTGTTGCCGATCCAAGAATGGATAGGCCTTGTGAACGTGGCGAAAATAGGCCGTGACAAGATGCTTTCGGTCAGCCCAAGCTGGCAGTTTTAGACGTATTGGAGGTGTGCGATAGGTCGTTATTGCACTGTTTTCATGGTATGTCAGAACTGTACGATCTTCAGCTTCGAAACCGGAGCTGTGCGAGGAAGTTTGCGCTGGTTCTTCCACTGGTCCATCTTCCCACGAACTGACGGTGGCTGCAGGGCTCAATATCTGGGAGCCGTCGACTGCAAGAAAATGCCGGGACAGCGCTCTTATCTGTGCTCTGAGCTCGTTTATCTCCCCGGATGTAGCCAGTGGTTCATCCTTTTTGGGGAATACGCACGGGAACCCGGCAGCAGCGCACGATGCACATTCTGGAAAGGAACGACAGCACTTCTTCTTTTGTTGTCGACATCGATAGCATGCAAGCTCGGCTCGAACCAGCTGGTTGTGCACCGGCTCTGTTTCATTAACCCTAAGCCTCTTCGCTGGAGGCGGATGGCCGTCCCGAGCCGGAGTAACAGGTAAACGAAAGCGTATATATGAGCCGTGGTTAGACATCAGGAGATGGTCGTTCAAAAAGTACAAGTTTCCAGTGGTTATTCATTAATAATGATCTCAGGCCGCCGATCTTTCTGAAGCACCTTGTGTACTCTGGCAGTATTGTTCAGATGTCCCGGTAATGGTGCAATTGCAGTCTAAGCCTTATCAGAGACAGAAGCATGGTAATGTGGAGAATTCGACAGGTCAGGGACCAAGAGGGCCCACAAAAACAACCGATCACGACATTTAGTCCACCCTTAACATCACTCTTTCTCAGCACTCCTATCGAGCCATGTCTGATTCTGCTGATACCAAGGTCTACCTCTAGAGCCTTGCTTGTTGCAAGTCCGATGCGCCATGATTCTGTCGTGACAGAAGCCGGTCGGCAGCTACCGCCTCTCTGAACGCCCTCTCCGCGTCATGCTCGTTGAGCCATACAGGATCCGGGCGATCTGCAACACGTTTCCTAAAGTCTGAATCAGACTCCGTGATCCCAGCCAGCTTATTGTCAAATCGTTTCCGCGCTTTGGCTCGGCTGTCGTGCACATGTGTAAGCACTTTTGCCGTATGTGGTCGTCTTAATCTTTCATATCGGTCAAATGCGCGACCGATGCGTTCAGGATCGACTGCCGGCCCTTCAAACACTTGACTAGGTGGGAATGCTTCGTTCAACGCTAGAGACAAGGTGTAAGCGTCGTCAATGGCCAACGATGCCCCGGCAGCAAAAGCACCACCATGTGTATGCGCAGCATCTCCTAGCAATGTGACACGATCCTGAAAAGACCATTGATCCAGAGCACTGCCTGCTACATTCGCGTACCGCCGGACCCATGGAACCCTGTCGATGATCTTTGGGATGACCGGATGCCAGTCCTGCGTGCTGATAAGTGGGCTGTTCTTGACCGGACAACAACACCTACCTTGAATCTCTCCTTCAGAATTTCAATGTCTGCTGGCCCGTTCCACACAGGCTCTGAAAACTCGGGGTCCGTCGCTGGGTCAACCATGAACGCGGCTGTGACCGCGAACTGTTCTGATCCTGTTCAAATTCAGTCGTTGCTCTTTCAGACAATTTCATGATCTTACCGATGCGCGTGCCAAAGAAGAATCCTGTTGGCCCCGTCTGTTGTTCTTGGGTCAGTGGCTTGAAGATGTGTTGAGCATGTCACGTACAAAATGTGACGAGTCTTGCGGGATATCCAGGTCTTTCACCAAGTCATAGTCAAATGCAGACCGAAGAACTATATCCCCATTCCATACGAGCTCATGGTTTGGCACGAAATTTCCTCTGATATTCTGCATCTGTTAGCTCAATTCATTCGGCTAGATTCGTACACTTACGGATTTGATACCGTCTGCCCCGATCAAGATATCGACATGGATGGAAGTACCGTCAGCAAACACCACCGTGACTCCTTTGAGTCTGTCGGCTTCAACCTGGATGGCTTTCTTGCCCACATGTATCGATGCCGGCGGAACATGCGCGAGAAGTGCTTTTTGAAGTTTTGCCCTATGCATCCTAGCGAATTGATGTCGCCATTCTGGGACATTGTGATTGTAATCCTGGCTTAGAACTTCACCAGTTTTCCAATGCCTGCATTGTCAGCAGGATAACGGCAGATGATGGCTTCAACACTGACTTGAAGATCATTGGTATGCGGTTTCTGTTTCGCCAACCAACCTCATCCGTAAGGACCTCATGCACACCCAGTTTCTCCAACGTTCTCAGGCCATTGGGTGCGAGGCCTACAACGGCACCGATCTCCTTCAGTTCTGTTGCCCTTTCGTAGACGTTGACATTGAGATTTGGATTGTTTCGAAGGGCCACCGCTAGGGTGAGACCGCCAACACCGGCTCCAATGATTGCAACGTCGACAGGCATGGTGATTACTTTCTTGTGCTCAACAACTCGAAGGAATCCTCCAATGGTCATAGAACTCTCGATGTCGCCGTATAAGTAGGTTTGAGAATACATTTGGATTCCATAGTTGATACAGAATCACGAAATGCCTCGGCGGAAAGTGGTCGAGGTGAGTGGATACGGTTGCGGTCGAAGATGATGGTGGCAAGCCGACTAAATTGCCAGAAACGGTAATCCTCGTCGGACTGCAACTCCGAAGTGTTGTGGAAATCCAGCATACCTAACCTTTATCACGGCATTCGCTTTCTTCGTCCTAACAGTCCAGCCCTACGTGCCTTTTTTTTTCAAAAGTCTCTCTGGAACAAGTTGCTGTCGGCCGCGCAAACGCAAGTTGAAGTCCGGATGGCGACATGTTGGCTTCGACAGCATGGGAATATATATCGACGACATATGACTGTACCAAGTTGACTTGAGTACTGCCACACACACACCACTCTTCCCCTCAGCCAATCTATCGCAATGGGCATCTTCAATCATTGGAATCGTGGGCAAAAGTCCACGGAAAGCTCCGATATCAACTCCGAACATGATGTTGAGGCAATCCCACCAGTTTTCTCGAAGCCGGGAGAACCAAACACCGAGGCCTTGCCAGTTCGATCGCACACAGATGCAGTCGATGATGAACGCGTGAGATTCCTGGACACCTTTACTCCCCAGGAACAAAAAGAGATCATCCGTAAAGTCGACTATCGGTTGTTGGTAACTATAGGAGTCATCTATCTTGTTAAACAGGTGAATTCCCATCGCTGTCGACAAGAGTGCACACTGACAGATCTTTAGATTGATGTCAATAATGCATCCAATGTCAAAGTCCTTGCAGTTGGGAAACCGACCAACATCCTCAAACAACTCGACATGACCGCTGATCAGTACAACTGGGTTCAATCCATCTACTATGTATGTAAAGACCAAAGACATACCGTAGAAAACCTAACAGATTCTAGATCAGTTATATCATTTTCGAACTTCCGAGCAATCTCTTTCTGAAGAAGATGACTCCACGAGTCTTCCAGACGAGAATCTGTGCTGCATGGGGGTTGGTCCTGGCTTGTCACGCTGCCGTCAAGAACAAAGAAGGCCTTTATGCCGCGAGATTCTTTTTGGGCCTTGCAGAGGCAGGACTCTTCCCTTCAATCGTCACTCACCTTTGCAATTGGTAAGACTATGACATCAAATGGTGAAGCCAAACTGACATACTGTTAGGTATCGAAGCGATGAAATGGGAAAGCCGATTATGTGGCTGTTCGGTATCTTCAACCTGGCTGGCATTATTGGATCTTTGCTCGTCTATGGCATTTCGTACCTGGACGGAAAACAAGGGTTGAGTTCATGGCAATGGTGGGTCATTTCACCTGGTACCTCTTTGCAGCTGCTGACATTTTCCCCCCAGGGTATTCCTTATTGAAGGTGTTGCAACCATCGCATTCGCAGGCCTCATCTGGGTGATCTACCCAGACTACCCACAATCCCCCAGGAGCAGAAAGTGGCTCACTCCTCGTGAACAAAAATTCCTCGAGATGAGACTTACCGAAAACGCCCCTCGAACGCAAGATGCATCTTTCTCGTGGCAAGAGATCGTCAACACGGTCAAAGATCCAAGGATCTGGACATTCATGCTAGCACAGGTACGTAAGAGGAAGGAGTCGTGAACAGTCGAACTTACAAGACATGAACAGATCCTCATGAATATCGGCGGGTTCGGCCTCAGTTGGTTTCTTCCAACGATCACCACGGACCTCGGCTTTGCAGGGCTCCCTCGCAATCAGCTGCTAAATATTCCACCAGCGGCTGCCGGAATCATTGCAATCATAATCGTTGCTTGGATCCTGAAGAGAGCATATTTGCCTCGTCCTCTTCTGACAGTGATAATCGTCCTCTGCGAGGTCGGTACCTTTGCCATCTTCCTGGGCAGTCGCCGTCGAGGAGCCATCTACACCGCTTGTGTCCTGGGCACCATGTTCTCAGCTTGTCTTGCCATCCCATTCTGGTCGTGGCGAACCTCCTCTCTCTGCGGGACCACTGGCACCGCGTTCGCCCTGGGACTTCAATCCGGCCTCGGACAATTGGGTGGAGTGATTGGTCCGCAGATATTCCGTCAAAAATACGCTGCGGACGGCTATCGTGTGTCGTATGCGGTATGCACCGGTGCTCTGGCAGGCTGCTTCCTCGCCAATTGTCTTTCTTGGTACCTTACTCGCAACCTGGAATGGGATGTACGGCGTATCCGACGCCAGAGAATCAAGGCAGAGAAGGAGGGTCGGATTTTTACCGAAGATGAAGTCAAGTTCTTCTACGAACGGCAACACTTTACCAAAACTCTGAAGAAGCAAGAGGTGAAGGATGTTATCTGAGGGTTGTATTCCGGATCTTACCGATCGTGAAGCAACGAATCACCAGCGGTCCTTGTCATTATTGGTGGGGCAAGAGCATATGGACTTATATGTTGTCCTTGTGTACTTCATCTCAGACAAAGCAAGATACACAGATGGTTCGATCGTGAATAAATAGCTGTCCGTCTCATAGTAGTTCAAAAGCCAGACCGGCCAAAGTTTGACGCAGATCCGCTCAGAAATCGGTTGAATGTTGAGGAAACAGCCTGGTGAAGCACAATAAAACCATGCGTGACTGCGGCCAGCCTTCTGGTACAGGAGAAGGAGCCCTGCTGATTGGGTTCGATAAGTGAGAGCAAAGAGATGAGACCTTTCAATTCGTCCGGTTGATTGCTAGATCCGAAAGAAACCCAGCAAGAGATGTATGTCTTCATCGGAGGGAGACTGGAAAGACCGCTTTGTCACTGGCTTTCCAGCCTGAATGAACATTGCAATAATGTCAGTACCCTTGTTTGCTAGACCGTGGTGATGGCAACATCTTGCTCCTGCGAAAGTGATATCTCAAGCAGATTCTGGTATAACGACCTTCTGTCATCTGTCAAGTGACATTCCTCATCCAAACACTCTTCAAAATGTCAAGCTCAGCGTTTTCAAGACGTCCCTCGTCGCAAACAGGCTGGCGGCGAGGTGGTGGTGTAGTCTCTGCAGGCAGAAAGGAAACGCCAAATTTTCGCGCACAATCTCCAGCTCGTGGAGAGGTGTTGATGGAGTTGAAGCCAGACGACATCAAAGATGTTAAGAAGAATTCAAAGATCAAGGACTGCAAATATGTTGCTTCGTACAATTGGCTGGATGGGAAAGATCCGAAGATTGCCGTTCCAGGTAAGTTGATCCTGGCGCCATATCACTTTGCCTGCCACCCACGATCAGTAAGCTGAGACGGATTATGCCAGGAACACCGCCGCTGTGGAATCCCCCCGCCATCCCTCGCGAGCTGGAACGCGACTCCGGCGACTTTTTTCGGGACCTTAATGCCGCTCGATATCCATCATGTCCACTCGTCCCAGCAGCCCAAGCTGTACGAGAACTAGCCACGCAATTTCCCACTCAAGATGTGGATGTGTTCACCTGCGCTGATACTCTGTGCAAACTGGCTCGCTTCATCTGCGGGGAAGAACAAACATTCAGAATCATTCTGACAAAAATCGGAAACACCTTGTTCATGATACGCAGAGAAAATTCACCCGATGAGCTGATTCCGGAAGTCAAAGGTTATGGGCGAATGTTATTTCGCCTACCTGGGTTTTTATTTCGCATACTCGCTAAACCCTCAGGAGTTTAGCGTTAACCTACTCGCTCCTGATTAGCCAGTTCGCGTACCCCCTATTTTTATTTCGCATAAAACTTAGCACTCGACTATAATTAGCCGGATCGTTAAGCCGAGCGGCGCTAAGCCTATTCGAGCGTAATATAGCTAGAAATATCAACAAACAAGCCTAGGCCAATTACAGCGCGCTATTTAGGCTATACGAGTTACGCTCGAATTAGAGTCGATTTACGAGCTATTTTTAATATAATAGGGTATAAAAGTAATATTATTATAGCTATATAGTATAGCGGGAGCTACTAAATCCTTAGAGACTCGAGCTTTTCACTATATATCTACCTAGTAAACGAGCTCTTATCTTAAATCGCTATACTAGTCGAAATACACTTATCCTAGGTATCGAATCTCTTCCTCGACCTCTTATCGAGCTAGTTATTACTCTTATTAGTACCGTTATAGAGCCTTCTCTTCCTACGCTAACTATCGAATCTCGTCTTCCTAGAGACGCCGAGCGCTCTTATCGAGGGGGTTATCGCTAGGAGGATCCTAGCGTAGAAGGAGATCGCCTAGTAGGTAGTCGGACGAGATTTAAAGGGTTCCGTAGGTCTAGTTTACGCTCGACGCGTTTAAACTATAATAACTCTCGTTATATAGTATCGTTAAAGCCTCGCGGGCGAGGGATAATAATTAGTAGCTATATTACGTTAGCGAGATTTATATTATCGACGTTTTCTATCCTATTAAGTCGCTAGTAAAGCGCGAAGTAGTCTAGGTTAAGAATTTCGTCCTCTCGTAGTAGTTACGTAATAAGATAAGAATACGGTAGGCCGTAAATACGCGTAAAAGCGCCTATATAGGCTCGGAAGTTTCTAATAGGCGCCGAGGTCGGTAATACCTTATCGACTTCTATTTTAACTATAGTATTACGTACTAGAGATAGAGCGTAAGAGGAGACGTAATTAACGACTTAAGACTATAAACGAGCGCCGAACTAAGGGCGTCGAGTAACTCGATCTATATCTAAGTTATAATGACTTTTAAGATAGCTATCTTGAATCGATCTCTCGAGCGCGTCGATAATACTAGAGATATCGGATTATATCGATTTTAGACGTCGCTTTAGTACGCCGTATATTATCTCGAGACGTAAGGTTATTACGTTACCGAAATATCGAAAATCGTTAGTATAGGCGCGTATAAACTACTTCTCTCGTAAAGCCTAGGTACGTAAGAGGTAAAAAACGAGTAACGGATCTTTAAGCTCGTACTCTCGCTTAAGAGTAACCTAGTTACGAGTAGCGTCTAGAGTTATTCTTATAAATATATAGGCGTACTATATACCCTGAAATTTAAGCTATTTTTCTTATATCCGGTCTCTTTCTACTCTAATTTCGTCGATTATAGTAAAGCGTCTATACCGGCCTCTAAAATATCGCTTTACCTACGTTTAAACTACTCTATTAATATACTAGATATATAGGAAATAACGAGACTAAGGGTAGATCGATTCTAACGTAGAGGCGAGGGCGGAATCGTCGTCGATAATTATAATAGAGGGTCCGTTTTCGATTTCTACGGCTTAATAAATAAGTATTAACTTTTTAAGTATAAATTTAAATAAATCCGTCCCTTTACGCTCGAGAAATATAGCGTCGATAAAAAACGATTTATTATTAGTCGTTACGCTAATAATATTAATAAGCGGTATTCTAAATCGATTAGTTTTATAAGTTACGTCGATTAAGATAATCTTAGAATAACGCCGCCATTAATCGAGCGAGATATAGTAAAATAGAACGAGTCGGCGTAATCTTAATTACTTATCGAAATCGACGTAAGAGACGAATCGATCTCTAACGCTATCGACGAGTACTTAAGTAGATATTCTACCTACGAGACTTATAATATTTAGCTTAAATCTCTCGTTCGCTATATCCTATCGAGTTACTTAAATATCGCTATATTAATAATTTATTATCGATACGATATTCTATATACTAAAACCTTCCTCGAAATACTCTCGAATTAGCCTATTTAGGCCTCTCTAATGCGCCCTTCTTCTTATAGATAGATAAGCCAAGCTTCTATCGGCGAAATAGTTATATACGACCTTTTTAGGCGTAGGCGTTTTAATAAAGTATTCGCCCTTAGTATTCCTTATTATTATAAGTCTAAACTAATACCCTATCGATAGGCTCTCTTTATACCTCTATCGATTTATCGAATCGACCTTATACGAGCTGCGAGTATCGGCCCGATCGTATATAAGGTATATAACTTTAACGTTACCTACGCTATCCTTTTTTCGTATACTAATACGTATACCGTACCCGCGCGAAATAGACTATTTATCGAGCGCCTTAAAATAGTCTTCCTCGTTAAAATAGGTAATAGAAGGAGGAGGATCGAACGTGCGTATATTTTACTAGGGCGTCGATTCGTCCTCGGATTTATCGTTATCGGTCTAGACTTCTATATTATTAAGGTACGAGGTAAGTACCTTATAGTCGGCTTCTAGGTCGTTAGATACGGCCTACGTAGGCGTCTTAAAGATAGGGTATTAATCTATAGTAGTTACAGTAAAAAATTAGTGGTGCCTATATAATTAGACGTTTATAGTTTAGTAACAGGCGGTAATAACATCGAAAGCACTTAACGCGTCTATACGCGCTATTGTGCGAAATAAACACCCAAAAATTACCTGAAATGGCATACCGCTAATCTTACCCTATTACAGTTTGGCGGGTGTGCGAAATAAAAACCCAGGTAGGCGAAATAACGCCAGCCAAGGTTATGGCCATACCTTTCCTAATGCATACACCTTGTGGGAGCAGGACGTCAAGACCTCGGTTTCTCACCAGAGAATCATCCACTACGGCTTCGGTGGGCTGCGTCTTTTGGTCCGTTTCGAGGTTGACGGCTATTATGGCGGGGAAAAAGACTCAGATCCATCGATGACCGGTGCTGACAAACTTCTATCCCAATTAAAGCACAATTTCCTTCATGGTCACATGGCTCCGTTCGGAGAAGACGGACTTCAAATCAGTCGAACAGGTCGCGGCGCAGTCTCCCAAGGGTCCATCTTTGAAATCAAGACACGGAATGCGTTCGACTTCAACACATGGACAACCAAAAAAGTGATTGACACATCCGTGCTCATCCCAAAACTGTACTTTTGCCAGGTATCAACTCTCATGGCAGGCTTTCATACTCGGGGCACTTTCAAAGACATTGATAAAATGGATATGCGTCCAGCGACAGAGCAATGGGAAGCCAACAATGCAGAGAATCTCGGGCGGCTTGCTTCACTTCTTTATAGGCTTGTGGATATAGCAAAGGCATCCCAGACCAGCCTAGAGCTGTGCCGTTCAGACATGGGGCCATTGGAGATCCGGCACGTGACGGGAGAGGTTTGTGACGAAATCCCTGCCAGCCTGCGATCATGGTGGCTTGGGGAAGATAGTCCGCCCATGCAAGAGTCCAATAACAGTGATGATGTCCCGGCAGTCGGACAAGCTGACTATGGTGACGGCCATGAGTCCGACGAGTATGACCATTGTTCGTATAGTGATCATGCTGCCGGTGACAAAGGGAACGATTCCGACGATTCATGGATAGACTTCACCGCCTGTTAGGCGTCAGACTGCGGTTATTGCGGCCACTGTCGATACTAGGTCGGAAGACTCCGGAGGACTTGGTCATGTATCGACGATCTTCCCCTCCTCACTCCCGGCGTTCATGATGCAGTTTCTTGCGAGAGCCCTCCCCGGATGGTGCAGTCGAGAGCGCGCTGTGCCGTCACTTGGGCGGGGCGACCGCCGGCATTTTCATCATTGCCCTCGCTACAGCGGGGGGTTCGTTCGGAAGTTCCCCGTTGCGAAATCATAAAGCATTTGCCGTTGTCAGTTCGTCAGCGGTGGCTTGCATGAGTGCTCCACCTGGTTTCGCCTCTCGCCAGGCGGTAGACGAGCTGAAATTCTAGGCTGAAAGTGCTAATGTTCCAAAACGTCTGAAAAGGCAACCAACCTATGATAGTCCTGTACCTAGGAGGCACGTGTGATGAGCAGACTCGTTGCGTTGCTTGTTGCATAATAAGTGACCACCGTTTTCATGCAATCAGCATAACACTTTTCCATGTATCTGTTTCGTAAGTATTTGTCGATAACACTGCCCCAAGATGGTGAGAGAAGTCAGACATTGGCCGGTAGAAGCAGTATATTACTTTCAAGGTCGATGCCAATGAGGTCCAGAGTGTCTCGGATTGCATACCAATAAGGGTGGAAGGCGCAGGGGGATCCTGCTGACTCTTCGCAATGCGTTCTGATTAATGACAGTGGCCACGCCTATCTGACACTAATCGGTTGGCCAATACCATGGAAGACGGGAGGAGGAAATGATGACCCCTGTGATCTCTTCCACAGTGGCAAACTGACCGACGAATCCAATGCTCTAGTTGTCTGCTCAATGGTAATGTGTCCCTCACTCCGGCCGACGCAGTGAAATAAATCGTCTTCCGTATCTGGTGGGAGTAAATGCGCTTGTTGTTGATTGAATCCGTTAATTGAGGTCGTCCGCAGTGCTCAGGAATTTTCATTCAATGCCGGCTCAACCCCTACAAGGGCCTCCACATTGATCCTCGAAACGGTGATGGAAACACCGCCTAGTCATTTGAAATTCATGCTTCTGGACATCTCGAGGACTGCAGGATGGGGAGCAGGTCCTCGTGGACGATTCTTTTGAGGGATTATGCAAGGATGCGTCGAGTAGGCCGGTGCTTTCCCTTGCCGATGCAGACGACGAGCGAGATCCACGACAAAGGTCATGCCGGAGACAGAGCGAATATCAAGAACATGTCGCCAGAGCACAGCATCTTGGAAGTGACACCGAGAAGATGGAAGAAGTGCTCGGCAAGCCGGGCCTCTCTGACAGGATAAAGCTTGAGCTGCGGAAGTAAATGTGAAATATCCTCTAATCTGACTAAAAGATTTCCTTAGTCGTAGTGTGCAGTGTCGGGAGACATGGCTATTGAGTTAGTTGAAATGATCGTCAGCATGGCAAGATCTGGTTCTTCGGGTATGACATGAAAGGCCAAGTTGATGCCATCTGCGGCGGTCGCTAAACATGGATGAACGTCGTAGTATTGTATTCCAGGATGCATAATGCAAGTGGTCAAAATGACCAAAATCGAGATTTCGTGTTGTTTATCCAATGGTTGGAACATCCAGCTCATGGAAGGCACACTGTGGAGATCCACCTCATTGCTTCAGCACACTCAGGGACCAGAGGGCAAATTCCTCCCTCCAGATATACCGAGCAAAGGCTAAGAGATTCTATCCGCCAAATAGAATCCATACCAGACGGTTGCGGCCCAACCCACCAGGTTCAGGAGTGTCGATATTCCGTGGAGGCGACCAAACTTCTCGTTCAACTTTTGCATCTCCTTACTGTGGGGAGGAGAATCATAACTCTTCTTTCCGTCTCTTGTCTCCTGATGTTTTCTTTCTCGCATGCACTTGGTCGTTTCGGGTCCGACATACGCGGCATTGGCTAACCCGGTCAGGAAGATTGTCACCAACGGTGTCAACACGTGAAGTCTGTTTTGAGGTTCAAGGACGCCAGAAACACTCGATGCCGTCATTCCAATCGCTGTCCGTTCAGCGGGAAATGTCAATGCCAGGATTGCAGGAAGTGCGGTTTGCAGTGAGAAGTATATGGGGAAAATGGCCTGCTGCAGAGTTGCAAATTGTGGTCGGGGAAGAACTCTGAAGGCTATGATGCCGCCGATGAAGGACTGGAAGGTCTCGGCACCCAGGAGGACGCCATAACTGAGAAGCATTAGAGACGAATTATTGTAAGATACTAAGCACTGGCAGTTCCCACCTGATGATGTGATAAGGGGCCGCAGAATACAGAATGGAGGTATCCGGCATGATGGCTGGCTGGCTGGCGAATGCAAGGTGGCAGAAAGAAGGGGTAAAGGATGATACTCTCGTCCGTTCGTTTGTGTTAGTACTGAAGAATGCCCAACGTGATTACTCGAGACCGACTTGAATGCTGTATACTGCAACTGCAGTGCTGCCAGTGGGAAACCCCCGATAATGACGTATTAGAGGCAGTCTGGTCGACGCGTCTGCCGAGGTTACACGTGACAACGCGTCATATTCAAGTTCGCGATGTTGGACGCACTCAGCTCTTCACAACAAGGCAGCCATTCCGTCAAAAGTCCACTGAATCGCATACGCACTGTCAAGATGAACCGCTGACCTCCAGTCTTTCCTTCGTACCGCGACGGCCCCAGGGCTGAATCTAGGTTGATCTCAGCACCGCCGGCTACCACCACAATGGACAAAGAGGCAACTGTTTATGTTATTGACCTGGCAAAGTCCATGGGTGAGAAACATTCTGGCAGGGAAATCAGTGATCTCGACTGGGCTCTCCAATATGTATGGGACAAGATTACAAACACTGTATTCACGGGCCGTAAAACCCTCCAGATCGGTGTGGTTGGACTTGGGACAGATGAGACGTCCAACGACATGATGGATCAAGACGACAGTTACCGCAACATCAGTGTGCTCCAACGCATCTCGCAAATCTTGATGCCGGAGCTCCAAGCGCTACCAGAATTGCTCCGGCCGAGCCACACCGATGACCGGGACGTCGTTTCTGGCATCATCATCGCTGGTGACATGATAATGAAACACTGCAAGAATTTGAAATACAAGAAGAGGATCGTGGTGATAACCAATGCGAACGGCTACATTGACGATGACGATATTGGAAACACGGCCGAGCACTTCAAGAATCACGGTATTGAACTGGTAATCTTGGGGATTGACTTTGACGATCCAGAATACGGTTTCAAAGAAGAGGGTAAACCGCCGCAGAAAATGCATAACGAGCAGACCTTACAAAAACTGGCTGATTTGAGCGGAGGAATCGTCGGAACGATGCAGGAAGCCATTGATGAATTGTCACGGCCTCACATCAAACCGGTCAGACCTACTCCAACATACAAGGGCCTTCTAAAACTCGGCGATCCCGAGAACTACGATACGGCACTGTGCATTGACGTGGAAAGATACTTCAAAACCTCGATCAAAAGGCCGCCCACCGCCAGTGCATATGCGGTTCGTCCGGAAGACCCTTCGGACGAAAACCTGAGCACCGTTCACAACTTGTACAAATACAAGGTGAAAGATGAGGAATCTGGGGGCGGAACAAGAGACGTCGACCGCGAAGAACTCGCAAAAGGCTTTGAGTACGGCCGAACGGCGGTGGCTATCTCAGAATCGGAGCAAAACATCACCAAACTCGAGACTTATTCTGGATATGATATTCTGGGCTTCATTCCCGTGGACAATGTCGAACGCTACATGATGCTCGACAATTCCAGCATGATCGTGGCACAAAAGGGCAACGACAAAGCCGCCATCGCCCTATCTTCACTTGTTCATGCGCTTTACGAAGTCCGGTCTGTCGCTGTGGGTAGGCTGGTGAAAAAGGACATGACAGAACCCATAATCACACTTCTCTCTCCATTTGCCGAACAGGACTTTGAATGCTTGATCGAGAATATCCTCCCATTCGCAGAGGATGTTCGAACTTACCGGTTCCCACCTCTTCACAGAGTTCTGACAGTTTCTGGAAAAGAGATCACTGAACACCGAAACCTGCCGACAGCAGACTTGCTCCAAGGCATGAGTGACTTCGTCGACAGTATGAGTCTAGTTCATAAAGATGACGAAGAAATGTCTATAGACGACACTTTCTCACCAGTTCTCCACACGATTGAAGGTGCAATCAAGCATCGAGCCGTCCATCCCAAGGATCCTCTCCCGGAAAAGTCAGAGATGTTTCTCTCATACTCGAGGCAGCCCGAGCACCTCCAGGCGAAGAGCAAGCATGCGCTTGCCAAGTTGATTGCTGCCGCCGACGTCAAGAAAGTTCCTCCTAGGACAAAAGGCCGGAGAAAGTACCGTGACACCGAGAAACCTCTGTCCGGACTCAATGTCGAAGACCTGTTCCGCAAGGAGGAACGCAATCAGATCTCACCAAACAACGCCATTCCCGAGTTTAAGCAGATGATAGAGTACTCTACCGATATGGATGTGGCCAAGGATGCCGTTAAGCAGATGGGCTCCATCATGGAGGACTGGATTTCGAAGAGTTTTGGCGATGTCAACTATGATCGAGTATTAGAGGGCCTTTCTGTGGTTCGGGAGGAGGTTGTAGGCCTCGAGGAGCCAGGCTTGTACAACGATCTCCTGCGCGGGTTGAAGAAGAAGCTCGTCTCAGGGAAATTGGGTGGTAACCGCACAGATTTGTGGTACCGAATCCGTGTCAGCAAGCTGGGGTTGATTACAGACGACGTCTCTCCCTCTTCAGACGTGAACCGGGCAGATGCCGACACTTTCATGAGCCTCAAGGAGTAAATTCGGACATGTAGACTGACGAGATGAGCAAAGTTAAAGATACCCAATTGACGAATTATGTGATTTCATCCTGACTAAGAAATCTTGCCTATCCGTCTCTTTGCAATGTTGATCTTGCCCTGGACACGATCGACGTCTTCGTCAACCATTCTCAACATCTCATTTTGCACCTCGAGCTCTTGGTTGATAGCAATGCCCAGTTCTTTCTGCCTTTGCACGATCTTGCGCAGTTCTTCTACATCCAGATCTTGTTCGGCCATCTTCTGCTTTTGCAGCTGCAATACGCCTTGATTGTCCAGCTCTCGGGTTTCTGCAGTCTCTTTTCCCAGCACTCGCCCAGTAGCCTTGGGCTTGGTCCCAATAAGATCCCGCGTCTCTTGCATAGATGCAACCGCATTATCTAGCTTTGACTTGGTGGCCATCGCATTCAGGAGATTCTCAAGGCCATCCCGGTCCTTCTTTGCAGATGCTATCAAGTCCTTCCTCCTCCTTATTTCTCCATCACCGAGTCTCTGGACCCCCCATTCGCCATCTGTTGCCTTTTGGATATTGACCAGGCCCTCTTCAAGGGCAGTTATCAACGAACCCGCCTTGACAAGACTACTCTTGGCCGCAGCACTGGCTTCGTGTTGTTTCTGTGCAGTCGAGGCTTGATCGCGGTTCGTCAGGTTCAAGCGGGCGTCTTGTAGATGGGTCTTTAAGTCTCGATAGCAATCCAACCATATAACAGGATCCGTGATAGGAGCGCCGCCACGGGCTGGCCCAGTAATGACCGAATGCAGAGCCCCTGCTTTACTTGATGTCTGACTTGCAAACGAGCTGGGAAGATTGAGGAAGGCCCTCCACACGCTCGTCATGCGCCACCGTGAATCGTCTATCTCATTGATGGTCTTTAGGTACTTTTCCAACTGTTGCCTGCGCTCTTCTGTCAACTGGGGATTGGCGACTGTTTTTGAGAACCAGGACTTCGGGGGAAGGGCGACTGGTGGCGGCTGGCCAACTTGGTCGGTGAGTCCATTGTGTAGAACCACGAAGTCGGAGTATCGTTTCTGGACAGTAAATGAGCGAAGCGGAAGCCGCAATGATATGTTGTAGAGGGTGTACGGTTTTGAGGAGCCTGCGACTGTGGTATTGGGTATGGAGATCTCAATCGGAGGAGCCATGTCGACGTGGCCGGTCAGGATAGCATGGACTTGGACAGGAACATGTTATTGACGAAAAGACAGAGACTGTCGGGGCCAAGCGATTGTTCAGGGTCTTGGAATCGGGCTCGAACAGCCTGTTGACAAGTGTATGGATATTCTCGACTTGGACTTGCAGCGGCCAAACTTGATGTTGAGCGTGTGATTGACTGTAATAAACACAGCGACGGTGACGTCGTGCAGATCAGGGCACTTCAGTCTCACTGCCACTATTTACTCCTGTGATTTATTCGGGTTGTTGCTGCGACGTGGCTGAGGACGCTCCACAATATAAACATTCGATATCGAGAATAGAACAACTGGTGCCTGATCGCGGATACACCGTCCATGAAGTTCGTAATGCCCCTCTCAAACAGTACTTGGACAAGGTCGAAGCCTTTCGACTGATGTGCACTCCTCGACGTCGCCGCCATCATGGCAGCAAAGCCACCGCTGCCGCCGAGGACACCAAGCGCTCCTGACAGTCGTCGAGTATCTCTCAACCCTCAGACTCTGTCCTCCGATCAATATCTGTCTCCTCCGACGCATTCCCCCAGCGGATCACCCTACCTTGGAGGGATTCGTGATCCGCGGAATTCGTCTACTCAATCGCTTGGAGCTGTCAAATCTGCCGACGACCAGCGACGGACCTTGCTCCTTGTCTACATCCATGGCTTTCTGGGCGATGAGACAAGCTTCAAAAGTTTCCCAGCTCATGTGCACGGATTGTTGAGCCCGGCGTTGGCGGCGACCCATGTTGTCTACACCAAAATCTACCCGCGGTACAAGTCTAGAGAGAACATTACTGTGGCCAGAAATGCTCTCAGCAACTGGTCTGTCCGAGGTGTGTGCCAGATCATGCAGCTCTGCAACTAACTTATGCCAGGCTTGTTCCACATGAGTCCGACTCAACTGATATCATTCTGTTGGGACACAGTTTGGGAGGAATCCTCGCGGCGGACTTGATCTTGATGCAATCCAATGAGCGGGAAGGTCTGAGTCTGCAGCACCGCATTCTAGGCCTGATTGCATTCGACACCCCTTTCCTTGGTATGCATCTCGGTGTTGTTGGTACAGGCATTGCTAGCTTGTTCCGGACTCCTCCTCAACTGGAAGAGCCTGCACTGCTTGGTCCTTCTCCGTTCTCAGACTCGTCCTCTGCGCAGCAAGATCCGACATATAACCCTAGGTATACCAACGATGTTCGCTTGGCTAACAGGAAGGGCAAGCTGCAGAGGGCATGGTATTTCTGGAACAAGCATGCTGGCGAGTTGGCAACGGCTACCAAGAAATACGTGTCTTCACATCTCGAGTTCGGTGGCTGCCTTGCGGATTATCCAGGCTTGAAGAAGCGTTATCGCGCCATTCGCGCCCTGGAGGACGTGGTAGACACCACACAACCCCGAGATGCGAATGGCCGATTGATGAGGCGAGTAAGGTTTGTCAATTACTATACTGCAAGCACAGGACGGATAGGGGAGGACCTGAAAGAGTCGCAAGAGCAACCTGAATCAACTGCCTCTGCATCTGAAACTCCACTGGCGACGCCAGCGTTCGCTGGTGATACACAGAGCAATCCTGCAGACATACGAACGACTCCACGGTTGTCACTTGAGGAGTATCGCGAGGATGAGGTTTTGAACAAAGACGTCGTGGAGCTCAGCATTGACGCCACTCCTCCCCAAGACTGTTCTTCCAGTTTTGTCAGCAGGGCTATAGTCACTCCACCCGGCGAGGACCAGGTTATGGACGAACAGGTAGATGCCAACAGTGGCACAGCTGCACAGTCGCTTTTATCCCGCCCATCATCGACTGGTCAGGACGGAAGCGGTCCTCCCGTGACGGCGGAACAGGCTCCAGAGAACCACAAGGCCATCGACCAGATGCTGGATACCGTAGAAACCCACCGGCATAACCAAGACACGCCGCCCTACTGTGGACTCGCGGCAAAGCAGCATGAAGCGGGAGGCACGCAGGCGACTCAGGACCAGCCTCTTCTACAAAGCAAACAGACAACTGGAGATCCGAGATTAGACGTTGATCAGCGTGGAAAGAGCCTAGAGTCTGCGGAAAGCAGCCATTCCAGCAAGGCACAGGCAAATAAGAAAAGGAAAGATCGGAAGTTTTGCGCCCTCCCGACCAAAGACACTCGGACCGGAGAGCGAGATCGAACGTGGATTAGAGTACACATGGAAGGCATTGATGAGGTAGTGGCGCACACTTCCTTATTCAAGATCGGAGAGACGTATGGCAAGCTACTCGGCGACACCGTTGAACGAATTCAAGAGTGGATTGCTGAGGATGCGTCAACACGAATGGTTCTCGCAGAGCTAAGCAACGACAGATGATCATGACAATATAGAGACGAAGCTGTTTGTATAGATTACCAGGACAAACCCAGAACAAAGATATTTCCTGAATACAGGACACGACGTAGCGTCCTCATCATCATGTCGAACCGCAAGGCTGTCCAAGTGTCCGAGTCGTAAGGAACTTGAAATCACAAGCCAAGAATTTATATTGGAGAATCCCCCGCAGCCACTTTTGTAGCGCATTTTTTGCTGAGATTCATGACTCAATCGGTTGATAAACTCAACATCTCTCATTAACTTTTACAGAGGTCGAGAAAAGTCGTCTCTTTTATCCCACCTGACGACTTTCCATCCGCCGCCAGCAACCATGGAATCCTCCCTGCCCACCCACGCCAAGGACAACCCCAATGTCTCCGCCGAAGGAGCACCGTCCAAGAATGCGTTGAAGAAGGCGCAAAAAGAGGCTGAGAAGGCCGCGAAAAAGGCGGCAGCGAAGAAGGCGGATGAAGAGAAGAGAGCGGCTCAACAAGCGCAAGCTGCGGAGGACACGGCCAAAGACAAGTACGGCGAACTACCCAAGGACGAGGCGCCAGTGGAGATTACACATTTGAAAAAGCTCGGGGAGGAACATGTCGACAAAGAGGTGACAGTGATTACGCGGATTCACAACAGTCGAAGTCAGAGCGCAAAGTTGGCCTTCTTGATGCTCCGGCAGCAGGGCAAGACGATCCAGGCCGTGGTGGCAGCCACCAGCGAAGCGGTGTCGAGGCAGATGGTCAAGTGGTCGGTGTCACTCAACGTGAACTCGTTCGTGAGAGTGACGGGTGTGGTCAAAAAGCCAGACCCTCCGGTTGCATCGGCCTCGATCAGCAACCTGGAACTCCATGTCCAGAAAATCTACCTTGTCGCCCGGGCCGCCGAGATGCTTCCGATGCAGGTCAAGGATGCAGAACGTCCACCGCCTGCGACCGCCGAGGAGGGGCAAGTCGATGCCGAGGGAGCTCCTATCGTGACTTTGAAGACTCGGCTGGACAACCGCGTCATTGATTTGCAAACCGAGTGTAACCAGGCCATCTTCACCATTTCGAGCGCTGTGGAGGGGCTCTTTGCCGAATACATGAGGAAGAACGGTTCACGACAATTCAACACACCCAAGCTGTTGGGCGCGGCGACCGAGGGCGGAAGTGGTGTCTTTACGGTGAACAACTACTTTGGCAAGAATGGATTTTTGGCCCAGAGCCCGCAGCTGCACAAGCAGATGCTCATTGCGGGTGACTGCGAAAGTGTGTTTGAGATCGGCCCTGTGTTCCGTGCTGAGAACAGCAACACTCACCGACATTTATGTGAAGTACGTTAACCAAAAACTATGTTCGGAGAGATAACCTGACTGACGTTCCGATAGTTTACTGGACTCGATTTCGAGATGGTCTTCGACCACCACTACCATGAAGTCCTCGAGTTTGCGGAAAAACTGATCGTGTTCATTGTTCAAGAGTTGCAGGCGCGATACAAGGACGAGATTGCCGTGGTGCAGAAATACTTCCCCCGGGCTGGTGATTTCCGGATCAAGGACGGCAAAGCGCTGCGGCTGAAGTACTTTGACGGTATCAAGATACTGCGCGACGCCGGCGTTGACACCACCGAACAGGACAACTATGTGACAGATTTGTCAACCGCACAAGAGAAGAAATTAGGACAGTTGATTCGTGAGAAGTACGACACGGATTTCTACGTTCTCGACGAATTCCCCATGGTGGTACGGCCCTTCTACACCAAGCAGCATCCCACCGACCCGAAACTGTCCAACTCGTACGATTTCTTCATGCGAGGCGAGGAAATCATGTCTGGAGCTCAACGTATCAACGATGCCGACGAGCTGGAAGCCGCCATGAGAAGCAAAGGCCTCGACCCGAATGCCGAAGGGTTCCAGGACTACGTCAATGCCTTCCGACAAGGCTGTCGACCGCACGCAGGCGGTGGCTTGGGTCTGAACCGCATTGTCATGTTTTTTTTGGGCTTGGACAATGTCAGACAAGCGACGCCGTTCCCTCGTGATCCTCAGAGATTGCGGCCTTGAAGAGCAATGCATCTTAGACACGTGTCATACGGCATGGATTCAAATGACGATAGAAAAGATACAAAATTGACCAAAGACTCCAATGAGATTTCCGTGGGTACAGTACCATTGCATAAGCGATCGTTAGGTTAGCTTATCTCATCCGCCCACTGCACAAATCTACTCTTTTGCCGCATTTGCAACCGGAGCCGAGTCCTGTAATGATCACGCCGTTAGATAGGGGTCCGTCCGAGTCGTAGTTGCACGAATACGGATATCAAGTCGTCCACTGTGGAGCTACTAGTCATTACTCACCAAGTAAACCTGGTAAAAAGACATCTTCAGCGATCCTTGATGCTCGACAAATTTCGCCCTCCCGGCCCAGTCGACCGTCACTTCCTTTCCATTCTTGAGACCGTAGTCGACACTCCCATAAACCATGACCTCGTGACTGTCCTTGCCGAACGGGAAGATCTTCTCGAGCTTGTGTTTTCGGGTTTTGACGGGTCCCGTCCACAGTGCTTTGCGTATGGCCAGAATGTCATCGGACCCACGGGCTTTCTTGGTGCCCATGATAAAGTCTGCGTCGGGAGTCAAGGACGAGACATACTCGTCGTGAGCCGTGGGGTTGTCGGATACGGCGTAGAAGTTCTCGAAAAAGGACACAACCCGCGGATCGACCTCGATGGTCGATGGGGTTTGGCCTTTGTAAGTTGACATCTTGTACAGTAAGTCCTGGTTTCCGGAATGAAAAATGGCAAAAAACCACAGAGAAGATTGTTCGGAAGTGAGCAGGAAAGCTGTCCAAAATGCCTACCGGTTTCCTAGGTAGGTATCTGGTATATATACCTAACTGCTGGTCGTCCTTTCACATTTGAAACTGTGCGGGGCAACCGAGGAGCCGATTGGGCAAAGTGGGTATATCGGATGATGCACTCACTACTAGTAGCAGGGGCAAGGCTGAAGAACACAAGGCTCAGAAGGCTCCCTTGAACAGGAAGACTAGATCCCCACGCCAACAGAGATAGGAAGAGGACGGCGAGATAGGGTTGAACAAGAGACGAGGAAGGTTCCAATGTTGTCTGTCTACAAAGCTTTCGCAGAACCGGTGCAAGTCCGTTTTCCATGCCCAAACTTACTCGGTACATCTATTTAGCGAAGCAGACGACAACCAATACACCGGCATCTCTGCACTATCCGGGCATTTCATAGAACGTCCTCTTGTTGCCCGGCACACTGTAGCCACCATCCTGTGTGACTCGCGAAGGCGACAAACGAGGAACTGGGCTTCCCTCAACCTCTGTGCTCTGGGGACGTCGAAAGTCTTGGTACCGTGGTGAAGGCGACCCCTTTATGCTTTCATCCGCCGGCAGCTCTGACTTGTGACCAGACCACGTAGAGCTTCTGAGATCAGCGCTCGTGGATGGATCATGTGGCTGTGCGCTTGTCACGTCGATCATGGGAGGACCCGACCGCTCTTTCACTTTCCGCTGTCTTATTTTCTTGATCAAAAGCCAACCAAAAAGCAACAAAACAAGCACGCCGCCAGCCGAACCCAACGCTATACCAGCTTTTTGACCCGTGTCCAATCCCGGGGGTCTCGTCGGAGTCGCTGGCTCGGTTGGAGTCACAGGAGCGACGGTGCTGGAGTCAATGGCTGATGGGGAAGTTGCAGAGGCTGTCGGGCTGGCGGAGGAAGTGGACGTAGGTGATAGTGACGTGGTAACACTGCTGGTACCGTCGGTCGTCGTCGAAGCTGCAGTTGAGGACATGCTGCTGGCCAGGGAGTGCTCTGACTCGTACGCTGCTACGTCAGACCAGTGTACGGTTTGACCCTGTGTTGCTGGCAGAGACATAATGTTATCAAGTACCGAAGCGTCGGTAAACGCGACTGTCCTCGAGGTTGAAGGACACCAGCAGGGCGCAGGAACCGAAACTGCATCTCCCCGGTCGTCACAAGCGACCCATTCGTTCGAGGTTCCGTTACAGTAGACCAAGCCCGCCCACGGATGTCCTGCATACCATGAGTATTTCGCAACAGACAAGATGACTATACGGTACCTGCGAAGTCGCCCTTGTCTGGACATTTCGGGTCTTCGTAATAGGGGTCGGTGCAGCCTGCTATGTATGTGACGCCGTCTAACAAGATCAGTGAGAGAACCGAAAGGGGGATCAAGTATGCATACATTGTCCATTGTAGCAAGCGTTGGACGACAGACACACGTCCCCACTTTCGCAACATGCCTTGTTCCCAAGTGCTTCGTTCCCGCAGGGGATATATCTTGACGTGGTTTCCTCTCCAAACGCATAGTAGCAAGTGCCATTGGAAATGTCCGGGTCGTATTCTGCCATGGTTTGCGAGAAGATAGCTTGCGGTAGAAGGAAAAGAAAAGTCGTATACAGGACCAAGGGGACAAACATTGTGAAGGCGAGTCGAGGGAATTGTGTAACAACGTAAACCCGGGGTAGAAGGCCACCGCAGCGAAGTGGCTGCGTCCGCAGTTTCTGGGGGCACCGTCGCTCTCGGACCTGAAGGTCTTGGACATCCGGGGAAAGGTTTTGCTCGAAGTACTACTAGTAGCAGCAGACAGAAGGAGGCCTTAGCCAGGGCAGCTCACGTCAAGATAGAATTGAGCGGGAGCTTGTTGCGGTCGGTCGACGGCAGATGGTGGTTTGTGATGGTTTGTCGTAGCCTGCGTCCGGGCACCAGTAAGGCTGAAAGAGGGTGCAAGGGTGCCATTCGAGTTGCACAAGCGAGATTGGGATTGAATAAGGCCAGCATTCACTTTTCTGTCTCAGTTTAGCCGGTCGTCTTTCATCAGCCTGACTCGTCCTTCCATCTTGGGCGCAGCTGCAACAGATCGCGCTGGCCGTACATCTCGCCCACGACCGTGATGATCATATCCACCGTCACTTTAATCAATCTGTCTCGGGCCGATTCCTCAAGTTCAACGTCTGCAACCATCTCAACTCCGGCTGATCGCGCCTCCTGCTCGCCTACAGACTCCCGCCCCTCTTGTACATCCCCCACATCCTGACCAGGATCTTGCTGCTCGACCGGCTGCCCTTGGCTTGATACCTCACTATCCTCGTCGTCATCCGATGTTATGCCATTGATCCCTGCCATCCCCTTTTGGTGCACTTTGACGGCCTCTTGGGCGAGCTGTCTGAGCTCGCCAATGTCCTCGCTCGACAATTCCCCACGATCGGGACATCTTCCCAGTACTGCCCAGGTCCATGCACCAATACGCCTAATGACACCCTCATTCTTGTGCTGGAGGAACACAGACAGCCTCCGCTGAAGCAGTTTTACCAGCTCCAAGACAGTACCAGAATCCATGCAAGCGATCTGAACAGGGTGAGGATCTTGTCTTACAATATGAGCCTCCCACTGCGTCCGGGCTTTTCTGGAACCTTGTGGTAACGAGATCAACTGCGATGGGGCAAGACTCTGAATCGCGGACAGTGGAGGCACACAGCGCATGGTAGCCTGCACGAGCCTGAATTGCGAGAGCAGAGTGTCGTAATACCGCTGTTGGGCAGAGGATAATGGTTCGCTTTCGCCCGGAGATAGGCTTCCGATCGCCGTGTAAGCGCCATCGTGAAAGTAGCCCCCGTCTTCAGCGTGTAATAGCAATCCATTCCCATTCCTCGCCTCCCGTGTCTGCTCGGTTGGGGCCGTCAAGATGTAGGGAACAGCTTTCGCTTCGGATCTTCAAAGCATGGTTAGCTTGCGGACGCGACGTTCAGCCTCATTCCAACAGCGGCAACTTCGTCTTTAGCAAACTCACCGAACCATGCGCAGGTAGTCAATGCCGTCTGAGGCAGGACCGTAAAAGAGTTCGTCTCCATCACTCGTGAGCCCTGGAAACGCTCCGACCTGCCCTGTATATTCATTGACCCTTGGGGCCTCTTTGACCTCTTCTTCGTCCGAATCGTCCCATTCGTCCTGTGCATCATCCTGTGACGGCGGAGAGTTGGGGTCCGAAGGGCTGTCAGGCTCGGGCGACGAGGTGTTGCGCCGTTTGCGGGACATGTCAGCCGTGCTGCAACCCGTTCACTGCGATGCGGCTCTGCATATCGCAGGGAAAGGAAGGCTGCCTCTTCGTTCTCGAGGTCCGGTGGTCCAGTGCACAAGTCGAAAGCGGTGTTCAATGGATGTCAGATTCTCGTATACTAGTAATTTGGGGACACTGCATTGGCATTTCTCGGGTCGGAAGCGGGCATACGGCGGGTCAAATGAACGGATCTGCAGGACTCGACGCTCAAGTTCAAGTTGTCACGGCTGCTTCGCGCGCCAGGTATTTATTGATTACTAGTAGTATTTGAATGATGATGTTGCTTGATGTCAATAGACACATCCGAGTCTGAGTTGGCGAAACCAAGAACGTGTGATAAGTGTGGTGTCGAAACAATACGAGGTCAAGGATTTGGCAACTCCACCACGACATCAGGCAAGTCTCGAATATCGACGACACTCGAAGGAAGTGTTTCTTGTTCGACTTCTTGGAGCAGGTCCACGACCCTGATTGCGTCTACCCTCAGCCTTCCAGCCTGAAACGCAACCATTACAATCTCACTTTCGTGACATTGACCTGGCCCCAACGGTCCGATCCTAAGCTCAACCGTGAGCGCCATCAAATCCGTTTCTGGGGGAATGACGCTCGAATGATGCATTGCATACACCACATTTTCGTCCACAATGGCCTGCGCGATGTCCTCATCTTCGCCGAGTTTGGTGTGTCGACGCTCGCTGGGATGAAAGGAGGCAGTTGATGATTTTGGCGCGTGTCTTCTGGCAAAGAATTGTGCTGGGCTGGCTTGTCGATGGATCCGTGGCAACGGAATGATTGCAATTTTAGCGGTCTCTGGCGAGTTGTTCATCACAAGGATCTTCCAGCTGAATGCATGCCCAACCTGGACAGGGCCATCGGCCGCCGTAAACGCAATTGATAGACCATTTCTCACACCTATATCATGGATTCGAGATGGGAGAGCGGCGGTGCTAGGCATCATCGCCGACGACAACTTCCGGCCATTGACTGGAAGGCCCGGGGGACGGTTGGCTCTCTGAATGGGTTGCGATGGGGGTCCAAATGCCGGATTGAGTGCCTGCGTGAAATCGACATGCGTAGTCCAATCCATGATCACCACTGATTTGCAATGTGAGCTGAGATTGATATCCACCCGCATCTCGACGGAAAGGTCGTCAATATTGGTACTGGCCACGCCGCCTCCAACCGACATACTGGCATCCGCATCGTGATAGAGCCTGTATATGAAAGTAATACAGTCTCCGGACCGGCACGTCATCGGTAGCAAGCTTGACGTCAAAGACTCAACACGTCCATGCCGTAAGCTGAGCTCGACATGTTCAATAGTAGCCTCCACGGCGATAAAGGGGATGATCTCAATGTCCAACAAGGCCAGGTTGATAACCGAGGTCGACAAGCTGCTTGACTTGCTGTAGTGAATTCGTGCAATCACCGCAGGGACAATCCGATGTCGCCGTGAGGGAACCTGAGGAATGTGAAATCGTGGTTTGGTCGATGGCGCTATAGGCATCACACGCTCCAACCGAGAAGCCGGAAGATAAGGGGGGGCGCGTTCAAGATTGGGAATAAGACGCATAGGTTCAAGGACGTTGGAATCGAGCGGCTGAAAAGGGAGCATATCTGCATTCTGGACGTCCTGGGCTTCGTGTACAGCGGCAACGGCGGCGGATGGAATGAAGACAACGCTTGTCTGAGCACCGCGAAGTTTGGGTCGGTTGATGATCACCTCAACCTCCCAGACCATGGTCAATGATTCGGCATTTTCGTCCGACTGAGTTGCAAGGACCATAGGTTCATTCTTCTGTATGCCGTCGATTGAGAACACGAGTTCTTTTGGCACCGGAGTTTGCACATCTGGGCCCCTGCCCGATGAGTCGTCGATGGCCCAAACATCCAGCCTGCATGAGAGCCGCGACAGATATGACTTCAAGGTGGCTTCAGCGCAGGCGGGTACACGAAGAACCACGAACGTTTTCAATCGTTCATCTGATCTGGAAATGAGTAAGAGAACAACATCCCAGGGCTTATATCAATGCGACCATACCGATGAACAGAATGTCTCGTTCTTCGATAGCAAGAAGCCTTCCAAAATCTTTTGACACGCCTACAGACCGTTCCAACAGGGCAGAAGACTCGGTCACTGTGTCCGCGGGAATAAGCACGTCCAACAACGACGCCTTCAAGAATTCCGAGTCCATGGAGGCGTCGTGACAAGTAGCATGCTTGAAGTCAAAAGGCAGTCGGCTAAGCCCAGCAATAAGCGCATGTTACAGATTGTCAATCGTCCATCGTTGGTGCGGGACACCTATGTTGCTCATTTCTAGAACGAGGTGCCTCGAGATTGATGTTGGAGGCGGCACACTGCAGGGTCATCCTACTAGCAGCAGATACGCACTAGCAATGCTAATCCTGTTAGCCCGTCAAACAACCGACCGCTAACCACGACTAGTCGCCCTACTAGTACTAGGTACTCAAGCCGTGCTAACTCCACGTCTTTTTCTGAACCTGCGTACAAGACGAGATCCGTTCCTGGTGGTGCTTCTCAACAAGCACCATCATATCGTGCATAGATCTGTTTCCAACGGTCGCTTACCGCCAAACCAGGGGACTGGACTCGTATCACTGCATTCCAAATTCCACATTACCTACATCTGATCGCCGCGCGTCGAGTTCACGTCAGCCTCTTCAGAGATGAACGGCCTGCCGCCCACCCCAGGGCAATGGCAGGAAGCCCGCGCCCCCGATGGGCGCACTTACTATTACAATACAGTCACCAAAGCGACACAATGGACAAAACCTACGGAGCTCATGACTCCTCTGGAAAAAGCGCTCGCTGCACAACCTTGGAAGGAGTACACTACACCAGATGGCCGAAAATACTATGCAAACTCTGAGACCAAGCAAACGGTATGGGACATGCCTGCTCAGTATCGCGAAGCTCTCAACTCTGTACAATCACCCCCGAAACCGACGCAACAGCCGCCTGCCTTTGTGGCCGGCGGCAGTACTGCTCTCTCGACCATGTCTACCCCTCGTGACCGTGAGAACAGCAACACTCCTTTCGATTCCAAGCCTAGGGGCGATTTCAGCTCTTCCAGCGGCCTGTCTCTCCCGCCTATTGCCAAGGAAGTGATACCGGATTACTCAAGTTTCGAAGAGGCGGAGGCTGCGTTTATGAAACTGCTCCGCCGGGCAAACGTTCAGCCTGATTGGACTTGGGAGCAGACGATGAAGGCTACGATCAAGGATCCGCAATACAGAGCGCTGAAAGACCCGAAGGACAGAAAGGCGGCTTTTGAGAAATATGCGGTCGAGGTTCGCCAGCAGGAACGGGAGAAGGCCAAAGAAAGACTGGCTAAGCTACGCACAGATTTTGGCAACATGCTGAGGACTCACCCTGAAATCAAACACTACAGTCGATGGAAGACCATCAGGCCTATCATTGAGCACGAGACCGTCTTTCGGTCCACGGACAATGAGGATGAACGTAAGCAACTGTTTGAAGAGTATATTGTCGAACTCAAGAAACAGCACATCGAGCAGGAGGCTGCCGCTCGCAAATCTGCCTTGGACGATTTGGCGAATATTCTGAAAGCGCTTGATTTGGAGCCTTACACTCGATGGTCACAGGCTCAGGAGATCATCCAGGCCAACGAGCGAATTCAGAGCGATGAGAAATTCCAGCTTCTGAGTAAGTCCGACGTTCTTACGGCTTTTGAGAATCATATCAAGTCTCTTGAGCGGACCTTCAATGATGCACGCCAGCAGCAGAAAGCCAGCAAGTTTAGACGCGAGCGACAAAACCGCGACCGGTTTCTGGAACTCCTGCAAGAACTGCGAAGTCGGGGAAAGATCAAGGCAGGGTCCAAATGGATGACCATCTTTCCCGAGATCGAGAACGATCCCAGGTATGTTGCCATGCTGGGTCAATCCGGGTCTACACCGCTGGACTTATTTTGGGATATGGTCGAGGAGGAGGAACGGGCACTTCGTGGGCGACGAAACGATGTCTATGATGTCTTGGAGGTAGGTTGCTGGCTCTTCATGCTGCACAACATGTATGCTAACGGCTTACAGGACAAACGATATGAGGTTACCCCAAAGACCTCTTTTGATGAGTTCTACGATGTCATGCTTACTGATCGCCGAACAGCCAACATTGATCGTGATGCGCTCCAAGTCATCTTTCAACGGCTGCATGAAAAGGTGCTTCGGAGAAGTGAAGATGAAAAACATGCTGCGGACCGGCACCAACGCCGTGCCGTGGATGCGCTTCGCTCTCGCATCAAGCATCTGGATCCTCCCGTGCGCATTACTGACTCCTGGGAGGATGTCAAGGCTCGAGTGGAGAAGACAGACGAGTACCATGCTGTCGAGACTGATGACTTGCGTAAGGCCGCCTTTGACAAAGTGATCAAGCGCTTGAAGGAGAAAGAAGAAGACGCCGAAAAAGAGCGCGACCGCAGACATGCCCGACGCGGAGATGATCGTGATTATCGGAACGGTCATCGCGCAGAACCCAGGCATGGTCGGCTGTCCAAAAGCCCCGAACCGGATGTTTATGAGGCTGAACGGCGCCGAGCTATGGCGGCTCGCGAGAAGCAGTATCGTAAGGCTAGCTCGCTTGGTCTGAGCCCGCCGCCCTCGAGCCATCGAGACCGCGAAAGAAGAGATCGCGACGAGCGACATGGCCGCTTGGATCGCGACCGTTCTCCTCCTCCACGCCATATGACATCTTATGAGCGTGAACGCCGAGAACGAGAGGAAGAACGGGAACGCCTGTACCGAATGCGTGGTGACCCGCGTAGCAGTCGGGACGAACTCAACTATGGCGAGGAGTCGCGCAGCGTTGCAGGAAGCGAACGGCGTCGAAGAAGAGGCGATGGCAGTGACGCCGAAAGCGTGGAAAGTGGCCGCCGCAGCGCGAAGCGATCTCGTCGCGACCGTCGGGGGAGTTCGCGGGACAAGCGCAAGAGCAAGACGCCTGAGCCTGCGCCTGAGCCCGCGCCGGAAAAGCAGGAGGCGCCAGTGACGGAACCCGCCGGAGTCCATTCGGGGAGCGAGGAGGGTGAGATAGAGGAGGATTGAGATCAGCGCTGCAGAGGCCGTGTTGCGCAACTCTCCAGGTCAGTCTTTGTTGGCGCTTGATCCTTTCAACACCCACACTGCTGTTTATTCTGTTGCCCAGGTTGAGCGACTGTAGGCAGGAAATGTTGGTCAGATTGCACTCCCACAAAAACACAAATGTGCTTGCACTTCTTAAGCCTGTCAGGGATGATCCCCAGATGTCGTCCATCGGTATGTAGCTCCCGTGTTCTGTCTAATCTAATCCACCTTGCAGTTTCTCCGAATGGAGTTTTCAAAATTATATTTGTTCCATCTAGGTGCGTGTTCCAATGTCTTGTCCCGTGCGCCTTCGTCGTAGGATGCGCAACCCAGTCCACTGCTGAAGTTGTTTTACTCCGTGTCACATTTGTAATCTCTATCGCTGTAAGACGGGCTGGGCGTTTACGTTGAAAACCAACAAGATAGACGCGAACTAAAACACAATAGAGCATGCAATATTTGTGACTCCCCAAGTCCACACATTCATTGTAGGGCGCCAATGGCTTCAGAGCTTGAGTGCTGGAACGCCTGGCTGCTTTTAAGTCTACATACATGAAAGTTCCACCCACTGCCTGAACCGGGACAGTCTCGTTGACGTCGCCAGGGTAGTAGCTTTCAATCACAACTCCATTGCGTCCCCTGCATGGGAAGACAGGTTCAACCTGGACTGGTTGGCCGGCAACTCGCCTTCGTCCTCACTCTCCTCATCCAGCTCAAAATCAAAGTCCCCACGTTCAATCCTGCTGCATCTATCGAGCAGCTGCTGGTATTCCTTGCGCAAGTCCTCCAAAGTGATGATGATGCGGCGTCTCTTGCCTGAGGTGCCTTGACCACTGTCGCCACCATTTCGTTCTTCTTGAACTGGACGGGTCTTTCCTTCGTCCGCTTCTGCAAGGATGTACGCCTCTTCAGGAGAGACACAGGCCATGACATTAATCAATGCCAAAAGGGCATGTCGCAAAGCCGTAGCCTGCGGATCATGTCTAGCTCTCGCATGCTTCCGAGTCATCCTTAGTCGATCGTACAGCACAGCAACTGCACCGCGGTAGTCCTTCTGCGCGAGTCGTATCGCGTACATAACGCTCAAGTAGTCGGATGCACTATCGTCGGCGGGCCAAGTCGAGGATAGCACACTGCCGGGAATGCTTTTCTTTTCCAGCGAGACTAGGGACTGGTCTAGGTGGCGGGCAAGCTGGGGATGCATGGCCCATGGCAGAGATATCAGAGTCTCCACTGCGTCTCTGGGTCCAAGTATGGAGCGATCCGAGTTCAGGAGTGCAGTCACGAGTGAAGAGACACACGATCGCTGCAGTGCGGCGTCGGGAAGTTGGGCCAAGGCGTCGTATGCACGGGTAAACCTCGACAGTTTGAGTTCTGCCTGGAATAATCGGGACAAAACCTGTGCACGGAAACCGGGCGAAGGTTCTTTTTGGCCGGGTTGCATCGCTTTGAGTGTGTGATGAGCAAAGTATGCCGCTTGGGTGTATGCCGAAGTGCATTCGAACAGGCTGGCAACATGATACAGATACGAAGGGAGGCCATTGTTGAAACACTCCGCCTCAACCATTGAGAGCAAGCCTGCCGACAGAGCAACCAGGTTCCCGACAGCTTTACCGCAAGCCAGACCAAACGAAGCCCTTCGAAAATGTCCGGTTGCCATGTCGTACTCTCCTTTGGCGATCGCAAGCCGTCCTTTGACATAACTCGACCAGGGCGTGGAGGGCTGGAACCGCAAGAAATCTGTGGCAAAATCGTATTGGCGCTGTGCCAACAGATCACATTGGAGGTAAATGGAGCCATCTTCGACGGCAATGGTATCTCGTCCGGATGCCCAGTCATCGATTTCTGACAACTGATCCGTGATCACATACATCAAGGGTCTCTCAACGGCCGGCTGTGGCCGGACCGCCTTGCTTAAAGTGTCCTCGAAGATTGTCACCAGTCTGGTCTCTTCGGTTCCTGCCGTAGAGGAACGGCGAGACGCATTGGGACGGTTATCAACCCCCATGATCTCTAGAGGGACGAGGCGCGTGTGTGCCGCCAGCCAAAGGTTTCTTTCGCAGAGTTTGAGCAATGGCAGCAACTGTTGGAACAGTTCCGAAGCATTAAACAAGTTTTGCTCCCCGTCTTCTGGAATAAGCTCATTGTCCGCAAAGATGGTCAGTGCTAGTAAATCCATGAGCAGTTCTCGTTGTGATGACATAGTGTCGAGTACACCGGCCGACAGTAAGAGGTTTCCGAATAGTGTATTTCGCAGAGAACTCTTCGGTCTCTTGGTTCTTGAACTAAGGAGTTCAAGAATCCCCAAGAACAGCTCATTGTCCAGTGATTGAAGCTCTCCGAGGTCAGAAAGATCCTGTTCAAGCTGCTCGTAAGCTTCACTGCTGATGGATTCCCCAAATGCGATGCTATTGTAGATCCTGGTAATCCTAGCCGGTGTGACATACTCCGCATCGACAGACAATTCCTCCTCGATAGCGACTGTAAAGTCCCGCGAGAGCTCGGCGCTGAAAGACTGTCTGAATCTTCTGGATGCAGTCAAAAGTTTAGCCATGTCGGTGAATCTTTCTCCATCCTCAGTGCTGACTTTGCGGTGTGTCCATATCCTGGCAGCAACAGTTTCCAGATCCTGGATTTCTTCCGGTTTGTTCTGTTGTAGAAGTTCAATCTTGCTGCATTCTCTGACCGCGCAGCACTTGTCTGCCATCGTGATCCAGATCATGTCGCTGAATGCATCGTGCGCTAAAGCCAAGGGCGCGTTGCGACTCTCATTGAGATTTTCCGCAATCCTATACAGATTTCGCCAATGGAAATCTGTATCGGCAGCGAACCGGTCGTAATCAAACTCCGACTCTTCATATTTGCGTAGTGACACTCCGGCGGCAATGACAGTGCACATTCGTTGCCGTAAAGATGCCTCTTTTTGCGAAGAGGTCAGCTTCACAGCCGTAGCTTCAGTGAAGATTGCCAGAGCCGTTTCCAGCGTGCTTTCGGAATACCGCTCAGGATAGAAGAAGAACTCCAACCACTTGGAGGCTGGATCGTCAGTGTCAGCCTTGACAAACTCGGGGGCGAGAGCCTTGGAAGATGCTTTTGGATTGCATATAACCCAGTTGGATGCCCACGACGATTCAAGATCGCCGAATTCCAAGCGACAATTGTACAATTGATGAAAGTTGTGATTCCTCCACAACACCCAAAGTCCGGCCGGTTTGAGGTCGCTTGGTGGATGAAGCTTGAATCCTACCATTGACCAGACCGTATTTCCTGAGGGATCTGGATCAGGAGCGCACATTCTAAAGCCCGGGTACTTGTCCTCAAGAACAATGGAATCTGTTGACCCGCCTTTGACCTCCCACACTTTGAATTGGCCGCCCTCATGAGGCGTGTAAGTCATAATGAAGGGGTGCCTCTCATTGGGAAGCTTGAAGACTTGAATATGAGCTGCTTCTGCAGGGTTCAAGCGTGTTCTGTCATTTGGATCTCGTTCGATGCCGAGCAAATCTTTCGTCGCCACCACATTTCCGTTGTACAAATCCCATGCTCTTAGGGTATGGTTCAAGCAGATTGTGAACAGGAATTTGCCGTCAGGAGACGTGGCCATTGCCTGTGCTGTTCGGGCGTCGACCTGGTGGGATCCATATTCGATTGTATGCAGACCGCGGCGACTGACTATGCCACGGAGCGAAGCTCCCCAAGATCTGTCATCGTAGTTGTCCTGCTTCCACGCACCATTCACAGAGCGCCTGCTTATTTTCTGTAATTTGCCACTGGTGAAGGTCAGGAAGACCTCCAGAGGGCTACTGGCCCACAGTTGATGAACGGTCTCAATTCCCAGCGTCGAAGTGTCGACAGGGCGACACCAGCGATCGGTGCTTTCATCTCTCAGCAGTGTCGGGTCACGGAAAGCCGCAGTGGGTAGTTGTAGATTCAGGAGCTCGTTCTTGTCCGTGCATACAAAGACATGTAGTTCATCACCCTGGTCAAGATCTGCGAAACACACTCCTCTGGGAAGGATCTGGTTGTGGAAGTCGAAACGCAGCGTAAAGTATGCTTCTTTCACGTCGTTCTCACTCCGGGCGTAATCTGCGCACCGAACCTCCAGAACTCTCCCATTGTGTAGAACACGCCAATAGAATGTTCGGGGGTACGACTTGCACTGGCGACAGTAGATCGAGCTCTGTGAGGCTAGGACGTTCGCAGTAAAAGTGTCCTCGTCCTTGATAGAATTCTTGCCGTTGGTCGTTCGGGCACTGGAGATTCTGGATCGAGCAGATGAGGCCTCGGCTCTGGGCACTGAGAAGTCGACAACAGATGAGGTTGTCGCAGGCCTCAAGGAGAAGGCCGTCTCGGTGTAGAGGTTGAGCATGGCTGCGGTAACTTTTCCGGTCCCATTTGGGTTGAAGGCCGTCAAGGAAGATGAGACGGGAGGCACATTGTTCGAGAGGAAAACGTTATGGCCGAGCAATGCGCCGTCTCAGCAAAAGACGATACCAACGAAGTGCAAAAGTCCAAAAGTAATGCGGTGCTGGTACGCGGCGAGGATTCACGACGCGACATGCAAACCGAGTCCGTCGCAGTCAACAAACCCGCCAAGACTTTGTATACAACTTCAAGTCAGACTTGAATGGTGAAAGTTGCAGAGATTCAACTTTGGCCTTCACACTTACGGGCGTCTTCGGCTGCCGGCTAAACAGCGAGATAATCTAGGCTGCAAATCAACTGGGACAACAGTACGTTCATAATGTCATATCATTCCACAACTGTATCGTCCCTCTAACGCCAATCGCAAATCTATGCGCCAATGCTGCAGTGATACAAAGTTGTCCTCTCCTCTACCACCAGTCGCCCTGTTCTTTCATGGCCGCCGCAACCTTGCTGAACCCGGCAATGTTGCTGCCGGCAACCAAGCTTGGGAGTTCTCCTTCGCCAGGTGTCACGTAGGTCAGTGCTGTCTGAAGACCGCTATTGAAGCAGTTCTTCATGATGTCCTTCAGTCGGTTGTCGACTTCCTCCGACGTCCACTGGACGCGGGACGAGTTCTGAGCCATTTCGAGCCCGGACACTGCCACACCACCAGCATTGGCAGCCTTGCCCGGAGCATACCAGATGGCCTTGTCCTTGTTGTTCCTCCGGTGGTTCTCAAACACCTCGATTGCCTCTAGCGTAGATCCCATGTTGCTACCTTCAGCAATGAATCTGCAGCCAGCCTTGATCAGACCTTCGGCTTCCTCGCCAGAGACTTCGTTCTGGGTAGCGGAGGGCAGCGCAATGTCGACAGCGCCAACTTGCAGCCAAGGGCGTTTGCCTTCCAGGTACTTGGCCTTGCTGTCGAATTCGGAAGTGCCTGCGAGTTCAGATAGTTGTTTTCGGTCCACCTTCAACTGGGCAATTTTGGCAATCAATTCGGCATCAATGCCCTGTTCCGTAGTGGCGATGATAGAACCCTTGCTATCACTGAGCGACAAGACAATACCGCCCAGCTCCAGAACTTTCAGAGCAGCATATTGTGCCACGTTTCCAGACCCAGAAATGGCGACTCGCTTTCCGGCGAAAGACTCCTTGCCGCCGGTGGCATAGTCGATCATGTGTCCAACATACTATATCAAGTCAGTATCAAGTAGACTAGACGTCTTTGCACGCGATTGCACTCACGTAAACGAGGCCGTAGCCAGTGGCCTCAGGCCGGATAAGAGAACCACCCCAGCTGCCTAATGCATTGTCAGTGTTCGCGGCCAATCTGTACGAGTAGTCGTTACTAACCTCCTTTCCCAGTCAAGACACCCTCCCAGAGTTTCGTCTGCTTCTTGTATTGCCCGAAGAGCCAGCCAATCTCTCTGCCGGACACACCAATATCACCGGCTACCGAGTATGTTAGATCTAGGAGAAAACGACGGGGAAAAAGTGCCAAATCGTACCTGGAACGTCCATATCGGCACCAATATGCTTGCCCAGCTCGCTCATGAAAGCACAGCAAAATCTCCGGATTTCGTTGTCTGACTTGCCCTTGGGGTCGAAATCGGACCCGCCTTTGCCACCGCCCATGTTGAGGCCAGTGAGAGCATTTTTGAAGATCTGCTCGAAGCCCAAAAACTTCAAGACAGACAGGTTAACTGTAGGGTGGAATCGGAGACCGCCCTTGTACGGGCCCAGAGCCGAGTTGAATTGCACGCGATACCCGCGGTTGACTTGCACCTGGTGGTTGTCGTCTTCCCACACAACGCGGAATTGAATGATCCGCTCGGGGATCGAGCAGATCTCTAAAGCTTTTCTGTATTCGGGGATCTTCTCAAACAGACTCGAGTTCTCCAGAGTCAAGACGAGCTCCTTGTAAGCCTGCTCGAACTCAGGCTCCGAAGGAAGGTGAGACATGGTGTAGAGAGTAGATGATCTAAGGGAGGCGACAAATCTATAGCACGCACTGACGAAAGCTGCGATGGGATGGCAGAAGTCTTTTTCACAGCATCAGTAGTACAGTGTATGATCTATCAAGGAGGAGAGGGAGAAACGAAACAATAATGTGGAAGAAGAAGAGTTTATATCAACCTGATTGCTTCTGCGGTGCCAGTCCAGTGGGAAGTCTTGACTAAGAGAGAGGCAAATTTTGAACGCCTTTAATACTACTTTCAACCATCCTCCATTTCCCCAGCGAGATCACCACCTCAGCCAGAGCAGCCTGACGACACCGGAGCAACCAGCTGCATGTGCCCCTTGCTAGAAGATGTGTCGGGCCGCGGGTGAAATCCAGAAATCCAGAGCTGTACCCACGAAACGACCACCTTTGCCTGCGTCGTTGATCAAGCTGTGACATACGACACCAGAACCGATTATAGATGAAAACAGAGGTACAACAACAACAACGACACATAATTGGTGCGATAAGGAACAAGCCCGTTGATAAAAGAATCCCGGAGCCCTGTCGCGTCGATTACAATTGCATGAATCCAACCGTCAACGCCAACCAGCAGTCGGAAAAAGAGTGGGAAACCGTCGTCTATCATGGCATGTCGAGCGTCAAGTTCGGCGCACCAGCCAACGCCTCGTCCACAATCCGATGTCGCTTGATCCACCAGACGAGAGCTTGTCTGTCGGGCTGGCCATCTGGGTGGAATGGTCGCCGACTCCGCGGTTCCCTAGCTTCGTCCTGCCCAGTTGCGTGGAGCTGACTCTGTGCCCTGGCCAGAGGCAAAGGCGTTTTCCGTTACCCACCTCGGGACCTTCAAAAGCAATCCGTGCCCCAGCTAAAACGATTCCATGACCAAGAGTTTCCTCTCCGTCCGCCGCCAGACAACCACCCAAATTGTCAGCATGTCTATCATGTCCGCGGAAGCGAGAATGGCCAAGATGGGATTTCCGCAGCGAAACGTAAAGATAATTCAGTCTCGCTTCGCTTGAAGGCTCGTCAATGGGTGACTACCTACTCGTTTGTCAAAAGTCATCCAAATACCTCTTGAAGAGGGCGGCACTGGCACGCTGGACTGGGCAATTGGACACGTGAAACTTGACCGCTGGCACACGGAACCGAGATACTACAATAATCTGTCCAGAGCCTCCGCCCTTCATCTCGAAATCCCTCAGTGCCACAACTAGTTCTCAGAGCTAGAGAATCGATATCGGAGAGCGAGGATTACCCGGGAATTAGCACAGACTCACACCTGAGCAAAGATCTCGTATGATCTGATCTGGCCCTACAGTACTAGTGATTTTGGACGTCGCGTCGGCTCGGGTTCTTACCACCACGTCTGTTCATATCATTCCCACCGTCGCGTTCAGTTCCGGCATTTCACGCCTCTCCGAAGCCACGCAGCGCAGCCTTGTCCTGCTGGCACATGCCACCATTGGTCTGATATCGACCGGAAGAAGAAGCCCCGTATCGCTATCCTGACCGTGAATGGTCCGGACCGTTGTCATGTCTGCAGCGCGACAAATACAACGACAGTAGCTCCCTAGGTATACAGTATCCTTCAAATTGACCCACAAACCGAAGCGTACATACAGTAAAATGAACAGTCCGCAACGGTTCAATATATCTGCTGTGCGCGGACAACCCGACCTTGCAGCTACCATTGACCTCTTCTACGCCTATGCAGGATCTCTCGGGTTCGATCTCGGGTTCCAGAACTTTGACGCCGAAATGGCCGCGATGCCGGGCAAGTATGCACCTCCCGAGGGGGAACTTCTTCTTGCTCGAGATGACAATGGTCGTCCCATCGGCTGTGTCGGCCTGCGCCCTCTCCCATCGACCAAAAATATTGACGACGACGGTACTAGTAGAGTATGCGAAATGAAGCGTCTCTACGTTTCGCCTTCGGGACGAGGCACGGGAGTGGGAAAGGCGTTAGCCTTGGGCATCATTGCGGCGGCGCGGAAACTCGGGTATTCCGAAATGCGCCTCGACACCCTTCCGAGCATGGTGGCCGCTCTCAACATGTACCGCTCACTTGGGTTCAAGGACATTGACCCTTATTACGAGACGCCCTTGGAAGGAACACATTTCCTTGCGCTACAGCTGAACACTGGCACCTCATAACATCTATTTCGTGGATCAAAAGCAAGCATATCTATACATAAACATTCCCAACTTGAACGTGACAGGATTGCTTTCCTTTCGCAAGGTAGTCGCGGCGGTCATTTCGAATGGGAGGGATGCTTCGTCTCCCACTGCCTGACCGCATTAAGTCCGGCCGTGATCTTCAATCCCAAACGCGCATCAAGCTCGTATTTGCCCCAGCTCTTAGCCTTGTCAAGATGAGTCTTGCATTGATGCACCAGTTCCGCATCTCGTGGCAACCCCCTGCCAGAAGAGGCCACTGGTTTGTCGGCATTGGCAGCGCCCAGGAAATCTGTACTATAAGCACTGTTGTAACCGGCCCTCTGCATCCAAAGATTCACCGCCATCTCGTGGTGTGCTGCCGGAATCATCCAGTCATCCTTGTGTTGGCCAGTGAAGTCGGAAGAGCTGCGATTGAGCATGTTTTTGCTGAGGACGTCTTTGGACTTTTCGTGTTGGCCCAGATTCCGCAAGATGACCGCCTTCAGGACCGCCAGAATAGCACGTTCGTCCGCATCCTCCTGCGACCAACGCCACGTATTTTCCGACCACGCAAGATTCTCCAGCGACTCCCGTAGCTGGCTTGCGTTCATTTTCTTGTATCCATTCCAGAAGAATATCATCTCCTCGAGCGGGCTGACCCCGACGGCATCGATGAAGCTACAATTCCATCGCGCTGCCCGCTCTTCCCATTTGGCGATCTTGCGTACCACAAACCCGTCGAACGGAAGTTGTCTGCCCATCATTTTCCTCTTACCAACTTTTGTGGGCGCGGTTCTGTAGTGCTCCTCGGCCAGCTTTGCATGCTTTTGCTTTTCTTCCTTGGGAAGCGTCTTATCGTAACGGTATGCGCTGAGGTGTGCCGAGGCAGCAATGTAGTAATAAAGCCCTCGTGACCACGCGTTGAGGTCTACGCAGGCAATAAAACTGTCCGCACATAATTGGTATCGGTGGGCATTCATGGCACTTAAGCTCTTTTCGAACATATGAAGCGCTTCTATTTGCTTAAGTTGACTTGCACTTGATACCGAAAGGATCTTGAGGGCAGAGTCGAGGTCTCTTTTGGCTGCTGCCATTCTGGCCTCTTCGATCAACCAAAGATGGCTTTTGGGGTATCTCTTTCGCACTTCAGCCAACAGAGCCTCGAGGCGAGCCACAGGATAACCTTCCACATCATCCGGCTTCAAAGGATCCGGGTCGGCAATGATGTCGCAGAACCCGACCAGCCCGTTGTACCAGCCGAACAAGACCAGACTGGCCATGCCGCCATTGATATTTGAGAACTTGCTGGCTTGCCACAGCATCCTGATTCCCCGTTCGCGATCGCCTCGAAAACCGATAATGGCCAGCAGTTTGCTGAAGGCTGGCGGGATGATGGAGATTAGCAGGGACAAAATCCCAGACATGAGGTTGGTACCCGAATGAATGAAGGCATCGAGCGAATTACTAAAGATTTCCGAGTCCGCGTCTTCGGTGAGCATTCCTAGAGTGCTGGGAGGAGGCGGTTTCAACACTCCTTCGGCCTGCAGCTGGCTCGAGCGGTGTTCCAGGTTCACCCTCTCAATCTTGCGGTCCAATTCAGACATGTCCGGTAGTTCTTCTTCTTCGGCCTCAACTTCGAGATGGCCGGTGTAAGTTTCGGTGACCTGGTTGTCCTCGTGAATAACATCAGCTTCGTAGAATTCTTCGTCAGAAGTACTCCCTGACAAATCCTCTGGGACTTCCGCCTTTCGCAATGCAGATGGCTGTGACGGTTGTGTCGGGTCCTTGGCGGCTATCTCCTGGGTTGGCCCGACTTTTCCTGTTGAAGCCTTTTCAGACGGAGGAGGATTCAAGCTCTCTGTGGATTGAGCCGCGGATGTAGGAATGCTCTGTGCCGCTCGCGTCTTCATGAATGCAATTTCCATCGAGACCAGATTCTCCAGAGTCATGTAAGCTTTCCTCAATTTGTAAAAACCTCTGATAGACTCCGTCAGACTCTCATTGAGCACGCCTACAACGGCAGACATGATTTGGGCTTCGGCTTGACACAGAGCGAACTCGGAACCTTTGTCATAGATGTTGGACACGAAGACACGAGGGTCATGCTGGGCTTTGTAGTAGTTGCTGGAGGCGCTCGATTCGGCCTCGGACAGCGTTTCCTGGGCCTCTTTCATGACTTCCTGTTCGAATCCCAAGGTCGCCTTCATGAAACTGAGCGTGCCTTTGGCTAATTTGTGGAAAGGTGACGTTCCATCCGCGAGACCCTGCTCTGCGCCCTTGATGTCATCGTTCAACACCAGCTCTACCGCTCGCAGTGCCGTCTCCAAATTTTGCGACTCTGCCAGAGAATCCAGGCTCTGCGTCGAGACATTGGCATATGATCGCCCTCGATCGAGCCATCTCCCGACCCTATGCATGGCGGACTGATAACAGCGATTGGGTCAACTGGCGGAAGTCGCTCGAGAACCCCCACAGAGATTCTGGTATCCCCGGCCGTAGCCACAAGATGACGACAGAGAAAATGAGGGAGCCTAAGCCGGAGTCTAGCAAGCCATGGCTGGAACGCCTGAGTGCCGAATATGAGAAGTAGACGGGACAAGTACTTCTTTAGCACAGATGGTGACACTGACGGGCGATCTTCGAGCTGAGACGCGATATTGAGCTTTATCAGAGGACCCTGAAGGAGTTCTGGCCTGGCTCGGTAGTGCAATAACGACTGGGCAGGGCGATATCCAGGGAGTCCGTCATTCAAGGGATGGTGATGATGATGGCTCTTATAGTGCAGGAGGTCCAGGGTCGTGCAAGGATGTTGGTTCAGGCACTCTACTAGTGATATACAATGATGCTCAGCTACATTGTCTCCTGGAAAGCGTGAAGAGCTGAATGGATGATGATGTATGACGGGATGCCTGGTCTAAGTTACGGATTCGCTGCCGCCCGCGGAGGCTTAATAATATTCCGACTCTGTGCATAAGGCTCAAGTTCGACTTCCAAGTTCAATTCATCGCTCGCTCTACACAATCCCGCTGCCTATCCTGTCGTTCCAGTACACCGTCGCATCAGTCTATACACCCGTCCAGAGCGCCTTGGTCAGTCACTTTCTAGTGAAGAACCTCCATTTCTCTACTTTCAGCCGCTAGTGGTGTTCTTCGTTCCCGCCAACTCGACTGTGACCACCAACTCCCTTGTTGCTCTTGACGCGGCCACTACAGCCTAGTCATCGATATCGCCAACCCTATCTGCATCAACGCTCCTCGACCCTCACAACCGCTTGGCAAGATGTCGTCTGGCTCCTCTAACACCCCCACGGCCAAGATGCAACCCACCCAGAAGAACGAGGTCGACCCTGCACAAGCCTCAAAGACGGCAACGAATCCACAACCTGCCCTGCTAGAAGAGGATGATGAGTTTGAAGACTTCCCCGTTGAAGGTATGGAGGCTATATACTCCTCGGTCTCGGCACATGGACGTCTGAACGTGCTAACGCCATCGACAGATTGGGCGCAAGAAGATACTGATGTGCCAGGGGGCACAACCCACCTTTGGGAGGAGAGCTGGGACGATGACGACCAGAACGAGGATTTCAGCAAACAGCTCAAGTATGTTTCATGTTCGCAATGCGGGCGCTATCCAAGAGAGCTGACATCCTGCCAGGGAAGAATTAAAGAAAGTCGAAGCTACTAAATAGACACGTGTGGGTTGTTTGGCTTGACATACTGCATTTCAATGGCGTCCTGGGTCAAAACAGAGCAGAAAGGCTACAAATAAGGCATTTCGTTTTTCTATCGTTCAATAGGCGTCTTATATACCGAGCCCCATTGACGTTCATGTGCACCATGCATCATCATCTGTTTGTGCTCGTGACCTACTTGCTGGACAAGGCAGTGACACCAGGCAGTTCCTTGCCTTCCAGCAATTCCAAGCTTGCACCGCCGCCAGTAGAAACATGGCTCAACTTGTCTTCCACTCCGTACTTGGCAGCAACGGTAGCCGTGTCTCCGCCGCCGATGATAACAATCTTTCCGTTTTGGGCCGCTGCCACCGCCGCGTCCAGGGTCTTCTTGGTGCCGTTGGCAAATTTGTCGAACTCGAAGACGCCCGGTGGTCCGTTCCACAGAATTGTCTGCGCCTCGTCGATGGCTTGCTTGTAGAGTTTGATGCTCTCTTCCCCACAGTCAAGACCCATCCAACCGTCGGGGATGCCCTCTTTGTCAGTTGCGTAACCTGTCTGTGCATCCTTGTCGAACTTGTCTGCGGTGATGTAGTCCACCGGCAAGATGATCTTCACGTTGTTCTTCTTAGCCTTTTCCACCAGCTCGGCACATTTCTGGCTGCCGGCCTCGTCGAACAGACTGTTGCCAATCTTAACTCCTTCGAGAGTCTTCTTGAATGTAAAAGCCATGCCACCGCAAATGATCAGGCTGTTGACCTTGTCGAGGAGGTTGTCGATCAGCTGGATCTTGTCCGAGACTTTGGCGCCACCGAGGATGGCAAGGAATGGTCTCTTGGGATTCTCGAGGGCTTGCGCAAAGTAGTCAAGTTCCTTCTTCATCAAAAAGCCGGACGCCTTCTGGGGCAGATCGACACCGACCATGGAGCTGTGCGCACGATGGGCAGTGCCAAAGGCGTCGTTGATGTAGACATCACCCAGTGCAGTCAGTCCGGCGCGGAACTTCGCAACAGCATCCTTGTCGGCCTTGACCTTCTTGCCATCGGCATCTTTGCTGCTTCCCTCTTCTTCGATGTGGAAACGCAGGTTCTCCAGAAGAATGACCTGGCCACCACTGGCACTGTTGACCGTTTTCTCGACCTCCGGTCCGACACAGTCCTCGGTGAAGATAACACTCTTGCCGAGCAGCTTCTCGAGCTCAGGAACCACAGGCTTCAAGCTGTATTTCGGGTTCTTCTGGCCGTTGGGGCGGCCGAGATGTGACATGAGGATGACGGCTTTGGCGCCATGTTCGATGGCATATTTGATGGTTGGCAGAGCACCGACTATTCTTTGGTTGTTGGTGACCTTCTTGTCGGCGTCGAGGGGAACGTTAAAATCGACCTAGATTCCGGTTAGTCTCGGAGACGAAAGGGGTGCTCCATGGAGGGGCATACATACTCGGATCAAGACACGCTTGTCCTTGAGGTCGACGTCGGTGATGGCGAGCTTGTTTGAGAGAGACATTCTGTAGGATCGGTGGTAGTGTGATAACCTAATACTGAGTGAGAGTTGGGAAAGAAGAAAATGCTCACTGGCACTGCTGTGTCGAGCTCTTCATAAGTAAAACGGAAACGAAAACATCACCCGATGATGGAGGGGTTGAACCGGGGCCAGGATTTGGTGGGGAGCAGCTGTGCAGCACTGCAGGTGCTACAGTTGTACTAGTCGTCATCCGGGCAGGCCAGCGCCAGCCTGCACCTCTGCTTCACCCACATGCCAGAGGGAAACTGCTCCCGACTCACCCCGTCGAACTGAAGTATCACTGTACACAGTAAACGTGTTGAACAGCACTTGTATTTCGATCTCACTGAAAACGCACTGAAATCAAAACTAAGGGGACCTTTGCGCTTTTGTTCTGATGGATATTTCTGTTCTCCCTCGAAGCGTACCTGCGTTGGCGGAAGGCAGTATGGGAGCACGCCGTAATAATTGTTGCCCAAATGCATCTGGGAACATCGGCAGCCCAAGTAAACCACAGGCTTGACCAGACTGACAAGTACTCGACGCTCTTTCTACGCGAATCGCATATTGCATGTACAACATTGTACAACTAGAATGTAGAATGTCGATGTTGCTAAGTTGACAGTCTCAAAGAGTGCACTGCGAAATGCAGCGATCCCGGACCCTCAATGGTTGGTGCGCCGGTTGCTGGTCCCCGTTACCTACTGCTGCCGCTAATTGTAGTATAGGCGCCCAGTAATAGTACAAACTGCGCCCGGACGGTCCACGAGGCGGCGCCTCGCCCAGGTTGACCCAGCCTCCATCTACCTAAAGTATCCTATATCCTTCTGTTCCTTGCGACAAGGCTCTTTCAGTTTCGATGAACAGTACAAAGTGACCTAGTTGACACCGACTGAGCCCACAGTTCTTGATATCGGTCTCGTAACTCTCTACAATCATCTCCAGAGTCAGCGGAGCCTTTCGACAACGGTCCCGCCGTATCTGTCCACGGTGTTGCCTGCGCCCCTAAATTTGCACTGCGTCACCGGCCTCACAAACGACTCCATTGATTGACCTCATCTGGCCGCCTTCGACCTCATCCTTCCTTCCTCCCCTTTTCCTTCCAAACAGCATGCTCGAGACAGCAAGGCGGAAATCTTTGGCGTGGCTCAACAGTCAATACATCTATGGACGAGTCGTATGTGAAGCATTGCCCACTAGCGAAATAGTTCTGAGCCAGCTTGTTGTTACTGTATCTCCAGCCTGTTGAAACCTCAGCACACTGACAGATATCATCTCCATACAGCCTCTGCTCCACGCCTTCATCCTATTCATCGAGTTAGCCATGGCGGCACGGCTAGTGGCCAAGTTCAACTCTTACTATGCACAAAAGCCGGTGTTGACCACGATGATCACGAATGCGGTATGTGAAACACCGCCACCCATGCTTTCCAACCCTTGGACGTGCGGTGGCTGATAACAAAGATGTAGGTCCTCGGAGGTGTCGCAGACACAGTCGCACAAACAATCACCGCGTTCCGAGCCCGACAAGCCATGCTCCCTGCCGACGCCGAATCGAATAATTCCTTAATCTCTTCGGGCGTTGAACTGGAAGACCTCAACGAGAAGCCGGCGAGATTATCCCCCGCCCTGTCTCCTCGACATCGCGGACCTCAACCCTTCGATTTCGAACGGCTGACTCGGTTCATGGCATACGGATTCCTGATGGCGCCGGTGCAATTCTTGTGGTTTGGCCGGCTCAACAAGTGGTTCCCCATCACACCAAAGAGTGGAACGATACCGGCGTTGAAGCGAGTGGCTTTTGATCAGATCTGCTTCGCGCCTTTTGGGCTCTCGGCTTTCTTCACTTTCATGACTGTCGCCGAAGGAGGGGGCAAAGAAGAGATTGTCCGCAAGTTTCAGGACGTCTACCTGCCTACGCTCAAGGCCAACTATATCCTCTGGCCAGCCGTTCAAATCATCAACTTCCGTCTCATGCCTTTGCAGTTCCAAATTCCTTTTGTGAGCACCGTGGGCATCGCATGGACAGCTTATCTCAGTCTGACGAACTCGAGTGAGGATGAGGTTTTGCAGCAGAGTTGATCATTTCAGTATAACGACGCCGCCGTCGTAGGTGCCGACGGCATTGCATCAGTGGAGTTGGGACGGGCTTGGGCATTTTGGGGTATACCACATTTGGCGTGACGGATTCAACAGGAGCACAAGTGGCTGGCTTCATGCAAGTTAGGACCGGTTCACAATTGAGCATTGACTATTCTTTCCACGCTCAAGAATCCTTGGTAACAATAGAGCGTATCTCCTACTTGAATCTTGGCCCAGAAGCATGTGAAAGCCGTCCGTGAATCGCGTAAACAGAAACCGTCCTTTCTAGTGTCTGATGAAAGTTTTGAATTCTGCATGTATGAAATTGCTATTTCCGGGTCATCCATCTACTGGGTTGTGTCTTTTTCACTTTTCCGCGAAACCTGCGCCGTTCACATACAGTAAGTAACCTATCGCTTCAAAAGCCACGGAGCCAGATGTATCTTTCCAGGGCCTGGTTGACTGGCTGACTGGCTATTCCTGCCAGTGTTACCGATCTTACAACCGCTCACCCTTCTCGGCCTTCATCTCACCATACTTCTTCAACCGGATGGCCTGGACCTTGATGAAGCCACCGGTCTCGGAAGGCTCGAAAGAACCGATCTCGTCCATGGAGCTTTCGCTCTCATCGTACAGCTTCTCGGTCTGGGAGCTGCGGCCCAAGATGATGCAGTTGCCCTTGTAGAGACGCATCCGGACTTGACCGTTGACGCTCTTCTGGGACTCGACGATGCTGGCCTGGAGGAATTCGCGCTCGGGCGAGAAGTAGAGGCCGTTGTAGAGGATCTTGCTCCAGTTGAAAGTAACAAATTGGTCACGGAGGGCGCGGACCTCACGGTCCAGCGTGAGGCCTTCAATGTCGATGTGGGCGTTGCGAAGGATGGTGAGACCGGGGGTTTCATAACAGCCTCGGGATTTCAAGCCAATGAAGCGGTTTTCGACGATATCAATCCGGCCGATACCGTGTTTGCGAGCAAGGGCGTTGGCTGCCAGAAACAGCTTGGTCGGCTCGGTTTCTGTCCCAGTCGACGGCGAGGTCAGCTTCACTGGCAGACCCTTCTCGAATTCAATCGTGATGTCTTCTGGCTCGTTGGCCGCGGAGAGGACCGGGTCTTTGGTCAACTTCCACATGTCGCTGGGTGGGGTGGTGTTGGGATCCTCGAGAATGCCGGCCTCGTAGCTGCAGTGAGCAAGGTTCTCATCCATGGACCATGGTTTCGACTTGGTCGAGGTCACGGGGATGCCCTTCTTTGCTGCATAGTCCAACAGGTCGCTGCGTCCCTTGAACGTCTCGTAGAACTCGGGTATCCGCCATGGCGCCACCACCTGGATCGTAGGGTCTAGTGCGTAGAAGGCAAGCTCGAAGCGGACTTGGTCGTTTCCTAAACGGCCTGTTAGCGGAGCGTCCAAGTTTTCCTTTTCCGGGACCGGGGTTCGGCAAGAGATTCTCGGGGCACATTGCCTGCTCTATGAAGAACAGCCAGCAGAGGCACAGATGTGCTGTAAGCTGCGCAAGCGGCTAGATTTTCTCGTGTGCAGAATATCCCATTGGGTGTGGACGTATGATACAACGTACCTTTTCCAGTGCATCCATGGCTGACATATTGACAGCCTTCCTTTTTCGCAACAGCGATCTGCGCACGAGCGATAACAGGACGAGCGAGCGAGGTTCCCAAAAGGTAAACGTTCTCGTAGCTAGCGTTGCATTGGATGGCCGGGAAGCAGAGTTCCTTGACAAACTCATCCCTCACATCTTCCTGTGCACTGTGTCAGAATCCCATCCATTGCGTGCGTGGCTCTCCTAAGGCCTCAAACCTACAACATAGCATGCTTTTGCGCCAATCTTCAAGCTCTTCTCCTTAGCCGCCTCAAAGTCTTCTTCTTGCCCAACGTTTGCAATGAAGCAGACGACCTCGAAACCCTTTTCAATGAGCCATTGGAGGATACACGTGGTGTCCAGGCCACCGCTGTAGGCCAAACATATCCTCTTGTTCTCAGGCATGGTGTGCGAGTTGTCTGTGCTGGCGTCGGTGAGTCAGTATCGTCCGGAGAACAACGCTGGGGACAGGCTTGTACTCACCAATTCAAATATCTCAGAGTCTGTTACCAGAATCGTGTAAGCCCTGAGCTGGATGTGTGATAGACTCTGGGAACTTGGATGTCGCTGTGAGGTAGGAAGCGTGGTAGTGCAGGCGGAAAAAAAGAATTGACTCACTGGCACTATCAGTTGGCCGAAGCTGCTCTGGCCACTGCCCTGCACGCGATAACTCTTAGCAGTAACTCTAGCCTCGCCGAAACGGGCTTATCTTGAACCTCTTATCTATTGGCACGTCCCGGTACCTGCATGCGGGGAACGGGGTCAAAACTAGACTGTATCAGATCTAGTATCGCAGAATGATCGGAGCTGTTGGGGTTCACGTGCCCTTCAAGTTCCAGTTGGTCGCGCAGGCAATACTCTTTCCAAGTGGACGATACTACATAGTACTACTTACCCATTGGATTGCATTGCAAGGGAAATTCAATACTTCTCGGGTATGCAATTACTAGTAGACAGCAACGCCCATTGCCAATGCTCAACCTTCCTGCTCCAGCCAGGAACCAAACTTATCCAGCCGCCCACCCTCATCCTCGTCATCATCGTCCAACCCAGGCTTCTTATCGCTTGATTTTTTGAATTTCTCCTCGCCCGTTGCGATATAGGCTTCCAGCTGTCTCTCGTCGAACCAGCGGCCGTTCATGAGCTGGCTAGGTTAGCAATCTTGGATGACAAGGTCCGAAAGGAGGGACAAGTCCTCACCCTCACGCATGCAGCGGCTGATTCTGCATTGGAAAAGCGCACGCTAGCCACACCTTCTGGTTCCTTGTCGAAGAGGACCACGTTGGTGACCTGACCCAGTTTCGAACATTCTTCCCTGATATCCTCTTTGATCTCAAGCATTGCGGCCGGATCCTCCTAGTGCAAGTCAGTCCATGCCTCTGGAGGCAAGTCCGATGGTGCTCCTCACCTCGAGTTCCTCGAGTGTAAACATGTGCTTCAAAATGACAACTTTGTCCCACCTAGAGCTCGTTGCTTGAAGCGCTTGCGGATCATCGTCATCCCAATCGGTCAATTTCCTGCCACGGAGAACGATTAGTTTAGAGAGGCCGCGTCCCGAATCGTCCGTAACTCACCCTATCATTTTCTGGGTCCTCTTCATCAGCTTCTTCTGGTCCTTTCTGCTCGGTTTGGAAGGCTGGGCCGGCTGGTCCTCCGGTTGTTGTTGCTTTTTGTGCGAGAAATCGGCAGGTTGGACCTTCATCTTGCCCATTGGGCCCTCGACGCCAAAGCGAAAATCTGTGTCATCGAGCATTTGGACCGCGAGCTGCACCGACTCGGGACGGAAATACACGACCAGGGCATCTCCTTTGAACTTGCCATTCTCGTCTTCGTACATCTTTATGCGAGGCTTGCCTGTATCCAAATCCTCGGCGATGACGCCACACTTGGAGAACACTTGTTGTATTTCGTCCTGGTCAGCGTCTAACGGGATGGAGGTGACATAGACGGCGGTATTAACACGGGGCTTCTTGGGCTTCTGGCCTGCCTGTTTTGTATCCGTCAGCACAGTGCCCCGCGCATTCATTCATTGCAGCTCCTGGCAGAGTCCGCGCAGCGTAAACGTACTTCGTCGTCATTATTGGCATGTTTCCTCTTCTTCTTTTCCTTTGCCGGTGTCGCATTCTCATCCACTCCTGGCACCTTGTAGATCTCGCTTTGTTGTTCCAACAGTGACTGGTCCAGCTACATGACAAAACAACATCCAGAAGGGTTAGAATCTGTCCTTATTACTCCCGGAAACCATGGGTTTAAGAAGTATATTTTGCAAATGTGATCAATCACATGGAGGCGAGGCGGCGACGGTGATCCGCCGGCCCAATATGCTCGAAAGCGATGTCATTGTGCTGCCTACCACTGGTATCCATCGTTTGAGAGCAGTGTCCCATTCGAACTCGTTGCCCTCTTCGGTCTCGAGAATGAACTTGTTGTCGAGTTTGGAGAATGACACGCGCGGGTCTGCGTCGAAGGACGACGGTGACTGAGGGAATCCGCTGCGAAGGCCCTCCTCGTTGCCTTCTTCATTAGACATGGCGCACACGAATCGTAGTGCAGCTGCGGCAGCAAAGCGAATGGCGAAGCCTCGAGTCGCAAGAATCCAAGCTATGATGTCGTTCGATGCGGACGGCTGCGGTAGCACTGAAGATGCGTGAAAAGCGAACAAACATGCCAAGACTCCTATGAGTCTAGCGCGGCTACTAGCAGTAGCCATGTAGGCGCCTCGGGCCTCACAGCCTTCCGGGGACCGCCGCGCTCTGGAGGTTACCCTAAGTACCTAGGTAAGGTAGGTATCAACCAGATACTGAGGTACTGCAGGAGTACTCCGGGACAGCGTTTGACGCGACTTAACTTGTGGACAGTAGTTACTGTATGGCCTACTCTCTTAGAAACATTCGATGAAGGTGAATTTGGAAGAGTCCAAGGACCTGTGAGACGATGTGAGATATGTACATACTAGTATCTGAATAAACATAGGGGGTATCATTTGATGCCTGATCAAGAACCAAAGAAGACGGGTTGCCATATGTCCAATGCGCAAATTTGCCGACTGTAATGAAATGCTCCACCCATGCTCATGCTTTGGTTTCCTTCATGGCGACGGTCTGTCCGCGGGTACAAGTAGGATGTGGACCCCTACCTCTTAAAACATACCATGCTCATGCTGCTGAAACCGCTTCCGCTTCACCTGCCGGCTCGCCGACTTTGATAGCCTCCCAACCCTTGGGTCCGGTCGCTTCATACATGCCGACATGCCTGCTCAGAACCGTGCCGAGGCCTTTATGAACCTCGAGCTGAAACGGTTCGAACGGCATCTTCTCGCCGTCGACGCTGAAATAGCCGATTTTCTTCTTCTGCCCTTTCTTCTTGTTCTGGGCATCCTCTGCCCGAGGTCCATACCGGGGTACCACGCGGATTGCTCGGACCTTGCGAATATTGACGCATTCCTTGTCGAAGAAAGTGCCTTTCGGGACGGAAAGAAGTAAGTCGATCGACTTCATCCGACCAATGTCGCCATCGATCGTGACGACATCGAGGAGGCCGTCCGAGGGAAGCGCGGCAGGGAAGAATGGAGCATCCGCGGCCATCATGTTCATGTTTCCGCAGTAGAAGTTCCCCAGCTTAGGATAGGGTGTCATGGGCGTCCATCCCGCGTCTGTCGGCAAAGGGTCATTGATCGTACCATATTGCAAAGGTGGTAGACCCAGATTCGTCGAAGCGTCGAGTGGGCCATCCAGTTCGCCCTGCGAAAGCAAACTCTGGTTTTCGCGCTTGGCCATTTGCTGGGCATAATGGCGCTTGATTTCTTGCTTATCCTCAATCTCCGTCTTCATGGCAATGTCGCACGGGTAAACGGTCTTGCCCAGAAGCCGGACCAGAAACCCAAAAGTGAATCGGGCGTCACCCATCCACCTCATGTTTTCTGTGCCCAGATCACTTTCTGCAACAATCCCCAACGACTGCGAAAGAAACGAAAGCGTCCTCGTGTTCCCTTGCGTGACGCTGACCAGGTCAAGCGGGGTCCGAACGCCTTTGACGATGGACAATGCTGCTAGACTGCTTTCGCCCGTACCGTTCAAATTCCACGACATTGCATTTCCGCTTCCACATGGGAGTTGAACAATTGCGACCTTCCGCAGGGCCTCGGCCGCGTTGGGCTTGCGTGCCAGACCATTTATACACTCGTGGGGCAATCCATCTCCCGAGGCGCTGGCGACGACGTCGTACGCGTTGATGTCGAGGTTCTCGCAGATTTCCACCGCATGCCCTGCGTGCGTCGTTCGCTCCATATCGACTTCGCATCTGGCGGCAGCAAAGATAGGCTCGATTTCACGTATATACTTCTTGACAGCCTTTCCGGTCCCTCCAAAAGGATTGATCAACAATTTGATTCTCTTGTTCCGCTGCGACTGCCCGTAAGCCCGATCCAACAGACGTTCCACCCATTTCGCCGCCCTCTCTTGACTGTATGTAGAGCTGTCTAATGTATAGTTGATGTATGCAACGTGCACCGGCGAATCGGGCGTTTTCGACGCAGGTTTGGCGTAGCGGATTGTCAGGTCATCTTTAGCGATTTCCGCCCACAAAACATTGAAGTAAGGGATCGAACGAGTGTTGGTGGTCCCTAGTCATGGTGTTAGACGCCGTGCTTGGATCTGCGTGGACGGACTGGAGCATACTTGGAGGCAAGAAACCAAAGCAGTTGAACCCTCGGCCTTCGCGAAGTCCTTCATCTGCGACAGCCAGTGTCAGTATGGTCTACATACCATGGCAGCTGAGAGACATTACATACCTAGGACTATCACCGCGTCCGTCCCCAGGGTAAGAGTTGCATTACGGCCGACGGCCAGCGTTGACTCGGCGATGGCATCGCGTTCGTCTTGCACGGCCGCCTGGTCGGAGAAAGGGTCCAACTCATCGGCGGTATTACTTCGAGCCATGTCGGGTCCTGGGGCGCATAATGAATGTGATAGGAATGCCGATGCTAAATCAGTCAGTCCATAAGATCAGTTTAACGAATGTTCCGAGAGCAGGATTCGTGCCACGCTCAATCCTACTCTGCTCTGTGCAATCCTGTTTGTGCAAACGGCAGACGCAGTATTGGGTTAGTACCCGGTACACTATGTGGACGTATCATCCGCGAAGTCCGGGTTCCCGCCGAGTGGGATCAGTGGGATCTCTAAGCCTGGCGTACGGTAACATCAATCCGCCCTGCAACCGACGACGCCACCGGCAGCCTTGTCGGACAGCTGATGTGCCCTTTACCTTGCAGCGCAGGAGTTGCAAGGCACAACATCGGTCAGCGGCATTGCGGTACATTATTGCCAGGAGGCGGAAAGTTACTCCCGCGCGGACTCATCCTTGCCACCTACCCAGTGGGGGGATCAGTAGATATATTCCTGTCTAGCACGAGCGATCGCGTTCAATACTTAGGCATGTTCCACACCATCGAGCGATCACTTGGAGACTGCCTAGGGAAACATCTACAGACGAGTACAATTATTGTAGGTATTCTCCATTTCAGTGTTTTAACAATAGTTCTTCTGCCAGACAATCCCACCTCCGCGATGCAAGCAACTCCCGCTAAACGCCATCACAAAACAAAATAGCATTACTGTCCCATCCAAAGACCTCATGACGAGGCTGAATTCTGGCGAAATGGAAGAGGTGCGCCTCCACTAGAGGTACTGGTATCGCTCCTCGGTGTCTGAGCATCAGGGTCATCCACTACTAGCCGTCTGATTTCGACGATCCAAGGATGCTGCAGCAACTCCGCGGCTGTACTCCGTTTGGCCGGATCCCGCTCAAAACATTTTTTGAGAAAATCAATACCCATCGGACTGAGCTGATCCTCAGTTGGCAATTGTGGGGGATTGCCCTGGGCGATGTTGTACATGATTGCCCACTCATTGTCCAACGTTGACCACGGCCGGCGGCCCGTAGCCATTTCCAGAATGACACATCCCAGGGACCAGATGTCTGCCGCACCAGAAAAGCGTGACGTTGCAGTCGAGTCTCCCCGTATCACTTCGGGAGACATATACATGGGCGTTCCAGTCATGGTCTTCTGTGGCTGGCGCGCAACGGCGGCATTGTTTGGCAGATGACCGGCTTCACCATTAACCCGCTGTACGGGCTCCTGCCCCATCATGGTTTGACCCTGTCGAGCAATGATTTTCGCAGCGCCGAAATCCACGTATTTGATCACACCGTTATGATCAAGCAGGACATTCTCTGGCTTGATGTCTCGATGAACAATGTGTGCTTGGTGCAAATAGGCTAATCCTTCCAACATCTGAAGCGCGTAGACCATGATGACCGTTTCGTCCTCAATGCGGCCGTGCTCCAGAAGACCGGCGACTGAACCTCCAGAGCAGTATTCCATGAATATGTAGACCTTGTCTCGGTGGACTTCAATGCCGTAGTAGGACACAATATTAGGATGGTCGAGAACTGCCAGTACGCCCATCTCGTCGCCAATCTGCTTGACGATGGTCGGGATGAGTTGCGGATCCTGAAGGCGAATCTCCTTGACCGCCATCAGAGTTCCTGTGTCGAGATTCAGGGCAGCGTAAACAGAGCCGAAAGTTCCTCCTCCCACAAACTGGCCTTGTTGCCATCTCATGGTGATGTTCGTCGCCGAAGAAGATAAGAAAGTGAGTGATCGATCTGCTTCGTTCGATCCTTCCAGCACTCGGCCAAGGGTGGTCTTGGAGGTGCCCCTCTCTTCGCGAGCCTGGTCCAGAGCATTGAGTTGCGCCAATCTCTGTTCAGACATCTCCCTCCGACAGTCTTCGTCATTTCTCAGCTTGTTGAAATCAAGACGTTTGTTCATGCCGCTCAACGCCTCCATTCGCGACTTCTCCTGCTGCGCCGCTAGGGTGGAGCGAGCTCCCATGATGTCAAAATGGGAGATTAGAACAGACATGCAGCCGGCAACTTTAACTCTGATGCGCTTGTAGTCTTCCTCGCCAATATCTAGGATGTTCCGGCCACGAGTCATGGCCATGGCAAATTCTAGCGCGACGACCGCCCATTTGAAAGTTCTTCGATCAGCAGCATCGCAGTCATCGCAAATGAAGCTTACCCAGTCGAGAGCTAACCTCGTCAATTTGAGGTTATTCATCATTCGGCGGTTGGGATCCATGTAAGTGAGCGATCGTTTCCCGAACTCAGTGGCGAAAGCGAAGCAAGACTGGACCAGCTCCGGACTTGCGATGCCACCATTTTGGGAGCGAATGACCTCGACACTCTCCATGATTGTGTTTGAGAGCTTGAAGGTCGTCTTTTTGATCTTGCCCAACTCCAGATTGACGCGGGAGAGATTTGCTCTCTGCTCGATAACAACATCTAGCTCTCGTCCCACAGCATTGGCAAATTCCATCCGTGCACCTTGCAGGCGGAGAGATGATCCATCAGCTACGAGACGTAGACGTCCCAACCTAACATCATTAGGCAATTCTAGGACATTGACATCCATCCTTGGGCCCTCCCACGGCATTTCGTCTTCGGGCCTGATTATGAGGATATATGGATTCGAGGGATCCTCAGGGGCGTCATCGGCATGGAACGAAGTGCCCAAGATCGACTGGATCTCTTTTGGCCTGTTCCATAAGGAGGGCGATGCGACAAATTGCACACCCTTAGGACTGTTGGCACCCATCTCCACCAGGAAATGGCCGGATAGAATGAGTGATTCGGTGAACTCTCGCATTTGCTCGGCGTCCATGGACAGGTTGAACTCTGTGGCGTTCTCAAAGCGTTGCCTCAGGATACGTGAAAAGCGGAAAAGCTTTCTCTGCCGGACACGGACCGAATCTAAGATTGTCTTGTACCGCTTCTCCATTTCCTGAGGGCTCTCTTCAGGTTTGGACCTGAGCTCGCGTTCGAAGGACGCGGTCAACCGCAACAGAGATTTGGCTGTCAAGGAGCTGAATTGTTCTGCCACTTCAATGTCTCCTCCTTCCAGTTGACGTCCTATTTCATTGGAGAAGCCCCATTCCTGTTCGAGGATTTCGGCTTCTCGGAAGGTGTTCTTGTTCGCACCCAACTTCCAGTTGAGCATCTTGAAATAGAACTTGAGTGCTTCGACAATGACCGAGTCAAAATTTTCGTCGATACAGGGAGGCAGGTCCCAACCAGGCTCTGGGTGCGAGATTGCAAGGTATTGGCGCTTGATAAGGCAGGCAAGATTCATAAGGATCTGAAACTGTGCAATCATCTGATCGATAATCATGACAGATTGCTGTGCGGATTCTTTCATTTTTCTCGCGTACGACAAGCGCATACGGATAATCTCTTGAATCAGCCGGGAGGGAAAGTTGATGAGAGTCAGGAGTTCCTCAATGTATGGAGGAAGATGGCGGGCAGCAAATGCTTCAGCATTCTCAATGAGGGTACTTTTGGCCTTGGTGATGACTTCGCCAATTCCATTGAACATGCTCTTGTCGCCTTGCAAAGACTTCAAGCCATCCTCCTTCAGGATTCTATCAATGAACGAGGAGTCATCGGACAAGTCTCCATGGTCGCTTGACCGACGTTTTTGTTTGGTAAAATCCAGCTCCGGGTTACCAACCCAAGCTTGAAGAACGGCAAGCTCGGTATTGATCAGTTGGGTGATGTTATGCCAGGACACGATGGCATCGCAACTCTCTCGAAATGCGTCAGAGGCAGCACGGGGTTGTGCCGCTTCCAATTCTCTCCTAGAAGAATATAGCCATTCGATCTTTTCGATATTCGCCACTGCCTCCTGAACTTGTTCCAAGGGTGACTTTCCCACCACAGTTTCACCTTTGATCTCAAAGGCGATGAGGCTTTCGATGATAGGCCCCAGACCGGCACGCCCCTCCTCGATGAGCTTTCTCTGCATCTGTAAGGGCCGGCCGTAGTATTTCGCTCTGGCACCGATCCAAATTTCGGAACCAATCTCGGATCTGGACATTTGTTCCGTTGTCCCGATCAGTCTTTGTTTTTCTTGCTTGACGACATCACCCTTCAGGACCGAAGCTAGCATTGAGTGCCATTCCAGCCGTTCCCTGTTCTGGGGATTCTGCAACTCCTCCTCCGACGGCTGGAAGTTATCCTCATGGCCCAGGAACATCAAAGTCTCCGGGTCATAGGGGTCATCGAACTGGTGCTCAGCGGAAGGAGATTCGTCGTCGGTCTCATCATCGGTGCTGAACCCGATGCTCGGCGTACGTGGATCCCCTTCAAGCCAATCTTGTGGCTGTTGCCGCACTCGCTGAACGTAGGCCTTCTCTTGTGCTTTGTATTGTGCATTGGGGTCTCTTCTAGAGCTACGCGACTGATTGGAAGAGTGCATGCGCTTGGAGTTGATGGACAGGAACTGAGGAGGTCTTCTGGGCGGCGCATAAGTGTTCGAAGGCGTCCGCAACGGAGCACCGGGGCGTCCTCCACGTACTTCTGACTGAGTCGCGGTAGGATCGGTGGAAAAAGTGCGGTCCATGCTTGCAGGCTGCGATCCTCCACTGCCGCCTCTGGGTCGTGGCCCGTAGGAGTTCCAGGAGGAAGGGCCGGAGGAGAAACCGGTGGAGGGAGTATAGGCTGACACGGAGGAGGTAGGGGTATATGTGATAGCACCATCAGGGCCATCGTAGCTCGAGGAAGAAGGATAGGCGTAGGTCGCTGAGGGAGTGTTGTCTTCGTCCGAACCTGAGGAAGAGCCGCCGCTCGGGCGGTGGTTAGGCATTTCTTCGTGCTCCATGACGAGAGGCAGGCGGCCTCCTTCGAGACGCTGCCCTTCGCTTTTGGGGGCACGAGGGCCGAGTCGGGATGGCGACGGACGCACAGGAGAGGGCGCGGCGATTTGAGTTTGAGCTTGCAAGGGCACGACTGTTGTTGTTGATGTTGGCAAGGATTGAGATTCTAGAGCCGCGGCCGACGTTGGGGCGAGGGGGACGGGGACGTGTGGCTGAAGCGGCTCCCTAGACGGAGGTTGACTGGCGGTGCCATGTGCATGCGAGTTGCCGATGCCCGACGCTGGCAAACTCGAACTGTTAGGCATCTTGGGCTGCAGTAAGCGTGAGCTGCGGCACAGGTGAATCTCCTAATCATTCTATATCATCCTCATCACTGAGGACAATTCTATCGCCACCACCAGAGAAAGACTGGTTCAACAAGCTGTAGCGCACTGCGTGGAAATATATTGCCTAATGGTGTCCATGCGGCGGATCTGCTATCCCCGTGTCGCTCCTCCCGTTATTAATTGCTGGAGTGCCAGAGCCAGTGACGCTGACACCATTTGCCTGGAGATTCCATCCGCTCGCCGCGACATTAAAAGCTGCCTCAACTTGGTAGCGCCCGCCGTGATCCTGCTTCTGCAGTGGAAACTTGGAAGACGACGACTCGGATCATTTTCTTAGGCAACCACAATCTCCACCGTGCACAGGGACACACGCGTTTTTATGCGCTCCTATACTCCTGTTTGGTCCTGATGATGAATGCCACGAAGAGGCTCCATATAGGTAAGCTGCACTGTACGCGTTCGACCAATTTTGACTGAGATGTACACCAGCCATGTACACCAGCCATGTACACCGAGAAGTGAGACGCTACATGCAGGATCGAGATTGCGAGTCGTTAAAGCACGTTGGAGATGCAGCCTTTAATACTGCTATATTGCGTGTGTATGTTGAAGGCTGCACAATTGTTAACTCTGGGGAAGCAGAATGCCACCCACAATACTTGTACGAGAAAAGGTGTAAGTTGGTCCCGTGCTCAGGCTTATTACGGTTCAACAAAAGGACAATCTACTAGTGCTAGCAGAGGATGTACACAGACCTGCACCGTGCTGTGTGGCATTCTATGACGGTATATGAGGCTGAGCACTGCAGTAGAGTATACTTTCAGCCTCAACGCCGTCAGTCGAAGCTCCACTCTAAATCCGTATTAATTGATGCAGAATAGACAATGCTACGCCCTCATATCGATTACAGACATTCGTAGCTTACCACGATGGGTGGCACAACGAATGTCGGCAGTAGATGGGCTGTGGCACTGTGAGGACAGAATTCACAAAACGCAGTACCAACATCACCAGGCCTCGGGTAGATCGAGCAAAGCGCCTCCCGAGAAGCCTACTACAGCGCCGGTCTATCATATGCCATCCTCAAGTTGCGCATAGAACCACCATCAGGATATTCACGAGCAGCACGTTGGGTCTGAAGTGCGGAAGTACTGTACAGCCTCGAGTTCGGAATGGGAAGGACTTGAATGCAGGTTCGGCGGCCCACTGCATTGAGGAACTGGAACTTGAAAGTGGCCAAGAAGCGCCTACAATTGTACAGTACCTACCTAACTAGGTACCTAGTACTAGGAGGTAGTGAACGGGTACTACTGAGCGGTCGCGGCAGAGCGAGTCGCACCAGTGGTGTGCTGGACGACGAGGGAGCATGTAAAGATCTCGTGAGATGAAGTGGACGAGCAGTCAGGTAATCTATGTGCAAGCTGGCAGTGGTGTGTAGTGGTGTACTATTTTACTACTAGCAGGGCTCGATGTCAGTTCAAAAATGGTGGTGGTGGTGGTGGTGGTGGTGATGGACTGTGATAGCAAACGTGTCTATTAAACGAGGCACGAGGCTCAAGGAAATCCAATGCCCATTTTATTACGATACTCAACGTCCCTGGAGAAGTTCGGCACTAGCACCTCGACTCTCTTTATCTGTGGAGCCTGAAATGGGTGATGGCCCCGTCACCCGGTTCCCGGAAAAGACGATCTGCCAGTGGTGGATGGGGGCCACTGGCGCAACTCAGTGAACGAATAGAAAGAGAGATGCTTATCTCGCCCGGTTCAGGCGAGATGCGAAAAACAACGTCCTGCAATGTTGGCCTGAATGGGGGCGGGTGAAGGATCGCAAGATCGGGGGCTATGGGAGTCTGCCAGCACAATCCGAGGGTGAGCAATGGTATGTTGGTGTCTGTACGGACAGACAGGTAATACCTATATGCATCAAGACATCTTTTTTCTGGCTTTGGGTATAGAGAGACATGCTTGAGGGTATCACCACTGAGCCTCTATACCGACAGGCTAGCGAAGTAACACGCACAGAATGGGCCAAAACAGCGTCTGCTTTCGCATCTGGTTTCTTCCTTGCTAAGACCACCCCTGCCAGCTAGGGCCCTAAGAATGGGAGTCAAAGACTAAAGGTAGGCAGGTAAGCAAGTGCCAACCCTCAGGCTAAGCTGGAATTCAGTTGTTATCGCTCCCGTTATGTATCACAAACAGTCAGGCTCCATCTGGATTCCCTTATCGCAGCCACAGCCAACAAAGCCTCCATCACATTCACTACTAGCACCCGCCCAAACAACACCTTCGTATCGACTATCATGTCTACTTCCGCCAATTATGGTCCTTTCATGCCCTGCGCCCTTCCGATTCCCACCGATCCAACGACCCTCAGCCTGGCAGATCCCTGCGCTCTCTCGCCAAATCTCCCACGCTATGTCTCCGCCGCCGCCATGGCTCCATGCACATACTCCCAGACTACAGGGTTCAAATGGGTTGGTGCCTTTTTTGGAACCCTCGCGTAGTACCGTGGTACACGCCCTCAGCCTGAGCGAGTCGCATATGCAGGAGCAGTCACACCAACGACCAGATACCCCGGTGGGACTAGACTCTCGACACGGGCGGACTGTCTTGTGCCTATATTCATTGCTTCCGCTCCAATCTATTTGACGTTCTCTTCCATTTCTCTCCTCCAGCTGTCGATCTTCGTCGCATATCTCCTCTTTCTGTGTCCCTACTTGAAAGATCGGCAGGTTCATTGTGCCTGCGCTGGGCCTTGAGCCTTGTGTACTACCTACAGCTCCGACCCTCGACCGATATCGAATTGCCCTTGCGGCCGATTCTGACACAAGTGTCGCGAACAAAAGGTGCCGCGGTGCTCCACAAAGATGTCTGACTCGACGGACTCGCTGCCATATGTTCCATTGGAACCATACGAGGGTATAGAACCATTCCAGAAGTGCCATTTCCAGGGCCAGTCTTCGCGCGCGAGGATTGACAAAAGCTGACATGGGTATTCGAGTTTAGGCACCTCCATGACTGGAGGAAACTCGCTCACCGAGGATCTGAATGTCTACTACAATGCAGGCGACATTGCCTGGATGATCACAGCAACTGCCCTGGTGCTTCTCATGATTCCTGGTGTCGGGTAAGCACGGCGACAGACTGCTGATATGGCCCCTTACTGATCATCCATTCACAGTTTCTTCTACTCCGGTCTCGCTCGTCGCAAGTCTGCCTTGTCGCTGATATGGCTGTCAGTGGCCGCCACTGGCCTTATCTCCTTTCAATGGTTTTTCTGGGGATACTCTTTGGCTTTCTCTCATACTGCCGGCAAGTTCTTGGGTGATATGGAAAACTTTGGGTTCCGCAACGTGCTTGGTGCGCCCTCGATCGGGTCTACAAAGATTCCCGATCTCATGTTCGCCGTCTACCAAGGCATGTTCGCGGCCATCACGGTTGCTCTCGCCATTGGTGCCGCTGCTGAGCGCGGCCGCATGTTGCCCGCCATGGTGTTCTCCTTCGTCTGGTCTACCGTCGTGTACGACCCGATTGCCTGCTGGACGTGGAACAGTTCCGGATGGGTGTTCAAGATGGGTGGTCTCGACTTTGCCGGTGGTACCCCCGTGCACATCTCGTCCGGTGCCGCCGCCCTTGCCTACTCGTTGATGCTGGGAAAGCGTCGCGGTCATGGCACCCACGAACTGAACTACCGTCCCCACAATGTCACTCATATTGTGATTGGGACTGTCTTCCTCTGGGTCGGGTACGTATTAATTCTACACAAAATCTGCCTAGACCCATGCTGACCTTGTTTTGTCTCTAGTTGGTTCGGGTTCAACGCGGGGAGCGCCCTAGCTGCCAATCTTCGAGCTGTCATGGCCGCGGTTGTCACCAACCTAGCTGCCAGTGTCGGTGGGATCACCTGGTGTATCCTCGATTACCGGTTAGAACGCAAATGGTCGACCGTTGGTTTTTGCAGTGGTGTCATTGCCGGGTTGGTTGCTATCACGCCGGGCAGTGGGTTTGTCCCCGCGTGGGCTGCGGTCATCTTTGGTGTGGTTGGAGGCGTGGCTTGCAACTATGCCACCAAGCTCAAGTTCCTGCTCCGAATCGACGACTCGCTCGATATCTTTGCCCTCCACGGCGTCGGTGGCCTGGTGGGAGATCTCTTGACCGGGCTATTTGCTGCAGACTACATTGCTCATCTCGACGGCTCCATGGAAATTCCCGGTGGATGGATCAACCATCACTACATCCAGCTTGCCTACCAACTCTGTGACGGAGTAACTGGCATGGCCTATTCTTTTGTCCTTAGCTGCCTGATCCTTTTCGTCATCAACCTGATCCCTGGTCTGCACATCAGGGCTTCGGAGCAGGAGGAGATCATGGGTATGGACGAGACCGAAATTGGCGAGTTCGCCTACGATTACGTCGAGCTCAGCAGGGATGTGGTCAATGGCATCGAATCCTCGGCGGCCTCTCAACATAAGACAACGCCCATCTCAGACGTCGAAGATGCTGATGAGAAACCTGCCCAGCCCGCGCCTTCGGCTGCTGCTCCTGCTGCATGAATGGGGACATCATGATTGTGCCGGTGGTAGATAGGCCGACAGGACGGGCTATACAGTGCGCCTCTTACAGTTGGCTTTGAGTCTTGAGTTTTGAGCCTTGGGTTGTAGGAATAGTATATTACGTTAATCTAGATGAGATGCACTTTGATCAATACTACTGAGTACTATGTAATCGGCGTTCCGGCCAAAAGAGTTTCATCGCTCACGATAAGGCATAGGTTTCGGGTCCTCCGATTCCATACCGATCCACCACTTGTAGCCTGACTTATCAACATCTGGTATAACTGATGGTCCGGTAATTCAAGTTGCCTGATGATCTCTCGAGTGGGAAGGAGCACCAGGCTCTTGGGTCTAGCTGTCTCCGTGACTAAGACCATGAGGGCTTAACTATCTCATGAGTAACTGCACTGTTGTCGTTGCTTGTCGAATCATTACTGCATGGCATGGAGGGTTCCTAGTACTCCTTAGTATAGTCGGCGAGTAGTAATATATTTGGCGGGTAATGAAAGCCCAGCCTTATTCACCAAGCAACTTGCTCCAGAGACAAAAGTACCGATCTCTACTTGCTAACTGGCTGGATGGCTTATACACGAGTAAATCAGAAAATATAATCGAGTCGTGTATGACATGGTCGACCACACGTTGTACGACTGACTGCGCTGAATATTTGTCTGCATTTAAAGTTGGGTCCGTAAACTACGGTTTGGTAAGTTGCACAAATCAAGTTGGCTGTCACTGGAAAAGGAAAGGAAAGGAAACAACACAACGCAGGATCAAGTAGTCCATGGGGAAAAATTCTACGTTATAGGTACTAGTAGACGGGTACTGATATGACTGGTACATAGAGCATGGGTAGGGTCCTAAATACAAAGCTAGGTACAAAATGCAGGTCAAGACATTCCAATCCACTGCGGAACATGCTTTTTTGGTCCAGAAGCCTGAACAGATCAACTACCTGGTATAGTAGCTAACAAGACCATGTCGAAGAACAGACCACCTCTCAAAATGAAGCATTCAATGCTTGCCACGATATCGAAAGCAAAGCACCCATCAATTGCCAGGAATCCCAAAAAAAGGTTCGGTCAAACAGCTAGCTTCAACACACTGCACACTTACAGCTTACAGCTTGCTTCTCAGATTGGCACGCTCGTCCTTCTTAAACAGAACCTTTGAATCCGGATAAGGATCGAAGACGATGCTGTTGAGAGGATTCAACTCGCTAGCACGGTAGAACATGTCCTCATAGACCTTGCCGTCGTAGCGACCCAGGGAGCTGTCGAGCTGCCAATCCGGGAACTTCCAGGCGTCGACCAGACGCAAGGCATGGGGCCGGATCTCCTCGAGAAGTTTCATAACCGTCTTCGTCCGGGCGAGGGTGATTTGGCGCACGGTGACGGCGGCGCTCGAGTAGAACTCGGATGCCTCTCGCTCCAGCGTGTGCAGGGCGTACAGGCGGAACAGCTTGTGTAGCACGCCGACTGTCTCCGGGTCCAGTTGGTTGGTGGTGTTGGAGTCGTTGAGGGCGTCGTGGAAGTTCTTGACCACCATGTACTGCGCGTGGGCGGTCGACAGACGCCAGAAGTCCACAAGCAACGAGTTCCACGATTGCTTGTCTTCGTCGCGGTGGCGGAGAGCCTCAAAGGTAAGGAACGATACTCGCCATGCAAACGCCGCCACGAGGTCGCTGTCGCTGCCGATCACGTCAAAGGCCGCACCGATGTCCTGGCGGCGTCGGAATTCTTTGAGGATCCGTGTCGTGTCGTTGTCGGCCGCGTTGCCTTTGAGGACGGCACGAGCCGACTTCAAAAGGTACCGGCTCACTTGTTGCGTCAACATGTAGTTGTCTCCTTCCCAGGTGACAGTGGGGAGGTAGTCGGCATACCAGCTGCCGATGCCGGAGAAGGAACTGTACCCGTGCCCTCCACAGGCGCGACGGCACACTTCCAAGCCTTCAGCTGCGGTGGTGGAGCTCAAGGCCTTCAGCGCACAACTGGTAGCGTGGAGGTCGGCAAGCAGGTCGGTTCCGGGGTTGAGTTCTTCGGGTCCTGGGGCGCGCTTGCCGGTGGAATCGGCCAGCTTGCCGGCGTCGCCGTTCATGCGTTTCTGGTTTTCTTGGTATAGGCTGATCATTCCTTTACCAGTGAAGTGCAGTGCAAACGTAGCTGCCAGAAGAGGCAGCAGGCGAATCTGCACCATGGTGTAGTTGAGGACTTGGTTTTCTCCGACTTCAGTCTCCGGAGCGTCTCGATCCTGAAACTGCCGCCGGACGGCACAGTACCGAGTGGCAATGGTAACACCACGAGCGAGGACCGAGCCTGCTTGCAGGACGATGTTGCTTCGAATGTAGGTCAGCGTGCCGTAGACGAGTGATGGGTTCGACGGCCGGACGTATTTGTTGGTATTGGGGTCCACCCGCGAGAATCGCGCAAGCATGTTCACATGAGGGATCTTAACGCTCTTGAGCAGGAGAAACCCGTTGTCCATGGTGTTATATCCGAATTTCGGACCGATGTCCCCAACATGGATGTTGGGCAGAGGTTCGTGGGTCTTCAGGTCTCGGATCTGAACAACAAATGGATGCGGGCCATAGTTCTTTCCGTCGATGTAGAGCTGAGCCATGACGACCGCATGGTTGGCAGCCTTTCCGAGAGAGCCGATCCACCACTTCGACGCGGTCAGATGTGGCGAGTTGAGGGTAAATGTCTTGTCTTCGGGGTTCCAGGTGGCAGTAGTCTCCAGCCCCCGAACGTTGGAACCATGTCCAAGCTCGGTTTGGGCATAACACCCGATGATCTTGTAGGCCTCTGCCCTTTCCAGAAAGAGTTTATGCTGTTCTGGAGTACCCTGTTCCTTCAGAGTGACGAGGAACATGCTTGCGTGCAGACCATAAGGGGTAGGCTCGCTAATGAGGTCGTTGGCCACTTGAAACTCCTCTTTGGTCCATTTGTGCTGAACAGACAGCTGCTGTAATCTTTTTCCTCTGGCCAATGCCGCCTCTATCCTCTCAGTTCGACCGCGGAAGTAGTTCTGGGACTTGTCGAAGACTGGATCTGCCAACAAGATCTTCAAAATCCGTTCGTTTCTCTCAAGGTTCTCCCGTGTGAACATGAAGTTGGCCAGCTGATCGACATTGAGGGTCGACTTTGCTCTCTCTTGTGCGAGCAGCTCTGAGCCCTGCGGCCCCGAAGGCTTCAGGGCCTTGACCCAGTCCGGATTGGAAGGCATGGCTAGAGGCTTTGAATTAGACGAACGAGGAAGGGTCAAGGGTGACTTCAGGTCGGATGAATGCCTCTGGAGAATTACAAGCACCGTCAGAAGACGGAGAACGGAGGCATAGAACCTTTAATACATCCCAGTGCCAGTCGAGTCCGGTGTCGCAGGCCGAGCGAGTGTGATTGAACGTTGATGACATGACGCCTTGAAGGTTAGAAATGCCTCGGTACCTGGAGTGCGACTATTCCTGTTGCGGAGTAGAGGAGCCCTTCGCGGGTTCGGCAGCTTGACTTCGTGCGTAAGGGTTCTTTATCAACCTGAACCTTTCTACTACCACTGTAAAGTCGTTGCCGGGAATGCAAGCCGGCTGTATGGGTACTGGGACGGTGTGTAAGAGTCAAAGTTGTAAAGAGGATGTAATGTCGCAGGAAGATATAGGTCCCCGGGCGTGTAGGCGGCAGGTGCCAAAAACGTCGATAACTTTTCCTGCAATACATCTGAGTCTGGCCATGCTTGACATCCGTCTTCGATAGTCTTTCAGCCACAACTCTTTACTATCATAGTCAAGTATGGACCAAAGTCACCAGCATCCCCTTCCAGATTTCAACCTCGTTGCACAAAGAAGAGCAGAAATGTAAACAACTTCCAGCGTTTACACAAAGCGCTGCCAGTCTCGACGCTCTCAACGAAATCAACACTAGTATTCGAGTTCGGTCCACAAGGTTGTATGGGCCATTTCGTTGGTGTCAGATGGTGAGAGAAGTTCTTTAGCTCTCACTCAACGTGTGGATGGTCTTACTCAACATGTTGATGGAATCGATGGACGTCTAGATTCGCAGTATGATGTCCCATCTACCAGTCTTCTTTCTCGCTAACCAGTATTAGGGATCATAACAATATTGCACGCCTTCAAAATGCTACAGAGACCTCCCTCAGCGCTCAACTTGTTGCCCTTCATAATCGGCACAACCAGCCGATTCCAAACTTTCCCGAGACCATGACTGCTATTGGCCCAGACTCGGAGGAGACGAGCTAAATAGGATTCTTGAGGCATTGGGATCAAATATCGAAGGAACAGTCGCTGAAAAGAAAACAGTACTTCGGATAACACTGTGCTTGTATGTGGTTTAGAACCAAAGGATGCAGTGGCGAGCACGTCCGGGTTAGGAGGGATTTTCTCTGCAACCTTCGTTTACCCTGTAAAGACAACACTGATGACAACCCAAATTAAAAACTGGCACCCGCATATTCAGGTCTGTGGATATACTTTGATGAATTGTGCTTGGTCTCGCCACCTCGAATATAATACGGGGCTCCCCTAACCGAGGAGGTTTCTGGTCGCTACGCTGGTTGGGGCCCCCCCCCCCCCTCACTGCAATATTGAATGTCCTTTGTCTAGACTGTGCGATACCACAGCGATATCCCAGACTCGGATGTTGTGTACTACAACGTCCAGTCTCGGCGCAGATAACCGAACCTTTGCCGCAATGAATTCTGTCACGTGCGGCAGGAGATCCCCGGATGTTGCGAGGCTGCGCGAGGCTGCGCTTGTTGACGGATAAGGCTCCGCAGCACTATCCAGGTGGACATCCAACCTGGCCCGCGTGTCACTTACCTCCCCGACCCAACTTCAGCGACTGAGACCCATGATGTCTTTATGAAAGGGTCTCCCCAATCTGATATAGGTGCTTCAGAGGAGGAATTGGGACTTCATGAATTGGAATCCGTCACATCTCCAGGCATGCCAGAAATGGACCCTACCCACGACGAGACTGCGGCCGATGTACCACTGATTCGCGACCGTGGAGAAGGCAGCCATGGCGATGCGTTCCCTCTACATGAGAAGTCGTCGGGAAATGCTTTCGTATGGGCATTGACTGTCTCTGCGTGTGCGTCCTCTGCCCTCTTCGGATACGACTCAGGTGTCATCAGCGGCACCCTGGTTTCCATCGGCACCGATCTGTCCTCCCGAGAACTGACCAACCTCGACAAAGGTCTGATCACATCTTGCACTAGCTTTTTCGCCCTCGTTGCGAGTCCGATAGCTGGCGTCCTGGCCGACCGAGTGGGAAGAAAAAACGTGATTCTCTTTGCGGACGGGCTCTTCACATTGGGCGCGTTGTGGCAGGCATTCACAAGTTCAGTACTGGGAATGATAATCGGCCGAAGTATAGTTGGACTCGCGATAGGGGCAGCAAGCTTAATTGTCCCTCTCTACATTTCGGAATTGGCACCTGGCCACCTAAGAGGCAGGCTGGTCACCGTGTCGTTGCTGTTCATTACCGGCGGCCAGGTCATTGCCTATGTGGTAGGATGGATCTTCTCCGCCATTCCAGGCGGCTGGCGATGGATGGTCGGGCTTGGCTCTGTTCCGGCGATAGCACAGTTGCTCATGTTGACGTTTATGCCGGAGACGCCGCGCTATTTGGCAAAGGTCGAAAAGGAGGCGGAGGCAAGGTCGGTGCTGACCAAAGTCTATCGAGGGATGGTACCCGACACAACCGACATTGTTGATGACATTCTTTTGGCTATCAAGAAGGAAATACAGGAGGAGGAGGAAGCCCATGCGCAGCTCAAAATCTCCGAGGCTCGATCCCCCTTCATGCCGCCTATTCTTCACGCACTTCTGTTCCATCCTCCACATGTCAGAGCTCTCGTCATCACATGCAGTTTGCAAGGTCTCCAACAACTGTGCGGATTTAACAGCTTGATGTACTTTTCAGCAACCATCTTCCAACGGCTCCATTTCTCCTCGCCCACATTGGTGTCCCTCACCGTTGCCGGGACGAACTTCTTATTCACATTGGCCGCCTTTGGTCTGATCGACCGCATTGGGAGAAGACGCATTTTGCTCATCACGATACCTATGATGGTGTTGTCTCTGCTACTTTGCGCCTTGGCTTTTTCGTATATCCCCAAAGTACCAGGGGATCAATTCACAGTCCCTACAACCAATGAAGACTCGACCACCGGGTCACGGCTGCCAGCGTTTGGGATTTTGGTCTCAATGCTTCTGTATGTTTCGACATATGCTGTTGGTCTCGGCCCAGTTCCGTGGCAACAGTCCGAGATGTTCCCACTGAGCGTCAGGTCGCTCGGTTCCAGTATAGCAACCGCGACAAACTGGGGCAGCAACACCGTTGTCGGGTTGACGTTCTTGCCAATGATGGATTTATTGACCCCCAAGTGGACATTTGTAACATACGCTGCTATTTGCGCCGCAGGCTGGGTGGTGATATATCACATCTACCCCGAAACAATGGGCCTCGGGCTAGAAGAGGTGGGTGAATTATTGAAACACGGCTGGGGTGTCAAGGAAAGCATGGAGAGAGTAAGAGCGTTGAAGATGAATAGAGCGGATAGACATTAGACATCAGCAGAAAAACCACTTCACTTGCTGCCGTCCGGAATAAACGGATTTTGATCTGCCTGCATTGTAGCGGCAGCACTTTTCCTTGCCATGCGACGTTGATGCTTGGCTTCTCTCCGTTCCTTTTCCTTCAACTCCCGCTCGTCCATGACTATCTGCCATAGCCTTCTACCAAGCTCGTCATGCTTTCTGCCGCGTTCTTGGACCTTTTGCTCCAGCTCCTGGTCGGCTTCTCGAAAGGTGCCACCCCACGTTCCGCCATTGGTCGCGGTTGGCAGACGGTCAAGGCCGATAGTTCCCTTCAGTAGCTTATCACTGGGGTATTTGACCCCATGGTGCCGGTATAGTATTGCGTCCCAGTCATCTTCGGTGTCAGCGAGATGCGCCGCGTTCTCCAACTCTTTATGGCGCTGCCACATCTTGATCCCCCACATCGTCTTATGTTTGAGAACACGGTTGAGCAGCACGGGCTGCGGACCCGGGTATTTCAACACCGGGATCCCATGCGTGACGATCAAATTCGGGACTTTGCGTACACCCGCTTTGACTTCGCTCAGTGGTCGTGGATGTTCGAAAATCCGCGGATGGTCAGGCGTCGAAATATGGTTGGTCTTGTCTCTGACTTTTCTGATGTTCTCGAGATATTTCGCCCGGTGCGGTGGTGGGGGCTTCCAGAATGAGGCGAGTCTGCTTCGGAATGCCGCTGTATTCTCCGCCTTTGCCGTGAAAGATTCGAGAATCTGGGTCAAATGAGGAAGTCCTGCGGCTGGGTTTCCCGTAGTACACGATCGCAGAATCTGGAGGAATCCTCGGCCCACTTCGATGCCATGGCAGACCTGTGTCGGGGATAAGACGTCCCGGTCTTTCTCGAACCTGTATCGTACTAGACACTGGATGACCGAGCGTAGGTTGTTAGGGTCATCGCTGGCTCTAACCGGCGGCAGTCGCCTGCATTCTCGAAGAAGCGCTCGGTACAGCGACAGGCCTGGGTTGGGTCAGCAGAGGCGGTGGCATCGGTGGCGATACTCCTTACATGTAAGTCTATGGGCCGCCGACTTCTGCGGGACTATAACACGGGGCATCCGCACATGTCTTTACCATACCATATCGATGGGACATCCAAAGTCTTTATTTTCGAGATGCGGAATTGAACGCATTCGATCCGCAATCACCCAGTTGGGAAGGCTAGCCGGTCCAGTCACGTGATATGGCAATAATGAGTACAATGAGATCGAGAAACAGAGAGCAATTGAGGATCGCACACCCTTGTAAAGTAGGTAGCTTAAAAGACGTCGATAGGATATGTCGTTGTTTCTGTGCTGTCTGATATAATCGGTCTTGCATCTCTTGCAAAGGCATAACCACATGAAACAAAGTCCAGGCGCCAATTATGCATCATCATCACGATTCCATCATTCGTCGCTGTGTTGCAGGATTGCAGAACCCCAACGCCATGATTTGATGCTCCCAAAAACTTTGACCTAGAAAGTGGTGCCCTCCGGTGGTTGTGGCAGTTTCTTGTGCTGAGGCAGGGCCATATATCTAGGTTCCATTTGGTCAGCCTTGCGACACGACAAGCAACGGTCCGAGGTTAGGTATACCTTCTGAGTTCTATCAGGATAGTCTCCATTGTGTAGTCACGCTTCCAGTTCGCCAGACATGGTAGTTTTGAGGGGTCAACCTAATCCCCGGAAATCAGTGGCCGCTGCATGGGACATTCCTAGGTAGCCCTCACCTTGCCAGTCTTCTGATCCACACACGGTAGGTTGATTCGCGACACGAATTGGATACTCGGCGGTTCATCAGGGTAGCTGGCACCACAGTGGATGTTGACGCTATAGATACGGTTCTCGTGGGCGCTCTAAGCAACCCAGTGTCAGCCTCGCTTGAGGTCCATCTCGAATGCCTTTGTCTTGTAACACACATGAGGTGGGCCGAGAATTGTGCCATTCCAGTTGGTCATCATAAGATCATCGCTGTCTGCCAGACCATAGGAGCAGGCCTCTGCATTCGAAGGGTCAGCCGGGGTACAGGTGGAAGCGCTGTGCACTGCGGTTCACCAACCTGCACCTAACCCTTTCTCGCCCTTCTCTAACTCCTCCAACAAACGGAAATTCCGTGGCACTTTTGCACCCATCTTGACAGTATAGTCGCGTTAAAATCAGGAGAACTGTAAAGTGTGTTGCACGGTAATGGTGTGTGGAAAGGCACCGCACTCGGGAAATGGAGGGGCAAACAGATGGAAGTCAACCTGCGCACTGCAGCGCGCAGCCTTGTCGGTCCAATTACGCAGCCTTGTCAGCCTTGGCATTGCTGCAAGGCTGCCAGCGTGCCTGTGGTTGACGTTGAGGACACTCTTTCCCCTGATGTTGTTGGCTTATACAACTAGACTCTTGTCCTTGTTCAACCGCGTATTGCGGACCCCCATATGCTAATATCATCCTGAAGATTCAGTTGGCCTCCTACAATGAGGATGGTTAGCAGGGATGACACATGCATTTCTCCAGTCTGAATTGACCAGCCTTATATCCGATTCAAAGCGACGACATCACGATGTCCGAACTGCGGCTGAACGGTCTCTTGCTGATCTCAAAGCCATTACGGTGACATCGGAGATACAATTGGCCGGGGACCTTCTCAGACGACCGCAGTTCATTGATTCTTTTGTCCTGGCCTGCAAGTCGAAGAATGTCAAACTTGCAAGCATCGGCACAATATGTCTCCAACGACTGACCGCAAGTTCGGCTGTTGCACGAGCAAAGCTGCCAGATGTGTTGGATGCATTCCGTGAAGGGGTTGCCGCGGGATATGAGCCACAGCTGAAGATACTCCAGACTTTGCCCTCTTTGTTTCAATTCTATGCAAGCGATCTACACGGCGACCTCCTTGCGAGGACGCTCGAAATTTGCGCCGTGCTACAATCCAGCAAAACTGCTATTGTCAGTAATACGGCTGCGGCAACCTTTGAACAGCTGGTCTCTACAGTCTTCGAGCAAGCGGACAAGAACGAAGATCGCCTGCGTACAACTGAGGGGCAGGCTGAAGATGCTGAGCCAAGTGAAGCAGCTGAACCAACTTCGACCCATGATGCGGATCGCCTCTTTTACGATCTCTGTCTGCTCATAGACCAGCAGCAACCGGAATTCCTAGCCATAGAGGGCATCCCACCTGGGTTCCTCCTGGAGACACTGCAATCCCTGTTGTCCAACTACAGGTCGTTCTTGGTATCCCATGCCAGCAAGCATCCGGATCACTGGGAGCACTTGGTTGATGGGCTCTCTCAGATCCTTGTTAGAAAGGACTCCTTTGGGGTGGTGGTACGGGCCTGGTCAATCCTGGCCCTGCTTTTCCAGGGATATGCTGAACCTCTGAAGGGTGCACTGACACGGATGATCCCGATTTTACTTTCCACGTTGGAAAAAGATGGCAACCCACCGTGGAAGCGGGCTCTGTGTCTAGAGTTCTTCAGGAAGTTATGCACCAACTTCGGTATTCTGGCCAACGTCTTCGAGTTGTTTGACAACAATAACGAGCAGGGGAAATTAGTCGGTCCAATGCTGTCCTCATTTGTGCGCATTGCCGCAGAAGATCCATCCTTAATCGGGCTTGGACGACAGTCCACGGTTCCTATCCAAAGGGCTAATGACATTAACGACGAAGACGTGGCATCTATTGAAGCTCAAGGCCTCGGTGGTGCTATAACCTCCGTGTCGGCCCGGGAGTTGAACAGTACCGGCATAAGCATGGAGTGGAGCGTCCTGGAGACCTCCCTGATGGACCAAGCCGACAAGCAGAGTCCTCCGGCGATACCGAGCACTTACATCCACGCCTTGGTGTTGGGTTGCATTTCATCCTTCTGCGACGGCTTGTCCAAGTTTGTTATGCCCTTGAGTGTTCCTGGCCGAGCCGCCCAACCGCAGCCACAAGAGGCCGCCCACAGAGACAGCTCCTCAAGGCGTTCTACAGAAGATGATCCACCGCGCAAATCCACACGATCTGCTACTAGCGCTCAAAAATATCAACGTCTTATCAATCCCTTGACAACGGAAGATCATCCGCAGTTGCCCCAGATCAGATCGTGCGCGAATATGGTCGAGGCTTGCTGGCCAGCGGCTCTTGCAATTTCCTCCACCTTCCTCAATGCTGCCCTGGACTCCGAGTTCTATCATATTTTGGTTCGATCGGTGCAGAAACTGGCTCAAGTCTCGGGTGTCCTTGAGCTACCCACTCCGAGAGATGCTTTATTGACCACATTGGCAAAGGCCTCGATACCCGCAAATGCGAGCAATGTCATAACGGCCTATCAAAACTCAACAGCCGCTCGGACTATCGATGTGGAACCTGAGAGTCCGCAAGAAAGCATTAAATCTCCAGGCGAGCCACCTCAAACACCTACTTTCCAGACCACTTCTTCATCACTCAACGTGCGGCACCTTCTCTGCCTCCGGGCTTTGTTGAATCTTGGTATTGCGCTTGGGCCTACATTGGAGCAGGCATCGTGGTTCATCCTGATAGAAACAATGCAGACCGTGGAAGCCCTGATTTCAATACCCACTACTTTAACAAGCTCAGCAAGTAGTACCCAGCTGGGTGGGACTCGATCTGGGCTCTCCGCTGGTGATGGCCAAACCACTCTGACCAACGAGATATCAGCAGTACAGGCTGCAACGAAAAGGATGCTGGAAAGCACCCGAGGCTACACGTCAGACGCTTTTGCCGTGACCATTAAAGCACTGTTTCGTCTCGTGGGCCAGGTGGCCTCGGGCGAAAACAAATCGCCGATTGTACAAGCTCCTGGGCCTGCTGCGACTTTATCGCCTAAGACTCCGGTCTCTGGGAGACAGGGCCACCGCATTTCCCGCAGCGTATCAGGCCTCTGGTCAAAATCAAAGTCATTAGATCTTGAAACCGACTTTGTGCTTGGCAAGATCAGCGAACTGGCTCGCATTAACATCCATCGCTTCGTATCGGATTCAGAGACTTCGTGCTCCTGGGAGCTCATCGGGAGCCGGCTACTGGAGATGATCCGGGATGTTGATGTTGGCGGCTCTCACCGCGTGTATGCGGCCAACGTCCTTGACCAGATCTGTGTTGAAACGGTCAAGTACCTCGACGAACCCAAGTTTGAAGTCGATCAGGCAGATGCGGTCCAATCTCGCTGCTTACAGGCTCTATTTGATCAGGTAGAGTTCCTTTACGAATCTCAAGATGACAAGCCCGGAAACATAGAGCTCGAGATTCATCAGAAGGCTCTGGAAGCATTGGAAAGCATTGTGAGCCACGCTGGAGAAACACTGGGCAACAACTGGTTCATGGTCTTCAGGATTTTGTCAACAACTTTCTTTCACAAGCGTGGAGAGGAGTCAACGAGCACCTCAGCATCCAGTCAATCAGAAACTCGGGAAGAAAGTGCCCAAATTTTGCGGGCATCTTTCAGGTCGGTACAATCGATCCCTCCGGAATTCCTCAGCCTTCTCAGCCCATCTTTCAGGTCGGTACAACTGATCACTTCCGACTTCCTGACCGTTCTCGGCCCCAAGTCGCTCATAAGCCTGGCAGGGCTACTGCGAATGTTTGGTTCTCAGGACTATGACTTGAACATCGCTCTCACCAGCACGACTCTCTTGTGGAGCCTAGCATCCCAGGTGTTGACGGGTATCGAGCAGAAGGGGCTGGAAATCGTTCCATCTCTGGACATCGTATTCCAAAGTCCGGAACTGCGCAACGACTCGTCAACGTTGTCGATTCTCTGGAGTGCAATCTTGATCCAGCTCGTTCAGCTGTCTCAAGATGTTCGTCCAGATGTTCGCAACGCAGCCATCAAGATACTACTGAAGTTCTTCGAAGGTTCAAGCGAGAGTTTGGACCCCCAAGGCTGGTCTGAGGCTCTTGCTGCCGGCCCGCTGAGAGTGCTACAAAGTATCGCGGAACTTGCTTCTCGCAATGAAGCTGAGCCGGAATGGTTGGCATCTGGTGTACAGTTGACCGAGGGCATAGTACACCTTTTGAACGAAAATCTAACCATGATCACTAAACACCAAGACTTTGGAAATACCTGGCAACACATTGTGGAGGTCTTCAAGGACCTCCTAGACACCGCTTCTCTCACTGCTTTCTCCGTCGTCTTTTCCAACTTGTCCAAGCTGTTGTCATCGCTTGCAGCGATCGGAAAAGGTGATTCGGAAGTACTCCTGCCAGTGCTGCGCCTTTGGGCAACCTACCACCCAGACGACGTCAAGCACAGTTTCGAAGCAAGCGCACGGCCAGACGAGGAGAAACCAAGCCAGTCAGCCGTGACGGCACATTTGCATCTCCTCGTTGAAGCCAACAAGGTGAATCCCGATGTGGTGATGAAATTCGAGTTCAACGGGCGTGGAATGGCTGCAATATTGATGGGTACAACCGAGCGGGCAGTCGTCTACTGTAGTCATCCTCCGTATACCAGCGACATCAAGAACCTGTCTCCAGAGCAGGAGGAGGCGTGCGGGTGCCTAACAATCCTGAAAACGATCCTGTCCAACTCCATTGCAGACTACGCGCAATTTCTCCTCCGGCTACTAAATCTGACCCTAGGCATACAGAATGGATGTGTCGTTCATCATCCAAGGAGGTCAGCCATGACCAAATCCACCCAGAAACCTTCATTCATCGCCTTTGCGTCGGCATGTCTGGACCGCTTGCGGGCTTTGGTTCTAGAGCACGCAACCAATGACAAGTTCACTCAAGTTCTGATGGTCAAAGAATCCCTACACGTGCTGGCCGCCATAATCGGTACGAAATACACCAACATCCCAACCAATCCACAGGCACCGCTATGGCGGAATGCCACGGTGACAGCAGTGGCCACGTTAGAGGCCCTGCGGACCCATGTCAAATCGTCTGGCGACAGCGATACAGCAGCGCGTGATCTAGACCGTCTCTCTTCTCTAGGAGACGAGGTCATAGCCATCGTCTCCAGCGTCCTGGGGTCCGGTGGCCTCTCGAATCACCCGGACAAGCATACCACGGAAACCCTCCGGGAAGACGAGGTCTTTGACATGGAGCATTTCCAGCTGGCGCACAATGCAGTCGTCACGGTATTTCAGCATGACAAGATTGCCGCACATGTGTGTACGCAATATGCAATCACTTTGTTCCAGGCGTCATTGCTTGCAGAACCATGGCTCGGCGACCTCTCGGACGATCTGGTCAACGAACCACTCAAAGGTCTGACTGAAGTGAGGTCCGGGAGCGTCCGTCGGCCTGTTTTTGTCCCCAGGAGACGAATCTGCTACTCGTCCCTGGACGCTTTGTTCGATCTCATGCGCTTGCCACCGCAGCAGGCAGGCAAAGACGGCGACAACGATAACACGAAGGTCCTGGCGAGTTCAGATAGGCGACGGCTGGCATTCGCCGCGTGTCCATATTTGTGTCTACGGACCGTCCACCCGCTCAAAGTCTTTCTCGCCGACCAACGTCTGCGCGGACTGAGTCCGCCCCCGGTCCCGCAACAAGCCGAGCTACAGACCGTGCTGTCAAAGTACGTGGAGCTGCGAAGTGACAATGATGCGTTTGAGAAACTAGCTGCTTTGGACCAAGAGCAGAGTCAGGGTCAGGGTCAACGGCATGCGAGACACCCCAGTAGCACTTCCGGCCAGTTGGCAGATGGAAAAGCGCATCTTCGCGTCCTATACCCGTTTCTACTTCGAGTAGAAAGATTCTGGCGGGAGTTGCCACGATTAAAAGGCGAAGGTGCCTGGCAAGCTCAGGAGTTTGGAAAGGGCATTGAGGAGTCACTCGAGCGCTGGCATACGACATTGGCAGAAGGTTGGGGGTTTGAATAGATCCAATGGGAGAATGGTAAATGATACAAAGTGTAGATGCACCTCTGCTCTGAAGACATAAAGATATGCACCGCACGAGCAAGTGACACGAAGATGGGTTTATTGATTGACCAGCACTATCGGAGTCCGAATAGAACGAAGGCGAAAAAGTGCCTCTTCCATGGCAACACCAGAGCCATCTTCGCCTGCAGAGTAAGCTCGTGTCCGTCCAAACGCATCATGGTTCGTCCTAATAGACGGCTAACGCGAAACGATCTGATGTTAAACTTGTGTGCACCAGCATGAAATGTTTGTTTTCTTGCCATGTCTTTCCGCCGGGCGTCCTGAGGCGCAACCCTGGTTTCATGCAGTCAAGGGCGGCGCGGCGACCCCCGGCTGAGGATTAAGGGTGGGGGTAACCCGGAGAGCCACCCCTGAATTGGTCGATGGCCGGTCGATATAGGGATCGGGTTCAGATGTCTGACAGTGATTGGCGGGAAATATTTCCTTACCTGCCGCACCTCAAGTAGTCGCGTATTTGAGAGTCGAGGTGACTAGCCGAGACAAGCGACATCCAGAGACAGGACTTCCACAGTTCACAATGTAACCGGGTACAATGTGTCAAGAGAGACAATCAAGCAGGTGCTGGCAGAGGCTGGACAGGTGGTTTCCCGCCGACGCTTGGGCTGTCGGTCGCTAGTGGTGGTGGCAGCTCTGGTGCCTGGCGGTATAAGACAATTTCCGATTGTTTGAAATATCGGCGAGCATCTGCGGCGGATATCATGTTAGTTTTGTCACTTTGCAAAGGGGAATCAAGGATGTCTCGTCAGAAATGGGCATCCTGTGTGCAGTGAGAGCCCAGTATAGCGAGTGCAACCTTCAAACGCCGATTGTTTCCGTTCCATTCATGCAAACGGTATTTGTTTTTGGGAAGCCAAGAGGAACTGACCTTCATCAATCAATACAAGGCTGAGGTAGTATCGGACAGAGTATTTCTTGTTCACTTCACGGAATGTCGGAGTCAAATCGAAGCCTCCGAGGAACAGTCGAATGGGTATCGTTTCGCCTGTTGTCCGTTAGAAGCTGTGTGGATACAATGCCTTGAATTCGGCTGTCCAAACGCAAACGTACCTCGCGAGGGAGAGCCATCCATGATCTGGGATCGTCAGCAGACAATCATAATGGAGTGACGGACAACATACCTCGAACCTCACCAACGTCTCGCTCTCGTTGTATTGGTTGGGCGCCACCCCGGTAGTCTCCCGCCGGATGATGGACAACTCCATATGTTTTATCTTCAGTCTCACAAGCAGGAAATATATCCTCCCCACAATGACGTCCTTCAGATGATATTTGCTCTTGGAGTATTCGAATTCGATGTGCAAGCAGTCCTCGATACCCACATCCATCTTGATGGAACTGTTCGTCTCGGGTGGGATGCGGTATGAATAGACCCAGATGTCTTTCTCGCGGATCACGTCGGCCATTCTTCGTGACACAGTGACTCGGATGAAGTAACGTAACTTGACATTGATGCCGTTGTATGATTCGTATTGCTTCTCGACGTTCTTGAAGTTGAAGGGGAAAGTCTGTGGATGTTGTAGCTCGCCCGGCGCGGCAAGCTCTTGTCCGAGGGACAGGAATTCGTAATGATTGCCTCGATCAAAGAACATTTCTGGATTGATTGTTGTTAAACTCCGATCCGACATGGTACAGACACAGCGCGACAAGCCTACCGATCAACCCGATGAACTGCACCTTGATCCCGGTGTGTTCTAACCGTTTCCCATCTTTGGGTCTGATAGTGACGGCGCCTTTCACGGATTCGCCGTCAAGGTATAATGGGGCCTTTTCACGTCTGTTCTTGTCGAGTTTGACATCGACCATTTGGCGTTCGTCCGCGTCATCGAGCACGATGTCGATGTCGACCGGGGCCGAGAAGAAGAAGGACGACATTGTGAGGACCGCTCAATACCCCAACCGTGCCAAACTGCGTACTGAGAAGGGATTAATGAAGGAACAAAGAGTCTCACATCAACGTAGTGTGCAGAACACGGGCACAACGATGATGGCAGTGCCTGATCTAGCATGCATACCCAGGCCACACACAGTGATGCTGGAAGTGGTACAACGTTGCACTAGTAGTCGGAGTACCAAGTGATCCTCCGCAGCCGCGACTACTGCTACCTTAGTACTCGACTGCATCAGGCTGCGCCGCCGCGGTTACTTCCGCCAAGGTTTTAATGCTGATGGCTTATAGCAGCAGTCCGGCGTCCGTCGACATCAGCATCGGAGGTAAGAGCAGAGGATAAAGTACCTATTACCTAGGTATCAGTCTTCAGAGTTACATATTCTACAGCTATTGTCACATGGCCCGAAGGCGGATTCAGGTTTCAAACAGACTATTCGACTACTCGATGATTCTGTTCATACGAGTTCTTGACGGATATCATCAATGACTCGTGTTCATCTCGACCCCATTGATCTAGGAAGCGTCTCGGTACTGCTAGTTTCTCGGGACCTGGATTCAAACTCTAGCAGTTGATGTCTCGAACCACGACGCTGGTCATGAACGAGATCGGAGGACTGACAGCCTCAAACATCAGCCCGATGCAACGAGGATTCTCACTGCCGTCCTTGACGCCGTGTACCTTTGGACGACAAGGCACAGCTTTATCCACTCGAGTCCGCCTTATCCTCCGCTACAACTTCGGGGTTGGAGAATACATGGTTGGAGTATGGCACGATGTCCAACAGCGTGAGTCTGCTCGGATAAACCTACGAGCTCAAGAGAATAATCTCGTGAGAGCACTTGCCGTCATTCTCCAGTCCAGTTACCCGTCCACTGCATAAGCCCTCATTTCCTCAGTCCTGGTATGGAACATGGGAATAGCAAAGCATTTGGTTTGGGTCTACGCCACCCCGTCCACCCCTGGCCTTGCAGTGGTCGGGAAATGACATGTCCAATCGTAATAATACTTTGTTGTTACCACCAACTTGAAGTCAGTATCGGCTCAAACTTTGCCGACAGCCACAGCACTCAGGCAGGCTGCAGTGCAGTGCAGCACACAGCGTACTAAAATCACCTAATACTAGTATACTAGTACCATGTAGTAGCAGGCTGATAGTGCCCCTAGCAGCACTTCGGAAGCTTTTCCGAGCGACCCCGGGTTCAAGTTTCCCACTGCCACCAAACGCCGCCCATGTCACACTGGCGCAGGCTGCGCACGCAGTGCATTGCTTGACTCGGACTGGGCCTCTTCCATCCGCTCGCCTCTACCACAGCCCCGGGCCATATACCAGGTATCTTCCATTCCTGACTTCAGCCTTTGGTGCCTGACTATCGTCGAATTGCCATCCGTTCCGCGGCCCCATTGGGCCTTGATCAAGCAGCCAGCGGAGGCCATGCGCATCACCGCCATCTTTGCCGTGCCCGCCGTTGGCTGAGATGCGTAGTGTGGGGATGCGGGCAACTGTCACCCTGCCCTCGTTTTCCAGATCCGCTCGAGCTCATTGTCGCCCTTTACCGACGCCGATACGACTGTACTTTTACATCCTGGCGTGGCGGGATTTGATTCCTTGCGAGTTGAGGTCTGGCGCGGTCGATTGAACGGAACGGCGATGGTTTGATATCTGACATCTTTGTTTTCCAGCCCTTGTATGTTTGGTTCCCATCCCACGGATTGCTGGTTTATACACCACTATTGGCTTCCTCTCCATGTTTGTGTGCTTCTTGCTTTTTGTAACCGGACTTATCTCTTTATATTCTGACATCTGAAACCATGTTGTCAGCAGAACGTAACACGCAACATCCTCACCTTCAGAACTTCACCCGTACGCCCTCTTCCAGTCGTGGATCGTTCGCACGAAACATGCCGTCCGAGCCGGATCTTAAGCATATTTGGATCGTGACGGGGCCTGCAGGATGTGGGAAGACTACGGTTGCCCAATATCTCTCCCAAGAGCTGTCGTGGCCGTATGTTGAGGGCGATGATGTAGGATACCAGTTGCGCGCACGTTCTCGGACTACGCTAATACAAGGACCAGTTCCATTCAGCGGCTAATAAGGAGAAGATGGGTTCCGGTATCCCTCTTACCGACGCGGACCGTTGGGACTGGCTCATTACTCTAAGGGAAGAGGCGGTCAAGCGTCTTGAAACCTCCGACTCTGTCATTGTCACTTGTTCCGCGCTGAAACGCAAATACCGAGACGTTATCCGAGTCGCCAACTACAACCATCCAAGTGTACACATCCATTTCATCTACCTCAAGGTCGACGAAGACACCCTGCAAAAGCGTGTTGCGCAACGCAAAGGCCACTATATGAAGGAGAGCATGGTCCACAGTCAAATCGCCGCGCTAGAAGAGCCCGAGGAAGATCTTGAATGGGACGTTCTGCGGGTGGATGTCCGGGACGACAAGGAGGTGGTCGAGAAGAATGCGCTTGAACTTGTGAAGCGGAAGTTACAGGAGTATGAAGACGCACCTGGACAACGACACTGAGACACTGGCTATGGTCCTCGATGGAAATTGCTGGTCTCTGCAGTGACGAGATACATGCCAGGCATGGAATTGGTTGAGCATCGGCGCCAGGGCGTTTGGCATTGCTAGATATGTGCTGTCTTAGCGTGCAACATCTACACCAACATATAGACCTCTGCGAAATGGGCACTCGTGCAATGGCCGGGTGGGTAGAAGCAAGTCGGGGGCGATCTGACACGGGCAGGTTACAGCAAGTACAGGCGCGCAAGCTATAAGGCAGATCTATCACGCTCCCACGAGCACATTTACAAATGAAAGACCAGTCTTCATATCCACCAAATTGAACACCGAAAGAGTGTTATGAGGTGTTCTATTCACTCAGTGTGTAAAAGTTGCGTGGATATAGCGACTAGCGCTGAAGTAGGGAAGGTGCGCCAGAAGCCAGTCAGCATCGCCGAATGCAGCACTGGCACTACAGTGGGACAGTGGTACTACTATTATGGTTGTCCGATTCAGCACCGCATCCTCAATCACGTCTCACGCGCCTGACCACCTCAGCGGTATCCTCTCAGCAAGGAGAGTGACGGTCCTGTCTGGCTGGTCCACTATGCCTCTCTGTTCTGCCTCGATGCTGGCCCGATGATGCAGCCGTCAGGATCGCCAGCAGCCCAGCGCATGCCGCAGTCATTACGGGGACATCAGCCCATCCCTGATGCAGTGCACTCTCCGCCTCCGGCCATGAATCCGCCTTCAGGAGTAGGGTCTCAAGTAAGATCCTCGTCTGGCTCAGGACGCTCCCAACGCAGTGCCAACGTGCGTATAGACCCCTCGACAGGCAGTTTGGACTATTGAGACTAACGCCAGATCCAGCCCGACAAACAGATTTCCCAAATAGAGAAGAGCGTTACCCATCTATTAGTCGCTACCAAACAGCTGCTCGAGACTCTGACACAATGGTCGCGCGGCCAGGCTCAAGAAGAGGAGGTGTCGGATGTCTACGTGCGCTTGGGTTATGAATTCAACCTTGCCTGTCGCGCGTTCAATTCCATTGGGGTGGAAACCGCTGACCTGGGCCCTGTTCCTGACCTGCTTCGAAATATCCTCGAGGATACCCTCAGCCAGCCGGCCTCCCCACAGGCGCTCGACAATTACCTTCCCCGAATCCGCGATATCATCATCAACCTTCTACATGGGCTCAAGAGGAAACAAAGCAGACTTCGTGGTCGAGGATCAAAGGAGGCTGCCGCCTCATCTCAGGCAAGACCGCTGGGCGCATCAGGGCGACAACCCAGCGTGTCGACCACCGGTAGCAATGAATCCGGCTTGACACATATGCTACAGGACGTGCCGAGTGCCACTCCAAGCCTGCGTGGGCCAACACCACAAGACAACCTGCCTGGCACCCAGCAGTCATACGCACCCGCAAACCCTCCGGCCGCGCCCTCCACAAGTCGTCCATTGCTGGAACGTCAAGCACTGCGGCACGATGTTACCCCTCAAGGCTCGCAGTCCGATTCCTCCGGAAACACCCCTTCAAATGTTCCTCAAAATACTCCAGCGCAAATACCCTATCATTCTACTGCTCATCTTCCCACGGGTCCGCACAATTTCCCCCATCCACCGCCTCCGCCGCCTAAACAGGATGCCTTTACGCGATTACAGCGTGGAGGAGACCTGGAGAGACGGGCCTCCCGAAGGTTCTCCGCATATCAGATACAAAAGCACCTGGGTGCCTCGCCCAATGGGGTTCCCGTGATACCGGCCACTCAAAACTCACCGATCCCTAATCGGGGCAAGGAGGTTCGCGAGTCTTTGACAGCAGTACGATCGCGAAGTTCCTACCAACAATCAAGGGCCAAATCCACACGGCAGGGCGATGTATCACCGAGCAGGAGTGGTTCGGTACGAGCCCCTCAGCGTATCTCTGAGGAAAGGGAAGAAGCCCCGGTCTTGTCGCTCCAGGACGTACCTCGCATCCAAGCTCCTGACGGTTCTGTAAATTTGGACAGTCCGACGGTGAAAACCCCAGATGAATACCACAAGCCTCCAAAACTTGATGCAAGTACCGCAGAAAAAGCAGTGGTAGGAGCAACACTCAATGGACCTTTGGGTCCACCGCCAGAAGAATACAAAGATCATTCCTCCATTGACTCACAGCCCGCTCCACTACCTCCGCATCACATGACACACGCTGAGGCGGAGGAGGACAGTACTCCGGAGACTGTCCAGCGACAACCTCGCGAAACCGTCACTCCGCCTCCATCTCAGGCGTTGACCACCGGATCTTCGCCTCCGCAAGGAAAGGAATTGACGCTGTTTCTTCAATACAAGAGCAAGATCAAAAAGTTTGTCTTGGCTGATGGCTACGAAGAGCTGACCATCCCGAGGCTACAGCTGGCATTCATCGAGAAGTTTGCATGGAATACACAACATAACGGCGTTGAGCTGCCCGAGATTTATGTCCAGGACCCAGTTTCGGGTGTAAGGCATGAATTAGAGGACCTTTCCGACGTCAAAGACCGATCCGTTCTAGTTCTCAATGTTGAGGCGCTTGATGAAGTCAAGAAGCAAATCGACGAAGGACTTGGGGGTCTCCAGAAAAGTTTGGATGGGGTCCGGTCATTACTAGAAGGACAAACGACGATGATGCAACGCTTCTCTGATCGACAGCTCGAGACTTCGAAGGAAATGGCGCGCATGTCTGCCGTTCCCTCCCACCAACCTTCTCGAACTCCTGTCTTGGCTCCTGGCAGCTTTCCAGCCGCTGCCGCTGCGCCATCTGACGCGTCATTGCAGGAGATCCAGACTTTGAGGCGTGAGCTAGCCGTACTACGACAGACCTATTCAACAATGTCGTCCGATTTCACCGCCGCAATGAACAATATTCGAGCCAAGGCTGCCAATGTTAAAGCTGTTGCAGTCGAAGCTGCAAATTCCTCATACAAAGGTGATGCCGGTCGTGCGCACATCAACGAGAGCAAAAAGGTACTGTCCGATGATTCCGAGGCACTGGTCAACCGCGTGGATGATCTTTCGGATATCGTCGAAGAGCTTCGAAAAGATGTGGTAACGCGAGGCGTCAGGCCCCTGCCCCGTCAACTTGAAGACATCAGCAAAGAAATCAGTACAGCAGCCAAACAGCTGACCAAAGTGAAAGAATTTGTCAAGCGCGAGAAACCCATCTGGACGCGGATCTGGGAGCAGGAGCTTCAAGTTGTCATGACCGAGCGGGACGAGCTGACTCAACAAGATGAACTAATGAACGACCTTGACGGGGATCTCGAAGATATTACTAATGTGTTCAAGTTGGTGGAGGAGGCAACCAAGCAGCAGAACCTGCAGGCGGCAAGTACCGGCGGACGGCAAGGCTTGAAACAGCTGCCTTTCGACACCGATGTAGATCCTCATGAGGCAAAAAGTGGTATGCTTGACGAAGTGCGAGCCTTGCAGCCAAACCATGAAAGTCGCCTCGAGGCAATAGAGAGGGCTGCAAAGGTCCGCCAGCGCGAGCTGGAGAGTCGCAGGGTTGGAGAGTTCCAACGCGAAGTTGAAAAGTTTGTGGAGGAAGGTAAACTCAAGAAGACCGGAGGAATGGATGAAGTCGAACGAAGGCGGAAGTTGAAGGATGAGGCGGCCCGCAAGGAAAATTGGGAACGCCAACAGGCTCGTGCAGCGGAATTGGAAAGGAAAAGAGCAGAAGAAGCTGCTGCTGCTGCTGCTGCGGCTGCGTCTGCCAGTGCTGCCTCCGAATCAACCGAGCCCACAGCAACGGCGTCGGAGACTGAGAAGGACAATTCTCAAGAGGCCGAAACTCCTTTTGAAGATGCGAGCGAGGAGAAAGTACAATCGCCCGAAGCGACCACTCCAGAACCAAAGGGAAGCGCTCCCGAAACTTCGGCCGCCCCGCAACTTCCAGAGGTTGAAGTGAGCGACGGGGGCATGGGTCTCGGTATGTCCAACATTTCATAATAAACTTCATCTCATCTCGGCTCGTCTCGCTTGGGGTGGGCCTGGATCTGTCATTTTCTAGGACTGGGAGGGCTTCTGGTTTGTGTGGACATAACACGCTGATGATCTGAGGACTGCCGGTTGCCCGATAGATGATGCTCCTGCTCCTACTACTACGAATAATACTGAGAAATCTGAATCTGGTCAAGCCTCCTCCCCTAGCAAAGATGGTGAAAGCATGAAAAAGAAGGAGACAGAGGAAGAAGACAACAGGGGAAGCTGGTGGAAGCCAGCAGTCTTTTGAGACAACCGAACCAAACAATTATGAGCCGAGTTCGCGGGATAGTAGTGAAGTGAAGTGAAGGAACAGGGAGGAAAAGGGGGTTTAATTGGGTTTAATGCACTGCACTGGCATTTTGTGCATGGAAGCTGTGGAAGCGAAGCTTTTTATTTAGGATGTCTGTCTTAATTTCAGTGAGAGTGTATGTCTGTGATTGAATGTCTGTGGTGGACAGACTACACTTCATTGTTGTTCAGTCTGCTCACTTGCGGGGAGCTCTAGCTTCAAGTTTGAGAAGCTCGATTTTGTTCTGGTTCTGCTCTCATAGCGCTTTTGCTTTTGACGGACGTCCATTCAAGTCAAGTCATGTTGTTAATGTTGATCAGCTGGTTGAGATCAAGCGTTCCATTGCATTCAGTGTGCAGTTATTCTATTTGCGAGGATGTTCATGTTGCTTGCGACATGCTATTGCATCTCCCTGTATGAGCTGAGCCGAGCCATTTTGTGTATTTATGCTAATCATATGTTTGCTTGATCTGTACCTACTATTGTATACACTCTGCCGAGTATAAGGTACGCTAGCATGTACGTTAAGGTGTAGTTGTACTGGCGTAAGGTATTGGTCCGAAGTAAACGAAAGGGGAGCCGGCAAACAACAATGCAAGGTATACACAGACAAGATGCTGTGACGGGTGGGTGAGCAAAGGGAACAACAGTTGGATTACCATTGTCTCTCCTTCTTGTCTGTTTCGCTACCTAGATACAGTATGCCCCTTGGTATCCACCATCGACCATGGACAGACCTAGCCCACCTGCCACAGCTGGGTGTTCAAGATCGCACGCCCGCGCCTCGAACAGTTAGGTCGCGTGCGGCCAGCTCTGGGGATCCAACCAAGCCTCCGGGGCAGCAGGGCAAGATTCCGGAATGCCAGCCTCTGTGATATCCCGGGGGCGACTGTGCGATGGTTCTATCCCATCTGAAAACTCTCACATTCTCACACTCTCCCCCCGGAAAGTCAAATATTCGCTTACCCGGCTAAGGTCTATCCAGCTGACCGCCCAACTCAATCACGACCCGGTTAATGGTCAGAAGATCCTCCACGTCTGAATTTCAGCACTGCTTGGGTTTTGAAAGCCAGATGACTATTGTGGGCCAGACAAGGCAAGGGAAAGGATTTCAGACTTTTTGTACCGCGATATATGGCCAACACAGAACCCAGAAGTGAGATGGAGCCTCTGGGCCCACGCTTTCATCCGAGTCTTGCGAACGATCTTTGCACATGGTATTCTGCAGGCATGCTCTGCTATGTCGAAGCTAGGAGCTGGCGTTATTCGAAGGGGGTAGATTGTTGGGTTTGGGTCAAAATATTGACTCAATGGAAGCGGCGGTTTGTTTGGAACCAACCCTTCCCGTAGGGGCCCTGGCCGGACGAATTTAGGACAATTCGATAGACCGAGAATGTTCATCGCTATGTAGATTGCCCCGTGGGCAGCCTGGCAGTTGATGCGCGCGAGCAGTCAGCGGGAAACACAGACAGTGTGTATATGCGGTTAGAAGTATGCTTGGGCACGGTCGTTGCGCGAGGAGTCCATGGATGGTAAGGAATACTGCATGCACGCCAGTGCCCATATTGTTTGCAAAAGAGCATGGCCATCGACCTCGAATCCTCCTATCAGTGTCACTGAGCGGCCTCTTGTCCAGTATGTAGGTAATGCAATGATGGTTCGTGTGACGTATTCAGCAAAACTTGACGGCTGACTTTTGTCACTGTCACGAAGAAGTTTTCTCCTGAAACAGCTGAATCGCATCTTTGGCCCTCATCTTGACGCCTTTGCTCAAAGCTTGCCTGCTGATTGTTTCGACGGGCGTCATGAAATCCTGCGCGACTTGTTGCAACGAGGCGGCGACGGCGTTGTCGTCATCATCCACAGTTCCAGACTGGCGCACAACGTCGAGTTGGCCGAGCAGTTCGTCAACCCAGACGTCAAGGACATGGAGCCTCAGTCCATCTGGAACCTTGCGCTCGCGCGGACTGAGCGGCCAGGTTTCCAAGATCTGCTTTTGCCGCAGGACCAAGTCTTTAGAGTTGGTACTATCTGTGTCGTTGGCGATCGCAGTGAAGCAGACATTAAAGGTTTCTCTCAAGAAGAAACGGACCAGCATCAGCACCTTGTTCATGCGCCACTGGTCGATCGTCGTCCATTCTCGACAGATGGTCTCCCAGAATGCCGTGGCCCAGGTGTCGAGCCAAGATGGAGAGTTATTGCTGTTGCTTTTGCTGTTGCCGTTACTGTTCTCGTCGTCCTCGCCACTGCTGGTGGCCTCTTCGTCCTTTGCGGCCATGAGCTTCACTGTCGCCGCCAGTTCGGCGGCCAATTGCTGTACAGACAAGGCATTCTTGCTGTCGTGCATGTAGAGTGCTACGTATAGCCCGCGCCAGAGTTGAAGACATTGCGTCGATGTCAGTGGCGATGAAGCAGCGCGCTCGGTGAGGTGCGAGATGATGGTCTTGAGACATGCCCGTCGCACAGATGGTTCTGGTGGACGAAGTCAGTGGCTGGGGTTTTCACTTGCGAAACAACGTCTTGGTTCGAAATCGGGGAGACGAGGCGTCAACATCATCCACAAACAATATCCTCGTGCTGAGGACGCAAGCAGTGGATGGTCGGTCGACAGGAACAGAACAATGGCTTCCGAATCACAGCTGCTCCCCTATCCCCATACACAAATTGGGGATATAAGACCTCATGGGGCAAAAAGAAGATACGAAACACCCGCTCCATCAACCAAGACATTCAGCACGAATTGACTTACCACTACTAGCCAGGTCCTTGACCGGGGGAATAGGTTCGACTTGGCCGTTTTCAGGCATTGTGACAGGACAGATATGGGAAAGGTCGTCGAGGATTACTGAGTTCCTTTCAAAAGATCCACGGGACCAGGGAGATTCTCAAAACTCGAAAAGCACTCTTGTGGCCAGATCAGAATACACCAAATGATATGTATTGCAATATGTCGAGGCCACAAAAAAAGTCAAAGGACATTAGGTCGCGACGCCCTTTGATAACGTAATCAACCTAGATTATGTAATCCCTTGGCATGGCTCAGCCTTGAGCTTTTGCGAGGCTGACCGGGTCATAGGGGCTTACAACTCACCACAACACCCACACGGCCAGCAATATAAGTCACCGTCACCGTCACCGCCCGTGAAGTTGGGCGCCCTCCCTCGATTTTAACTACCGAATATATTTCCTACCCGCCAAATTATCCCCAACAATCACCACTTCACCACCATCGGGTCTTATGGCCTAGGTGGGTAGGGGATTTGGGATTGGTGCCTAGTTCCGAGTCAACAACTAGGTCGGCTATAAAATAACTTCTCAACCATAATTGTTCGGTCAAAAAACCCTGATGGCATAAAACACCGGGGGTTTTCAGTCACTCATACACCTCCTACAGTCACTCATACACCTCCTATACGACTGGGGCTTGTGAGACCTGTTTTTTGCTTTTTGTCCGTGTACGCTGTACCAGCTTCTTTTGCCCCTTTGTGGTTTTGTGTTTTGATTCCCTTCTCCTCGTCTGCTGACTGCACTATATGACTACCTAGCTAACACGTTTATTCACGGACATTTTCGAGTGTCATCGATTGAACTGAGTTATTCAATATTGCTGTGGTTGTATGCCAATGCCACCATATGCTACAAGTTGCTATAGTATATTCCTGGCCTACTGGAGGGTATTTGTGGGTGCCGCAAAAAGCCCAGGGAACCCCTTCGCTCCGCCCCTGCGTAGATTGAAAAACCTCGTTCGAGCCAAACCAAACCATTTTCACGCCTTCCTTCCGCGGCAAGCATGTCAGTCGACGCTGTATGGAGTTCTTGCACACTGGTCGTCATTAAAATCTTCACCATCATCCGCCGAGTAGTATTCACCGCTCTCCGGGTGGTATATTGACGACAGTATCCCACTTCCAGGCATTCCACGATGGTATTCCGAAGACGATCTGCTTCCCGGATGACGAAGGTATTCCAGGTAATGTATACCGTTGTGTGATATTGGGGCTGAATGATCTACGATAACGGACCCCGATTGGGAAGGGGAATGGGAATGAGAGCGGCTGTCAAAACGACTCAGATGCTCGGGCCGTCTAGGAGTATCTTCGTTGTCTGAAAAACCATGGAACAAGTCTGCCTCGTTTTGGAATGCTGCATGCATGTTTTGCATGTTTCGTGAGTCCAAGGATAGCCTCTCCAGCCCGGACTTGATACCAGCCAACTCATTCTCAAGAGCACCGTCGACTTCTGAAGCCGTCGGTGCTTCTGGTTCACCGTCATGGTTGGGCTCATGCTGAGCCCATTCTGGCTGCTCCGGTGTTTGTGGTTGTGGAATACCCTCCGCGAAGTCCTTATCTGGGGACGGCACGTTGCCGTCAGAGAGTCTTGCGTCGGTCTTCCCGACTGGAATGAAATCCGAGTCTGCATCGGCATGAGCCTCTTCTGCCCCAATTGGCCGCCGTTCTTCAACTTGTTGTGCCGCGGGTAGATCCCTTTTCTTCTCCTGATTTGCAGTCAACGTGCTGCCCATACTTATCGAAGTGGGTGATTGAACAGTGCTTGTTTGTTCAGCCACCTGTTCGAGCTTGGCGGGCTTGACAGGCATCTCCTCAGCCGGCATATCTTGCTTTGGTGTTGGGTCGCGTTGGGATTGACGCCGTTGTCCAGGAGGATCATGAACCGGGATATCGAGGTTCAGGTAACTGAGGTTCGAGTTACCTGCGCCGTGCGTCCTGCCAGATATAGGGACTTCCGTCACATTTTTCCCTGCTTCTCTTTCAAGTTTAGATGCTGCAAACACTTTGGTCTTGTCGACAACCACGACCATCCACACACCAATCCTATCGTCGCTGCCCAACAACGGGGTTGCGGAGACCCAACAGACTCGACTTTGTCCTGTTTCATCCGGCTTCCTATCTGCACTTATCTTTGTTCCATCTCTCCGCTCGCCCCGGTTGAGCATGAAGTGTATCTTGGCAGAGACCGGAACACCTGTCCCGAGACTCTCCTTGAGCCCAGCTAGTGTTCTGGACGGAGCAGCAACATGAGACAGGAATGGGTGCTGGATAACATCGCCCAGTCGTCGACGTAGCTTAGGGGAGACAAACACAATCCTCAAGGAGGGCGCCGGTCTGATCAGCATATAGCTATCATAAACGCCGGGCAGCTTCCCGGAAGAGCCGAATGGTCCAGATTGGCCAAGATTCCAGGTATCGTCATTTGCAGTGATTCGTTCATCTTCATTTTCTGAAGGAGGGTCAAAGTCGGCTATCAGACGTCGTGACGCTCTTCGGCCGCTGCCAATGCTCCCTTCCTCACCGTTTCTTGTCGTGGAAGCGGACCGAGACTGCGACCGCACAATGGCGGATTCTTCGAGGTCGAACGTCTGGCTAAGTTCTCGGAGCTTTGCCAGAGCTCTAGATTTCTGTGTATGGACGGGATCTTCCTTGCCGATCTTGCTATTGAGTTCCTGCTCCCGTTTCTCGATTTCCTGTGTCACCAGATATCGCTCGAACCCGACCAAACCTTTCCCACGTTCGACCAGACCAGTCACATCTGCTTGGGCACCAATGTGGTATTTCACGTTCCCTTTGTCGTCATGGAGTGGCGCGATCATTAACAAATTGATGAACGGCCGACCATCTCTGCGATAGTTCAGCAACGTTTCGGAGATTCCTTGGCCCTCAACAATGCTTCTCCTGAGCCTTGCGACCGACTCCCGCTTCGTTCTGGGTCCCTGAAGAAATCGGCAATTCCTCCCGATCACATCGTCGGGTCCATATCCTGTAAAACGGTAGAACTCGGCACTGGCGTAGATGATGGGATTGTCTTCCTGGTTGGGGTCGGTAAGGCAAAAGACCTCGGACAGACCCCCAACCAGATCACCCAGCAATGGCGTTTGTCTCCCTGTAATCTCGTCAATGAGACAGTCACTAACGACTTTCACCAGGTTATAAGTGATATAGGCGGGAAGAGCGACGTCCGTCAATATGCGAAATGCTGAAGCACTCCACTCCTCAAAAGCCTTGTCGACGGTGGCAGCAGTAGATGGTCGAATACTCCCCGACCTCTGATCGACTGGGGGAAGAGGGTCAATTCCTTCGGCCACAGCGTTGGCATACTCGATGGCTTTCATAGCCTTCTGGGTCTCTAGATACCTGAGGAGGATCGGCTGACTTTCCGGCTGGTATTTGGCCAGAAAGGAAGTAAAGCGAGCCAGATACTCTGGCCGTCGAAGGAGAATGTTGAGATATCCCCACGAGAATAAAGACTCGGACAGTGACTCCACTGAGGGCGGTTTCTGTCGAGGCGGCGGTGGACGGAGGTCAAAGTCCAGGGCATCAGAGGTATCAGATATCACTGCCACTCCAGCATCGGTGTCGGACAAGGTACGCTGGACAGGCAGAGGCTTTTGTGCTGGCTTAGATGATGTACTTGTTCGGGGTCGTTCTATCCCTGACCGGCCGTATCGTGACGACGTTTTTGGCAGATTGGGATTTGCGTCCGAGAGAGTAGACGTATGGAGTATCTCGGAATGTCGCTTTGGTGAACAAGGAGAAGTAATCTGAGGGAGCGCCGTGCCAGTGTCCCAGTTGCGAAGCGAAGGCTCCTCTTGAGGAGGACCAGATGGTGCTGTTTTCGCTGGCCGAGTGTCTCGTTGCACAGGCACAGGACTGCTCGGCTTGTCCCGTGGAACAGACACTTTGGTCTGAGTAGCGACAGCAGATTCTGCCCGCCCTCCGGGTTTGCGAGATTTCTTCAACCGTCCGGAGCGAAGCCGGAGGTTTTGCTTGAGCCTTTCCAGGTCCATGGCGCAGGTCAACGGAGCTGCTAATTCTTATATTGATCTTGCTGCGAGATCAAATTCATTCAACGCGACATAGTGGCAGCAAGGGGCGTACGCTCGGTTTGCGAAACTATTGAACGGGACGAACAAGACACAGAAATCAAATCTTCGACGCCGAGGTCTTCGACATAAAACTCTTCGATCCGATCGTGGCCGGATGGAGTGAGTGCTCTTACAGTTGGTGGTCTGACGTTTCGGGTGACCGGTTCAAGTTGGCGATGCTAAGACAGTCAATGCCGACGCGGTCATATACTCACCAGGGCTGGGTTTTATATGTGCATCATGATCGTCATACAGATCCTAGGCAAGGTCATCCCTTGAGTGGCAGACTCACTAGAGGAGCTGTCAAGTATGAGCTTGTCCGGGCTGCCAGCATCAGACAGAGTCTCACCGTCATGGATATTTGACAGATAATTCCGAACAGAGTGGATGGTGGTGAGAACTTTAGGGCCACAGAGGCCGAGCTGTGCCTAACAGACCTCGACAATCAACCCCTGGGGCAGCCCGGGAACCTCTAGTTGTGGCTAAGGAGATATACTGGGGGCGGTACTCTGGGGACAGTCCACCCCGTCAGCCACTCTGGATCAAGTACGCGTTGGATGCAAAGGATCTTGCAGTGGTTTTCGTCTCGGCTCAGCATTTACTCCTGCTTACAGTAATTCTGCTGTTTGAAGGCTTGCCTCGACATTTCTTCACAGTCACAGGCTTTTACAGACACTTCTTGTGGGCGATTGAATTCTCCACTCCGGAGACTAGCCTCCCGGTCAAAACGCTAGAGAGGGCTCACTACTAGGACGTGATGACAGAAAATCTGCGTGTGCGTTGATTCCGTAGTGGTCTACACTTCCAGGTGTTGGTAGGTGTGAGAAAAGCCTGGTGGCGTAGAAGTCCTCAGTGTTGTAATTTAGTGTATCAACTCAATCACCTTCCATAATTCGTCCTGTCCTCGCCCATTGCGGCTGAAGGACAAGTACATCCTCAGCGTAGATCAAATCGTTGCTTCTCTCTGATTGCATCGCTCTCCAACCTAGAGCCTGCGCCGCCATGTGGTGTCCCGACTGTAGGTGTGTATGGGGTTGAACCTGGCAAGGGCAGGAACTTTGCAACCTGCTTTTGGTAGATCTTGTACTCTGGATACTTGTTTGAGGAGAGAAGCTCGGTCAACCAAGTGCTGGACTGGAAAAGGATTAGGTAGGCCGCCGCGCCAATCCCGGTCCAGTTGTACCAAGTTTTGGTCACCAAGCACGACCAGAGGTAGAGAGACACCCAGACGCCTTGTTCGGCGGCGAAATTGGGATGCCGGGAATACGCAAAGAGACCTTTGGTGTTGAAGCCGCGATCCAAGTCTGCGCGGTCAAAGCCTGCTGGCACCTTGGCTTCCTTGCGATAGGCAGCCTTAGCTGACTGATAACGCCATTGCTGCTCGTCTGCCACGAAGGCGATGCCTATGCAGGAGAGCATGGTTATGGCTGCAAGGGAGTCTTCCCATCCCCATGATGCAGTCTGGGAGCTATGTGTAGCGAGCCGCTGGGCAAGGAGAAGGACGTAGGTCGGAGTCGTAATGGTAAAGAGTAGTATAGATTGCGCTAGAGAGATGAAGGTGACATTGAAGACGAAAAACACCGCTGGTCCGGTATATTTCTTGACAATGGCCCATCGGTAGTCCTCACTCCCAATGGAATATCCGCCTTTACGATAATAGTTATACGTCAGTCGTATCTGTTTGTTGTCAGACAGAATATGTGACCGTGGTTCATGTACTTACACTCCAAATTGCACTGATCGCGGCAGCAATATCAAGTCTCGTAGAAGAGAGTCCCGCCAAGTGAGCATAGAGGGCGTAATGGACATTGTAAACAGTCGGTAGAATTGACCATACTCGATCCACCTGCGAGTAATTCTTATTGATCTCCGAGACAACCAAGAATATCGGCGCGAGGGCCAGCGACAATGCAGCTGCTGCAACCAGCGGATTCGTGTCAAGATATAGTTGCTTCAGTGCGGCACTATTCGCAAAAGACTCGACGAACAGCGCTGGAAGCGGGCGCAATTGGGTGAGGTAAGGAGCCACGGTGGAATTGTAGTCGGCGCATTCTGTCAAACTGCGAACTACGGGCAGCGCCATGACTGGCGAAAGACCGACCCGGAGGTGTCGAACGAAGACCTTGTGGATATATCGAAGAGACTTCGTAGACGAGGTAGTAGGTGATGTTGTTCAGGGAAATGTATTCATTTACGCGGTGGCCTTGAACTCCAAAAGGGTGCAGTAATAATGAGATGATGAGATGAGATGCCGTGACATGGAGAGAAAGTAATGATGTAATCACGATCGTCAAGATCCAAGCCCCAGATCTGCCTCCGCCAATCAGCACCCTCCGTAAATACGGTACCGACAGCACCGCGGCCTGGGAGAAAAATTACACGCAAACGAGGGTACCTGAGGTATCGTCTGTTTTCCGCGGCCAGGCTGAACAACGCGTCAAAAGATTCGCTCTTTCTGGCATAAGGTACACGCTCCTGTCCTTGAAACGGCCTCTCCTTTGCCCGCTCCAGACTGAACATCTCTTCTCGGACATGAAGCCTGCCCAACATGAGCCATGCCCGGTCCCAAGATTCTATGCGTTGCAGAAAAGCCCGCAATAGCCAAAGCCGTCGCCCAGCATCTTGCGGGTGGCCAGCTAAATACGGTAGGCAACCCCTCTCCCTGCAGTCTTCTCATCTCTCATGTTCATAGCGTCCGATTCGCGGTAGTCAATATGTGAAGAACTATGAGTTCGAGTTCAATTTTCGAGAATGGGGCAATTGCTCGGTCACAATGACCAGTGTGCTGGGCCATCTGACAGCCCTGGATTTTGACCCGAGATACAAGAGCTGGAAGTCGTGTCCACCCAGCCAATTGTTCGACGCAACAACCTTGGTTACCATCGACAAAGACAAGAAGCCCATCGCCGACAATATCCAGCAACAGGCTCGTTATGCTCGAATTCTCTTCATCTGGACCGATTGCGACCGTGAAGGCGAGCACATCGGTGGCGAAGTCCGCGATCAGGCCAAGAAGGGCAATCCGAACATCCTTGTAAAGCGAGCAAAGTTCAGCAACACCGAAAGAGCGTGAGTTAGGAGCATATACGCCCTGGAACGAGGCTGACTGGTGATAGTCATGTTATACAGGCAGCACACTCCCCCATCGACATGGATGAGCGCCAAGTCAGTGCTGTGGCCGCCAGGATAGAGCTCGACTTGCGTATAGGAGCATCCTTTACCAGGCTGCAGAGTCTTGAACTACAGTGTTTGAGCGAAAATCTCCGCGACAAGATGATCAGTTACGGCTCCTGTCAGTTCCCCACCCTTGGATTTGTGGTCGATCGCTACAACAGAGTGCGGAACTTTAAGCCAGAGCTCTTTTGGTCGATCAAGCTAGTGCAGGTTCGCGCTGGGATCAAGGTCAACTTCAACTGGCGGAGAGTGCATCTTTTCGACCGAGCTGTGGTCACTATACTTTTCGAGGCATGTCTTGATGCAAAATATGCCCGAGTCACCAAGGTGCAAACAAAGCCGACGTCGAAATGGCGCCCGTTGCCTCTAACCACTGTGGAACTGCAAAAGCTCGGGAGTCGTTTTCTACATATGACTAGTCACCAAGTCATGTCCGTCGCGGAGAAGCTCTATACAAAAGGCTTCATCAGCTATCCGCGCACGGAGACCGACCAGTTTCCTCAAGGGTTCGGCTTTCAGCCTATCATTGAACGCCAGACCCGAGATGATCGTTGGGGCCGGTATGCGCAGGGACTGCTTGACGGCGGCTTCCGAACGCCTCGGTCCGGGAGTCATAATGATCAAGCCCATCCTCCCATCCATCCGGTCAATTATGCCGCACCTTCGGCTCTCGATCAGCATGAAAAGAAGGTGTATGAGTTTGTGACCAGAAGATTTCTTGCATGTTGTTCGGAAGATGCCAAGGGCGAAGCGACCGACATTGAACTGCTCTGGGGCACGGAGATGTTCCACACACATGGCCTCCTCGTGCGGGAACGAAATTACCTCGATGTTTATGTCTACGATAAATGGGAAAGCAGTCAACAACTCCCTATCTTCACCGTGGGCGAAACGTTCGAGCCTACAGAAGCCAATATGGCCGAGGGCAAGACCACTGCGCCGGGATATCTTACCGAACCCGAGCTCATCACCCTCATGGACGCGAACGGGATTGGTACTGATGCCACGATGGCGGAGCATATTGCCAAGATCAAGGACCGCTCATACGTTGATACCCGGCCGCGATCGGGTGGCGGTCGCAACTCAGTTCAGGAATTCATCCCTACAACATTGGGAGTGGCCTTGATTGAGGGATATGACAACGTGGGTCTCGACGTCAGCGTCAGCAAGCCGTTCCTTCGCAAGGAAATGGAACTAAAGATGAAGGCCATTTCTGAAGGACGCAAGAGTCGAACGGAGGTTGTGCAAGAAAGCCTAGACCAATACCGTGAAGTCTTTATCAAGACACAACGCGAGATTAATGTTCTGAAGGAAGCTGTGACGAAATATGTTGTCAATGCCGGCGCTCACTGAAGTTGAAGAGGCTGGAAGGTATGATGTCGCCATCACTGCTATAACAAATCATTTTGGCCGGATTTACGGTATCCTTGCTTGTGAAGGAGACTGCCGGCGTGATTGGTGGTGATGGCCCAGACTCATCCAGATCCTCTTCCCAGCATCGTCAGCCGCGCCCCAGAAATTGTCATCACTGGCAGTGAAGAGAAGAGACTGAGGGGGATTTTCCAGAAGGTGGCCTGAAACAAGCCCAACTAAACCCAATGGGGATTTTTGCTGCCACTTCCGTGTCTGAGGTGCACGTGACTGCAGTGAGTTGTGCCAGTCACGGTGACAGGCACCACTGCAGCCGGGCCCCCAATGACGCGCGCATGACGGCACTGTGCGTTCTCTTCCTGGCTGCTATTTCGAGAGCCAATTATTTTTCCTCAGCCACAGTCGTCCAAGCCTTAAATCCAGGACCAAGCGGATTTGTGATGCGTGAAAACAGGGCACTTGGCCAATATGACATTCACGCCGCACATTGCGCCTTCTCCAGCTTCACATGGTGGCACCGACTGCCAGTCACTGTGTGCCGGTTACGGTTCCAGTGACGTTGCACGCATCGCCGTGACCTGCCAGTGCAGGGCAAGTGCGGTGCCTTGCCAGGGCAGGAACGGCCCAGCTTCACTCGCAAACGGATGCCAGTGCCGTTCATCGCCTATTTAAACGTTGACTCCTCTGCCCAGGTTGAACCTTTGATTCATGCAAACATCAGTCATTTCCCCCATTCTGACACAAGCCCACGTTATCTGCACCTCAAAGACAAACAGTACAGCCGAAGACAAACATCAACATCCGCAATCATGTCGGGTCTCGTGAACAAAGCGAAGGAGATCTTGACTCCCAACAAGGGCCACGAAACTACCACCGGTCATAGCACCACTGGCCACACCACGACCGGTCATGACACTGTTGGCCACACAACTGGAACTCATACCACTACTGGCCATACGACTGGCACTCATGGCACTCATGGTCAAGTCGGTGCTGCCCCTGTGCATGATGCATCAACTCTGAGCCACGGCACCCACACTGGTGGCTACGGCCATACTACAGGCACCGCCACTACCGGTCCTCATTCTTCCAATGTAGCAAACAAGCTTGATCCCCGAGTTGACTCGGATGCCGACCATCGTAACAACCCTACAAGCGTTGTTGGTGGATACGGCCAAACAGGCACAGGTACGACCTCAGCCTATGGCCATGGCACAACTACGGGAGCCACCACCGGCACTGCTGGACCTCACTCCTCCAACATTGCCAACAAACTCGACCCACGAGTCGACTCGGACGCCGATCACCGCAACAATCCTGCCAGTGCTGCAGGCGGATATGGTCAGACAGGTACCGCATATGGCGCAACTTCAGGAACTGCGGGAACCACGGGAACCAGCACCACCACTGGTCCTCATTCTTCCAACCTGGCCAACAAGCTTGATCCCAGAGTTGATTCGGATGCAAGCCATGGAGCAGGCCATACTGGTGTTGGCGGGAACCGTTTCTAGACGCGTTGGGCTCATGGACAACCAGACATTCTTTCATGATGATGATGTATGAATAGCGCTGAGGCATTGATACCACCATAGCTTCTGTCTGCTGGTCTAGATCCAGCGGCAATGACTGTATTCTTACTACTTGACCTTATTGCTTTTCCACAAATTCATTGGCGTTGATTTATCATTTGTAAAGGCGCATAATCTAGGTTTCTGGAAAGTGACATGTAGAAGCTTGTAATCTTGGGCGGATCGTTCCCTTATCGCAATTTGACAAGTAAACCGGGCATTTTCCCTTGTGTCGTTGAGCAAGGTGTTAGAGCTGGTGGCAGTACAGCCGAGTGAGGTTCACCAACTCCGAGTCCACAGCAGTCTTCAGGCTGCATCAATGCAAGGGCACATCCCCAGTTTACAGACATCTAGGTATTATTTCAGCCGCAGTAACCTACAATACTAGGCTCCTACCCCGGGGCTCGGACTCTCCGACGCAGACCCTAAGCCCCGATCGCCTTTAAACCAGACACAGTTAACCAACAGCCCAGCACCCCCGGAGTGTCCACCTGAGACCCTTTTACGCCACCCCCAAGCAGTCTCCGTATGGTACAGAGTTGCCTGTGCAATACGCCATCGGGGCCCACCGGCTCCGACTTGCGCCTCTCAGGTTGGTTCGGCTGGCGAAATGCCCGAAAAATGCGAAGGTGCCGGGCATATGAGAAGTCAATAACTCGGATACGACCAGTCCATGCGTTACTGGACCTTGCACAATACAAGATTTGTTACCTACACAAATATCGCCCGCTTTCCAGCCTCAATACCTACTAGTAGCAAGAAATCGGCCACCTCATGTCCTGAAGTCAACAAACCTCCAAACTTGTACTCTGGCAAACAACTGATGAACCGTCATCGTCATCGTCGTCCCGTCGCAGTTTCACGTGTCACGCAACGCCGCCACTTCGCACAAGATGGGCATCCGGGCTGCGCCATCGCAATCGCAATCCGAAGCCGAACCATTCCCAGCATTCGATGAAGATGATGAAGAGTGCTTAGCGTACGAGCGACAAGCGGAAGAGGGCCGGGGCCAGAGTCACAGCCAGAGTCGCCGTAAAGATGGAACCCGAAGATCCTCGATCAATGCGCAATTTTCCTCGCGCGCCAACCGCACGCGGACCTCGTCCTTGATCCAGTCGTTTGTCGAGAGCCATCCCCCGCTGGGGATGTGGCAGGCCACAGGCGAGGTTGGATCGAAGATTCCCACGCTGCCCGAGATACGAAATGGGGCGTTTGCGGACGACGGATGGACGCACGAAGGACAGATGGAGCGACGGGGTGCAAAGCCCACAGAGCAGAGGATGGAGAGGACCAGTTCTGCTAGCACCAGAACAAGAAAGAGTTCCCTGTCTGCCGGTACCAATGCCAATGCCAGTGCTAATGCGAATGTGCATCCTGTGATTGTGGAGGAACGACATGACTATTTCCCTGGTAATAGAAAAGCATCTATACCATTACAGGAGCCGTTGGTTGAGGAGGCCACAGCGACACAACAAGAACAGAAACCATCAGAAAACTATACAGATACGGCAGAGAAAGAACAGTACCAGTACCAGTCAAGTATATCTTCACAACAACACGACCCCAATGGACCGCAGACGGTCCATATCCAAAACGGGCCCGACGAAACAGGAACCTATCCCAACGGCTACCGATTCCCCAAGAAACACACATGGAAGCAATCGACAATGATTGGACTCCGAGCATTCTGGAAGTTCGTTCTAACACCCTTCGGCTTTGTCATGACCATCTACGGGCTCAACATTATCGGATGGGGAGCCATGATATTCTTCGTTCTTCTCAAAGCCGCGCCGGCAATGTGCCATCCGAACTGCGAAGACGACAACAGCGCACGGCAAAAATGGATTGAAATCGACTCGCAGATCTTGAATGCTTTGTTCTGCGTTACGGCGTTTGGCCTGTTCCCATGGCGAGCGCGGGATTTCTACTACCTCATGCGTTGGCGCCTTTTGGGCGATCAACTGTGCCACCGTCGTCTCGCAGGCATTTATCGATCTTGGTATCGCCTGCCGGGATCTGACAAGTTACCTGAGAACCTTGGTCCTCCTCCCGTTTACGACAAGAAACATCCACGCACGCCGGAATCGCCTCCGCCATTCAGTGACGAAGAAATCGCGAAACTCGAGGAGAATCCTGCGATCCCGATCCCCGTCACATCCATGCCTGAAGCGCCCCTGACGGGCGTTCGAGCTCCGCCCAGCAAGTCCTGGACTCTCGATCTGGTCGTTTGGATGTATATTCTCAACACGGGGTTTCAAGTCTGTCTGTGTGTCTGGATGTGGCATTTCAACCGCTTCAACCGGCCTTCGTGGGGTACGGGAGTCTTTATCACGCTAGGGTGTCTGGTGGGTATCTGTGCGGGTATTTGTGTCTTTGTCGAGGGTTCGCGAATAAAGAGAATAGAGGGGATTCCTGTGCAAGAGTACGATGTCCTTGAGTCGGTGGAGGATTATCAGGAGCGCAAGGCTAAGGAGGATAAAAAGGAGGCTAAGAAGTCTGCTAGACGAGATCAACTTGAAGGGCTACGGGGACATTATAGGGTTGTGAGGTCGGAGAAACTCAAGGGGCAGCAGTGGTATTCGAGAAATTGAGTTGGTATTGGTTATGGTCGTGGCCGTGGCCGTCTGTCGACCTTGAGAGCGCGTGAACAGTTTGTGTTTTCAGGATTGTTTATTGTTGAATGGATGCAGTGCCACGCCAGCATGGCTGTGGGGAGCGAGGCCCAAGGGCAGACTGTTATGACCCAGGTATATATCATTTGGGATACACAGAACCGATAGCAAGCGAGGTCATTATTGGATATGGAATACACCTATAGGTAATATTGGCGGCATAGGCATGCCTTTTGTGGATTTTATATCGATACCCATCCGGTGCAGTGGTGTTGACGGAGAGTATGGTACTAGTGGATAAGCCATTGCACTTCATGCATGTATAGTGTCCTGACAGATCCCGGCCTGCGCTCGCTGGTGCTCACTGGCAGTGTAAATACTCGCAACTACCATGGCATCCTCTCATGAGGACAACCAAGGTCCTGTGGGAACAATCAATGGGGACAATCAACCCCGGGATTGATGCTCAGTGCACCGCAGTGAAATCTTGGAGCCCCGTCAACACCGGGCCCGGAGGGCTCGTTCGTCCAGCTAAGGTTGGGTTGTCATCATTTCCAGTGCTAGTATGCCCTCCTGGTTGGCGACAGGGTCGATTGACAGATTCGACTGGCCCGTTCATACTGTAGCTGCAGTAGGTTGGCGATGGGATGGCCTGATGTGGTCTGGGATTGACTTCCATATTCGTCCAAACCAACGCGACAGGTAGAATATCTGGTGGGGGGTTCCTGTATCGCCGGAGTCGAAGTCAAGTCGATATGGCCTGGGACTGGCTTACCCCTGGCAATGCATGGCGGGTTCCCGCTGCAGATCGAAAAGATGATCCTTCTGAATCTGACTACGGTACCACGACTGAACAGCCTGTTTCACGACCGAGGATCTTTCATGTGAGCCTGACCTTCCGATCGTTTCCGCGATAACAAGACCATAAGAGAAGATCTTGATGTTCGGGAGAGTTCTGCAGTGATGCGAAAGTCGACTCGCGACGGTCTCAGACGGCAGTTGTGCCCAACTCGTTGACAACGGGATGAAAGTGGGCGCATATCTAGGTAGGTAGACACCAACCCACAGACAGCCTTGCAACATTACAGCCGCCCCTGCATATTCCAACGCCTGTAGTGCAAATCGTAGATGCACGCCGTGGGCTGTGACAAGGCTTGCTGGAATCTGAGGTGGTTGACCATCCCATCCCACCAACGATCCGATCCCAAATAAATTGGAAGACAAAATACGGATGCGTGCGTCCATTCTCAACCATTCTGTCTAGGCTTGACTTCGCCTTCCTGCATGATATAATAGACGACGGTGCCATCGCCCCCGACGCCCTCGCGGGCTTTCATGCCCAGCAACACGCGCTTCTGATCACGATGCTTATAGAGGCCGCCTGGATTTCTCGTCTTTGCACTCGCACTGGCACCAGAGGCTGAAGAAGTCGATCCTGTACCGGCGGCGACATTGGCGTTGTTGACATCACCATTGGCACCGTTGCTGCTGCCACTGCCGGCAGGAGAGCGTGCAGAAGAGGCGGGAACAACAATCACATCCCGATCAGGCAACTGATCAAAAACCGCACAGAATCTAGCCAAGGACCACTTCTCGCCCAGCGAGAGCGGGAGCACAAACTCGCGCTGTACCGGTAGTGCCGTGTCCGAAAGCCCTTGCTTCAGCAGCCGCATCTGCAGATCTGGATGGACGTAGCTATGCTGTGGTGGCAAGCCCGAGATGATCGTGACTGTGTTGTTGACCGCAGTCGCGGAGGACGGTGTCGATGTGCCTGACCCGGCAGGGGAAGAAACGCCAGTGGTCGTCGGCGATGGCAATTGTATGCCGATGCCGCTGCCAGCACCAGCACCGGACGACACGCTCGCGACCTGGGTAGTACGTGTGCGTGGATCAAGGTCAACGAAGCGGGTTGATGGTAATGCGTTGAGGTAGATAATGTGTCGTTTGAGATCTGTCCAATTGTGCTGGTGTTGGAGGTTGTGCATGATCTCAATAGACAGAGCCTCCGAGGCGGTTTTTGCTCCAGAGTGTGAGATGAGAGTTGACACTGCCGATGCCTGGGGCGGACCATCGGACTTGGAAGCCGCCGCTGTCATAGTGAAGCGAGCTGAGGCCTTCAGCCGGGCGCCGAGTCAAGTATTCTGAAATCTGATCGTCTTGATTTGAAGTCGAGTGCAGTATTGTTTTGGTATAAAACTTGCCGTGCACTGCAAGGCTGAAAGGGCTGATAATCGTAGCACACACTAGTACAGCTTTGGTCAAGACCAGCCATTAGCGGGACTTAGAGTGGAGGTTGTCAACACTGATTGGTGACAAAAGGCACTACAACTGGATATGGATAATACAAGTTCTACAACTAGTAGGACAATGAAAGAGTGCAGAGTGAACACGGGCAGTTTTGCTTAGAAGTGTAGTCCCGCGACAAGTAAGGAAGTAGTCACGTTCAAATTAAGATGCTTGTAGATTCATTCATTGTAAGAGATTACATGTATGTCACTACATGTCAACTTTAGGAGCGAAATCCCCAGTGTACTAGTTGCTAGATTCTTGCAGATTTACTGCCGACTAGAGCGTTTTCTCATCTCGCACCCAGTACAGTTCCACGCCTCCTGTGGGTGAAGTACAGGTGCTATGTGCCATTGCAGCATGATGCTAATCACACCCTCAAACACGCTGTCATCTCGCCTGCTTCATATCGACGGGCCTCCAGCTGCACCCACGATCTTTAGGCTTGACTTCCCCTGACGTGTCTCTTCGATCTGGGTGTATGCCAACCAGTAACGGTTAGGGTGCCATTCAACGGCCGGGATACCACTAGTCCCCGTGGGAATGGTATGGACCACGTCACCCGTCTCGGCATGGTATATCTCGAGTCCCGCGCTCGTGCTCTCGCCGCCGCTGCCTGAACCCATCTCCTCACTGGCGCCGACAAGGTAGCGTCCATCCCAAGACCAACTCAGTCCTCGGATTGCTCCAGAACTGGGGTTCGACACAGTACGCCGACAAACCCAATCAGTTGTGTCCCAAAGTGAGATCATGGCGTCGGAGCCGCCGACGGCCACGTATTTACCGTTCGGGCAGTAAGCGATAGCAGTGCAGGAGGACGTGTGGGCGGAAATGGTGTGTAGAGGCTGGAAAGATGGATAATCCAGAATCTTGACGGATCCATCGCCTTGGGTGATCAATAGGTCGGTCGGAGGGTGAGCGTTTGAAAAGGTCGTTTGATTGGTCTGTTGTGGCTGTTTGTGTCTCGAAAGAACGACCGGAGATGAAGGGATAGCGGTCGAAATTGGAATGAGTACGTCGCCCTATATACGACGGTGTCTGCGTCAGCAGGCTGTCCTGGAGTCCCCGAAGAATTGTTCCCTGTTACCATACCTTTGTTCCGGCAAGCAGAGTGCTCCCATCAGTGCTCCAACTCAGCGTGAAAGGCTCCCCGCCGACATCAAGTTTGGTGACGCAGGTTTTACTCCGAGTGTCCCAGAACCGCACTGTTCCATCAGAGGAGCAGCTGGCCAGTTCGAACTCGCGAGCAGGATTAAACAGGACTTTTTCTACCGCATGACCGTGTCCTCTAAGCTCGGTCTGACTTCGTGGACTCGTCCGTTCAGGGTTCCATACCCGCACTGTCTTGTCGTTGGCGCCCGTCGCGATCAGCCCACCCGAGGCGTTCCATGAGATTGTTCGGTGACTGTGAGCGGAAAACAGGATAAATCAGCCGGATGGTCGAACCAGTACGGCCCCAGGTCTTTCGACAGTGGAGAGCTTGCATGCGCACTACGTACATTGTCGGCGTGAGCGTTCGAGTAGCCGGGTCGGTGTACTGTTGGGTTTTCAGAAGGCTGAACTGCGCCCCGAACTTGTCGCGACCCAGATGCTTGCGATAGCTTATGGGAGCCATCTGGTTGACAGACCGCAAAGCCTTATCGTTCTATGATCGGCGATAGAGGTCAGATTCTGAGATGTGCTCCATCATGCGTGTCGACGAGCGCTGTCGGCCATATCCAGCGGGTCAACTGCGGCCAAAAAGTCTGGGGAAGTGTTCGAATACAGGTTGCGTAGTAGTGGTAGCGCCATTAACTCTGCGCTGCGCCGTAGTCGGAAAGTCAAATTGCGCAAGCGTATGCATCACCGTACTTGATAGTCACGTGACGGCCCAGAACCTTGTCTTTCACACTTCGTTCGTCTGTCCCTCCATTCTTCCGCTTCAAAACCGGTCAGACAGCAAACACCCTTCATCCAATATTAACCCAATACGCACAACCGTCGCCGGCAGCTCATTCCCTCAAGCCGGAGGTGCTTTTCGTCTCTGAAGAAACGCTCTTTGGAATCGCCTGGGGTGGGCGTGGCTACAATGATGGAAGACTTTCAATCGGAAACAGATAGTGACTATACCAGTTACTGGCGGGACTGGGTACGTTTTGTTTTTTGCACTTCCGTTCCCACTCTTCACTTCCCCAATTGCCCCCATTGGATTGTGCGCGAAGAAAAATCTATCGAAGCAAGAAGACAAGCGCGTTTGGGGTGATTCTTTTACCGCCGCGCCATTCATATTGAGGCCAAATCGCAGAGGTTTGACTTGGGCACCTCCATTGCGAGAGCAAAAGAACCCAATCCTTGAACCTTGCAATCCAATGTCCGAGGAGCTGTCTGTATCAGGATTAGGCCACGAAACGGCGGAGATGGAGAATCTAGATTAATACTAACCAGAATCGATGTCATTCTACAGTTCATATCATCCCGAGGCAACGAATACTTCTGCGAGATCGACGAGGAATACATTACCGACCGATTCAACCTGACAGGTCTCAACACAGAAGTGCACTACTATCAACATGCACTGGACCTAATCACGGACGTGTTCGACCTAGATTGCGACGACGACATGCGCGAAACAATTGAGAAGTCTGCCCGCCACCTCTACGGCCTCGTGCACGCACGATATATTGTGACGACCCGGGGATTGGCCAAGATGGTCGACAAGTTCAAGCGGTCGGATTTCGGTCGATGTCCCCGCGTTCTCTGTGACAGTCACCCTCTGTTGCCGTTCGGACCCAGCGACAACCCGGGCCAGAAGAGCGTGAAACTCTTCTGCGCCAAGTGCGAGGACATATACAATCCCAAATCTAGTCGTCATGCCGCTATCGACGGTGCTTATTTCGGTAGCTCGTTCCACAATATTTTGTTCCAGGTCTATCCGGCCCTTGTGCCGCCGAAGTCGCGTCGTCGCTACGAGCCCAAGATTTTCGGGTTCCGGGTTCATGCTGCCGCCGCCCTGGCGAGGTGGCAGGACGAGGAGAGACGGCAAATGCGGCAACGTCTAAAGGATGCTGGTGTCATTGCCGAGGGTGCCCAGTTGTTCATCGAAGACGCCGACAGCAGTGATGGTCAGGGCCATGAGGATGATGATGACGACGAGCTCGAGGACAATGGTGACCGGAAGATGAACCTGGCCGCCGAGCAGGATGAAGGTGTGGAATTGCAGCAGCGGTCGTAACAGACATCACAAATACGAGTTTGCCGGGGAACATTCTGGCGAATGATTCACGAAAATGGAGCAGTTGGATGGGCGTCAGTGACTCTTTCCGGAATACTTTGGCGTTTGTAACCCCCAGAGAGTGGCGTTATGGGGTTTTGGGTTGGAGAACCATTCAGCACTTGTTGTTCTACTTCTACTGCGGGCAATTCACTGGCAGAAAGCAGAGCTTTGAGGAAATCAGCTGAGAGCAAGATGGTGTCCCCAATGCAAAATGACATTGGTTTGTGCATATGCCACGAATTGAAACCCGTCATCATTTCATATCCGCTTGGCTCATTCCGGCGGACCTCTAATCTCTTCTTCTCCTCTTCCCCTTCCTACCAGTGTCTTCCTGACCTTCCACATCATCTTCATCTTTGCCCTTCCTGAGGTCTTCGGGAGCCAATCCCCATGCCTCTGCATCAATCCAATCCTCGCCGTCTGACAACTCGCCCACATGCCCTTCAGTTCTACACCATTCCCAGAGCTTTTCGCGCATCCTCTTGGCCTTTATCAGTTTTGCCAGCACCGCTTCGTATGCCCGCACACTTTCTTCTTGCTTTTGTATGAATAGCATCAGCAGTCGCCGCGTTTCCATGAATTCATCAATCGGCAGACCCAGGCGGGACAATATGGGGGGCACTCGTTGGTTCGTCGTCAATGCCGGAGGAAGGAGGAATAGAGGATCGGGTTTAAGGAGCGAGGAGTCGATGGAAGATGTGGTTGAACTTGGTGACATGGGAGGAGTTGCGGCGGTGGAAGCATTGTGCTCGGCTGCAAGTGCTCGGGTAATTCTTCGCGTCGGTTGTGCATCGCCTTCGTCATCAGCATCGGCTTGTTCATCTGCGTGGAGGTTAGTTTGTTCAGGAGAACCGCCCTCCTTTGCATCCTCGTCGTGCTTGACTCTGGGTTCGTCCAAATTGGCATCATTTTGTGCATGATCGCGACCATCATCGGTGTGGTGGAGCCCATTGCCATTCGTGGTCTGCTCGGTCATGTCCATAGCGCTGTCCTCATGGGCAGACACTTCTGGATTTTGTTCCACTTCATGTTTGTCTCCTGGCTGGGCCTCTTCCAGACCCTTCTCACTGGTATCGCGCTCTTTCGTATCCTTGGTAGCACCAACATCCTCATCTTCGATAGTGGATGCATGTCCATTAATTCCGTTTTGGGTGGCTTCTTGTTCTGTCTCTCGCTTTCGCTTCTTGTTGGCGTTTTCCGAGAGTGCCCTCGGCCTAGGTTCAAACATGTCCCAGTCGTCAGGCCCCTCGACGGCACCCAAAGGTATCCAAGATTCGTCGCCCATGAAGACTCTGTTCAGATTCTTGGCTCGCCAGAGATGGGCCCTTTCCCGCCGCAGGATTTCTTCGGTGGATCTCACCTGGTCGGGCAGGGCACTGTCGAGGAAGGGGAGGGAGAGAGTAGGATGTGTTGACAGCTCGGATGGATGTTTCAAAGGACACAAGAGTTCTGAACACATTGAGTTAGCAGTTGCTCAAAACGTAGGGGGTGCGAGTGCCATCATACCCTCAATTCGGACGCCGCTGTAAGGATTCTCATCTTCGGCGTCTGCGTCCGCTTCGGTGTCACTTTCGCTGTCGTCCAACTCGTCTCCGTACTCGTTATACCGCCGAGGATTTCGCTGCAGGATGTATCGGGTATACCCAGCATGTTCAATCTTCTAAATATGCTGTCAACCTCTCATTCTCGCATTTTGTCCGCTGCACCAACCTGCTTGTAGCCGTCTGGACCGTGTGGATATGGCAGAGCGCCTGCGTGGACGTAGTTCGCACCGAGCTTTAACTTGTTGCCTCTGTTCGTTGCGGATGATATGGGTTGATCGGTCGGAGCTGGGGAAGCAGGCCATGTCAGTATCGAATACTGTAGGGGGGAAGGCATAACATAGGGACGGCTAATTACCTTCTCTTTCTCGTCGCAAAGTTCGCTTCAAAGCTGCTATCGTCTCCGCGATCTCTATATGCTGCGGAGGCATGTTGGCAACCCCTTGACCCTGAGAAAAGCCCACTGGTGTCTTGTCTTCAGCGAGCTGGTGGCCGGTGGCAGAGGGAGGGAGGGACACCAGCGGAGAAAGTGCTTGAACTGATTACGAAAGTGGAAGATGTGAGGATAGAACTGGCTTGACTGGGAATAATACCCTCAGGCTCTGTCGTTCCCAGACTGAATAGTGAATTGTAACGATATTCAAGTTATTGTCGGTGTTCACCTTGTCAGAGGAAGAACTGCAACGCAACCGAGCGCGCAATGAGCGTTTCGAGTCATGCGGCGATCAGTGTGCAGCTGAATTCTGAGGGCGAATGACTCGAGTGCTAGTCCCAATCTGGCCGCAACTACGCAATGCCGAAATGAAGCATCTGCCCCTCTTATTTGCGAGGCTGGATCGCAGCCTTGTTGAGACAAGGAGAGATTATGCCACTTTGGATTTGTGATTTTTCTCACTGTATTTGCCAGTCTGTCTTCAATAATCTTCGAAATCTTCGAACTATATACAGGATACTCTACAGAAACCTCCGCTGTGTATTTAATGATGCTGTCACCATTGCGAAAGGTGGATTCCACTCCGGCATGGTCAGTGCCGCCCACCCTCGTTGAGGAGGATGGATCTTTCTTTCCAGAACCAACCGCTCTAATCCGGCTCAGTGTATGGAACTCCGACGCGATCAAGCCTTCTTCTGCTCCTTGGATTCTTTCTTTGCATAAATCTGAGCAGTGAAAGGACTGCGACACGGTTAGTAACTCAATTGAAGGCGGCATATCGTGGTGCTCTGGGCCATACTCCTCGAATTTCAGCGCGATCCAGTACATAACAAAGACTTCCAAGGTGAGCAGTACACCCGCGGCTCGACCTGTGTACAAGGCTGTGCCCAAGAATGATAGGGTGCTTCCCCAGTACATTGGCGCCCCGGTCACGTTGAAGGGAAAGCCTTCTACCTTGTGGTCCATCAAGATGCCAAAGTAGTCGCCGAGGTACGTGCCGGTGACTCCCAAGGCCCACATGCTCGAGAGTACCAGGACATTGCCAATAGCAAAGAGGACCGCACCTAGCACTGGCTGATGCAGGGGTGAATAAAGTGGTTGTTCATCGAGCGCCGATTTGTATAAAGAGTCGCGTAGGATTCCGAGCGAGAAAATGGTCACTGCCAGTGCATAACAGCCGTAATAGGGCGAGCGGAAGATCTTGGTCAAGAAATGGGTATTGTACTCTGATTTCGTGTCAGAATGTATATTGGATTATAATGTACTTGAATCGTCATACCAAGTCGGGCCACGACGCTGCATGAGTTAGTCATCTGATAGTGCACAGTCCTGGCACTGACTTACTTCCAGAAAATCGGATTGAAAGCTATGGCAGCTGCAGCAACTGTGTATTGTCAATATCATGTATGCCTGAACACGACTTTCGAGCGATCAGAGTTTACCGTAGAGCGATTGCGCCGATGTATCAATGAAGCCGACTTTCTCACTCCCAGTCGCACTGGCAACAAGATTTTGCAGCTTCTCCATGGTTGCTTGATCGATCGAGGTGTTTGATTGCGGCACAGATTACTAAGCTTTTATCGCACACAGAATCGAAGCTTTGAAAACGTGGCGGTGGTAGAAGTTCAAGTTCGATTCAAGTTGAGAGGGAGATTGATGAGCTCGCTTGGCACTACTACAGACGCTGGAAGGTGCCAGCTTCTTCACAATTTAGGGCCTATTTATCTGACGTGCTGGATCCCAAACGTGCCGCTTTAACAACCTGTATTCCATCATGATAAAGGCTGAAAAGGAGTCTTTGAGGTGCCCAAAAGGAAATCATACATGTACGTTCTTCATAATATTCATTTCTCCTGTTGACAAGAAGGTCTCGACACGTCTCTTTTCCCCTATGTATTCCATGTACAATAACTAGGGCTTCGAACTTCGTTTAGACCTTGACGAGAAGATTCCCCTTCTTGTCGACCTTCACCCCTTCTCCGCCAGGGAGGACTTTCAGTGTTTGTCCAAAATATGCATCAACCACTTTCAACTGCACAGCAACCCACTGGTCTCGCTTGTACGGGAATATCTGGTATGTTATCGTATGTCGGCTGATAGGGACCAAGCTTGGGGCACATATCTTTGGCCCGCTAAAAGCGAAGTCTTCACTGGCCTCCATTGAAATGTTGAATGTAAGGAAATGCATGCTAGGGTTCTCGATCGTGAACTTCAACTGCCTTGTATGCATTTCAGACAAGTCAACGGCCATATCAGTCGTCGTGAGCAGAACGCGGGGCTCTGCCATAGGTGCTAAGAGCTTGGACACCTCCAACACCGTGGTGTTGACGATTTCAGTTCCTTGCCGACGCCAGCCGATCTCGAGAGCAAGATCTAATCCAACCGTGTGCCGGTCGCCCAGTTTCAACTTCTGGATAGTCAGCTCAAAATCGAAGATCTGCGTCTGATCCGGTAAGATTATCGACGAGATCGCGGCCGCGTCTTTGTCAGCCTGCGTGTCATCCTCCTTGCGCACGATACCAGTACTTGTCGAGCAAACCGCTCCTCCCACAACTTTGGTCGCAGTAAGAAGAATTGCTTCAATGACGATAGGCTCCGCCGCAAACGAACAAATACTGGCTGCCATCACGTATCGATGTCGCAAACCTAGAGCACTTGCAGAATCGCTATCCGACGGAGGTGCCTCGAAGAAGTTCGGCCATGGATCCGCATCGAGGCGAGGGGTGAACTCGTAGTTCGCTTCAAAAGGCCGTATAACAGTGACATCGACCGTCGTAGTCTTGGTCAAGATGGTCTCCGGCTCCGAGATCAGTGCGTACCTTGCCGTAATTTCGATCTCGTAATCCACAGCGACTGCGGTTCCTGTAACAATTAAAGACACTGTTGTCTTGCCAGACGACGGTATTGCCCCGAGCTCTCGAGATGGTAACGTTGGGCTACCTGTATCTGAAGAAGGATCCACGGCTTCATTCGTTTCCGACGAGTGCCACCTAATTTGCGCAGCACCCTCAACGGAACCTATCATTCGTACCTCAACTGAGACTACCACTTCTTCGTCTTCTCCATTGAGGATGTCAAAGTCAATGTTGAAGGACTCATTGGTGTAGTATGTGGGTTTCAGGTCAGGTGCTTCAATCTGCAGTTTTGGCGGCTTTGGTTTGACATCAATGGTGTTGAACGCATTCGACTCTTGCCCGAAAGGGCGAGCAATAGGGATGCCATTGCGGGCCTCCCACCAACGAGCTGTTGAGTGTCCACTATCGGACGAGCTAACAGTGAGAGTGAATTTCTCATCCTGAATTTTGAGAGCAATTGATGCAATAGATATTTCTCCTGCCTCTCGTGGTATGACACGGAAGCGGTATATAATTGTATGGCCGGGTGCGATTATCAAGTCGCCAACGCCGATCAACGAAGGCACTGTTTCGGTAGAAGACCGTTTGCTCGCTAGCACAGCCGTAGATGAAGAGTCTTCGAGGGCGACATCACAGAAGCGAGCCCTTGACGCGTCATTTTCTTGATGTTGGACTTCTCCCGATACCAGACAGATGGGTTTCAGGCTACCCTCAAAGACGACCCTGGCTTCGGTGAGTTGAATAGGAGATAATCCTTGCCGAGCCCGAGACTCTATGGAAAGCTGACACTCTAAGGGCTCTCCGACAAACACGTTGTGGGTAGAGAAGGCGAAGGCCGGCACCAGCGGCGACACCGCTTCATCCATGTCGATTACCACCGATAGATTGATATCCTCGGACGAGGAAAAAATTGAGCCAAGTTGCAGGTCATAGTTGACGCCTGGCTTTGGTTCAAACAGACTGTTCGAAAGTTCCCAAATCAATTGAATCAGAAGAGCATGGTCTTTGACATAAGACACGCAGTCCAGCAGAGCCCATCCGAGGTATTGTAATAATCTCCACCAACCACCCCGCCTCCAGTTCGTGCTGTTCCACAGGGGAAGAAGGGTCGCAACAGCCTCTGTCCAGGACCCTGCACTGATTTGTTCAAGACCTTTTTGAAGTTCCAAGATTTCGACTTTGCGTAATTGACCACGTTTGGCGAAGTGAGCAATGGCGACTTTCAAGGTACTCAGAATCTCTTCTAGATAATTATACCCGGCACTTCCATCAGTTGGTACCTCACGATACGGCTCAAGTGCCAAATATGTATCGTAAAGGTGAGCTCTGCTTGCTACCATAGAGGCTGGCGAGCGTCCTGGGGACTGTCTGTCCTCGTCCGGGACTTGTAATGCCCATTCTCGGCGGTTGCTGGTGCATTTTCTGGAGATGTCAAGCCAATATCCCTCGTGGTGGATGAGTTCCCAAGGAGTGGTAAGGTCAGCGGGTTGAAGCGACTTATCAGGCCGGGCAAAGATAGAAAGAATCCCTGAACTCTCGGTGTTCTTGACGTTGAGCAGTGGATATTCTGAGTTGGACAGCAATTCTGCCATGACCTTTGCCCAGGCAGATTGCCATGCCTCCCATCCATAGTTGTCCGTGCCCTTGCCTTTTCGATTGACCAAGTCCATGGTCCTATCTCGGTGACTGATCCAAAAACGCACTGCTGCGGTGCCCTGATTTGACCATAGAAGACACCTGATAGTGCGCAATGCGATGATATCGGCAAGCAACCGCGCCTCGTTGAAACGTGGACTCCATATTGGAACCGCTTCTATAACTTCTGACCCAAAGAGACATTCGTATGCCGCCTCGTAGTTTCGACATGCAGCATCCATTTCCTGGCGAAACTCTGCGAACACCCCTAGTTTGAACTCATACCTGACGTTCCAGCCTTGTGACGACAATGGATGGGAGGTGCCTGGTCGCACGGTTGGCTGAGGAACGACGTTTCTATTACGCTTACGGCGAGCATGCTTCGAAAGATCGCGATAATATTCCGCACATAAGGGATTGAGATAGGAAAGGACAGAGCTAACAAACTCTTCCACCTCGTTCGGGGTGGCGTCATGAGGGAGAAAGTAAATGGATTTCCCGTCAAGACCAGTAGCACGCCGGATATTGTTGCAACGATCTTCAACCTCGGAGGAAGTGATATCACCGTCACCCAGCAGGACGAGGACGACTCTAGTCCGGTAATTAGTTGACAAAAGCACGTTGCGGACATTGCTGATCTCGGACTTGAGCTTATTGTCCTCCAGAGAGCTGACATGTGGATCAGAACAGAGGGAGAAGAAACTCAGAAGGGCACAAGGCAGCCGGGACTGATGTTTCGTGATCCACAAGGGCGACATGATCCCATCGGGATACAGCGGTGAGCGTGGTGTCAGAGGCGACAGGGGAGAATGGAGCACGAGAGGCGGCGGGGGGCTTCCATTGGCAACAGTCGCTGACAAGCTGGGAGAGTAGGGCGGAGGCGGTGCCTTACGGGGAGGGAGAGTGTATACCTATGTTTCTTGTCAGACGCCAATGCTCTTGGCCTTGAGAACAGTAATTGCGACGCACCCGCCCAACCGGTACGATCTTGAACACCCTGCCATTTCGAGCGACTAGGGCCTGCGAATGCCATGGCACCTCAGAGGCATCCTGTGCGCGGAAAGACTGGAGCAATCGCTCTGCGAGAGGTTTTTGCGCGGGCGGCACATCTACCTTGATTCTGAAGCCACCTTCTTGGAAAAAAGCATGTGTCCGCCCAGATATGTCAGATTGAGACTCGCTCGCTCCTGAGCCTAATCCGGAGAGGACAAGTAAGGGTAAGTTATGGAGGACATAGTCCGCAGGGTATCGATCCATAACGGCCAGGCATCTTGCGAGCGCCTCCGCTGGTAATAGAGGCACAGTAAACTCCGAGAAGCGAGGTGCAGGTGTGCCTGCTTCTGGCAATGACAAACGCAACGTAGAAAGCGCACGGCAAGCGAGCGCCCGGAGTTGATGTGATTGCTACCAGGTAGTGGTCATCGACACGGATCGCGAACTCGGTCGGCAAAAAGCACAGTCGGCGCAGTTGCCTGTTTCGTGTTGACCGCGAAAGCCCCTTTCGACCCTCAGCCTTTCGTAGCCTTACGCCCTCATCCGAAGTTTATTGTTCACAGCTCCAGCGCTACCATTATCTTACCTATTAATGGTTGACATCACCCAATATTAGACACTCTTACTTCTTGCCGCATTCGTACATTCCCGAGTGGCGCTGTAAATCTCACATCTCATGACAAGGAAAAGCCGTCTGATAAATACATCGATCCTGCTGACGGCGGATGGCATATATAGCAAGGTAAAGCATGAAGAATAACTACATATCTATTTGTGTTTATGGCTGTCCATATTGTGCCGCTTGTGGCGTTCCTTTTCTTGTTTCTCCCGATGTTGGATGTATGCCTCGGCAGCGATCCCCCCAAAGACGAGCGCCACACCCATCCATTGGCCATGGCTCAAACTTTTACCGAACCAGACCACGCTCAGGACCATCGTAAGCATCTTGCGAGTCACCGTCACCGTCACAAGAAGCAAACTTGAGAACCGCTCCAAAGTCGCGTAGATGAAGAGCTGGCCAACCGCGCCGCAAGCTGCGAAACCCAGCACATCGTAGAAGACTGTAGGATGTCTGCTAAAGAAAGCCAAAGCACTGGCCAACTCATGGGTTTCACTGGGTTGGGCGAACGCGGGGAGCAGGGATGGTGGAATATATGGCGTCACGACAAGATATAATGTCATGATCAAAGTGCCCAGTAGATTCAAAATGACCATCATTTGAGGCCCTGTAGTCTTGCCGTAGCGATGTGGAGATTGGAAGATGTGATCTTGCACAGTATTGGTAAGGCCATCGAAAAGAAGATTTATTCCCAACAAAGTCAGGCCATAGGTGCTCGAGGCCTGAGTCTTCCGTTGCTTGCCAGGTTTCGGTGGGTGATAGAGTGTAAACAACGCAACACCCGCGGTGACTGCAAGCACGATAACATATTTCGAGAGTGGGTAGCGCTTGCGGAACAGCGTGACATGGAGGGCCATGACAGGGAGAAGCTTGCACGATTTAGCAAGGACGAACGTAAGATAATCGACGTGGGCGAGTGAGGCATATCCGAAGGGAGAGGCAAGAGTGGTAGTCAACGCTACCAGGAGCAGTGGTCCCAGGGCGGCGGTCGAAGGAAGAATCTTAAATGATTTCGTTTTGTAGAGCAGATAAAGACTTCCGCTCAAGAAGGCAAAGAACGCTTGAATCGTATTCAACACGATGGGAAAGCGGAAATATTCTTGCGGCGCCTGCGCCGCCTCGTCGACCGGATATGGAGTGGTCGTGATACGCTCCTGAAGGAGACCCCATGTTAAGAAAGAGGCATAGATGCCCGAAACACATATAAGGAGCGTCAGAATCCCAGGAGAGGATTTTGCATGGGAATGCCTTCTCTTTCTCGGTGAAGCCGGTTCGGAGACATGTCCATTGCCGTAGACTGCGCGCTGGTCGGGTTCGTTTGAGAGAGACTGCATAATCTCCCCGGAATTGACGCGTTGCGTCGGAGCGACCTGTTTTCGGCGCGCCATAACAGAGGTATGAAAGGTCAAAGGAACGACTGGAAAAGATGGAACGGCCAACAATGCGAAGTGAGAGTAGATGCAGTTGATGGGATGGTACAATGTAGAGTACTCTGATGGCGGTAGAAGATCTGGCCTTTACCAACCTGCGGCCAAATATTTGCGGCCCCGGCCTTACAAGTGTTATTTCCGATTCGCGAATAATCCGCCTGAAGTTGAACGAAGCGTCAGGGGTGTCGCGTGCAGTGCCGGTTCAGAGCATTGTCCTTACTACCAGGTATGTACAGTGGTACTTTAATTCAGTCCCATGGAATCAAGCCTCGTTGTTTTCCAGCCTGGCTGCTTGCAACGTGAAGTGCACGGGCTGCTCCTGACAAGAGGGATGGCTATTAAGTACCTCGATACTGTCAAGGTGACGCTCAATACGAAGCATTGTGATATTCCAGCAGTACCTGAAACATACACGACACCGTCTAATCATCCTCATCATCACTTCCGAAGATGGCTCTAAATACAGCCTGCCCGGGTCTTTCCTGCTCTAGTGCCTCATTTCGATCTGGTTGGATCCGAGCAGATGCCGTTGGTATTTCCTGGACAGAACCAGTTGTTTCTTGGCTCAGGCTATGTGCGACATCCCTTGACGTGTGCTCTACCTTCCCGACTTCATTTGAATCGTTTTGGCGTCCAGCTGACGTAAAGGAGCCGGATGGCTGTGTTGTGGTGTGGTTCTGTGCTCCGGCCGCAGACGTAGTGCTTGCCCCCATTCCCCCAGCCATCGAGGCAGAGTGGTCCGGCAATGGCACATTGAACCTCTTGCAAAGCAGTCGGGTCGGATAGAAGCTTGTCACTGACCTGGTCATTGGACCGAACATACCCAGCTTCGCAGCCGCCACAGCTGGATCCTCTGGCTTTGTATCCGGCCTAGACAGCAAGGAATCTTTTGTGCCGTCGGTGAGGTCTCCGTTATTAGCTGCTGGCAAGGAGGAAGAAGACGTGAAGCGGCTAGCCATGACGCCACTGATAGGCTTAAAGACCTCAGCAGCGCGGGCGAACTCATTCATCTCAGTTACCCAGTCGTCCTGTGTCATTCCCTCCGCGCGGGGAGGGAGGTCTTCGCTTCCTGCAGACTTGCCGATGCCAGCTTGAATCTCAAGATAGGCCCGATACCGGTTGCGCTTATTTTCGTCTTCCGCATACGGCATCCAGCCGCTAGCACCACGGCTCAAGGCCTGAAGAGCCACATCGGGCGCGAGTCTTGGAATCAGACTTTGTAGGTTTGTAGATGTAGATTTTCCCTCTCCAGTACCATCAGGAGGTACTTCATTCCCTGCTCCAGGGAGATCCTGCCGGCCTGAGGCGGCGACCATCCTTTCGCGAGCGGCAGGGGTCAAGAAGTCAAAAACAGATTTTCCAGGGAGCTGTGATTCTCCCAAAATATTAGCTCGAGATTTTGCTGTGAGAGTAGATGCTCGGGCAGCGTCGGCGGTTGAGACGAACTCCGCCTCAGAGCGATGGCTGGCTTCCTTGGCCATAGACGACTTCCATCCAGCTGGGACATCGGGAGGTTTATACTTGTCGTCCTGGATGGTCAGCGTGCCTAGCTGTTCCGCTAGAACGAATCCTTCTAGAGGCAATCTACCATCGTGGCACTTTCTTAAGGCTCCTTTCAAGTTGGCTAACTTTTTCGAAATGAATGTTGGCTTAGTTTTGACCAAGGGATTCGCAGCGGTAGTCGATCTCTTTGGCTTTGGCGTCGACTTCTTGTCGCCGCCAATTACCCTGTTGTAAGATATTCTCGGCCCCATAGAGTAAGGATCTTCATCGTCAGAACCGTCGTCATTAAGAATTCCCACGCCAATTCCGGTCATCCTTTTTCGCTGGGCGAATTTCGGGGCGAAGATGCGTGCGCTGGAGAGCTCATCTTTAGGAGCATCATCGTGCATAGCACTATCTTCCTGCATCCTGCGAGATGTAGTGGTCGCTTCAAGGTCTTTGGAGCCCATGCCTTCATATCCAAGACCTTTGTGATCTGTCTTCTTTTCATAAGACACTATGCGGACATCTTCAGGGGCGAAGAGGTGTTCCTCTGCAGGTTCAACCCCATCATCATCATCCAGCCTTGCCGCTCTTTTGACGCGAGGTCCAATCCCTTGTCCCTCCCTCCAGCCCATCCTTCTGAGTAGTTTCGAACCAATTGTCTCGTTCAAGGGTCGGAAGAGATCTACCATCGCCGCCTGTCGGCTCGGATCATGCTCGGTGCCAAATCCCGCAAACTCGCTGGATGTATTTAAAGTGCGCGCCTCTTCCACCTCACGCAAGTCTTCTTCGTCCATGAAATCCTCGGGCCTCTGCACAGCCTTTTGGCCATCTTTGTATCGATTTTTCCGCGAGGAGACAAAAGTAGAAGGGGTCCAACCTTCCTTGGAGCCTACCGTATTGAAGTATCTGTGTCCTCCATTTTTAGTCATAATGTCCTTGTGTTTTACGCTCCATAAGCTCACCCGGCGCTGAAGCCTCCAGTGAAGGCGCCGTGCAAGCGTTTCCGGCCTCTCTCATCTGTGACTTCTTGTTTCCATATTGGCACAAAAGACCCGTCGTCTCTGGTGTGGTCATCCAAGGGTGGTAACGGCGTTCCGTACGCGACGAAGGGCGAAGTTTGCGCCAGAAGATCGGCCTCGAAGGCCTGTCGAGGACGCTTGTATGCCATCTTTCGACCGCGCCACTAACCATGCCGTAAGTGCGAATTAGAGCCGGCGTCAATCTTGCAACAAAGCGCTGCCGACGGACGATGTAGCGAACGAGAAGACAATACTGGAATTGGAGTATCGTAGGTAGGTGATGTCAGACAGAAAAGTGTCGAATCGGAGACGCGCAAGTCGATCACCGCAAGACAACTTGAACACCCCAAGTTGAAGCAGGTCAAGGCATAATTGTTCTGTCAGACCAAGCGTTTTCTCCCTACCGCAGACAACGAGAAGCAGGCCGCTGGGTGGAGTGAGTGGTGCGTACACCCGACTCGTGTCCTACCTATTACCTCGTAGGTACGGAGCACTAGACTTGGGGTGACGTGCCGCGTTGAAGGCGGTCCAAGTGCTATCTGGACCTCGTTGGCTGCTTGATCGACCTCCTTGGTGGAAGACCTGTCTTTGTACAACATAGGCGCAAGGTGAAGCTAGCAGCCCCCTTCTTTGAATGTGTCCTGCTCCTAAGCCCGGCCTGACTTGTCAGCTCCAGGGAACGGCCGTGCCTGCGCCTGCGCTTCCCAAACAACAAACAGTTCTATATCAGTGCCCAACCTACGGTATAGCCTGGAGGCGTCCAGATGTTCAAAGAACGCATCTGTGTCCGCAGCTGGTTGATCATCACTCGTATCTGCCTTGACGCGCTGATTCACTGAGTCGCCCTCACCGAACTTGTCACCCTACGTCGTCCTTGAAGTTGCTGTCAACCCGCTGACGATGATTGAGGCCTTCGATTTCGAGACCACCTTCGGCAGCATCAACCCTGGCTGTTCATAATAGCCCCTGGCAGCAAGACAAGAGACATACAACTACGAGTATCGTGTCAACACGAAGCCTTGTGGCCGTGAAGCCTACGGGCTGCTAAAGGACTGCGGTTGTCTGTGCGTGTTGCAAGTCCACCACATTCCTGCTGCAAACGGAACATTCGTCCCCGGGCAATCAACAACGAGGCCGCAGTGAGCTGGCATTACCGGCCAGATGGCTACAGCCGCTTCCCAGCAGTCGCCATCCATGGTGCGGCGGAATTCCTCCAACCGCAATACTTCAGGATCTTATGCCCCAGTCTCGCCCTCGCAACCTTCGAGAACGCGCTCGACCACCCATAGACCAACCCATAGTCGATCAGCATCACGCTCATACGAGACCCCTCCGCCTGCCAACCCTGCGGCACTTGCGAATGTTGCCCGCCGAGACTTCGAACAGAGCAACATGGCACGAACTCCCTCCTCACGCCGGAGTTCCCGTGAAGGTCGAGGGGAGTACGAAGCAGATTCATCGTCACATGGGAGGACGTCTTCCCGTCCAGGGTCGCGACGCAACAGTCAAGATTTGACCGCTCCTACGACAGTCCTAGCAAACGGAGCATCCTCTCAGCCTCCACCTCCGCCAACTCCTCCGACGCAGAGCGAGAGACATGCCGCGCAAATATACCCCACTGTCGGCCGTAGGCGGACATCAATCACAGCGCAGACGGGTACCTGGACGTTAGGAAAGACAATTGGCCAAGGCAGCATGGGAAAGGTCAAGCTTGCTAAGAACGTCGAGACGGGAGAGACAGCAGCAATCAAGATTGTCCCCAGGCAAACAATCGACGACCATGGAAACGCAAAGGACGAGCGGGCGGACCGATCCAAAGAGATTCGAACCGCAAGGGAGGCCGCCATGGTGTCTCTGCTTTGCCACCCTTACATCTGTGGCATGATCGATGTGCAGCGGACAAATTACCACTGGTATATGCTGTTCGAATATGTCAATGGTGGGCAAATGCTCGATTATATTATCGCACATGGAAGGCTCAAGGAAAAGCAAGCCCGGAAGTTTGCTCGTCAAATTGCCAGTGCTCTGGACTACTGTCACCGGAACAGCATAGTCCACCGAGATTTGAAGATTGAAAACATCCTTATCAGCAAGACAGGCAACATCAAGATTATTGATTTCGGGCTGAGCAACCTCTACTCGCCCCGCTCTTTGCTAAAAACCTTTTGCGGAAGTTTGTATTTCGCTGCTCCGGAGTTGCTGCAAGCTCGTCAGTACACCGGTCCCGAGGTGGATGTATGGAGTTTTGGGATTGTTCTCTACGTTCTGGTCTGCGGCAAGGTCCCTTTTGACGACCAAAGCATGCCTCAATTGCATGCCAAAATCAAACGAGGAGTGGTTGACTATCCTCAATGGTTGACAGCTGGTACGATGATCCCATTTTTTCGCTACCCTTTACTAATACTCTATAGAATGCAAGAGCATCATATCGCGAATGCTTGTTGTCGACCCTCGGGAGCGAGCTAGTCTACAGGAAATTATGAATCATACTTGGATGACAAAGGGCTTTAATGGTCCTCCTGATAACTACCTTCCCCACAGAGAGCCGCTCCAGTTGCCTCTGGATCCCGAAGTCATTGACAAAATGCAAGGCTTCGACTTTGGCTCTTCGGCTTACATTACAGAGCAATTGACCCGCATTATTGAATCCGAGGATTACCAGAACGCCATCCGCAGATCCACCAAAGAAGAGTTCGGCCATGCGTCGAGCAACACGGAGAAGAAACGCGGAGTGTTCGACTTCTACAGGCGAAGGAATTCCATAAGCCGAGAAGGTCTAACAACTCCTTCCACCGAAGCAGTCCGCGGAAATGACCCTCTCAATGCCTATAGTCCACTCATATCAATTTATTACTTGGCGCGAGAGAAGCGCGACAGGGAACGGAATCAGCAGAACCCGGGTGCCTTGGCCATGCCCATAACCCCAAGCGACGCGCCGCTCAAACTCCCTGGCCTACCTCCACCGGAGGCAGCCCATACAAACACATTTGCACCGGAAATGCCGGGCGAAAAGGCCACAGGAGGCAGGGCGAGGCCACGTGCTCGGACCAACGGTGAAGATGATGTGGTGCATGCTATGAAGCAGCTTGATCTTCCTGAAAGAAAGCCTGGCCCCAGTGCGACTTCACCAACGGCTATTCCACCTCCTGACCAACCGGTCAAAAGAGAAGGAACCGCCATTGGCCTCCTTCGGAGATTCAGCACCCGACGTTATCGTGAACGAGAGCCAGAACGTCCACAACCGCCTCCTGCTCTCAACATTCAGCCACCCCAAGATTCGACTGCGGCGCCCCGAAAATCCTTCTCTGTTCGACGGGCTAGGCGTAGAGATCCCAGTCCGACCACCCATCATGCAGGGGGAAGCCAGCCCCAACACGAAGGTCTTCTCAGTGCCAGTGGAGGAGTGTCCAAAGCTGGAAAGTTCTTGGGTCGGTCGACCAGCGTTAATTCAGCGGACTACCGGCCACGCCGGCTGCTGCAGCGTGGCGCCTCTGGCAATGACTCTCCATCACTTGCGCCTGAGCCACCGCCAACAAGCGGGTCGGACCAATCCAGCGTGAATGCGGGTAAAGGCGGTCGCGGTGTTGAGCTCAGCGACAAGCCTGCTCCGAATGCCAGCCCCGTTGTGGCCCCACGGACACCCACGACTAGCCGAACCAAGTCTCTTGGGCACGCCCGACAGGAGAGCATTCAAGCTCGGCGGCGTCGCCATGAGGAACGTCGAGACCGACAAGCCAATGTTCCAGAGGAGACGGATGCGGACATGCGAGACGAGGCGGACACCATGGACAGTGCGGCACTTCCCGATACGCCCAGCACAGAAATCTCCAAGCCAGCCTCTCTGAAAGGTTTGTTTTCGACTGCCACCACCAGTAGCAAGCCTCCAGAGTTCATCAGACATGATATCATCCGAGTCCTAAACCAGCTTGGGGTTCAGTACACGGTGATTAAAGGAGGATTCTCCTGTAGACATGCGCCCAGCATCAATCTGGAGGGAATCAAGGAGCCCAGCGCAGGCTTGGACGACGAGAAAAGTGCCCGCGGCCCGTTAGGCCATCAGAGACGAATCTCATTTGGTGGTGCATTCCGAGGAAAGGACCGAGAGGAGGTTCAAGACGATCGGCCTAGTCGACATCATACAAGAAGGAGACATCCCGATCAGAGTTTCGTGACGAACTCCGAAGGGTCGGAAGAAGACATCCAACAAGCACGCCACGGCGAGCAGTCTCATGACGGAGCGGCAACACGAACACGAGTACAAGACGATCCTGGTGCACGTCTTGTGTTGAAATTTGAGATCAATATCGTGAAGATTCCTCTTCTTTCACTTCACGGTATCCAGTTCAAGAAGGTGCAAGGTGGAATGAACCAATATCGATCCATGACATCGGCGATTCTCAACTCACTGAGACTATGATGTGGACTGAATGAACAATCGGCGTTTATTGTATTCGCAGGGTTTTTGGAATGGATCAAGGTGCTACTAGGAGGCCCTTCAGGTTGCTCATGGATTGAAGGCACTACTGAGCACGGCCATGACCATATGGATCAGTGTAGTGTACTGGGCTGTGAATTGCTAGTTGTTTATGGTTCCTGACTTAATGTTCACATCTGTACTGTGCTGTGCTTGTAGGGTGTAATGAGCCATGCCAACCATTATTTCGTGCCCCTTTGACTATGCCCTGATACCTGACTTTTATTTTCCGTCTCTTGTCCATAAATTGCGTCAACGGCTTGACGAATAACGATTTGCGGCGGAAGTTACGGGGAATATGGGGTTCCGTCGGGTGAGGCGACTGCCGCCGGCTGTCAAGAGCAAATGACAATGCAAGAGAGGATGCGAAATTCGTACTAGACCGTTAGCGATTGGGAGGCCGACTCGGACCGGGAAACGCAGCAGGATTAGTGGGTCAAATCTGTGGCCACACCATAACAACTCGAACTTGGGATAGCAATAACATGAAACTCACTGATCAAGACACTGCAGTGCTGGTATATACGTGCCGGGTGGTGATACCTCAGGTAGATAAGGCAGACCAAGGAGGACTGTCTAGTGCTTATGAACAGATTTGAAGCTCCGAATAAACAGCGGAGAATTACAAACTACAGGAGGTCGTAGTCATGAAATTGGGCAATGCTGCCAGTGTTGCGACTTGGGCACCTCCCCACTACTACCAGTACAATATGGTAACTGCCAGGTTATAGCAGTGCAGGGAATTAATTCCTCTACTCGCACCCAACATCCAAGTTGTGGATGACAAGGCAGACAGGCAGGCACATAAGGTAGCAGTGTCAGTAGTACAGCATCCATACTATTACACTGACAGGGCGCGGATTGCCAGGCACCTAATAATGGAGATGGTTCCCTGTGATTTGTACGAGTGAACTTTCATTTCAAGCCCAATGAAGCCACCCCTACGCGTGTCTTCTGGCGCTCTTTATGTTCTGGGCATCCGTGGTTCGTGGTTATAGTTTGACTACTAGGAAAAATAGTATGGAACAGAGTCAAAAACACCCACAACTCGAAGTTATGATCATTTGTTTGTTTTGGTTGCTGCAAGGAGTGAAGTACCAGTAGTAGTAGCACCCACGAGCAGAAGCTGGTCGTGCCGTAGAGTTGCACCTTAGGCGGTGGTTAATCTCATTTCACACTCCAGCGTTCACGCGTTCAAACCCCCGGTCGCCTAAACGTGAAGACTACTCCTCCTAATCCCCTGGCTACTACGACTTCTGCTACGACTGCACCACTACTAGCACTGCTAAAATATTACTGCCTCCCCGTCTGCGGCTTCACACCTGGTCCTGGTCTGTCTGCACCACAACCAAATCCGACAACCTGACAACTGAACCGCATCGACAACCTCCTCCTCCTCCTTCTCCTCTCTTCCCTTCTCGTTTATTTCCATCCTCACATCATCCCTCCCACACATTTTCTTCTCAGTTGCAGTCCGCGATACTGCCGCTTTCTCCTTGACTTCTCAAGGTCTGGCTCACGGTCCACCTTGCACGTCACTCCCTTTCTTTTCTTCGGCTTGTTTTGAGAGACCCCATCCCGCAGTAGCGCTGTCTGTTCCCGTCACCTCTCTAGAGCACTCTCGACTGTCTGAGGCTCGTGCCCTCCGCGACCTCCACCGCACGTCCACGAGTCACCACTGGACGTCTTCCTCGCCCCAGACATTCCGCTTGGTCGCCTCAGGGCGCAGTCTGACTGGCTGGACCCGTCGATTCAGCTCTCTCGGGCCTCTTGTGCAACCTTGCCAGCAGTCGACTGCAGCTAATGGCCTCTGCCGCCAGCGTCACCGCTAACAGCACAAATTCCTCCAGCACCTTGCTCAACAGTCACGCCCAGCACAATGGTAATGGTTCGGCGCGGACGACTATGAGAACAAACAGCAACACCAAGACTGTCGACGCAGGGCGCAAGCAAAGTCCTGTTGATGGGGTTTCACGGTACGCCTGGCTTCCCCATTTCACCCACAACCCCTAAAATATTGGGCAATAGCGATTACATGCTTCCTTTCGCAGTTTTGTCTTGGACACCCGGCTAACATTTCCTGCAGCCGATCTAGTACTCAGAAGGGTTGGGGTTCGTCGAACCCGGCCTGGCAACGGGGCCCCATGGCCGCACAGCAGAATGGCAACGCTTTCCAAGCCAAAGGTTCGAACAGTATGAGGTCGGCAGGACCGAAAGAGGTGGGCACATCGGACAACCAAGCCCATGAGAGGCTCATGTATCTCTTTGGAGCCGCGGTCGTATGGTTCATCCTTGCTCTGCAGTTGCGAACACCTTGACTGACACACTGCCAGGGTCTTAACATCATTGTCGTTGTCAAGTCCGGAGACAAATACGAGGGCTTGTTGTCTGGTTCCGTCCTTGGTCCCGCAGGTTCCAAGATTACATTGAAGATGGTCAAAAAGACGCCTGCTACAACTGCGGGACAGGCGAACGGTGCTGTCGCCCGGGAAGCGACCTTAGTTGGCTCGACTTCTGAGCACGCGATGAACTTCGATTTGAAAGACGTGACTGACCTAGTGATTCCCGAATTCTCCCCTCCGGAGAACACAAAGCTTGGGAATGGTTCGTTGCTCTCCCCTCTATCCCTGAACATAGCTGACCGTTTGTTTGTAGGCGCCACCTCAGGTTTCCAAACCGATGCAGATATCTCCGGCAACCAGAATCGTGGAGAGCGCATGCTGCAAAAATGGGTGCCCGAAGGTCCTGAGAACGTCGACCTTTCCCTTGAGTCCTCGAACACAGAAAGCTGGGACCAGTTCACTGTCAACTCGCAACTTTTTGGTGCTAAAAGTACCTACGATGAGAACCTCTATACTACAACCATTGACCGGAACTCTCCATCTTACAAACGCAGAGAAGCTGAAGCTGAGAGAATCGCGAGAGAGATAGAAGCGGCGGCTTCTGCGAATCCCCATATTCGTGAAGAACGCGGTCAGGCACTGGAGAACGATGGTGACGACGAGGAGGAGAAATACAGTGGTGTTCGCCGTGAGGACACTGCGTTGCCTCCCCTACCTGTTGGCGGACCCAATAAATATACGCCTCCCGCCAGACGGGCCCCAACTGGACAAGCAACGGTTCCCGGTGTTCCTGTCGACCCGGCAATCATCTCGGCGCAGCTGTCTGGCCCTGCTAAATCGAGTGTCCAGAATGAAAAGGCTCCAGAAGCCAAAGCCGCCCCAACAGAGAAAACAGCAAGTCTCCCAAACAACACCAATGCTGCGGATCAAGTCGCCGTGTCCGGACAGGCTGCACCTGTTGTGGCACGCGAGAGCCAAACCTCGTCGACGAAGGACACAGTGAAAGGAGACGCTTCAAATGCGAAGTCCTCGCCCCAAGCTAAAGCGCCTGTGTCCCAGGGACCTACCGAAAATGTCGAGTTCAAGGTCCTCAATCAGTTCCGGCAGTTTGCTGACCTCGAGAAGCAGCGAGTGGCTGAAAAGCGTAAGGCACAGCAGAATCAAGATCGGACGGCGAAGCTTAATGAGCTTCTCCGATTTTCAAAGACGTTCAAGTTGAAGACACCGATTCCCAGCGATCTGGTCGGAATTTTGGCCAAGGATCCAGCGAAGCAAGAAGCTATCATCGAGAAGGCCCAGAAGGAAACTGCCGAATCAGCTTCCACAGCCGCCAATACCCCGTCGGCATCAACAAACACCAATACTGCTCGTAAGGCCGATGTGCCGCAGCCACAGCCAGCTACCAACGACCGCCAGATTTTCAATCGTGGACGAGGAGGCTTTGCACAAGCAGGACGAGCTGATCGACAAGGGCAACAGCAACCACCAGCCTTTGGAGGTCGAAACAACAATGCCCCTCATCAGCCTAGATTTGGCTCACATCAGCAAGATCGCAAACCTGCTCAGCCTTACGGCATTCCCGCTCCAATACCCATTATTGATGGTCGCGTGCCCCCGACTGGGCCAATGGCGGACCAAAATGGAATGACTAGCCCTCAACGCTCGAATATGCATACTCCCACCTCGGCTGCCTCGAGTAAGTTCAGTCTGAATGTCAGAGCTTCGGAATTCCGGCCCACCGCCGCTGCCTTCAATCCAAGTGGTCCTTCTCACACTCCTTCTAGCCCTGGCTCAACTCATCGGACAGGATCCATCTCTCGGACCGCCAGCCCTTCTTTGGTTTTTGGTCATCGCAAACCTAAACCAGCATCGGAGAGACCGTCCATTACTCAATATTTCAATCCCATCAAACGCATGAAGGAGGAGATCTCACGGAAGCCGAGTGACGGCGCTGCAAAGCCTGAAGAGCCACATAGAGATTACAGTGCGAATGGCGGAATCCCCAACGCCTTCCAGACAGGACCCAGATGGTCTGTCAAGACGGAGAATGACCAGAAGACTTATGAAGAGGCCTTTGAGCAGTACATCATGTCAGCCGTTTCACCTGCACAGAGTCGTTCTGGATCTAGTCATATCCCATTTCCCGGACAAGTGGTAGGCATTCCGAATGGCCCTGCGAATCTGCCACACGTCGCCGCGCCTCAGCAGGGAGTACACAGTGGGACGCCACAGTACGCGCACCAGTACGATGATGGCAGTCACCGTATGCAATTCGGTGCCGGCAACACAGGTGTATATTCTTCCCCAAGCATTCCATCTCGCCAGGCATCTACCTATGCTTCCCCCATGGCGCACCCAGCTCAGTTGGCATATCAGCAACAACCATATTTTGGTACGCCGTCGGGTCAAATCCCAGTACAAATGCGACCGTTTACGGGAACACCAGGAATGATGCACGCCCAGGTGGGTCAAGTGGGGGCGCCGATGATGGTCCAGCAACCGTCCAATGGACCCTACATGGCTATTCCACCACAGTTCAATCATCAAGCACCCGTCTATTCGCCTACTCCAGGGCACATCTATCCTCAGCAGAATGGGGGCTACACCAGCCCTGGGCGAGTGGCGCCAATGATGATGCAACAGGGGTCGCAACAAGGCCATCCAGCAGCTCCCAACATGATGTTCAGCATGTCGAATCAAGGAGCACCGATGCTGTATCCACAACAACATATACCCGTGCCACGGGGAGGCTATGGTGGTGGCCATCAGTACGGCCAGACGTCTCACCAGGGGTATCCCATGCAACATAGGACTATGAGTAGTGGTTATGGACAGATGCCACCTAAAATGCATACTCCAATGCATGGGCCTGTGATGAACGGGCCGCCACAGGGACCAGGATATGGCCAGATGGAAGGAGGTCTGGAGGATGGTAAATGACAATGGACGATGCTGCAAGCGGAGAATGGACACATTGAAACGTCCATGCATTCGCCACGATGAAGACACAGCATGCTCGCTTGCCCATTGATTGGCAACAGAGTCTATCCGGCCTTGCGGCTTTCCAGGTTGGGGCTATCGATTTAGCTTCATTCTTATGCGCAATCGCTGCCTTCTGTAAGAGGGCTTCTCCCATCAGGGGTACTAGCCCTGAAATTGATTCAACATCTGGACACTCGACCAGCAGCGGTATAGCCAACCTGAAATCGGAAACAATATTACGCTATAAAGCTCACAGCTGCTGTCTCAAGGTCGTTGTCGCTATGATCCGTGCTTCGCCATATATGGTGCACTTATGTCACCAGCTGACCAGTGAATCAGGCTGGGCCAAAGCACTCTGAACAAGACTGGAGTGGCAAACAAAGCTGCACACAGGAGCATTGGCGATGGGTGCTTCGGACCTGGACTACCAATTATGTTTTGAAGAGAAGTATTGTTACGGGGACGAGAAGAGGGCAGGTGTTCACCGCCCAACTGAGTGGTGGTGGATTTGAGCTGGAATCGCTATGAGAAGTACATTCTCGCCTACAGAATGCGGTGGAGGCAGACGAAGGCTCCTCAAACGTGATGAGGCAGGCCGAAGGAAGGGAGAGGCTCGCCGTGGAGGACAAAGAGGAGAGGACTGAGGCCCTGCAGGGTGCGAGGTAGTCCCGGTGACGAGAGCTTCCGCCTCATTGCGATTGAGCACCTCATCAGCGACTGTCTATTTGTAGTCGGCGGCGTGGATTGTCCTGGCAGCGAGATACTAGTAGTAGGCCAGGAGTAGAACCCCAACCTCGATATCAAGTGCTGGTGAGGTGTGTTGCTTAAAATGTCAGTGCTGCCAGTGTCAAGCGTGTCGACTGGGAGCCTACAATCATCATCAATGCCTGAGAGGCGGCAGACAGACTGCACAGTTCGTCTAGTAGTAGTACTGCTGAAGTGGTAGTAGCAGCAATAGTAGCGCAGTGGTAGTAGTACCATTGTTCTATTTTTCACGACCTTCTCCAAGTCTCCGCCTGTGCTTCTTTACTTCTTCCATTGACTATTCATCAATCCCACTGCTCTCCATCTTTGCTCCCTTACTAGTAGTGTCGCTTTATGCCTTGCAACTGACGAGAAAATGCTTCCTTCTCTGTGTTGATTGCTGCAACCGCACCTACAGGGGGACCGGGTATTGGGCGTTCCAGCCTGGCCTCCCTCTTGTTCGCGCACTTTATCCCGTCACGGCCGATCGCTTCGAACCCTGCTACTCGGCTGTACGGCGGTCAGTCTGGTTTCCAACGGAACCGAGATGATACAGCGCGGTTCGTGTGCGGCGAGGCAGTCTTGCCGGACGGGTTTGTGGCTTTTCCAGGGCCTCAGGAAAGATGCTGGACTTTGGTACAACTCTCGACAAGACTACTGTTAGTAGCAGGCCTAGTGGTGGTACCCTGGTCCATGAACTCCACGCTGGTCAACACGCTATCGCCGACCAGGTAAAGGATCTTTGATCTTGACCAAGGGGCACGCGCTTGATGCGTTGGCACGTTTTTTTGCAGCTTGCCTCGCAGCTCCGTCATTCAGCATTGCTTCGCTCTCACCCTCTCGTCTCACCGGCTTTTGTCATCGTCTTTCCCTCCTCCCACAGACGCAGACTTGCGGACACCAGTTCATCGTTCTCCAGCGTGATGGTTATGCATGTTCCGGTCTGTTCGTCTGCACTCTCCCGTCACCCTTGACTTGTTCATGATTTAGGCGGAAACCACCACACAGCCTCCTGTTTTCGAGGGTTTCCTCCAGTCGTTCGTTTTGTACCAAGTCCACTGTTCGCACAATCTCTTTGATCTTTCTGGGACACTTCATTGGCGCTCTAGTGCTACTCTGCGATCGATTCTTACTACTGCCGACTTCCGGCGGTGTCGCTACTAGTCAGATCACAGAAGGCTCCGCCAGCCCAGGCCCGCCCCGATACTTGGTGTCTATCCGCTTGGCCCAGCCAGCAGACCGCTCCAAGTGAAGCTCAAATAAGTGTTGGACGGTCTGTGGACACTGGCACCAGCAAGTCCGCACGCCCGACCGTGTTCACCTGATGATACAATCATGCATCAGGCGAAAACAACCTGTGCCCTACAGCCTCATTTCGGGATTTCCTGCGACCGCAATACAGACCGGGTCTACTTGTCCACCGACCATTGGCTACAATAATCCCGTGTTGGGCGAATAGGCATTTTGCGCCTCTCTTGAGCCTGCTGCCCAGATCTCAGGGTAAGACCGACTTCGATGACTTCCCCGGCGGGTCTTGAAGAACGAGATCTTTGGGCTTCTAGCTGACAATGGCGACAGGAACCCACAGCCTGAGCACGTCGCCGTCTTTCTTTACAGTGCCTTGTCCAAGCTCTACCCGGATTCGCTCTTTGCCTTCCCCCCCTGTACCTCTTGTAACAACAGCGCATCAAAGTACTTAATCTTAATCACACTGGCTTCGCGGCAAAGAAAACCTACGATTCCTCTTTTGTCTGTCACAACACGAGATACCCCAGACCATCCGTTCGTTCAATACGCAAACAAAAAGACGCCATCTGCTGGGGAGCTGGCTGTCCAGGAAAAAAGGTTCTAGGCTTGCAGGATTTGCACATTCACGGAACGTCCTCGTTTATCTTTGGACAAATTCTTGCTGTCTTTGAAAACCAAAACCGCGGTGCCATCTTTGACGAAGGAGCAAGTTTGAAGGTTTATGTCCGACTCTGGAGTTTCTCGGCGACACTGGATTTCAATTCATTCTGCAGGCGCTTAATTTGAAGTCGGGCGGTTAGAGGTAAATTGCACCCTGCTATTTTCTTCGTTGCACCAACTATGTTCGATACACCAGTCCTCGTCATTCACGTCCCTCTGCAGCACATTGCGTTGTGGTCTAGATAGTACCTTGTCCGTTGACAGGTTCACTTCGACCTAAGTCGGTCTTTTCTTCTTGTGTTGTACCATAGCAACCATTGGATTGCGACCCCGAAGCGTCCAGTTACAGTCCATTTGTTGCGCTCTCCGCCGCCCCGATTGCCTTTGAATTTCATGGGCGTCGAGGCTCCGGTGCAAGACATGGAGATCGTTTACCCTAAGACCCAGCCGCCCCTGGCCCCCATGCACACTCGAAGGGAGCGGAGATTCGTTGAACTGACATATCTGTCTCGGCAGTGGCATCCACGGGCGGATCCTGCGTTGTATTCATTTTGGATGGCCTCCTCGGAAGTGGACCAAAAGTTTCTGGGATATTTTGCCAAAGTTACCACCACGGAGAACAACTATCTTTCAAGGTGAGTCGACCATGGCGGGACAAACCATGCTCAGGCTTGGGCCAAGTTACTTATTTTTACGGGTAGTTTCCTTTTTCGAGTGCTGGGTCTTTCGGTGATTTTGGCAGAAAAGCTTCTTCGTGCACGTCGGGCAAAACGGTTGGATCCTGTTCGGGACCCAAAAGCCCGGCATCTCATTCATCATATCCTATGGCTGGCGCGCGAAGGGCTCGTCATGATGGAGCAATATGTGCTTCCCATGGTGCGCAATTACATTGAGCTTCGAGTATTGTCTTATAAGCTAAGGGCCTCTTTCTACCACATTTTCGTCTTGTTCCACAACGACCCGCCGGTCAACGACCGAATCAACCGTTCCAAATCGGGGTCTTTCTCTCCCTTTCCCGATCCTTTGTCACCAAAGTCGCCTGGCAATCCGCGTCCAACAGAACCGACCTTTAGCCCTCACAACAACACCAATGGCGGCGGTCGACGACGGTCCCCAGCAATTAGTCTAGGTGCGGCAGTGGGAGGTATCGCGACACGAACGCCTCCGGGTCTCCCTTTGCCCGCTTCATATCCTTACACCGCACACAGCTACACCAAGGGATCGGGGTCAGGGTCGGCCAAAGATGTTGGCACGGCGACCTTTTTGCTCCCACTGCAGGATTACCGACCTTATGCGACGCAAGCATTTCGCGAGGCCAATGAGCTGGCGGAGCGTCTTCTCCCGGGATCCCATCCGATACGCCTCTCGGTCAAAGTCGAATACGTGGCGTATATCTATGACAGCCTCCACGATCCCGAGCAGTCGAGGCGCATGGCCCGAGTGAGCATCCGACATGTGTACGAGGCGCAGGAGGGGATGGACGACGACTCATTTGAAGATGCCGCTGAGATGGTGAGCATTTTGGGGAGGATGATGAAGCGGGGATTGGGAGGTGATAGCGGAGGCGGGTCGGGCAGTCAAGGAGAGCAGCATCAACATCAGCATCAGCAACAATATCAGCCCACGGTGCCCTCGCCCTCGCAGAGGACAGAGAGAACGGCTGGCAGCAGTGCGACTGCCACGGGACCTGTGCGTGTTGGGGATATCAGCAACAGACAGCCTCGGCCTCCACCTCAAACCAGCCAGCAGCCAAGTACGTGGGTGTAACTTAGGTATAGGTACCAGTATCTTGGCAATGATGAATGTGCTTTGAAACAGGAGTGTTTGACTGTAGTCCGTAGTATATCATGAAAGAGATGGGATGTGAACTTGAACTCGCTATTTCAGCTGACGACTGATGATGACGATGATAGATCCACTCAGCTGCTGGCATCAAGGAGAATCGAATTCCGGGACAGGCTACCAAGAATAAGATTGTTATCCATGATGGCTGAGGGCTGTAAGGTAAGGAGAGAGGGGAGAAGATGAGTTCCGAAATATTGTACTGTCCACGGTATCTACCGGCAAGGATACCTGGTAGATATGCACTGTACGTTCTTACATATGGTATTTTTCGGAAGTATTGTATGTACCTGGCCATTAGGTACCACAGTACTGCAGTCCACCACTGGCAGAGGTTGATTACAGTATCGAGAGAAGCACTGCAGACAAGGGAATAACAGAACGGACTTTGCTTTCGGCAACTTCAACTCTCCTCTTTTGCTTTGTTTGATAGACTACATCGTAGTAGTAGTAGTCCAAAGATACCTAACATCCTTACTGTACCACTACGGGACGACAGTCTCCCTGGATCTTCACTCGACTTTAATCACAGGGGAAAGCGAGCATGCCCATATCCATTGCCCATGCCGATGCTCAACCCGGATACTGTAAGTTGATCTGCCCAATCCAGTCCAAATCAATATAATCCTCTCCACCGGACTTCAAGTTTGAGACGTTCAACTCGGAGCCAGCTGAACCTCTCAACGACTCGGAGGTCCCAATCAATGTCAAGGTCTCAGAATCCTGAACTCGGAAACTCAGGGTTTATGGAGGTCTCAGATCCCCTGGGGGCGTGTCCCACGGTCCACTTTATCCAGCCTTGCGTTGACGTTATTGACATCTGACATCTGTCACTTCCGTTTCAGGCCTGTCCATCCCCCCCGATCCGCGATCCCGTCGACGGGAGGGCAACTGCTAGTTTCTGGCAGTGGCAGTGTGGCTGGGACTGGACAAGCCCGTAGATATGTAATAATCAATAGTCTTCAGATGGCCTTGCCGAGATCGATTCTCGATTTCCGTGGACGATTTCAGAGATAACAAAGAGGGTTATTTTATTCCTCCTTCTTTCACAGCCAGGCGAACCGAACCGAACGCAACGGAACAGGAGCATCTGAGTCTGTAGGCAGTTCTGTCCAGTCCATCCATTCCGAGAGAGAAGAGCAAGAACAGAGCAGAGCAGGCGGTCCATCAACTCTGCTTGGTCTGTTCTTCCAACGCAAAGCCAGCTACGAGGCGTGAGACAACAAGCGAGTGTGAAACTCCCGAACGATATCAGCCTTCAGCGAGAACCGACGCAGGAGAGAGGAGAGAAAGGGCAGCCAAATATTCCATTTTGAGAAATCGATAACCACGACAAGGCCCGAAACGAACGTTAAGATTCGAGACTATGAGACCGAGCACGTCGGCGAACTTCCAGCTTCTGGCTATTGCGTTTTTCCTGTGTACGGTGTTCAAAGCCGTCGTGGTCGCTGGACTGCCCCTTCCTCACCCTGTACTAGTATCACTGGAAGATTTCATCCCGCAGCAGCCTGAGGGTCGGGAGGACAATAACAACATCAACCGCGGCGGCAAAGATGTTCAAGTTGTCGACCCGAAGGGCAGACCCAAACCTGTCTCTTTTACTCCACAGCCGCAGTATATTGTGCTCACGCCGCCGCTCCTCCAACACGATGTCCAGAGACAGATGCCAGTCGAGGTATTGACTCATGTATCGTCGGCGCCGGCGGCTGGGAGGAACCGCTACCGCTTTTTCTCGAGAGGCAGGAGACGCGATGCCAGAGATCGGAATGAGCCATCAGGATTGTTGGCTGGCAGTGGCAATGTGGGCGTGGATGTGCAGGAGGATACGAGTGGCGGGGATTGGGAGGCTTGGGGCCAGCAGTTTCAAGCACAGTTGAGAGAGCGCCGGTGTCATACTCAGGGGGCAGATTGTTCGGCCTCAGCCAAGGTGAAGCGGTGACTATGGCCATGGGAATGGGAATGAAAATGCGGCAACACAATCAACCGTCAGGAGAGAGCCACCGCAATTGGAATCATGGAGAGATGCCGAACAATCACCAGAATGGCATTATTGTATTTGTGCTGTAAGCTCCATTTTGGCAGGCTTTGATGAATGAAAGGAAACGAAAGAGACAGAACGAGAAGAATGAGCTTTTGGGGGAACTTGAAGGGCACCAAAGGAGAGAATCGGCAGACACCGGCTTCAAGTTTCCATAGCCTTGCAGTCTGCTCATTCAAAGGCATGAAGGCAGACACACTTATTACTATGCTTTCCGTTGTACGAAGTTGAAGCATAACAAGCAGCTTCATTGTACTGTCCTTGTCGCTACTAGACAAGCACATCACAATCAATGCATGAAAGTGGCAAACTTCAAGGTTGAAAGGTTGATGAAGTGGTTGAAATGAACCTGAACTGAGATTGATGGTAACTGAACATTCAATTGTACTTGAGGGTGTCGGGCCTTTTTCGCTCGTGCGCGTAAGGTATTTATTTGGTTGCCATCTCACATCATTTTATTATTATTATTGCGCTGCCGCCTGTGACTTTGACCTCATTTGAACTTCACCTTCAACCACCGGCACCGTGACTGCAGATCGATTCAATTCCTTCTCTTCTTCACTCTCTCTATATCTATTGCACCCTCCGCCCTCTTCTCCCACAAGTCTCCCAATTGAACCTCCTGCGCGCTTTCTACTGAACGGTAAGCCTGCTAAGGGCCCCTGTGCTCTCTCGCCCGGACTACCTTGTGGCGCAAAACCACTAAACTCCGAACTGCAGTGACCGAAATCCATCCGCCTTCTCTGGTCGCGCTTCCGCCACCTTGATTTCGATAACTACTGCAACACCAACTCAAACCCTCCGAAACCGTTACCACACGTTTCACTTCCTCCACCTCTACACCTCTCGATAAATCCAAGATGTCGGACGCAGGACAACCCTCTCCCAATGGCGCCGGTGATGGCGGGGCCCCTGCCGGTGCGAACGAGCACCTCAACATCAAAGTCACTGATGGAAACAACGAAGTCTTTTTCAAGATCAAGCGGACTACAAAACTAGAGAAATTAATGAAGGCTTTCTGTGAGAGGCAAGGCAAAGACATCAGGTCGGCGCGATTTCTGTTCGAAGGTCAAAAAGTCCAGGCTCAAGACACGCCAGAAGTGGTATGTTTTTATCTCGCTCTCTTCTCTACGGCTTTACAATTTTGCTTTGTGGCTGACAAATGGTTTCTACTCTACTACAGCTCGAAATGCAGGACGGCGATTCAATTGAAGTCCACCAGGAGCAGATTGGTGGCTGTGCCTAGATGTATGACATTTGCTTCGATGGGAGCGAAAAAGGATTGCCAACGAGATCGAGTGAGATATGATGATGGCATGAATGGCAAGGACGCGCTGCTCTATCGGTGGGAGGTGGGAGTAGAAGTCTCTTGCAGCTTGAACCAAAGATATGGACACCTCCATATCTTCTGGCTGTGCATGGATATCGGAGATGGGTTCTGTTTTTTGCTTAGGTGCTTGACTCACACAAGGACCAAGGGCGCTCGGGTTTTGACACGGGTAGGCCACAGGGTGTGTCTGTGTGTGCTGGGAAATAACTGATCATGCGCAACATTTTTCATCTTCCTCGTTTACTGCTCTCTGCAATCATTCATCTTGTCCTCTTCTTGACTGATCCCCGCGATGTCGCTCCGGCCTGCTAAGTGAGACTTGTTCAAGGGCATGCAACAGCAAGAGTTGTCGGTACGGTCTAGGTGCGGTCCGTGGTTACAGTCAATGGCAGAGACAACGGACTGATGTTACATTGACCATCCCATATCTACTACCTACGGATATCCATTGACAAAGTCTTCGCCCATCAACATGGACTCTCCTGGTATTGCAACATATGCACAGGTATCAACGATGGGACTGCCCGGGTTGACCGCCTGTATCCACCACCATCGTACTCCCGCTCATGGATTACTGTCCCAGATCGCCGCCTTGGCCTTTTCCTCAGCTTCCCTTGCACGCGCCTGCTCTTCCTTTTCTTTGTTTCTCCGTCGAATCTCCTGCTCTCTGACCGCCCGATCATATTGTCTCTGTTCCTCCGTCTTTTTGGGAGGCTTAATGCCCAAGCCGGCGGCAATCAACCGACTGGCCGTTGCCGTGGTCTTTTCTGGCCTCCGACGTTCTCGTTCTCGGTCGGATTCGGTTGGGGTCGACGGCGTAGGCGGGCTATAGACTGGCTTGGGACGACCGCCCCCGAGCACTTGGGCAGGACTCCAGTCGATATGCTGACCAGCAGTTTCCGGAGAAATCGGTGTCGGTGGAGGTGGTTTCAACGCCGGGTTCTTGGGCATGACGGGCTTAACCTCGCCGCTTGGACCCTCGGTGGGCGTCTGGCCGTCGTCGAGTGACGAGTCGTCGTCGGCCACTTCATCTTCCCAAGACTCGGCCAACCGCTCCTGGTTCGCCAGCACCTTCGGTTTGGGATTGGGCGGCAGGTCTATGTGCAGGTCGGCTGCTTTCGGGGAACCCATTTGAAACGACACTCCCAGGAACGACTCGGGGCTGAGCGGTGTCGATCCAATACTAGTACAATGTGGTCCCTATGCAAACCAGACGCTTGGGAGGCCGGTACCCCCGAGCTGATAGGTAGGCTCAACGGCTGGCAGGCGAGGAGTGAGCGGTGCTGACTGCTGGAAAGACGATGGAGCTTGCTTGGTGTTGAGCTGAGGTTGAAGTTGCAATGGGTGGTCAAAAAAGTCTCAGAGTGGAAGAAGAGGCAGCGGCATAGGGGTCAAACGTCAAACCTCGTCGAGTCCATCGGGACAGAGCTGAGAACATCAGAGAAGTAGTAAGGTATCATTCAGTTAAATAAGCTAAGGACTGGGATCTCAGCTTGGATCCTACGCTGCACAGAACTGGCATTGCAGTGCTTCGCAAAATCGTCAAGTACACGCGACCGAGTATGACGAATTATCTGATGTATGCAACTGCGTCGTCGTCCCTCCCGCGGTAGAAATGGGGAGTAATCGGTGGTGCCAATGATGCTACATATGGAGCTGAGGGGTGCGAAGCTTGAGCTTCAGTTGGGGCGGGACTCCAGGGACTCGATCGTGCGTGTTCGGGGCAATGACATCGTGCCGTGTCTTACTTTTATGGAGCGCAGGATCTCCCATCTTGGAGTACCAGTAATGTACGACGACAGTGCTAGTAGGCCAGCTACCTGTCGGCCGGTACTAGTAGTTCAAGAGCGCAGCTGGGGTCAGGTCCCTGCCTATAAGGTTCTAAAATAATAGTAGGGAGCACCTGGGGAGCATCTCAGGTCAAATGCGGCCAGTGGTGCTCCTGGCATTCAAGTTGTTAGTTGGACTAGAAGCTGGTCTTCCTCTGCGGCATCGTTTGGGCTTGAAGGCTCCTTAGGCTCCTCAGGCGTAATGCTCGGGCCTGCCATGCCTAAAACTGCCTGCCCAAAGACCTCACGAACTTAGCCTAAAGGCTGGCACAAGTACCTAGGTGCATTTCAGTTAGGCACTGCGTGTCACCCATGGATGCGGAGGGTGAACCCCGGACGGCACTCGCCATCAACCATTCAAGGTGCCTACAGGTACCAACTTGAACCAAGGTAGTCGGATCTCGAGAGCTACCCAGAACTTCAAGGAGCCCCAATTTCAAGCATCCAGCACGCATTGTCCGGGGAGTCTCCTCCGAGAACGGTCACTTGCAGGCAGTTCTTGGAGCGGAAGGGCCACAAGACAGATACATTGTACAGGTATCAACCGCTGCGACCTGTCACCCGGCCGATTTCGTCGTTCTCAACGTAAGGTTCGAGTTCTTCAGTCTGAGAGAACCCGAAATTGACCCTCGTCCCCCGAGATCGCCATCTGCCGTCTCGGAAACTCTTAGCGTCTCGGACTGGCAGCATCGGCCATGTCGTGCGTCTCGACGACCGGGTGTTGTCCTGTTCCTCCGCCTCCTCTTCCTCCTCATCCAACCGTAGGTTTGCCCTGCTCCATCTTCCTCCTTCGCCGACCTCGGGGTTCGCTGGGCTTCATGTGCCTCTAGCCAAAGAGATTGTGCCGAACTCCCTCTACGTGTCTCCGCATAGACATGGTATATATCCATATGTATATCCCCTCATTCAATTAATTGTTGGAAAGTACGATAGCGCCTCGGTCGTGTAATCGGTCCAGGTGTCGATTAGTTCCTTGGGACGAGCTCGTGTTTTCGTCCAGCCTTTTCTTGGTTGTTTTACGGACGGCGCATTTTCAAGCCTCGGCCGTGCCTCGAGTGATGTCCAGGATCAAATTGCCGCGAGGATTCCGGTCCCAGATAGCTTCACGACGAGCTCTACAAAAGCATGGCACCTGTGGAAATGTGGCTCCATTCACCACTTCTGCAACCGCCCGGTCATACGCCGACACCATCAACAATCTCAAGATAGGCAAGCACACCAGAGTGCTGTATCAGGGATTTACAGGTCGCCAGGCCACTATGAATGCAAAGGAGTCAATGGAATGGGGAACCAATATTGTGGGGGGAGTGAAGCCAGGATTCGAGGGGGAACATCTTGGTTTGCCAGTCTTGCCGTCTGTGAGAGCGGCGGTTCAACATTTGAAACCTGATGCCAGTGCCATCTACGTGCCCGGAGACGGGACTGTTACGGCCATGGAGGAAGCCATTGAGAATGAAATACCTCTCATCGTGGCTGTCGCCGAACATATTCCCCTCCATGACACCCTGAGAATTCACGAGATGTTACGGACCCAGTCCAAAACACGTTTAGTAGGGGCTAATTGTCCCGGTATCATCAATGTTCAGGGTCGCTGTCGGCTCGGATTCCAGCCTCTGCCATTCTTCACCGAAGGGAGAGTCGGTATTGTCGCCAAATCCGGCACGTTAAGCTATGAGGCGGTGGCTTCGACCACGCGTGCTGGCCTTGGTCAAACCTATTGCATCAGCATGGGCGGAGATGTCCTCGCCGGCACCAACTTTGTCGAGGCTTTCCAAGTGTTGGTCGAAGATGAACACACCGAGGGCATCATCATGATAGGTGAGATCGGAGGCAGCGCCGAGTTGAAGGCGGCCGAGTGGATCGATGGATACAACCGACGAACGGAAAACCCGAAACCTTTCATGGCTTTGATCGGAGGCATTCAGGCACCTCCAGGCCGCATCATGGGCCACGCCGGAGCCTGGGCGGCACCGGGAGAAGCCAGTGCTGCTCAGAAGATCAAGATCTTAGAGGACGTGGGGGTGACCGTGGTCGATCATCCAGAGAAATTCGGCCGCAGAATGGAGGCGTTGCTCTCCCGACGCTCCAGAAATGGCACTCACAACCGTTCAGACCCGAGAGCAGCTCAGAAGAGAAGTTACCATACCGAGAGGAGGAGACCGAAGACATCTCACTTAAACAAAATGAAAGGGGTACAGCGACGGTCACTGTACATCAAGCAATCACAAGCCTTCGATATGCTGGCAGCAAGGGGAATTCAGACGGCAAAGACCCCTACAGTCCCAGAGCAGAAATTCGTTGCCATTTCCATTGACCGGGAGGTGCGACAGCCCTGCATAATTGCATCACCCACGACAGACCCTTCACGTGCATTTCAGCTTTCCCGGAAATTCCCCTTTGGGTACGGAACAAATGCCCCGACCTCTCCCGAGATGCTTCAGCAGGTGTCATCACATCTGGGAGTTTCTGGAAAGGGTCAACAAGGGCTGGAAAAGCTTATAACAGAGCTTCTCGACATCTTCATGTCTAAAGAGGCCTTTGTAGTTCAAACAAAAGTTGCCTTCGACGAGGACGGAAGCCTCCAAGTTCAGGGCGCGAAATTCGGATTCGACGATGCCGCTTTTCGCAGCTCGAAACGCCAGGCTGACATCCATGCCTTGCGAGACATTCAAAGCGAGGTGCCAGAGGAGGTAGAAGCTGAGAAGTATGGCATGGTTTACGTCAAGCTTGAGGGCCAAGGCACCATCGGGACCATTGTCAACGGAGCCGGATTGGCGATGAACACGGTCGACGCGCTGGTTGCTCGGGGCGGTCATCCAGCGAATTTCATGGACACTGGGGGCAAAGCGACTTCCGAGACAATCAAAGCTGGCTTCAAGATTGTCACCTCAGACCCCAGAGTTAAGGTCATCTTTGTTAATATCTTTGGAGGACTAACTCTGGGCGACATGATCGCCAACGGTATCCTGATGGCTTTCCGGGATCTGGACTTGAAAGTACCCGTCGTTGTTCGGATCCGTGGGACGCGTGAGGCCGAAGGACAACGCCTGATCCAGGAGAGCGGTCTTAAATTAGACGCTTTTGGTGAGTCACCAGTAACAATTGAACTGGCCAAACAGTTGCTGATGAGCGTGACAACAGATTCTTTTGAAGAGGCGGCCGCTCGGGCAATCGCAATTGCAAAAGGCACGGAAAAGATGGAGTAGATCAGTATTTCGACGTCGACCAGCTACCACCGCCATAAAGCGACACATCTGTTTTCTGATATCCACTGAGAATTCTACTGCATTTCGAAGGGCTTTCCAAGTTTTAGGGAGTTGGCTTGCTTTGCAATCTACCTTGGCCCCTGGCGCATATATATCTGCATATCTCGGAACATAATTGGCGACATGCCGAAAGTGCTTGCACAAAGTTTTGAGGAGAGAAACTCGCTCTGGCCCCGACAGACCGGCGGACTTGTAGCATGAACTGGAATGGATCAACCCAAGGCTTATCATTGACAGCATACGTGGCTTACCTACATACCTAGGTACCTTATCTACCCCGTACCCCAGCAAAGCCGGACTCAAGACTTCAGGCTTGGTTTGTGTCCAAGGAGTCTAAGTCCCAGGAGCAGGAGCCGTCCCGTCGTTCGGCTCGCAATGAACTTCTGTGGATGGATGTCGATATCGACATGCTGACTCGAATGGCAAGTTGACCTCTGTGCATGTCGATATCGATGTCGATATGCTGACTCGATGGGCAAGTGTATCTCAGTTTCTTGGTTGATACAGTAGAGGGTGCTCTACACCCAGAAGGCAACGCGGTTACGTGTGAATGGGCGTTAGATCAACATGGCATTGACTTTGGGCGCCCTTTTTCAGTTGCTGGCCCAGTCATTCCACTTCCTTTGCAGGCTCCGTGTCGACATCGTCGGCGATAGGTACACATTTGGTGTACATTCCGTTGTCGCTTAACAGCCGGCCTTGAGACGGTGAGGATTAATCTAAACATCACTGGTCATTCAACGTCGGCAGTGAAAGATGGTCAAATACCTGGGGCCAGAATGACAGCCGCCACATCCGTTTGCTGACTCCACTGCACAGCTTCGGCCCATCAACAACACAGGGCTGAAATGGCCGAGGCTCAGGCGAGTCAGGGCCTCTAACTCGATTGTCTGCTGACATCTACCCCGTTTATGTCTGGACAACACTCATGTCCATATATCTACGCATATACTGTATCATTCTCCACTGATCTGAGGGTAGTTCTCGCGCGTGGCGTGGTATATAGACACACAAAAGCCTCCGCTTTGGAATCAAGCTTCAGCACAGCAAGGAAACCAAATTCTGTCTCAATGGATACTCAGTCGGCGTATCCCTTTTTCTCAAATCTCACCACGGCGTCATCGCAGCAATTGTCCGGTCTGTCTCGGATCTGGGCATATTACTTGCTTCCTGCCATCATTGCCTATCCCTTTCTTTGCCGGGCGTTACGCTTCCGACGCATCAAGGGGTTGCAGGCCAAATACAAATATGGCACGCCCGAACATCCTTCCTATGAAGGCATGACGGTTGACGAGGCCTATGACATTGTTCGGACCACCCACGATGTCGAGTTTCCGGCCTTGTTTGACAAAGGCCTGCAATTTGCCCTCTTTCGCACCTACGGTATCCCGACCATCAGCGATTTGCTCGTCAAGACAACTCAGCTGTCCAAAACCCAAAATGTCCCCCGGCGGTACGCTGACACCGCGGTGCTGTTAGCTGACATATACGCGGGCGAACCGACGAGTGACAGATGCACTGATGCGTTTGCTCGCCTGAACTATTTGCACGGTCACTACATCAAACAAGGGAAGATCTCCAACGATGACATGTTGTACACGCTGTCGCTGTTCCTGAACCAGCCGGTAGAATGGATCAATCGCTATGAGTGGAGACAGCTCACCGATATGGAGATATGTGCCATGGGTGTTTTCCACAAAGCCATGGGCGACGTCATGGACATCTCGTTTGAAGCCTTGCCATCGTATTCCACTGGCTGGAAAGACGGTCTTCATTTCTACCGCGAGCTCGATGCCTGGGCCAAGCAGTATGAAAAAGATCATATGGTTCCTGACAAGAAGAATTACGACACGGCTGTGGAAACTCGGAAACTGCTGCTAAGCACTTATCCGACCATTTTGCATGGCGTTCTTACGAAAGCGATCAGTGCGCCTCTGGACGATCGACTGCGAGAGGCCGTTATGTTCGAAAAAGCGCCGCCATTGTACGTCTCGCTACTCAACGGCTTCATGGGATTGCGGAAACTGTACCTCAGATACTTGGCTCTTCCGAGACCGTGGGCTATGAGACCTAAGCTTCTCTCTGAAAAGCCAGATCGCAAGGGGAGGAGGTACGTTCTCTGGTGGGACACGATGCCCGTCTACGTCAAACCAACGCTGTGGAATCGGTGGGGTCCTGGAGCGCTGGTCAACATGTTACTTGGTGTCCCTCGTCCCGGTGACCGGGGAATGTATCCAGAAGGTTTCGAGATCAAAGATGTAGGGCCGCCGGTGTTTGTCGGGAAAGGATCGAAGGAGATGGACGCCACGAAGGAGAGGTTGAAGAATGCTCAGCGAGGAGGCTGTCCATTTGCTGTGCGATGATGGAGACCTAACTTTGAGAGAGCAAATCTAGAAGGGACACAGGATTGCGTGCAGCGGCTATCAACGCCTGTCAAATACTGTACAGCGTATCTGTTATTACTGTCGCCGTTGATTTTTGGCGAAGCGGGGGAGAATGCCCTCGCTCGGGCTTTGCGAGGCTGTCAGACGGCTATTCATCGTTCTGTTACACGCCCAGAGACAGCGGGGCGGGCATCTCCATTTGGCAAGCGATACCGATTCCAACCGACGGTAACCACACTTGCGATCGCGGCCTCCAAACACTTGCCTTTTCGTATTAATTCTGGCGACGTGGGGTGCTCCATTGATCCCATCGACCTCTGTAGCTTTTCCGTCTCATTGTTGTGCGTGTTGTAAGACTGAGGGTGTTTGTATTCGGGGTCATATCACAGCACAACAAGCACCATGTCGGGTTCATGTGGCAGGACACTGCTATCGCTGCCGCGACCGTCTGCCTCGTCGGCCTCAATCACTCGATCGGTCCGCCGATTCCATGTCTCCCCCTCTGCCAGAACGACCTTGGCCGCCTTCAAGGTCCCCAACATCTCCAACGAGCCGAACAAGCACTACGCCAAAGGCTCTCCCGACCGAGAAGCGCTGGCGGCTGCAGTAGCTGAATTGCAAGCAAAGGTCCCTCTAGAAGTTCCTGTGGTCATTTCTGGAAAGTCGGTCCAGAACTCCAATATCCTCACCCAGCAGAACCCTTCCTCCCACTCGACGACGATCGCCAAATTCTCCAACGCGTCTGCTCAGGATGTTAACAATGCCATCGAGGAAGCCCTCGCTGCCAAACCCGCGTGGGAGGCTCTTCCTTTCGCCGATCGGGCAGCCATATTCCTCAAGGCTGCGGATCTGATCGGAACAAAATACCGATACGATATCATGGCTGCGACCATGTTGGGACAGGGGAAGAACGCGTGGCAGGCCGAGATTGATGCGGCCGCTGAGCTGGCGGACTTCCTGAGGTTCAACGTCAAGTACGCCGAAGAATTGTATTCTCAACAGCCACAACACAATGCGCCGGGCGTCTGGAACAGAGTTGAGTACAGACCATTGGAAGGCTTTGTCTACGCCATCTCACCCTTCAACTTTACCGCCATTGGTGGTAACCTGGCAGGTGCCCCAGCATTGATGGGTAACGTGGTGGTCTGGAAGCCCAGTCCCTCGGCCGTCGCCTCGAACTATCTGGTACACAAGATCTTCCTGGAAGCCGGTCTTCCTGCAGGCGTCATCCAGTTTGTTCCTGGCGATGCTGAAGAGGTCACCAAGGTGGTGCTCTCACACAACCAGTTCGCTGCGCTGCACTACACTGGTTCGACCGCTGTCTTCCGCAAACTGTTTGGCCAAATTGGTCAGGGCATTGCCGAGGGCAAGTACAAGGGTTACCCGAGAATTGTCGGAGAGACGGGCGGAAAGAACTTCCATCTCATTCACAAGAGTGCCAATATCGAGAACGCTGCCGTGCAGACCGTTCGCGCAGCCTTTGAGTACCAAGGCCAGAAGTGCAGTGCATGCTCAAGGCTGTATGTGCCGAAGTCGATCTGGCCCGAGTTCAAGTCTAGGCTGGTTACATTGACGGAGAATCTGAAGATCGGCCCGCCCGAGGACTTTGGCAACTTCATTGGGCCGGTCATTCATGAGGCCAGCTTCAAGAAGTTGTCCGGGGTGATTGACGCAGCGAAGAACGACAAGGATCTTGAGCTGATCACCGGTGGCAAGTACGATGACTCCAAGGGCTACTTTGTGCATCCGACAATCTACGAGGCCAAGGATCCGCAACACAAGAACCTCAAAACCGAGTTCTTTGGGCCCATCTTGACTGTCTACGTGTACGATGACTCGAAGCCGGATGCTTTTGAACAAGCCTGCAAGCTGGTTGACAGCACTGGTGACTATGGTCTAACCGGAGCCGTCTTTGCCCAAGATCGTTCCATCGTCAGGTATGCCGAGGAGACTTTGAGAAATGCCGCCGGCAACTACTACATCAACTGCAAGTGCACAGGTGAGTGACATCTTGATCCCCAAGCAAGGAGCACAATGGCTAATTGATTTCGTCATAGGTGCTGTTGTCGGTCAACAACCTTTCGGCGGTGCCCGAGCATCGGGTACGAATGACAAGGCTGGCTCTGCTTCAATCCTGTCCCGTTTTGTGAGCATGAGAGCGTTGAAGGAGGAGTCGTTGCCGACGACAAAGGTCGAATACCCTTCCAACGATGTATAAGCAGTATCCATCAGGGTGATCGCATATAGTAATTTGTCAGAAAGTCGACATGGCAGATGACAAGGAATTTTGGATGTTCTATTGGCTCCGTGAATGTAAAGAAGAGTCAATTCAGTGTAGTTCCGTGACGATGTTCACCACCCTCTACAATGTTGTGCAGCGTGGGTTACATGTCAATGGGTTCAGCTTACTAGTAGGGTTCACGAGAATTAATGTTGATATCACGTGAAAGCCTCTGTTGTCGTCTCGCGTCCTGGAAAGGGAAGGTCAGGGGTACAGGGTGTCTAGTATGACACCAAACCATTCTCGATCTAGCGTAGTCTTCACCGCCCTCACCGCAGGCTGACAACCCTGCAGCCATTGGCTCAATTATTACCCGCAGTCTGCGTGATGTCGGTACTAACGTGCTAGCCGGCAAGTGAATCGCGGCGCGCAGCCCAAACAAAAGCCTTGGCGCAGACGCCTCCCAGGACAAGTTTGTTGATTGAGAGTCGAGCCATTTCTGTCTGCTTGCCCACAACCGACTGACTGCACCACTCCTACTACCATCACCACCAGCACAGTCGTCTTCCACCTTTGTCTCACAGCTCCTGGTGCAGCTCTTCGATCGCCTCATCATCAGACAATCACCCATATCCCTTCGAATCAGTCTTCCCACCCGTCACCATGCGTGAGATTGTAAGTACATGCGCTGTCCGCAGGCAGGACTACGCGTTGATATGGGCGCTGTTTACCCCTTTGTCCTGTCTTCAACCCCACCATCACTTTTGGTCTGTAACGATAACAACTGACTTGACTTTTCTCAACAATAGGTTCACTTGCAGACCGGCCAATGTGTATGTTGATCCCAGATCCCCTCCATTGAATCAAGACTGACCGACCCCAGGGTAACCAAATCGGTGCCGCCTTTTGGTACGAATCCCTTTGACGCACAGCCGCGTTTTCGATCTGCCTCTAACACGATATTACAGGCAAATCATCTCAGGTGAACATGGTCTCGATGGCAATGGAGTGTACGTGAATATTCATGAATCAACTGCTGTCGCTGGGACTAACAAAAGCAGGTACAATGGTACCTCCGATCTTCAGCTGGAGCGTATGAACGTCTACTTCAACGAGGTATGTATCTAAAGTTACCAAAGTTGCTTGAGCAACTTACTGACATGTCCGCAGGCTTCCGGCAACAAATATGTCCCTCGTGCAGTCTTGGTCGATCTCGAGCCTGGTACCATGGACGCGGTCCGAGCTGGTCCTTTCGGTCAACTTTTCCGCCCAGATAACTTTGTCTTCGGTCAGAGCGGAGCTGGTAAGATTATCTGTCTTGGAAGGAGTTAAGAGTTGAGAAGTAACAATAAATACAGGAAACAACTGGGCCAAGGGACACTACACCGAGGGTGCTGAGCTGGTCGACCAAGTTCTCGATGTTGTTCGACGTGAGGCCGAGAGCTGCGATTGCCTTCAAGGTTTCCAGATCACCCACTCTCTCGGTGGAGGTACTGGTGCTGGTATGGGCACGTTGTTGATCTCCAAGATCCGCGAGGAATTCCCTGACCGCATGATGGCTACCTTCTCCGTCGTTCCGTCTCCCAAGGTCTCCGACACCGTTGTCGAGCCGTACAATGCCACCCTCTCCGTCCACCAGTTGGTTGAGAACTCTGACGAGACTTTCTGTATTGACAACGAGGTACGACACTGCAGACATCAGATTTGCAAGGACACTACTAATGCTATTTTCAGGCTCTCTACGATATCTGCATGCGCACCTTGAAGCTGGCCAACCCCTCGTACGGCGACCTCAACCACCTCGTCTCAGCAGTCATGTCTGGTGTCACCACTTGCTTGCGTTTCCCCGGTCAATTGAATTCGGATCTTCGAAAATTGGCCGTCAACATGGTTCCCTTCCCGCGTCTCCATTTCTTCATGGTCGGATTCGCCCCTCTCACCAGCCGTGGTGCATACTCATTCCGCGCCATCACGGTCCCAGAGCTTACGCAACAGATGTTCGACCCTAAGAATATGATGGCCGCGTCGGATTTCCGCAACGGTCGTTACCTTACCTGCTCCGCCATTTTCCGTGGAAAGGTCAGCATGAAGGAGGTTGAGGATCAAATGCGCAACGTCCAGAACAAGAACAGCAGCTACTTCGTCGAGTGGATCCCCAACAACGTTCAGACTGCTCTCTGCTCGATTCCCCCGCGTGGCCTGAAGATGTCTTCGACTTTCGTGGGCAACTCGACTTCCATCCAGGAGCTGTTCAAGCGTGTCGGCGACCAGTTCACTGCCATGTTCCGTCGCAAGGCTTTCTTGCATTGGTACACTACCGAGGGTATGGACGAGATGGAGTTCACCGAGGCCGAGTCCAACATGAACGATCTTGTCTCGGAATACCAGCAGTACCAGGATGCCAGCATCTCCGAGGGTGAAGAGGAGTATGGTGAGGAAGAGGCCCCTCTTGAGGAGGAAATGTAAATACTTCTTGCATCATCCGGCACTGACGAATTGATGGGCGTCGGGTTGTCTCTACTCTGGCCCTTCAAGGTTGACCATTGATTGGTTTTGTTTGGCCATCGACCAATCCTTTTTTTGTACTTTGTCCAAAGCGTAGCAGGGAGTCAAGATGGATCGAACCCCCCGATACAAGACAGGACAGGATCGGGATCGCCCCAAAGCAAGCCAACTCAGGCATAGCTCAAAGTGTGCATGCTCCGGCGGAGTCCCGAGTTCACGTCTCATGCAGTGGGCAGAGTTTTTAATGAAATGAATAGTATCCATGCATTCTCAAGACAGGGCGTCAGTCTCAAGTATTTCTTTTTTCAGTCTGTACCCGTTACCACGACTTTGTTGTTTTAAGCATTCTTCCTAGGGGTAACTCCAGCCGTAGTACTAGAAGAAGAGATGGGTGACAAACGAGTGGTGCTCGTACTATTGTAGCACTCGGGGTTTTCACAACTACAATGTCAGTAATGGTGATGAGGTAGCCTTTCGGTGCAAGTAGTAGTGGTGGTTTGGCTCGGATGAGGTGAGGGATGTTGATTTTATTTCGGGAATAATTCTAGCCATGGTCAGCACCTCAGCTCCATCCCATATCCTTACCTAGGTAGTTGCCAGTGTTTGTACGGCATATCCATATCTTGAATGAAGTTACAGTTATTCCACCTGACGAGTCACCATGGTATGTCTACCTTAGTCTCTTGAGTTTCAAGTTGTTGATTGACGCCGCGGTTCGACCGGGCGTTTTAGACGACTTTTTGCTACAAGGCGCTGCATCTACGTCTGCATAGCATATGCTGATCGATTGATTATCATTGATATAGGGCAAGTTGGAAGATGATTTGAAAACCGATCCTCCATGCCATCCTAGAGCGGTACGTACAGTTGTACCTGATGTGATTCAAGTTGTGGAAAAGGAACTTGAAGCGCTGCGCCTGTTCCGAACAGCTTGCTTGCTAGCTAGCATTGCTTTTGCTTTGCTGTGCATGGCCTATAGAGTACTGCTACCAGTACCGTAATGTTATATTTGCGTGCTGACTGCTGACCCTACTTGGTCTCTATATTAGTGCGCTATCCAAGGTACGTCGAACCTGAACTATTTGAATTGCAGTGAGGAGGGGCTATACATACATATACATATCCAGTGTCTACTTACCCAAGGGAGATTTCTTTTTCTCCTTGCCGGGAAGATTTGTTTAATTTTTTGGGAGCCTGAAACTGATCACATTTTGGTTTTCTACAGACTGTCTCCAGAAGAACAATTACAAGGAAGAAAAATGCCAAACGGCGATCGATGCGCTGTACGAATGTTGCAATGAGTTCTATAAGAGACAGGGGGACGAGGCGACGACGGCTTCGTGTCCGAAGCCGAAGTTGTTGAGGGTGAAGATGAAGCAAAGGGGACAGGGTGATTGATTTCCTCGGGCCCTGGGCCGACGAGTCCAAGCTGTATTTCTACGTCGTATGAGACATGGACTGCATGTGGCGGTGCCGGTGCACACTGCAACACAGGGACGGCTGTGAGACTTGGGCGTCACGCAGGCATGCCATGCTTTATTAAACATGCGCAGCCAACTATTCAATTCTGTCCAAGTTTGTGACCTGGATCATTACTGGTGTCTGCAGAAAGCGGTGGTCGAGCTTGAAGATGACATTGAAATTATTCCATGTCTAGCTGAGGTACATGTACATCGACATAAACAGAGACAATCGAGTACAAAGCCGTAGTCTTCCATGGGTCTGAGTAGTACATTCTAGGAGACATCACTGAGGTAAAACCTGCTTCGCTTCGCTCCGTACCTAGAATTGCTAGTAGTAATATGTAGCATACGATTTTTATATCTGAACCATCATCCCTTCTTGCAAAGGTCTGGCCAGTTCAACACCGAATGCAGGCTATGCTCTCAGGCGGTCGTGAGCACGCAAAGAGACCCTCGTGGGATCTGAACAAACACTGAAGAGATATAATCGTCTGTTCCGAGACTCTAATGACCACCGTTTAAAGACATTGTTGAAAAAAGGAAAAAGAAAAGAATTCGTGATAGTTTTGTGGGTGTCGCAGTTTTATGAAGATCGAGCCCCAGGCAACTGCTTTGGGACTAGCGTCTCGAACCTCACACTGCGCGTCGTTGGTCGCTGTCCGTCGCGTGTGAAAGTTGAAGATCCAAGTAAACGCTTACAGCAGGTTCTGGCAGCCTGGACTCGACAGAGCTTGACAACTCGAAGCCAAGGTAGCCCTCGCCTACTTCTACTGTATCTCCTATCAAAGAATTGCTGGACAATGGCTCCTATTACTAGGTCCTCCGTCCAGGGAAGACCGGCGCAGGTGAGCTTCTGTTAATCCTGCAAACAACCGAACCACAATGCTGATCCGGACAGAACCAGTTTGGCGATTTCCAGAGGAACAACTCGACTGAGGACCATCTCGAGTCCGACCATGCGAGCGACGAGGAAATGGCCGATGACGACGTCGCGGAGTCCATACAGGAAGGTGCGATACTCTTATTGCCCTTTGTTGTCTTTTTTGGCTGGCGTCGCATGCCGCTGCAGTGCAGTGCCAGACTTGCCTCGACTGTTTAACTCGATTCACCATGCTAATCAATACTGTAGAACCCGGGTCTCCTTTCCGCTCTACTGCGCAAGAATTTCTTCGACCGCTGCAAGACACCGCCGACCGAGTGAGCAGGCAAGTCGAGGAGTTTGCAAAGGCATTGGACAAGTTCGTGGCCAACCGAGAGCCCACCGATGCCTCTCTGTGGGAAGATGCTTTGGTACTGTTAGACCGCTACAGCAAGATTGCTCAAATCAGAAAGACAAACACGACATCCACCGATGATGCAGACTCCCAAACACAGAAACTTCAGCTGGAATCTGACCTGTGGGGGCTCATTCGAAACCTGCTCTATTGTAACTCGCCCGAGACAGTCAACAACACACAAATCGCGCAAGAGTCAAGGCTGGCCGGACTCCACCGTTATTCAAACAACGTCGAACTTTGGACGGCATTTTTGGATTCCGATGTCGTCGCCCAAGAATATGAATGCATATTGGGCTGGCTCCAAGATCGGGCAGCCGATACACTACCGCCCATTGAAACCATTATGAAGACCTTGCAAGAGAAATCAGAGCGAGGTGATGGGGTTTGGAGCGCCGGGCCGATTTTCACGCAATCCGCGATCAAGAAACAGAAACGAACACGGGCCTTGTCAAGGCCGCTCGATCCCTCCAACCCCAATATCAGCCGCTCTCACACTCGCAAAGCTGATGGCAAGCCGCTTGTTGCACAATTGGATCCGGATTCTCGCACTCGCGAATCCGCACTGCTGGAAGAGCAGGACGAATATTATGAGCGGGCGGCCTGGCAAACCTGTTGGGAGATGCTGCGTCGCGGTCTTAGTGCGGCCGAGATCCATTCCTGGTGGGCGGAACGGAAAGAGGCGTGGCGATATGCTGTCATTCGCGGCAGCGGCTTGAACACCGAAGAAATGGCGCAATCACCCTGGCTTCGCATATTGAACCTGGCCTCGAATGCGGAGTGGCTGGAACGATGTCATATTCTGGCACAAAACCCGAACATCCATGATGTTTATCAAAAGGCTGTCTACGGCCTGCTCTGTGGCGATACAGGAGCCTCGAAGGCGGCCACGAAAACCATCGACGATCATCTCTTTGTCCTCTTCAATGCTCTGCTCATTCAACGCTATCTACACTATGTACATGCGTATAGGGACAAACTGAACGATCAAGGGGCTATTGTGTACCGACCGCAGCCTGGGGCAACCGCTCGGATTCGACATTATGCCACCATGGCGCAGGCCGACCCGACAACCAAGGATGAGATTCATCTACCGCATAAACTGCTGGAATTAGCGGTGGTCTCAAAGGACTTTGACACCTTTTTCGTTTCTATGGGACAGGCTGCCGCTGATATGGCCCATGCCTCTGGCCAAGGGAAGCACCTCATGAGGCTCAAGGAAATCGAGAATCAGAATGATTCCCAGGAGATTGCTCGGGTGAATGCTCAGGATCAAGACGCTGTTCGCATGGTCGTCCATCTCCAACTTTTGCTTCGAGCATTAGGGTTTCTGGAGTCCTCATATGCTGGCCACGAATATGAGATGGAAAACAACATAGCCAGCTACATTGGCTGGTTGGAACGTGAAGGGAAATTCTCCTTGATTCCATTGTACGCTTCCAAAATGTCCAAACCCAGGACTCAGCAAACTTTGGGGGAGATTCTCATCAACGTAACGGACCGTCGAGAGCGGGATCTACAGGTCAAGCTGATGAAACAGTATGGCATCGATGTCTCGGATGTCGCATACGGCATTTTCTCGATCGCCAATTTTGATCTCATCCAGAGACTTCGAAATTTAGCGGAGATTCACCCGCCCAGGATCACGGTGCCTGGAGGGACGTACAACACCGCTCAACTGCGCCTTCGTGCGGGCCTGATGACTGGAGAAGTCTCAGACGAGGCTGAAAGGGCCATTCGAAGTGTGGAATGGTATCGATACGTCGATGCGGAGAATTGGGGAGTTGCCGCGTGGTCTGTGGCACTGCTTTACAAGACTTTCTTGATAGACGGCAATTTTGTGGCTTTGCGGCAACTCTATGAACGGGCCGGCCTGTCGGAGCTATCTCTTGCTGCCGTGGGAATGAACCTCATTTTTGCCGACGAGGAGCCACCTCCTGAGGAGGACCAAGGTGAAGATGAGGAGATGGATGACGATCACGTCCGCCCCATCAGTCCGACTCGCAAACAGAAGAGCCCCATGGGCGAGCATCCTCTGACCAGAGCAGGCACTGATCGGGGAACCTTGGCTTACAAGTCATTGGTTTGGAGGGAACTGGAACAGCTTGTGGGAGCTCTGGACAGCTTGGATGTCTTTCAAGAGATTGCAGACAATCTAGAAGCGTGAGTTGGTGTCTTTCGGGAATGTTAAGCAGGACATACTAACGTTGTGCCAGTAACCGAAGCAATGCGCACATTGTACGAGAGTGCAAGCGTGAGATGAAGAAGGCTCTCGAGGATGTCCGGGAGAACATGCAGCCACTTTTCGATCCGGACTTCTTGTGCCGGCCACAAGACGAAATGGAAGCGGTTATGCTGACGGCGCTACGCAACCATTACGTTCCCGAGTGCATCTTGGCTTACAATGGCGTCTTGTTCGCTGCGGGACACTATTGTTCGCGAGTCTGGTTGGTGGAATGTATGGAATTGGCCCAAGTGGTTGCGCAGAGTCCCATGTTGACCGAAGCCTTTGTCGAAAGTGGTCGGATGAAGGAATTGGTCAAGGCTTTTGCGCTGGACAGTCGGTCCTTGCTCGAGGCGACGGAACAGGGGGCCTCAAAGTCGAAGAAGATCAAGACGGAGAAAGGCAATGGTGACATCTGGAAAGTCACCTGGAAGCAGTCCGGGCCTGTGGATCTAGAAGCGCTGGATTAGGGGTCAAGAAAGTCGATAGACTGGCGGAAGGTTGCTTCAGCAGTCAAAGTTGGTTCCAAGGGTGCTAAAGGAACTTGAGTGCTGCATGGGAGTGGGACTGAAAGTGTATACACATGTGGTTTGATTTACCTACCAGACCAATACCGGTGTCGCATCAACAAGTGTCCATTGCTTCAAGTTGTGCACGAGTTGCCTGCCGCTGGCAGTGGCGGAAAAGTCAAGCGTAGGGCGTGCACGGTACAAGTAGGTTTTCGCTCGTTCAAGAGGCTCAGCCCTGAGAATGACACGCAATATTAGGACACCTTGGTATGCTAGTCAACTGCCATTGTTGTATGTAGTCCGAAGAGGCCGGATTCAGGTTGTGTGGTCTCGTCGAATTACAAATCTTGCATGGGTGAGATAGAGGTTAAACGGGTACGCCCAATGGTTGACGGAGCACGACCACGACCATGACCATGACCATGACCATGGCCATATTAAAGCATAAGCATATTCCCGATGGCCATTAGGTGCGATAGTAGGTGCTGGTTGGGTATTACTGATGTACCTTGTCTTTTAAGTGGCAGGGTGAGAAAATACATACATAAATACATCATGCCTGGTAAGGTAGCTGATACATACCTACCTACCCTATATATCTATGGACAAAATCTCGTCGAGTCGGGCAGAATCAACTCCTCACATCCGTCTGTTTTTCTCTGCAAGTCATAACAACCATGACTAGCACCAGTGCCGACACCACCACTGCCCTCTATGGTCTCACAGCCCTGTCAGCGGACCAAGCCCTAACGAAGCCCTCGACCGCAAACCCAGCTGCAATGGACATATCGTCGCTTTCACCGCCCCAAACCGCCCTGGCGGCGCGTCTCGCGGCGTATGCGCAGGCAAAACTGGACGCGGACACATACCGCCACAGCATGCGCGTGTACAGTTACGGCTGCGCCATAGCGAGGCAATGTTTCCCGCAGTTCGAGCTGACGCCAGGCTCGACTCTCGACGAGACTTGGTTCCTCACGGCACTGCTGCACGACATCGGCACGAGTGCCGAGTTTCTGACGCCTAGCTGTACCCGTCTCAGCTTCGAGTTTTGGGGCGCGTTCCATGCTTTGGAGATCTTGCAACAGGCGAAAGAATCAAGTTCAAGTTCAAGTTCGGTGACGGCAGCAGCAGCAGCAGGAGCAGCTTCACCGCGCGAACAGGCCGAGAGTGTCGCAGAAGCCATCATTCGGCATCAGGATATCCAGGACAAAGGGAACATCACCTTGATGACCCGCCTGATCCATCTGGGCACTTTGCTCGACAATATCGGCGCCGGGGCTCACCTCATTCATCCACAGACTATTTACAACGTCGTTCGCGAGTACCCTAGGCCAGGATGGTCTGGCTGTTTTGAACGTACCGTGAAGAAAGAGAAGAGCTTCAAGCCTTATGCTATGGTTAGTAGGATCGAAGGGTTTGAGGATGCCATTCGGAAGAATGGTGACAGTGCCTCGGGCGGTCTTATGGCTGGGTATGATTGAATTGATTTGAACCTGTTCGAGTCCTTGTTCACTTTGGTTGGACGAGTTTAGTGTTAATGTTGGGATGGAGTGGGAGTTGAAAAGACTCCATTATTGTGGTACACGACCGGGAAGAGGGATGGGTCTGTCACACCATCTTACCTGAGGCTAGGTGATCGGGTAGTCCTGAAAGCGGCTGATCGTCATAAATTAATAGTATTTCCTTTGGCTCGAATGAATACCTGGCTCAGCAGACTCCTTCGCAGCATACTTGATCCCAGGCCAGGTTCGGGCTCCTCAGGAGCTCAAACGGACAAATCTTAAGTCGAGGCGAAAGAAATCCCGTTGACGCTGGTAAAGAGCTCGGATGATCCTCTTGAGTAACCCTGACTGACAGACGACGGATCTCTTTCACTTCGCCCAAACACCCATGTACTGGTAGCCGATCGTACGAGAGCTTGTTTGGCTCAGCACCTAACCGGTACTCATGTAGGTATCTAGGTAAGTAGCCAGGTAACGATGTCGTACACGTACCCGAACGTATAAGGTAGGTAATGAAGTTTGCCCGAGAGTTTGCGAAGTTTGCACGCTCCAGAGATCATGACGGTTCCGACCGGGCTGACGTCCGACATCACCTTGAAGGACATCATCTTACCTTTCTTTTTAACTGTACTGCACAGTTGGGCACTCTGCAGAGATTGGAACAATATACTGCAATCATACTGTGTCGGCAATCCTTGCTCGTTCCAGATAAGGAGTCTCGGCCATTGTCAAAAGTCTAGCCACGATGACAGCACCAAGAAACTGCCCAGCCTTATGGCCAGGCTTGGTAGTGAGGCCAAGAAAATGCTATCACCATAAAGCACCAAAACATGGGTCCGCCAACTTTGTTACTGGCCATCGCAGTGATGACAAGGGCGATTTACCTGGCCAAGATATCTGTCTCGCAAAGGGTGGAGTGGTAATTACCTTGAGGAGACGGACAAAAGCTGATACCGGGTACTAACGTACAACTAGCGGACCAGCTGCCTGACTTCCGAGGTCTCTTAGCACGGTGGCAGTGCAAACGCCCTGGCCAAGATATGTTGTTTCTATTGGATGCGGAAAACTGGAAAGGCGCCAGAACCACGAAGACTTTTGCCCAGTATCCAACCGGCGGGGCACGGGTCGAGCTGTGAGAGCCTTTTTCTCTCTTGTCAGCTGTGATGTAGCCGCCGAGGGAGGCAATGGTAGGGAGAAATCAAGGGAAACACTGTGGGAGGCAAAAGTGTGTCTGTTGGTGCTTGCGATGTAGCAATATCCAGACTGATGTCCCGGAGAGTGCAGTGGATTGTTGTTTTATTGGCATCCATGTTCCCACCCGCCGCGGTAGTTTGACAGGGTACAAAATACGTACTACTGTGCCAATACTGGGAGTTCACGACTCAGTAGATCGTGCTAATTGAGGTCCAAACGTCTGTAATGGCCGTCTCTGCAGCCTGAGACTCGTGGGAATCTCATGCTGCTGCGCCTCTCCGGCCCAGATGGTCTAGGCGCCTCAGATCGCGTGCGTCTCATTGGGTCTGCCGCCATTTAGCGCTACGGGGTTAGCGGCCCTAGTCCACTAATCCATAGTACAGTCAGACTATCCGCGTACACTTCGCTGCGTTGGCTCTGGCATTGGACAGTGCAGGTGGAATTCCAACAATTCGTCCTCGTCTGGGCTCACCACCATCTCAACTGCCATCACCATCTGCCAGTGTATGCTCATGCAGCACACTATGTTGATACCTTAGCCGTTCCCTGAACCAAACAATGGCACTGCAGTTTGCCTCGTTCCCTTTGTACATTCTCTTTTCTTCTTCCATCGGACGGGTCAACTGCTAAAGCGGTTGTTGATGCTCCTTCTCCTATACCTAAACAACCTTGTTACGCAACTCCGTTGTTGATCCGCCGGCCGTACGAGTACATGGCATCTCCGATAGACCCTTCCACATTCAGACCGTGGTCTTTTCGAGGGCCACCGTCCTCTATCGTCACTGTATAACTGCAGTGACTGTCAGCGAAGTCAACAGCACCAACGTTAGGGTTCAATATTGGAATCGTTCTGGGTCTTCGGGGGCTTAGACATTGCGTTTACTTTGGCCACTATTCTTTGGTACGCAGCCACCCATTCTTCGTTCGCCTGAAGCATCGAATCTCACATCTCATGCTGCCAGTATTTCTCGGCTTCACGACGTACGGTCTCATAATACAAGCATTTCGTTCTCCTCATCGTTGGGCGTTTCCTGCCGGTATCACTTTGCCACTTCTTTGCGGACTCTGCTACATTGTTCTGAACGGTTGACGGAATTCTAAAACAGCGACTAAAAAGAGCCGGAGTTCTTGTTGTAATACATACATTCGAGCGTTTACACTCAGTTTAACCATGTCCTCATCATCACCTCCTGAAGGACAAGAGTCCGAGCCGCCGCCGCTCAACCCAACCCGCGCCCGGGCACGAGCGCCAACAATCAGCATTGACGATTCTGCCGTTCAACAACCCTCCGATCAACCACCGAGCGCGGCTTCCGATAAACCAGGACCCCTGCCTCGTATACAGACCTCTGGTCTGGATGACGGCCCGTCGCCGTCAACTCCGCTCTCCCTTTCGCCGACAGATATGCGCACATCATCTGACATACGCGAGTCACGTCCAACCTCTCCGCACAATGTTTCATCTCCAAGAACGCAATTTCTCGACGGGGCATCTCCCCAGACTTTTCTGTCCGTCCCCGGGTCGAGGGCAAGGGCTCCATCTGTGGAGTCGGAATTGTTATCCCCCATGTCCGAATTTGGTGGAGATACGCAGATAGCGTCGAGTACTTCAGGTTTGGACGACGAGATGAGCAAAGCCTCGTTCAGTAACAATGACGACGTGATCAACGACGCAGATGCTTTGAGACCTGATCCCGGGACTGAGGCCGATTTCCAGGTTGAGGACAACAAGTTTGCCTTTACGCCTGGGCAACTGAACAAGATGATCAATCCCAAGAATCTGGCTGCCTTTCATGCTCTAGGTGGATTGGCTGGTCTGGAGAAAGGTTTGCGGACCAATCGTTATAGTGGCCTCAATGTCGACGAAGCTGGTTTGGAAGGGACGGTATCTTTCGAGGAGGCCGTGAAAGCGGGTGCAGAATCCGAGGAAAAGTATGGTGCTGTTAAGAGAAGCAACACCGTCCCGGCCATGACTGCTCCCGCCAAAATTTCCGAAACTTCATTCGCCGACCGCAAGCGCATTTTTAAGGACAATCGACTCCCCGAAAAGAAGGCAAAGACTTTCTGGCAATTAGCGTGGATCGCCTACAACGACAAGGTCCTGATTCTTCTCTCCGTCGCAGCTGTTATCTCGCTCGCATTGGGCATCTACCAAACAGTGAGGCCAGCTCCATCCGAGGAACATGAGGCTCGCGTTGAATGGGTCGAAGGTGTGGCGATTATCGTAGCCATTCTTGTCGTAACCTTCGTTGGCGCCCTCAATGATTACCAGAAAGAACGCCAGTTCATCAAGTTGAATAAGAAAAAAGAGGAGCGGGCGGTCAAGGTTATCCGGTCGGGCAAGTCACAGGAGATATCTGTTTACGATGTTTTGGTTGGAGACGTCATGCACCTGGAGCCAGGGGATCTCATCCCCGTGGATGGGATTTTCATCGAGGGCCACAATCTCAAGTGTGACGAGTCGTCAGCGACCGGCGAGTCCGACCTCATTCGCAAGACACCAGCCGACGAGGTCTATCATGCCATCGAAAACCACCAGAGCCTGAAGAAAATGGATCCATTCATTCTCTCGGGCGGCAAGGTCACCGAAGGTGTCGGTACTTTCCTCGTCACTTCCGTGGGAGTCAATTCCAGCTACGGCAAGACGCTGATGTCGCTACAAGATGAAGGCCAGACGACGCCTTTACAATCCAAGTTGAACGTGTTGGCCGAACAAATTGCCAAACTGGGCTTGGCCGCAGGTCTGCTGCTTTTCGTGGTGGTCTTCATCAAGTTCCTCGCACAGCTCAAGCATATTGACGGCGGAGCTCAAGCCAAAGGTCAACGCTTCCTTCAGATCTTCATCGTAGCCGTGACCGTTATTGTCGTCGCCGTGCCTGAAGGGTTGCCACTAGCTGTCACCCTTGCCCTCGCCTTTGCAACCACCCGTATGCTCAAAGACAATAACCTGGTACGACTGTTGAGAGCTTGCGAGACCATGGGCAACGCCACGACTATTTGCTCCGACAAGACGGGTACTTTGACGCAAAACAAAATGAGTGTGGTCGCAGGAACGCTTTCAACTGCCTCTAGATTTGGTGACAAACAGGTGCCGATCAACTCTACCGCCGCAAAGGACGAGAAGTTGGAGGGGCCCACTGATGTTTCCAGTGGCATCTCTTCCGCCGAGTTTATGGCTACTCTATCTCCTGAGACCAAAGAATTGCTCAAAGACTCGGTGATCCAGAATTCGACGGCTTTCGAAAGTGAGGAAAATGGGAAGAGAGTCTTCATTGGGTCAAAGACCGAGACTGCTCTCCTTTCGTTTATCACCGATCACATGGCTATCGGGCCCCTCAGCGAAGAAAGAGCGAATGCCGAAGTGGTACAGATGGTGCCCTTTGACTCCGGGCGCAAATGTATGGCTGTTGTCATCAAGCTTCCTAACGGCAAATACCGTATGATGGTCAAAGGCGCGTCGGAGATTCTCATTGCGAAGTGCACGAGGATTATCAGCGATCCGACTAAGGGGATAAGCGACTCGCCAATGTCTGCCGAACAGGTAGAGACGCTGAACGGGATTGTCAGTAATTATGCCTCTCGATCATTACGCACCATTGCCCTGTTGTACCGTGACTTCAGCGAGTGGCCTCCCAGAGGTGCTGCTTCAGCGGAAGACAAGAAACAGGCCGATTTTGACAAGGTCTTTAAGGATATGGTCTTCCTCGGCGTGGTAGGTATTCAAGATCCTCTCCGTCCGGGAGTCGCGAATGCCGTCCGCGATTGTCAAATGGCCGGCGTTTTTGTGCGCATGGTGACTGGTGACAACATCATGACCGCGAAGGCTATTGCCACCGATTGCGGCATCTTTACGCCAGGTGGAATTGCCATGGAAGGGCCGGTCTTCAGAAAGCTGAGCACCAAGCAGCTGAACCAAGTCATTCCTCGTCTGCAAGTTCTGGCTAGATCAAGTCCGGAAGACAAGAAGCTCCTTGTCGGGCATCTCAAAAAGCTTGGGGAAACCGTCGCTGTGACGGGTGATGGTACCAATGATGCGCCAGCTCTAAAGACTGCGGACGTGGGTTTCTCTATGGGCATTGCCGGAACAGAAGTTGCAAAAGAAGCATCCGCAATCATTCTTATGGATGACAATTTTGCTTCGATTGTCAAGGCTATTGCCTGGGGCCGGACGGTAAACGATGCGGTCAAGAAATTCCTTCAGGTATGTATTCTGGCCTACAACTTGAGTCTTGCTCTAACTGTCTCTCAGTTCCAAATCACTGTCAACATCACGGCTGTCGTCCTCACATTCATCTCGGCCGTTGCCAGCGACGAAGATAGCTCCGTGCTCACCGCCGTGCAGCTTCTATGGGTCAACTTGATCATGGATACATTCGCAGCACTGGCCTTGGCTACTGATCCTCCCTCGCACTCGATTCTGAAACGTCGACCGGAACACAAGTCGGCTCCACTGATCACCATCAACATGTGGAAGATGATCATTGGACAGTCGATTTATCAGCTTGTTGTGACCCTGATTCTGAACTTTGCCGGAGCACGTATCCTTTCCTACGGTACTCAGCACGAGAGAGATCGACTGCAAAGCACCATCTTCAACACGTTTGTGTGGATGCAGATCTTCAATCAATACAAGTAAGTGGCGCAACGTACCTTACCAATTGATCTTACTGACCTTCCTTAGCTCGCGTCGGCTGGACAACCACTTCAACATCTTTGAGGGGGTGCTCCGAAACTACTGGTTCATGGGTATCCAGCTCATCATCGTTGGAGGGCAATGTTTGATCATGTTTGTGGGTGGTCAAGCATTCTCCATCAAGAAGATCAACGGCGCGCAATGGGGTTACTCGATAGTGCTGGGCGCCCTTTCGATGCCTGTGGCGGTTATTATCCGGTTGATTCCCGATGAACTCTTCGCGAGACTGATCCCGGCCATGCCTCATTGGAAGAAGAACAACCCCAAGTTTGTTGTGGAGGATGAGGAGGACAGGATCCGGCACTGGAACCCGGCCTTGGAAGAAATCCGAGAAGAGTTGACTTTTCTCAAGAAGATCCGTGGCGGCCGTATGTCCGAGTTGGCATACAAGTTGCAACATCCCCGCGACACCTTTTTGCCGCGGTCTCGGAGTCCCTCCCGTTCTCGGTCGAATAGTGAATTGCCTCAGACGCCAGAACTGGAGCAGGCGGTGGCCGACCCTGCCTCTGGGTCGCCTGCCACTCCAGAGCGAGCTCGACGGCGGGCAAGATCGAGTTCCTCTGTTTTCGGTCCTGCAGCTGCAATGGCCGGTATCATTGCGGGCAGTGTTGCCGGTGGATGGTCGCCAGTCGAAAAGCGGCCCGAGGAGCAGGAGACGGTGCACTTTCAGCGGGCTCGTTCCCATTCTGGCGTGGAGGGAACACCGGGGATGGAAATACACCCAGCCACGCCGGCCGAAGATCCTGTCTTTGCGCAAACCATTCCCCGGACTGGTATCCCTCCAAGTCAAAATCCCGAGTTGGCTCCCCGTTTTGAACATGGGCCTCCTCCTAGTCCTTTAGGCCGGTCAAGAGGCTCCCATTCTCGACAATCATCGTCTGCGGTATGATGGCAAGGGTTTGATATTATTAATTCGGTCTGACCAAGTGGAAAGCTTCAGGATTGAGGCGTTTCTGTGCGGCGCAATCTACAGTAATCAGTCCGACCGTGATATCTGTGCTGAAATCTGTTGGGGGATTACCCCCTACCCTCGACCGACAACCCAAGTCGGAATTGAGATGGAGCCGTGTCTATCATGGCGTCGCTTGGAGTGGTCGGAATTGCCGATGACACTCACGGGAGGCCGATGCAGGGAGCAACAATCGTGTCGGAGCAGGCTTGGTGAAAGGAGGAATCCTTCACCAGTCAAGTTTTACTATAGCACTTGCTGTACAAACACTTTGCAGCGCTATGCTCTAGTGGTGATTTACAGGCCGTACAGAGCTAGAGTACGAGGTACTAGTATGCTGCCCTGTAGGGCGGTTTGTATGGCATGTAGCGGCCTCGGCAACCCTTGTCCTAGCGATATTATCATCATTCCTATTATCGCTATCCACCACGTAAGGGTGTTGTTTTGAGCAGTAACAAAAACTCTGCCCAAATTGTGCACACCGTCAAGCATGGACCGTAGGAGCCATATATGGCCGGCGATTGCATGCACAACTGTAGGTGGTACGTCAGAAGCCGGAGCAGTGTCCATTTCTGTGAATGTTGAGTGAACCAATATTGGTGGGCCGAGAGGATGCCGCGAGGCTGAGCCGAGGTAGAGGATGCGAAACGAGATACGACGTGCATTACGGTGCTGTTTTATACAACATTGTACTTGGTACTGTTGTGGCAGTATTTGCGCTGCACTGCACTGCCAGTCTGCCTTTACGGGTTCATCGATAGAAGACTCACATACTAAGTAATGTAGCACTCGTATCATGTCATTATCAGTAGGGCGGTGAGCAGATGCAGCCGATCTACTGGTGCTGGTGCCTGCGCTGGAGTTGGTGTTGTTCCCGTTGGCCACGAGTCACGAAGTTAACCGCGCTGCGACACAACTTGAACCTTGCACCCTCTACATTGTATCCACCGTCCGCAGTCGACGGCACTCACTCCTGGTCCCATCTCCCATCTCCCACGCCATCCGCTCGATTGCGATTTGCTCGCTGGACCCTGTTTCCTTGTCCCTGGTTTAGAGCCCCATCATTTTATGTCGCCTTAAGCCTTCTGTCGCCGACCGCAACCCTCAGTTCATCGCGAACATTCGCCGCGGCTTCTGCTGGCCAGTTGCTTTTCCCGTTCGAGTCTGCCAGCCATGGCGCCAGGCTTGTCGACAATAAATAGGATCTGTGCCCTGTCCCTTCCACATCGATCGCCATCGACGTCCTTATCCCGCTTGAGACTGAGATCGATTTCTCCAATCTCCACCCCAGTGTCGGTCTTTTCCTTGACACCCCAGCGATCCAGCCTTGTCGGCTTACAACCTCTTCACACCTTCTCTCGCAGCCAGACAGTCCCAGTGCGATCGCGAACTCTGCATAACCTGAATAGACTTTTAGTGTGGAAGTCGACTAGTCTCTTGCGCGTTTATTCAACAGGTATATTCTTGTTTCTTGACGGTGAACTCACACGGATACTAATATGTCTTGCACAGTCGTTGTTCACAGCAAAGGCGGAGCGCGATTCCGGAGAACAATCAGCTTTCTCATTATCAGCACACTTTCGTTCCTCATCGGAGGTTACTACGCACTTAGTTACGCGCCTCCTATCCTAACACCGCTCATCATGGGTTCAATGCCGACCGACGTTGAGACTCTCGCCATGTACCAGCCCAATGACGACTTCGCTCGAGAGGTCGATGAACACATCCGAAACTGCCCATTGGCACAATCGTTACGGGCAAACCCCGATTTCAAAGAGTCGAGACCACACCTGAAGATCCCGCCGGAGATCCGGCAACACAACTTGACCGCAGGCACGTTGTCCGGACCGGGCATGCTGGTTGTACCGCCATACTACTTCAATGAAAAGGACGGCAAGTCCATGGTGCAAATTTTCTATGTTGGCGGTGACGTTTGCGGGCACCCGGGCCTTGTCCATGGCGGGTTCATTGCTACCATACTCGACGAGGGGCTCGCTCGGTGTGCGTTCCCCGCCATGCCCAACAAAGTCGGCGTCACGGCCAACTTGGAGATTAACTATCGCAAGCCCACTGCCGCCGGTCAGTTCCTCGTCCTCAGAGCAAAGACAACCAAAGTGGAAGGCAGGAAGGCATGGGCAGAAGGTTGGATCGAAAGCCTTGAAGTTCCGGAGGGAGAGGAGCCGGCCAAGTTGGTTGAGGCCAAGGCCCTCTTCATCGAACCCAAGCATGCAAAGGTTTGTTGACCTGGACTAGCTGGTGAAAGTTCTTTACTAACTTGCACTGTTTCCAGGTGTTACAATCACTTTACAAGGTCAACGACAACGAATGATCATCCTGCAGCCTTTTCCCACGGTGTGGCAAGCAATCTTGCATGACAGTTGCGATTTGCATTGAGCGACCTGGATAATGGAGGTTTGCATCTTGGAGTTCGTGTTAGAGATTCGATAGACTTTCAAGCTGAGCGATGGTCTGCGAGGTATTTGGGTGGCATGTTGATTGTGCAGTTTCGTCGCCAACAAAGACATGATGATGTTCTGGAGGAGTTGGAAAAGCAACTGGTTGTGAGAGCCTCCTGGATTGCTGGGGTTCTACTTTGAGACGCGATCCGCATCTGGTGTACCATCGAGACTGAGATCCTGACTCAATGACACCAGATGAGCGTGAGTGGCATTTGACCTGGGGCGAGAGATGGTCTCACGCTGGTGGAAGGTAGACAACACCTGAATGTCTTTTCCGCCATACTAACGTCCTGGTCTTGCTTGTTCACTGTGTCTATCGTCCTTTCTACTATTTGTTCCCGGGCGGTTGATACGTTTGCATCTCGTCCCGGGCGAAAAGAAGCCAGGAGAAGCCGGGCAGAGTTCGTTTCCGAGCCCCAAGATCTGCCATAGCAGAAACTGCGGAGTAGAACAAGTTCCAGTGCACCCACTACAACACAGCGCAGGTTCAAGTTGTCGCGCCTCAATTTGGAATGACAATCCTTCTTAGAGATCTGCCTTGCTGGTATTGCCATTACTATTGCTGCCACCGCTCAGCTGGTACAAGCAAGTGTTTGTGTTCCCAGATACATCCTTGGAATCCAATGTGCCGCCGCACTGGCAGTGCCAAGCGACATGCGGAAAGGTTCGATGAATCAGCCCTCGCTGCCCAGCCTGCACCATGTCTGGAAGTTCCCGCGCTGAAGTCGAACCCTTACAGTCTGGCTGGGCACGACTTAGGGATGCGCACGTGCACTTGATGAGATGACGCCGTCAAGAGAAATGGCCATATACGAGTATTGGAAGGGCTGTTTTGGCTTCAGGCCCTGCCACGGTAGGGGGAGGGAGTCATGCTTGAGACATTCGGATGCCCGAGAACATACGGTATCGAAAGATGGCTTCGACTGCATCTTTCCTTCAAGCACTAATGCTAGCAATACTACTGCTGCACCGCTGGCTTCTGGGCTTACCAGTCAGAAATGGTGGTACGAACTCTTGATGTCTATGCAGCCAAGCCAACAATGCAGAGTTGATAAGGTCAGTGACTTGTTCAGCATCCCTCAATTCCTCGTATCCAAATTCACTCTTGTTCTTGGCTTGGATCAGCTCTTCTGTCAGCTACTGCGAGGGATATCTCGACCAATCTATCAGAGGAGCTCGGAATACAGATATGCCACAGCCCTCTGGCCTACTTGAAGTCAACACGAAGCCAGGATCCAGAGCTCCGCCACTGCTCGGAGTCAATGCCTACAGGTAGGTTGGGCTCACGCCCAAAAAGATCATCATTGATCTTACGTGAATGTCAATGCCCTGAAGTGGCCATCCTGGCCGATGCATGGTACTTTGCTTGATTTTACCGAGTGAAGTGGTCAGCTTCGTGCCCAGACTTACAGTTGAACCCAAAATGCGAAAGGTATAAGAGCGTTTGCTGTCCATTGTCGAGCTACTGTTGGAACAATTCTGATTTCACTCATCCTTTTGTTCCCACCCCACGCCAACGGACCGGGAGACTTAACTACTTGCGTGCTCAACCTGCAATGGCCCACGGAGACCTCTCTTTCCCCCAGCCTGATGGAGCCTTTGGCCCACCACCACATTCTCCCACTCTCCCGCCAGGGTTCCGTATCCAAAGCCTCAGTGGTCGTCATCCAGCCTTGGACACGTTCTCACATCCGTTCCAATCGGTGGTGGGCAAATTGAACAAAGAGTACAGTTTGAAGCCCTCTGCCGCAACTTATGTCAAGGCCATACATGCGCTGCACACGAACGAGATACGTCTCCTGGCCAAAGGAGCAGCCAATATACAGCCACTCAGTTTAGAAGAGCGCCGCAGCTTTGTCAACGGAGTCAAGAATGGTCTTGCTTCCACCGAGGGCAAAGACTACATGGAGGAAGCTGCCATCGCCGCCGCGGACGGTTGTACAGCAATCAAGAACCTTTTCACCAAACTTGGCAAAGACCTCAAGGACATCGACGACAAGCTGGAAGCCACTGGGGAGAATGTGCCTCCGTTTGAACCCCTGATCAAGCCTCTTCAACGGGTGTGTACTAGCTCCTACACGACCTCCTCCTCTTCCCACCACCGATGTAGCTGACCTTCTGGGGTAGAAATATGACGAAATCGTCGACGATTGCAAGAAACTTGCGTCAAAAGTCAGTATCCAAGGCAAGAAATTCGACACATCCATCATCGCCTTTGCCGCCGCCGATGGCTTGGACAACAGCGTCAAACTGGCCAGAATTGAAAAATATATTGACGTAGGTTTTTACTTCTATACTCTTTTCTATGTTGTGAGGGGAGGACACCAATCTCTTCTATTTGTCCCCCCTGCGGCTGACGTGCTTCTGTTTAATATCGACAGGAAGCCACCCAACTCAGCTCGGACGCGGACGCCATCGTCGACGACTTGGACAAATTGCAAAAGGACTTTTCCAAACTCACAACCCGCTTCCGTGACTTCAGCAAGCAGCGACAACCGGGGTTTCACGCCAAAATCGAAACCGTGCAACAACAGCTCGACACCCTCGACAAGAAACTCAAGGATCTCAAGCTCCAATTGACGGTGGTGACGGCTTCGGCGGGAGTCGTGGGCACGCTTACCACGGGTCTAGCCGCCATCTTCGCGCCAGCATCGGCGTTTATACTGGTGAGTTTACAGTCCATCCAAAGGATGACTGGTCGTTTGAGGGTTCAGGTTCTCCTTATGCTAGAGAGAGTTTTCCCTTCCTATATAACTTCTGGATCCGACTTCGGACAAAATCAGTATGAGTTGGGGTCACAGTATTGTTCATCGCTGATATTTTGTGTCTACCATTTGCCACAGGCCAGCGGATTACTTGCGACGGCAGGGCTGGGTGTATATGCCGCCGTCCTTGCTGCTCAGATCGAAGGTGAGTGACACTGTGGATGAGTGACACTGTGCGTGAGCGATTTGCGTTCAAATGCAGCGGCCTACAGTTGTTTACTAGCTACTCCCAGTGGGTACTTTTGCTTCGTACCATGCAGCGTTGTTCCACACTGAAATGAGAAGTCTTGCAAGTTGCAACTGTGGACAAAAGTTGGTTTTTGCTTGACGCCTGGGACGTATCCAGCCGTACCTCGATGTTACGTTTTGGGTTGGAGGTTGGAGTCTCTACCAGATTCTCAGCTGAGCTGTATGCCAACTCCGGCGCGCAGAAATCGAAAGAGACAAAAAGACCGCCCTGACCAATCTCAACCAACTGACCGCCGCGGATGCCGCGTACCGAGAGGCCATGACCGCCTTGGTCCAACTGAGCCGGGACAGCGACGAGACTCTGGCTGCTAGCATCGAAATGGTGCCGAAGTTGTTGAAGAACGTCAGTACCGACGCCGAGGCGATTAAGGAATGGCTCGTCACAGCGGGAGATGATGCGGTATGTACTAAAATCAAATCTGTCAAGTTTCAAAATATCTTGCTTTTTTCGTTGGTTTGGCATGTGAGAAGCGATCAACCAAACCAAACCACTGCCGTACAACGTGCACCCTGTTATCATGGATCATTGCTGACCTATTTCATCTGCTGGTGCTGGTAGGCATTGCCGGAAGCCATGGGAACGGATCTGAAAGAAGCAGGTCAGATCTGTGAGTGATGTCCTTCTCTTTTTCATTTTTAAATTGCAATCCCATGCCCCCGCCGCCGCCAGCCCTCAAAAGAGGAAGTACTGTAAGTGGAGGAGGCCCAAACCAACAATGAATGACAATGGGGGCCCGGGTTGCTGGCGGAACTTCACCTACCTACCTTATTTATGAAGGGACCAATTATTCTATTGTACCTCGGTCGCTCTGATCTGATTGACTGACTTGTTTCCCAATTCTCTATGTCTGTGAAGATGATGCCATGAGCCATTATCTCGACGTCTTTGAGAGGAGGCTTTAATCGTGATCAAGGAAGACTCTCAAGAGCAGGCAGGCAGGAGGAGCACAGGTGGGGTTGGGTTGCTTCGAGGGAAATGCACACGGCATTATGAACCCAGCTTATGTTGCCGTGGATTTTGGGTGTTGGGAGAAAGTGTACGTGAAGTTACATCGCAAGTTGAGTCAATTGATGAAATGATGATAAGTCTGAAAAATCGCGTGTGTATCCTCTCCCCTTTATGTGCACAAGCAAAAGGTATGCCAGGGCAGCCATCATACAGTACGTCCAAATTCAGTCTTCTGGACAGGCTGGTCCCTACTGGCTCCTGAACCCTGACTCCAAGAATCTCTGTGATCACCGTCTCCGCAAGTCATCTTCCAAAACTTTTTCTGGTACCATCGGCATGATCAGCCTGCCAATGGCAACCAATCACCGTGTTTACTACAATTTTAACCAGATGCCATCCCGGGGAACATGGTCAGTGCCAAGGTGAAAGGGGACTCTCCATCTTCTGTTCATACTGTAGCTTAGACAGTCTCTGCACTGGGTGAGACGTGCCGAGGATCCTTGCGAACGAATTGCCGCTGACTCTGCCATATATCTCTGCAGGCTCGATGTGCTTGCTCAAAGGTCTGCTTTGCAGGAGACGGACGATGGTGTACGATAGTACGGTCATCATGGCCATTCCACGCATGAGAGTCTCGGGACCAGGAGGCTTAACACCTGATGTTGTGTTACAGGTGGTGTTGCCGTCGTCACGCTTTCTGAGAGGGGTTTTCACTGTGGTCATTGACTCTGCCGTGGTTCCCTGAAGCGTTCTCGGCTTGATGCGACTTGACTGAGCGCAAATTTTCAACTCGCCAGAACCAGGCTTGTCGACGTGCACAAATCAGATGGAAAGTAACAGAATGGACCGACTGTGCCACCCTCATTGGGGGAATCATCACACTGTGTCCACACTCCATAGATTCCTCCTGATCTGACACCACCTGGTTGGACGCCTTCAAGGAGCCACTGATCTTTTCCATCATAGTTGATAATGTAGCGCCATCGGACCTCTCTCCCTCCCGGGGCAAGACAGACCCTGCCTCGAACATGACGCCCCGGGCGTTGATTGGGTCTATATGATCGAGACATACCCGAGAAGAACAATGGGGGCAGATCGGTACATATTGGAAGAGAGGTGCGCAATTGTGGGTCAGCAGACATCCTGTCGTCCAGCTTGAGCTCGAGCTTGACCAAACCTTCACTGCGCTCAGGTTCTTCCACCAGGTTGGGCCCAGTGTCCAGCTGGCCATTCAGGAACATATTGAATCTTACGACTTCGCCATGATTGTAGTATGATGATATGCCTAGCCAGGTGCCGGTGACCCTTGCCCAGTCTGCAGGGGCATTCCGAACGGGCAGGGAGCGATGTGGGATGGAGAAGCTCAAGCCCTGAGCCATGGAGAGGGTACCCCTGGCGGCAATCTCGAAATTGCGAGCGATGAGGGTGAACACGCCTTCTAGCACATACCAGTCGACTTGTCCGCTCCCGTCTCGCTTTAGGGGCCCGTAGTCATTGTCGGGACGGTACCGACTGGTGTCGTACACTCTGCGACGAGCGTTACCGCAATTAGTCTCCTTGATGCGTTCTCTTTCCGTAATACCATATAGGACGTGGAGTCGACAGGCGGATTCCGGCCGGCTTGCCTGGATACCGCCGTTCCAGTTCCTCCCCATTGATCGCCAAAGTGGGAGGATCCTAGGATTCCGAGCGGTGATGTCGTCCGGGACAGTGAAGTCCACCATGGTGGGATTCTCAGAGTCATGGATCAGACGCTCCAATCCATCTTGGTATCGATCCACGTCGGTCAGGATCTGTAAGTTCAGCGACAGATGTCTGTCATCTTGGGCCGGGACAATGCCATTTGCGATCTCGCATGCCGTCGGGGCGAACTTGGCTGTGTCGATAATGGAGAGGATGGCGTCGAGATGATCGCTCAGACGAGCCTGCTCTGCGGCGATCCGCCATCGAGACCTGATGATCCACAGCGCCCGTAGTCTCTTCTGCAGTTCTTGGAGCCAATCCCACTCGATGCGGTCGCCCTTGCGGACCCTTTTCCGTCGAGGCATTGCCGACCACGCATCGTACGGGTCGTCGAAAATTTGTATGAACGCCGCCCTCCACAAAATCTGATTGCGCGGGCTGATAAATTCGTGGGCATCTTTGCAGGACAGCCCAAACTTCACGATGGATTCAGGATGGAGATATGATAGGATGTGGCTCAGTATTTCCTGGGGCAGACTGAGGATGTCCATTGCCGTGGTTGTATGATCTGTCTGTCAGCCACGTTTTGATCACAACATGAGAGCTGCGAAAAAGTCAAGTCGGCCAAAGCTAGGTACTGGAAGACAAGGAAGACAACAAAGAGTAAAGAGATAGAATAACGACGGAGGCGAGGAGGGTTAAATGAGGGATGAGACCCCTGGTGCCTGAGACACCCTGGGGGAGGGAGGCGGCGACATGAAGCGCCCTCATGGATCTGGATGCGGCGGGAGACGACAGACAGTCAATCGGGGCCATCAGTCAAGTTCAGCTTCAGCCCTACTTTCGCCCATCGCTGCCAGTGGCGGTCAATCAATGTCTATCAGATCAGCCACGTCCCCGCCCCCGCCTTTGCCTGGACTCTGACGCTCGAAGCTGAACTTGATCTGCCCAAGATGAAATAACAATACCTCCTAACAATGACAATGATCATCGTGAGCATTATGGCGGCGATTCCAGCTGTGCTGTGTACCTAAGTCTTAGCGAGGCGCAGGCAGTACATTGTCCCCCTCCGTAGGCGCCAGAGACAAGGACTTGAAGCTCTTTTATGTGCCTGGGCGAAGGCGTGACAGGCTGAAGTTCCCCCTGCAAAGCCCATAGTGCCCCCTCCTGAGGAAACGTGTAAGCCCCCTCGGCCTCCCTAAGCCTCACCAGCCCTCAATCTCCACAATCGCAGCCAGCAAGCGCAGGGCGTCAATGGCACAGAAGCCACCAAAAGTACGCCGTCTACCACCACAAGTGATCAATCTCACCCTTTCTAGACACATTATTGTCCTTGACATTCTTAGCAGCCGGTACTGGTCTTTCCACATCGATCCACCGAGGGCGTCGTCGTCCAACTAAGCGTCGACACTGCCTCACGCAGCTCAGCTCGCATTCCTCTGCTGTCAGGCGTGACATGCCTCATTCTTGTATGCATGTAAAGAGATATCGCCAATTCCGAGCCATTCCTTGATCCATATTTCCCGTCGTCGCACTATCGAGGCTTTGGTCCGGGTGCTACTCGGACAGTTTGATAGTACCGACGTCGAAAAAGAACAGCGACTATGCCGATGCGAGATCTGCTGAGAAAGAAAGAGAAGCTTGACAAGGCTACACCTGAGCAACAACAGCCACTACCCCAGGCGAGCGACTTCACCTTTCTCCGTACAGACACGCACACCGAAGAACAGATTGAGCCTCCCACTTTCGAAGCGGAGGAGGAAGAACCGGGCCCTAGGCCTCCCTCTTCTGAACCGAAAACACCCCCTGCGAACAGGCGATCATTTGGACTGTTTCGCAAGAGCGCCAGTCCCGCACGCTCCGACACTTCATCTCCGGAAAAGTCGAAGAAAGAACATAAAAGACTTTCTCGAAGGCTTCACTTGACTTCTCGAGATCGTTCCACCAGCGTGAACTCGGTCAATCTGCCACCAGATCTTCCGGACATTGAAGATGCATACACCGATTCGGGAGACGTTCAGGAGAAAGAAGCAAGATGGGAGAAACGTGCTACCATGTTAGCCAGCAGTGTACCTATTGCCCCTTCGGGGCCACCCACAGGAGGAGACTCGCAAGGCTTGGGTGTGGGATCGTCGCCTTCCCGTCCGCGCAGCCCCATTGCCGACCCAAACAGTGACGTGAATATACAAAAAGCCATCCAACTCCACGAAGCAGGCCAGCTTGAGGAGGCAACGGAGATGTTTCGGCAGCTTGCGGATCAAGGCAACGTCCTATCTCAAGTCTTGTACGGTCTGTCCCTTCGACATGGATGGGGTTGTCAACCCGATCCTGCTCGAGCGGTCACTTATCTGTCGGCGGCGGCGTCCAATTCTGCCACCATTGAAGCAGATGCCCTGAAAGCGGGCATGAAGAAAGGGGGCGCCGCCAAGGGGGAGCTAGTGCTGGCCATTTTCGAACTCGCCAACTGCTTCAGACATGGCTGGGGAGTTCCAGTGGACAAGGTTGCTGCACGGCACTACTATGAAACGGCAGCGAATCTGGGCGACACGGACGCCATGAATGAGGCTGCTTGGTGCTATCTTGAAGGATTTGGCGGCAAAAAGGACAAGGTAAGCCGAGCATCTTGACTAGTTATGTCATTTCCCGTCCATTGCACGGTAGATGCTGGCATCCCATCCACCAGCATTTGCCTTTGGATCTTCCTCACCTTCGATCACTGCCACAAGCACCAGGCGACCTTGCACGTGATGAGCGTCTACCGCAGGGGAGATGCCAGTTGAGCCGCATCGAGGGGAACACGACGTCTGCGGGCACGATCCTTGTGTAGCACAAAGCAAAATTCCACGCGGCCATATCGGGTGGTTTGACTTCCGTGTGCTGCATGGGCGTGAGCTTGTGTTTGACACCATTTGTTTGTGATTCAACACGGCCCCCAAATACACAAAATACCCAGATTACAGCATGCTCTCAATCGCTGCATCACTTTGGGCAGCAATGCAGGAGATACTCGCCCAGTCAGCGGCCGAGTTCTGTGGCCTCGAGACCTTGTCCCTTGCATTAGACCCTCAGCTGTCTCTGCCCTCTTCCCGCCAACCACATCGCCAGGATGCCATCTCGGAGAAAATAGAAATGTGACACTGACATATGTCCGGGGATACAGTTTAAAGCGGCACAACTTCTCAGACTGGCGGAACGCAACGGTTCAAAGACGCTGGGCAATAGTTGGTAAGTGGATTGGCTTGAATTGTGGTTTCCTTGTACTATTCCTAGATTTTGCTGCATTTTGATCGGGTCGAACATCGACCGTCGGTCGCTTCCTGAATATCTCGGGCCAAGAAATGCCTGATTGGCGGTGAGGCTCCGAAGGCTCTGGCTGCCCAGGTCTGTGGCCGCCACGCCAACCTGGCCTTACCTTCCACCACCATACTCGCTCCCTCTCTACACGCACAAGCACACACGACACATGTGGTCATTCATAGTTTCATTTCTCTGGTTGGGTCTCAGCTACCAAAGAAATCACGGTGGCTGGGGAATTCGGCGGTCGTGGTCGTCGCAAGGCCGCTGGCCGGAAACAGACTAGGTCGTCTCGAAGTGGAAATGGAGAAGCGGCTTCTTCGCTTGCCTACCTCGCTTAAGCTGAGCTTCTGAGAGCGTAACATGCCCCAAAGACATACTCTTGCTGACCCTTGGTCTATGTAACAGGATCTGGAAGGAGAAGTACGATCCACCGAAGTGAATCGAGGAAACCAGACCCCGGCACTGGCAGTGTCTTTCTCTTTTGACGCTTTTGACGATCCTCAAGACTGAAACCTTGGCTCTCATCCACCAATCAACCGTGGTCGAGCCGGCAGAAGGATTCAGAATATTCGAGTCCTCTTCAATCTGCCTACATAACAACTACTGAGGCTGTACCTTGACAGGCCACCGGGTAGAGGCAAGAGAACTTGTCCATCACTCACAACCATCCATCGGTCTTCATTCATTCTGATCATCCGGCTACGACAGAATTCCGGCGGCCGGCACATGCAGGTCCACATTTTATTCACACCACCCCGACGTAGGCATTCATGGTTGGACCTCCGAAACCAAGAGCATAGGCGGTGAAGGACCCAAAAGAAGCAATAACCTGTCTGTTGCAAAGTTGGAAGCTTGAAGTCTTGGAATCTTGGATTTACAGAACCTATGCTCCATGGCGACCCGATTGCAAATATGCAAAACTGGAACTCGGAGCGTGGGCACACCGTCTGTCTGTGCGTCGCGTCGTGGACACCGCTCCGTCCCGCCCGCTCCGTGCATGATACTACTAGTACTACCAATTCATCTATCCGGGCCGTTACCGGGCCTCAAATACCTCGACTCGAATTGTATCTCGACGACGTGCAAAATCCAAATATGGGGACGACATACCTAGGAAATAAATGGGTATTACTGTACAATGGCGGTGTGCGTGTGCATATGCATTCATTTCCCGTACAAAATATACCATGTCATAACATAACAGTATCCTGCTTATTCCCTCTCCGATCCATCGCACCATTCAGTGTATGGTGGCATACCTCCCCTTTTTCTCCAATCATCGTGTGTCGTAAGCGTCGTTGGTGATCTGCTGCCATATGGTTGCGCGAGCTCATTCATGCAATATCTCATCTCTGCAGTGGCATGTTTCTTTCTGACAATCTCTAAATTCCATCAAGATCTGTACTCATCATTGACATCATGCATCATTCATCATCGTAACCCACGTTACCCCCGGACCTCAGCAGAATCGCTTTCGTCCTTGATTTGTACTCCTACTACTGATACTCCCAACTCTTGACCATGCTAGCTCCTGGAAACCCCTCAGTCGTAGACCCGTTCATTCGACATGGTTTCGTACTCATCCATTTCCTTTCCTAAGTAAAGATTGCTGTCAAAAGGCCGTGACCATAGTCGTCATATCATTCATTCAAACCACAAAAGGATTTCGCAAAGACCACAAGTAAGGAAATTGTGCCCTGAAGCCGATCATCTTTCGCCAAGTGTGCGCAGAACGAAAGACCAATCTTTCAAAACAGCCCGCACTGAGAATGGCTAAGAAAAACTGAACTGAAATCGTTAGTCGTAATGTTTAATGTTTGTCCTCTGGTCCAGTACATTGTTGAGTTGGAGGAAAGCCCTTTCGGAATCAAGAAGCTGTTGGCGGGTGGGGAGATGTGTGTGGCTCCAATGCAAAGGCAATGGTATTCTCGACCTTATCCCACACGGGCAATCAACTCCCGGAAGTCTCGAAGGACCTGCTCCGGTACTCGATCAAGTAGTACGCTTCTTTCACGGGCTTTGCTGCTTATCCCGCTGCGCTTCTCCATCCCGTCGTTTTCCGCTTGCATCTGCGCATACAATTGCTGTAGTCGGGTCGGTTTCGGCTCCGCAACTGTTTCTTCCTCATTGTCGAAGGCACCGTCAGCATTCGCGATGTGATTGTAGGAAGCAGCCGATAGTGAAAATGCGCCGGCAACTCGTTGTTGACGTGATGGCGTGGTGAGATCCGCATGCAGGTTGCTCAGGGGATTCCCAGAGGGTGGTGGAGTCATCTGAGCCAGATCGGCTCGGGACATAGTGGATTGATAGTTGCTATGATCCAACGGCTGTGCAGGCCTAGTAGGCAAAACCTCGTGGGCTGCCTCTGGTCCTGACGCAAGGACGGCGTTCAGGACATTGCCAGCTTCAGCACGATAGTCGTCCGACAAAATTGGCATGTGGGAGGTGACGACGGCAGCGGATGAAGTCGCCGATGTAGTCTTGGATCCAGCTTGGGACACGATAAAAGCTCCGGCGAGTAGACACAAGTAAAAAGTGTTCCAGCTGAAGCCGGTATCATCCTTGGCATCTTGTAGTTTTGTGCCGTGAACAGATGGGGCGGCCTGTGTAGAAGAAGTCGGAGGCCGTGGGGTGGCCTGCCTCTGCAAATCGTCAGGTTCCTCCATCTTCAGGTCTTCGGTGTTGATAAGGCTGAATTCGTCTTCCCAATTATCGTCGATGTCCAGGGACCGGAAGCCGGCAAAGTCACCAGTCAGATTCTCCGGCCCATTAGCAGAGAAGCCACGTGTATTCTGTCGCTCGAGATCCTTGACGGTCTCTTTCAAGGCATTGTTCATGCGTCGAAGTTCGGCGGTATCGAGGGTCTTTGTGCGAATGGCCTCATCCCGGTCATATTGCAGCTGGCAGATGTATTGCTCGTATTGCTGGCGTTGATGCATCCATTGCTCTCTCTCGGCACGGAGGGTGCTCTCAAGGTGGGCAATTGTCTCTTCCAACTCTGCTTTTTGACCAGCGAAGAGCTTCTTCTCTTGCTCCAGCCTCTCGGTGTGGGTTTTCTTGCGTTGACGAGAGTCGAGTCTGATCAGAGGGATATATTAGTATTCGGGCAGATAGACCAAAGCAACTGGGGTTACTCACGCAGCTTGGCGGTTTCGCAGTAAACGCTTTTGTTGTTTGAGCTCCTTCTTCTGGTCTTCGTCGGTACATTGCATGATGAGCGAATCAATGTTTCCCAAGTTTCTGTCCTTCGGAATCTCGAATTTGGCGTTCTTCTTTCTCACGCCGTCGGATCTCTGTACCCACACGGGCGAGGTGGCCCTGTATCTGGGATGTCGCACAGCGTGTGCCGATTCAGCAGCTTCGGAGGAGGTGGTCGACGCCCACCCGCCCTGACTGGATTGAGGCGACATGGAGATGGCTGAAGCCGGTTCCTGCTGCTGGAAATTGGCGAAGTTGAATTGACCCGGGTTGCATTGGGCTTGCTGACTGAAAGGCCCTTGCACGGCTCCGAAGAATGGTGTCGGGGTGTTGTTCTCAGAGCGCGCAGAGAGGGCCCATGGTTGAGTTTGCACGAAGTCTGGCCCGCAGGTTGCAGAATTTCCTTGGCCAAGGAATTGGCCATGGGGGCTGGATAGAGGCACAGAGGACAGCGAGTAGTGTCGATTGGGAGGCATGACACTGAGGGGGCGTTCCTGCCACACATGTGGAGAGACGTAATCGTCTTCAACCTTGGTCACTATTGAAGAACGTCGAGGTTCTAGGGGAGCAGCCGCTGCCATGTCGGCTGGGGTGGAGGAATCAAGCACTCGCTCGTCCAGCACAGAGGCATCGTCTTCGGTGAGGGCCGGCTTGACGTCGTCGGGCCACTGAGGTTGACCGTACAGATAGTACGGTTGCTGCGAGTAATGCATCGCCATGGATGCAAGAGATATCGAAATAGCACCTGCTTGTTGTGTGCCCGCCGGTTAATGGATAAAAGGCGGTGAGCGAAGGTGGAGAAGAATGGCGGTGGTCGAAGTTTTTTCCGCCCGAGAAATGGCAGAGGCTTTTAGGTGCGATTGAGCGTGATAGTAGGTTGGGTGATCATCATGGAGATGAAATAGAGAAACCACAACAAGAGTATTGAGAAGACAAAGATCCGTTGACCAGATGAAGGTAAAATGGTCTGGCTAGGGAAGAAGAATGGGAGGCGCCGAAGCCGATTTAGTAGGTATTGAACGTGGGCCAAGTTGTAGGGCTGGATACAGTACCATACCGGACCCGAGTGGAGGCAGCAAAAACCAACATGAGAAACAAGAGCCCGAAGGACGACCCAAGGCCCCGTTTCCAGGTGGGCGGGCGAGTCGCAGAGGGATTCGGCGGGAGGTGGAAGAGGAGGATGGTCCAGAGGAGGTTGTGGCTGGTCGACCCGGAGGAGTAGCCAAGGAGGTGGAGAGACGGCGAGAAGGGGAAGCTGATTGATTGAGGGCCGCGGTGAGGTAGAGATCCTGATGGCCTGAATAATGATGCTTGATATGATTGACTGATTGCCCACTGGCAAGACCCGATGGGCGTGGGCAGGGAGAATGTGAGCGTGAAGAAAGTGTTTGGTGGCGCTGGTGGTGGTGGTAGTACTGTAGTAGAGAGGCCGTACTACTACTGCTAGGCGCAGGTGCAGGCGCAGTTGCAGTTGCAGTGGCAGATGCACAGAGTCTCAGTTCGGCAGTGAGAGCGGAAAAAGCAGCAACGATAGCGGGGGACAAGCATAACGACTGCAGAACCTGGAATAGCAGGATCAAAGGCGTCTTCATCACTGATTGATCAAACAAGATTCCGCCATTCTCCTCCCGATTATCCAGGTTTCTGCGGCTGCGCTGACGGTTGGTGGGCTGCAAACTGCCAGGTTGGGATTGGATGCTTTGCTCTGCTTTCCGGTTGCTTTCAGAGCCTGTCCGAAGTGCTTAGGATCCCTTCTCTCGCGCTCTCTTTCTCCTCCTCAATGTCCTTCTCGCGTATCGCCGGGCCCTCAACCTACCTCTGTTTCGTTCCTAGCTGTTTCCTCGTTTGCAGCTCCTTTTGGGCAGCAAACCCAAAATCCTTCCTGCTGGGCTGGTGACTGGCTGGGCGGGCGGCCACCGTGGTGTACCTTAAGTCAGGTCAGTTGAGTGGGTGCAGGCGAGCAGGCTCGGGGCCTGTAGCCTGCAGCCTGCAGCCTGCATCGAAGTTACTCAGCTATGCTTGCTCAACGCGTCCAGACTGGCTGCGCTGCTCTCGTCCAAGCGGCCACCTTTTATGCGACCACATCTTGAGTCGCATCATCCCCCCAACCCTTGGGCATCGGTCATCGTCACCCTCTCGAAGTTCATGCAAGAGTAGGTCAGAGGACACGCACAAAGACCTGGTGATTAAGGACTGGAAAGAAATGCATCTGATTGCACAAAAAGCTCTCCCGGACGAGCCAAACAAACAACTGACAACCCGCAAGCGATGGTTGATCAACAAATGCTAGGGGTGTGAACTCTCGATCTTGCGACCAGGGTGGTCTTTAGGGCCAGTTTTAGCTACGAGCCGTACCAGGGAGCAATGCTTGGACCACCGACTATCGTCCACCGCGATGGAGCTGGAGCCCACGAACGGCTCGGGCCTCTACCTAGCTCCCTGCTCATCCGTCCCTCTCCTTACCTGTCCAGGAATGACTCTGACTGTCCATGAAAGCAACCACACTTTGGAGTCTTCACCTAGCCACGAGCAATGGCCATACAATTTCTGCCCCTTCTCGCTTGACACTTCTCAATTACACACATTGCTTGCCTCATCTCTCAAACGCTGCCAATGCTACCATGGCCAATGTTCGGATCTAGATACCGCCTCTCGCCAAAATATAGTTCTGGCTCTTTTTCGTTGATTGTCGTGACCGTAGGATCGGTGGCACATCGTTCACATCTTGGTGTCATAATGTTGGATACGAAGCCACACTCCCTTCAAAGCCTCATACTCCAGGGCGCTTCATTGTTGCTCTCCACGGACGTTCAACTTCATCGAGGACGTTCGAGAAAGGACATTCGCTCACGATTCTGACCTCATCTTGACCGATTTCTCGCCGCCGCCTGAATGGCTTGCTTGAATGCTTGTTTCCCCCGAGGGCGCATCATAACCAGTCATTTAGATCTTACCCCGATGCTCTGAAACGTATCTAAACATCTCCTCGCTGCCCAAAGTGAGGCTCTTTCCTACTGCTACCGCCGAATATCTTCGGGGCTTTGGTTCGGCACGCTGTCATCATGTCTTACTCTGAACTTGGTAGCAAAGGAGAGCGGACGAGGTGATACTGGTCAATTCTCATGGCTTCATGAATTCATACACTTCTAGGCACAGATCAAGGGGGCAATTCCTTTCCTTTCCTGCGATTGCAAATGAAAACGAGCCCCGTGCCGCCTCATTCTCGCAGCATATTCTTGACTCCATACAGACTTCCATTATCCTTGCGCACAACCCTTTTGAACCATCACACTCACTGAAACCTGCATGCTCCATCACCGGGCTTTCAAATTTCCAGGGCTCAAATCTTGATGATGCGGTGGGGGTGAGGGATCACCTACAATCCAATGAAGTCTTGCTCTTGAGTGAAGTCTCCTGGGCCTTCCATGGGTTCCTCAACAGATCCGGGCGCGGGCGCGCTTGAATCCGGTCCATAATTCAGCTTATTCTTAACGGGGGAGCCCTCGAGAGTCATCGATCCACTTGACATCGCAGATCCATCGACCCGCCGGCGCACTCTCTGGCTGGACCGGACAACATGGGGAAGACGGCATCCGGTGTCGTTGCAACCACGCGTGCTCGCGAATTCGGGGCATTGCCGGAGATGACGGTAGCGGCATTGGGCACCTCGGTCACAATAGCCAGCATAAGCAAAATCATCGCACAAGGGCGCATCGGGATCCACAAGAGTATGAGCGTAGACGCAATTACCCCGATCGCATCGGCCGATTTGGAAGAACCTGCAGATTGGGGATCTTTCAGGCGAAGGAACATGGCTGAGGTCGCAAGTCTGGCCTAGTAAACAACGGACATTGTGCAAAACGGCAGGACAGAGGGCGAGTTTATTGTCGTCATGAAGACCAAGGCAGTTCAAACCATTCGGACACGATCCTGAAGCCCACTCGGTCAGTATGAGAAGGAAGTGAAGTACCTTACTAGGGCAGAGGAGTACCGGTCGAGCTGTATCGCGAGCAAAGGTGCGTCGAGGTCAGACGACTGCGGTCATCAGTCAGTATCAAGCAAGAGGATCCCGAGACGTTTCGCTCATGAATTTTACAAACCCTGTATGGCTATTTCGCTTTCGTTCCTGAGTTCGATGCAGTTGTGTCGGGCTGCCAGCTGGGATGACAGGGATGGTCTTGTTGGGTTGAGGTGTGCATCGAGCAAGAGCTATAATGACTTGAGATTGTTCAGTTTGTTTCAAGGATGTTGACTTACTGCGAATGGGGCTAAGCGCGTTCGGTCTCTCAGAAGTGGTGGAAGGACCGACAAATGGCACATTTGGTGCAGGGAGCAGAGCGCCTTGTGAAGATGCGTTACTCGTACTCGCCGGGCCGTTGGTGGAGCTAGAGATGTCAGTCTTCAAGGCCTTTTCTGGCTTCCTCAATTCCTGCTGTGGCTCCACTGCCTGATTTCTCTGGATGAGATTGGCCGCTTCCTGGTAGCTGGCGGATCTGGTCTGTCTGACAGCAGCCAGCGTATATGGGCGCGGGTAAGGGGATTGGGGCTGCCGCGAATGTTGTGTACGCTTGCGACGTAAGGCTGGGGTTGAATGTTGTAAAGTCGGGGAGCTGTCAGTAGCTGGTGTATCAACTGCCTTATCCTGAACAATCTCCTCAACAGCCTCGCGACGGACTAAGTGCGGTTAGCTATCCATCTGTCCAAACTAGAACCTCAGCAACAAACGTTTGAGGCGCTTGACGTTGTTAATCAAGTCTTTGTCAGCCATGGTGATAGACCTCTGTATCAATATGTTTTATGCCAGCAATAGCCAAAACTACGACCTATGCTTATTGGTACGAGTTGTCATGTAATAGTTAGGATACAAAACTGTGAAGTCGATGGATGTTCGCGAGTGTATCAAAGACGAAATGGATGGGCAACAAGGCTGTGACTTCTCCACATTGGCACAGGATAAAACGCGACAAGGCTGCACTAACACTAACGGCGACACTTTCTGGATGTGGCATGTTTGCCGATGCTAGTGCTACGCTCCTTTCGCTCAAAATTGAAGCTTAACAATGGAGCTTTCGGATACAGTGGACAGTCAATTGGTGTGCAAGTGCGACAACAGAGGCAGAATACTTGATGCTATGCCTCTGATCTGTGTCGTCTGAACAATCCTACAAATCCTGAGGCGCCTGAGGGCGTTGCTCATCCCCCCAACATGCTTCAACCAAGGATACCGCTGCGCTCTCTGTGCAGGAAATGCCAATCCTCCACGCCCTTCCTCCGTCGCTCGTATGCGCAAGTCATCGATCCCGTACACCCTAGTGCATCCGTGCTAGATGCAGCCCATACAGGCCTCCAGTCAGCCGAGTCGCAAGACAGGGTTGCACCACCGAAAGGAGAGGTACGACTTCGACGGTACACTCCACGAACTCCCGGTATCCGTCATTTGGTCAGACCGGTCAATGACCATCTATGGAAAGGCCGGCCGTGGTTCGACCTGACTTTTCCGAAAAAGGGCCATGGAAAGGGTGGCCGCAATAATACCGGGCATGTTGTCGTTCGGCATCGTGGTGGTGGTCATAAGAGAAGAATCCGCATGGTGGACTTTGCCAGGCGGAAAGGCGGCAAGCATATCGTCGAGCGGATAGAGCACGACCCGGGTCGAACGGCTCATATTGCCCTGGTGAAAAATGTCAACGATGGGACACGGTCGTATATTCTGGCCGCTGAAGGATTGCGGCCCGGTGATGTCGTTGAAAGTTATCGGTCTGGTCTTCCTGAATCGTTGATCCAGGAGATGGGCGGACAGATGGACCAGGGTGTTATTGCGACCAAAACCGCCCACAAAGGCAACTGCTTGAAACTCGGTATGATCCCCATTGGCACACCGATTTTCAACATTGCTCCGACACGCGACTCGATTGGGAAGATCTGTCGGAGCGCAGGAACGCACGGGATTATAATAGGAAAGGGTGAAGATACTGTCCAGAAGGAGATGATCAAACTCATTGGAGACAGCGGGAATACCGACATGTCGTCGTTGAGCCCGGATCAGTTGAGGAAGTTCGAAAAAGCTGCCAATTATGTCACGGTCCGGCTCTCAAGTGGTGAGGTTCGACTTATTGACAAAGAGGCGGTTGCAACCATTGGTGTGGCAAGCAACATCAATTTCAAGTACACCTCGCTCGGAAAGGCTGGACGTGCACGATGGCTGAATATTCGACCAACCGTTCGTGGTCTTGCCATGAACGCAGCCGATCATCCTCACGGTGGTGGTCGAGGTAAATCCAAGGGTGACCGCATTCCTGTCAGTCCTTGGGGTGTTCCGGTAAGTGATGATTTCGGCCGTATTCTTGGATATGTATACGATTTGCTAACCATGTCCCAGGCCAAATCCGGCTACAAGACCAGACCGAAGAACAAGGTCAATCCTTTGGTTATCACGCAACGGCCTAGAAACCAAGGCAGACGTCGCAGAGGATACGCTTAGATTAGAATATGTATCAATACTATGAGCCTAATCCGGTCGACGGCGGTGACAGGTCTTCTTTTCATGGAACAATTGCGCAAGGCGCATTTCCTTTCTGTTCTCTAATGCGCCAATCGACTTTTCCTAGCCGACATGGCCGTAATGTCTCGTCCCAGATCTGCTCATGCGCTGTGGACCAGGTATTTGCTTGACCATCTCTTGACATTGTGATAGGTTGGAGAACAACGTGCACACGATCTCGAGAAGGATACACTGACCCTGATGGAGGTGCATCCAGTTCAACTAGGGTTAAAGTAGGGGTGAGATGTCAGCTTCCTTGAGTTGACTGGCGAGGAGCTTTCCCTGACGAGGGTGGGTGCGAAACCGTGCCAGTGGCGAGCAGTGTTTGGCCGAGGAAGTGTGCTGACACTTGTATCCGGTATTTGGAATTCAGCACTCCGCAGCGCGTACAAGGTTCAGTTCCATCAGGCCGGATGATCAGCTGTCAGTCGAACACAATGCCACGAGCTACTTCGAGCCGCGGGGTGACGAGATCAGATTCGTCCGTCTGTACATCCCTGCTAACCCGTCCGCGATGAGTGGTTCATGCATCATTGACTTTGGATCTTTGCCGTACAATAAGGATCGACAGAGAGGAGGGACTTTCGGCATGACCAGACTACTAATATGAATCATCTCCTTTGAGGGTTCATTCTTGACCCCTCGCTGGGCAAACATTTACTGTACGCTGTTATCAACATGGAGATCTCTAACAATGCCGAGCGCCAGCAAAAGCTCGAGGACAGACATTACATTCGCTACGATGATCCTCGGGTGACATCTCGACCGGAGGGCGAAGAGGAAGATATCAAAGCGGTGGCCGACATGGTCAATGAGATTCAAAAGGCGCCATGGAATTCTCACAGGCACTGCTACACAGGTTGGTCAGACAATCGAATCAGTGCAAATGGCTGCCATACTCACTGCGCAGGGACCCACGCAAGAACGCAAGGCATTGTGAAGGGTACACTGAGTACAGGCCAAATCTCCCCGCTCACCTCAAGCAGAGCATGTTCGCGGAAGAAAGAGAATGGCCGGTTCTGTGCAGATACAGCAGCGAGCCCGGTGACCCAGGCTTAGACGTGAGAGGACAGAGCGTCCGTACATACGTGGATGCCACGCTGACGCAGAATACCTTAACACAGGATCGAATTCCTCAACCCCGAGGATTCGCCATGAAAGTCTTTGATGTCCACGGCGAGCACTTTGACGCTGGGAAAGGCCTTCACCTTTCGACCCAGGACATTGAGTTCAACTCCACTCCAGCACTTGACCTGGCCGACGCGAAGACGACGCGAGAGATCATCGACCTTCGAATCAAGTTCGGGAACAACCAGGCTGAACTTTACAAGCAGTTGGATGCCAGAAAGGACACGGAGCTGCAGAAAGCCCGAGATGCCGTTCGCAATACCCATCTCGAGTCGACCGGGCAACACTCGCAGACAGCCTAGCGTTATGGTGACTATGTGATCAAGTATTGTCTCGTGCCCAACACCGAAATCCAAAGGAGACTGTATGACGAAACTGTCAAGCCTGTCGACGGCTCAGATATTCTGCATAGGTGGCTGCAGAACTTCCACCGTGAGCATGATGCCGAGTATTTGTTTCAGGTGCAATTGTGTGAGAATCTCGAGGACCAGCCTGTTGAGTATGCTGGCAAAGTATGGGATCCCGAAAAATGTAAGTTCGGACATCGATGGAGTGCCGCCGGCCGTGTCGTCTTGCTGAGCTCGCTGACCGTGTACCATGAACGCTTTTAGACCCCTGGCAGACGGTTGCGCGTCTTACAATCCCCAAGCAGGACAGCTTCAACTACGCATTGAAGTGTTTCTGGGAGGACAGGCTTAGGGTTGACCCGTGGCTGGGACTCAAGAGTCTGGAGCCTTTAGGTGGGCCGAACCGGCTCCGGAAGGTGGTGTATCCGGCAAGCAGTGCGCTGAGGAGGAAGATGAATGCTACGACCGAGTTTCATATCAAGAGTCTGGATGAACTGCCTGCTCATTGAGCCTGTGCGCCGGATGTGCATTGGCATAGGCATAAATCGGGTATCGGTTGTAACTCACATTACAGTAGTCCCTATCCTACAACGTTTTAGTTCACCCACCGCAAGGAAACCCATTATTATGTGTAAGCGTAGTAGGGCAGAAGAGGCGTTCAGTAAGGGCACCTTCGACAGCCTGTTTAATATCGCAACAAGGACTATGGGTAGAATCGATCTGGAACTACTAGTGTATTGGTCTAAATGGTCCTTCCTGGGACGAGGCTGACCAATCATAGCACCGTCTTGGCAGCCTGGCCCGGTTTCTCATCCGCAACTACCAGGTAGGAACCATACTTGAGGATATTTTACCGTGCGGCACGACAATAAATAAGTGACTACTTCGATATTCTGGTGCTTTGCCTGCATCCATCTCTCACCACCCGCCTGGTCCGCAATGCCGAAGAACAAAAAGGCCAAGACGAAACACTACCCGTCCAAGAACTCCGCCGAGCTCAGCCAGGCCGAGATCTGGGATGACTCGGCCTTGATCAGGTCTTGGAACGACGCTGTTGCAGAGTATGAGGTATGTCCACCTACACTTTTACAACCCTTTCCTCTGGTGTAAGGCAGTGATAAATCGATATGTTGGAGCGCACACAAACAAAACTCCGTTTCGACGGTCTTCCGCTCGTCTATCTCGTCTTGGACAAGCCTAAACCCCGAAAAGAGATTTATGTTCCGCAACCTACATGTACCCTTAAATTTATCTAACATGTGACATCTCTGTTTTGTGCGCAGTACTATCACAGCATTCACGCCCGCGGCGAAGACGTCGAAGAGATCCTGCGCAAGGCTGAAATGGATGAACTCGCCGAAAACGGAACCGGCGCTCTCTCCACCGAGTGGCAACAAGTCAACAGTGGTCAGACAGACCTTGAATCCGATGCGAGACCTATCAGTGGCTCTACAGCAGTGGCTGCTGGGGCTACAGCTGCAGGCAGGGCAAGCCCAGAGTCTCAGGAGGACGGGGAAATCGAGGACGGCGAGCTTGAAGACGACCTCGAAGCGGCCAGGGAAGCGTTATCTCGCAAAGGTAAGGAGAATCTTAGCCCCGTGCTTCTGCTCTGCTCTGGGGCTTGCCTCCCCAGAAATCCCTTCCGTTTTCATGTGGGTGATGGGATGGGCTAATTAGGACGACCTTTTCTCTCAAGTAGTCCTTCAAACCGAACTGTCTGCTCCACAAGTACCTGCAGAGACCCCAGCGGAGCAGGAGATATCTCAACATGTCGCAGAAAACATGGCATCTCAGGTGCCGTCGAGTTCGGCGAACAAGCCAAAACCCATGATAGGACCCAGTTTGCCCCCTGCGGCTGTCGAAGGTACGTTTGTCTTGTCCCCATGTCTATGCATCCTAAACCGCGTCTCGAGATTATGGTGGGCGTGATCGGATATGTTTTCCTCAGAGCGAAATCCCGGGGCGTGGTTGGCTTCACAGCGACAGACCCTTTCTCGTCCTCACCCTGATGCAATTGAATGCTCCCCATTATAATTCGGATACTCTGCCTTTACCGTTTGCCGTGCTAGCTCCCTGGCCACAACTTGAAGTCCCATCCGACCTGACAAAAACTGACTCTCCCTGTTCCATAGCTCCAGGTCCTTCCGCAGAGCAGACCCTTGAAAACATCAAAATGGCATATTACTGGGCCGGATACTACTCAGGCCTATATGACGGACAACGACAGGCTCAAGCGTCGGCGCCGCCACCACCACCACCTCAGCCGTAGACTCCACCTCAGTCTTGTTGTCCGAGGATTATGGCGAACGTCTACATGCCCACGAATTGCTGTGCTTTCATATCGAAGGGCCTCTCTTTGTGCCCATAACACCACTGAGCAACGTGAAGCTTCCCTGGTGGAAGGAGGACGACCAATGAATGACCGCAGAATCTGATTACCTGAAGCAAAATGCCCTCGAAGCGCTGTACAGTGTCGAGCCACCGCAACATTCTACAGGATTGCCAGGAGCCAACAGCCCTATCATATCACCACTGAAGAGGGACCCTTTCAGCCTCACTCCAACCTGCTCTCCGAGGTGAAGTCATCCAGCTCAATGCAGTCACATCACCAATTCAAATGAGGTGTGTACCTTATGCAATGAGCAACTCCACTCCGTCTCATATTCAGGAATCTTTCTGTTCCCTTCCCTCCTACAGTCCGGGAAGAAAGACGCACATATCTCCCACGCATGCGCATATACTGACGACAGAGTTGGTTGTATCCAGAATATGCCAGGCCTTCGCAACTAGAAGCGCAACAGGCATCGCTCCTAAACAGACATTGAAAGCACTCGAAGATGATCTGTGAGATACCCGCACATATCACACCCGTGCACGTGTCTTTCCCTATCTGTCTCACCATCACCCATTGCCCATCCGAACTCCGTTGTCAGCCATTTCGATCTGATTCTGTCCGATCAAGCTGGCTCTGGCGCTGCTTATCCTCTGAAGTGAAGGCTGAGGAAATGTCCTCCAGCCTAGACACAAATTCACGATTGTCCACGTTAAACAGCACGCATATCCTGTTCGGCGAGGCCGGGTGTTGCTGGTTGCAGTTTGCCGGTCCTAAGGCCACATGACAGGAGCGTTAAAGTCAGTTGCTGCACGGTCAGATCATGTCTTGATATCATAGTGAGGCAACTTGGAGGCCACGCACTGCCCGGTCAATGCAAGTGCCAATGCAGAACTTTTCTGAGTACAGGGACTGGTAGATTATGCACTGGCAGTGGAAGTGACTTTCCTGGATTAAAGTTCCCACCACAAACTTGAAGACGCCTCACACACTGGGGATATTGGAAATTTGACTGATTCAAGGACTGGGACGCAAAGCCGTAACGGTTATCAAGCGCTCGTTGTCTTTGTGATGTGCCGAGTGATACAAGATTACAGTGATCACTTGAACGTGCTATTGTCCTAGAGTGGCCCAGTCTGTTCATCCATTTCAGCAATGCTGCTGTGTGCGTACTGCATGTCATGGTACCAAGCGCCTGGCGAATGCTAAGCATATATCTCCCTCCCTGGTCTCGCCGTACTAGTAGTTCGTCCATCCTTCGCTTTACAGAGCTCATGGTTCAATCGACAAGCTTGCAGATCAGATACGCGCATGCTTCCGTCAACTGACTTAAGACGACAACCAAGATCAATCAACGGCGATCTGATAACAGACATAAGCTGAGTAATCCGCCTGGTCGCCACCTGCTATCACATCCACAGCACCCAAGCCTTCGTCTTTCTGCAGTCGTCCTTTGCTATCCTTTCCGAACGCGTTGCCGGCCAGATAACCATACTCTGCATCGAGCACTTGCCGGACTTTCTTCTCGCGCTTCGAATCGGTCTATGTCCCAGTGTTAGCAGCGAAATTCCACATCATCAGCAGTGGTAAACTAAGTCTTACCTTGATCAGAACCGCCACAAAATCCAAAGGCAAGCCATACCTCAGGACCGTCTCGACAAACACCCTGAGTACAACCACATGAACTAAGCACATGACGCCCTCGCTCCAGCCTGTCCGGCCCAGGCGGAGCGTCTCACCCCAGACCCTCTTCTCCTCTGCCTCGACTCGCTTCAACTCTTTTTCTTCCTCTTCCTTTCCGCCTTCTTTATATTTGTAATCCCGCGGCACCCACTTCCTTTCTCGGGCTTTATGCACAAACTCATGTGCGTATTTTCTAAACAGTGTGACTGCGTATAACGTGTATTCATCATCCGAGGCCACGAACTGAGCGGAGCGAGGAACGACCATGGGTGCAAGGGTTTCGTATGAGCGCATAAAGTCCTTGACACCAGAGTTGGGAACCGCCACCAAATGTGTCTCTAGGTGTTCCGAGTTTTGAACGAGAATATCCGGCGAGACAATGCTCAAAAGGGATTTGGTTGAGAGATTGCCGGTCTGTTTCCGGATGAGACTTTGAAGATTGGTGCGGATCGAGTTGTACTGGTTGTATTTGGAACGAACATCATTGTCGATCGAGTTGACTTCCTAATGGGGTACGGGTTAGGGACCAGCAACAATTGGAAATGTAGCCCCTACATACCTTGGTCAAAAGGTCAATTAGTTCAGACAGTGGTCTGTCGGCTCGATATTTGACTTTGTTCCAGGAGAAACTCCTTAGGTACTGGTCAAGAGGTTCTGATATCGCCCAGCAGGTTAGCAATTAAGCTTGAGCGCAATACAACGCCAGTGCACGCCTGTAAACATACTGTCGTTGACGTTCTTGTGCATTGCAATCTTCTCTTCATCGCCATCCAGAATGTTTCTCAGCGTGTCTCCAACCTTGCTCACGACCGAGTTGCAGAGGCCCTCCAGTTTCGCCAATTCCTCCGACTGTTGTAGTAAGCCGTCGAGCGTTCCGACCTTGAACTCCGGCACGTGAAAGGGAAGAACCTCGCCATTTGACGAGTTCACTGTTTTCTGTATGGACTCGAATGCATCTTCTTTGTGGCCGGAGGGGGCTATGGAGGAGGGGACTGAGACGGCAAGGTATTTGGTGGCCATGTTGTAGGGTCGTTGCGGTTAAGAATGACGGTTGGACTAGTAGTAACGAGGGCTTGTCCGGCGACAAGAGATACGCTCATGCACTCAAGGCATAACTAGTCGGTCCGGAATCTTTACAATGGGTCGCCTTCCACCTCGATACTATCAAATCGAATGTCAGAGATACACTAGGTGCTAGACTGTAGTAGTGACCTGGATACTGGTGTCCAGAGCTGCGCTGGCGGGAACCGGCGACGACCTCACAAGGCTCCGGCTGGAAGCTGCGTATGCCAAGCTGAGGCTGTTCACCTTTGACCACTTGGGCAGAGTCAATGCCGCTTTATCGTTCGCTCTTCCATGTGCTGCGGGTGTTTAAAGAAGCGAGTAGTTACCGCCGTATTGTGATTCTCCACTGATTGGCTGTGTTCCTGCATTAATGCCCGTAGTCTAGCCGGGAGCTTGTCTTGTCTGGGGTTAGCTCAGACCTCTCGGCCAATCCGACCTCCTCGGCAAACTGTTTTGAAACATCTCGGATTTCCTCCTTTTCAACCTTAGTTTCACGCGGTTAAGTTTGTCACACCCCGTCGTCTGTCTTCAAGTTGTTTGCTGGCCTCACTGGCAGTCTTTGTGTGATCACATCCATCGATCATCATGAAGTAGACTGAGATGTATCACTTTCGGCTTGCCAGGATGATAAACGGAAAGCCTGTCAAACACGATCTGTTAGAACGTAAATGTAACCACAACTGTCTCAACACCTCAAAGGGCATTCACACAGCTGTAGCTGTGACTGGCATATGATCATTGTTGTTAAGCTACCACTGCTACCGGCCCCCCTGCTCTTTGCTCCCTGCTCCCTGCTCGTCATGCCATGCAGAAAATAGCCTGATCCTCCGGCCGCCGTTTCTTCTCCTGCGTTTCTAAAGCCTTCCAATTCATCTGCCGCTGCCTGCGCCAACTGGATTTCGTTGTAACCCATAATCAACCCAAATAGCGGGATACTCCCACGCTTCGCGCTCACACCCATTCCACCCCTCCGTCTTCATTTCAACCTGCCCTTCGCAGCGAACGTATCCAAAGCAGTTCGAGTGAGAGGCCACGTGTTACAAGTATCTCTGCCGGAAATTGAATCTGTTGTTACACATCTGCTACGCTGTTCAACTATCCAGCATTTCATACACTACGAGCGCGATCCACCGACCCACCACCGCCGATCAACACAACGAACTTGGAACCCCCTGTTTGTCATCTGCTGCAGCCTCATCAACTTGCGTTTTTGTTTGTTCCCTCTAGCATCCAATTGGGCCTGATCTCTCTTCCTGGGTAGGGACAGGGGCAGCATACATTGGATCCGCAGAGGCTTTGCAATTCCTCTCTGTCTGTTCCCAGCCAGCGATCTTCCCTCCTGTTCAAGGACGAGTGTCTTGGTGCCTCGTGCTCGCCCGCAAGCACGCTTTTGGTGCCTGAAACGTGTTACGAATACTCCTAATCGACTGCGTTGATCGCTAATCCAACGTCTTTCTCGGTACCTCTATCGCGGCAGACGCCAACTTTTGGGCTACCTACTTATCCATAGACAGCTGTCAAAGCCCTAAACGGCTTGCTCTTCACGCTGTGTTCAGTTGGTCCAAGCGCACCCCGATCCAACGTCCAAGCAACCCCCTGTCGCTCGAGAAACGCGCAGCTCGACCCTTGCGACCACATCCGAGCCTTTCTCACAGACAGTGAGTGCCTCCACGGACCTAGGCACCGGATACTCTGCCACCTTGCACAGCAACAACTCGGTTTTCCTTCACTCGGCTACCTTCGATCGAGTACTCTTCACACTGGCTGCAACCAATCTTGACGAAACACAACATACTGAATGACAAGAGAATGCATATGCAATCACGGGACTGACAACTGATCGCGAGGAATTTGTGGTGACGAGGTCTGGAAGAGGACATGTCAGGACCTAAACCTCCGGTTGCGTTGAAAAACCATTGCTCCATCATCCATGATGGTACCATTTATGTCTATTCACCAGATGCATTCCAAACCCTAGAATTGAAGGAAGGAGCACAGTGGAAGAAAGAGGACAACGGGGTATCAGTGACCGGCGCAGTGTGTGTCAAGGGCGGCGTGGATGGAGACAACTCAAAACCAGCGCTGTACGTTGTTGGAGGTGCCGCGAATGCGTCCTCGTCGCAATACCCAGGCTTGCAGCGTTATTCGATCTCCGACAAGTCCTGGGAGACCATTACGCCGGTCGTCGCTGTCACTCAAAATCGCCAGAACCATGGAGCAGCCTATATGAACAGTTCTTCGTCACTACTCGTGTACGGAGGGTCTCAGGATGGCAACACGGGGCCCTCGTCGGAGACGTTTTTGCTTGAAATGTTTCCGCCGTATAGGGTTCTAGCTTACAGCTCGATTGCACCTCCGACAAAGAAGCCGGTTATGCTTCCATGGACAGAGGAACGCACACTCATGGTAGGTGGCAGCACCACGAACGTCAAAGTCTTTACTTTCGGTCCTGCCAATGGCTGGCAGGACCTTGGGTTATCGCTGCCGTCGCCGCTGCCGGATTCTACTGTGGCGCAATCGGCGTTACTCACGCTGGACGATAGCAGCAAAATACTCCAAACCTTCGACCTGGGCGAGTCGCCCCCTAATGTAACGACCAACGTTTTGTTGAACCCTGGCGGTCTCCCTGCAGCATTCGGCGAGACCGCGGGAGGTGCGGCAACAACAGCGAGCCCTAGCACCACTTCGGGTGCTTCGTCGCAAGCAAAGAGAGCGATATACCTATCCAACTTTCCAACATACAATGATACTCTAGCACCGTCAGCCACCCGTTCTGGGTTTAGCTTGTCACAGGGCGATAATGGGTTGATAGCCTTACTTGGCGGTAATGACGATGACCCTGTGGTATTCTTTAATCAGAGCGCGAACAGCTGGATCGACGCCACTCAAATCCTGGGGGAGCAACAAACCCCTCTGGCTACACCTTCAAGCACACAGCCGTCGACCAGCGCGACCTCCACGGCGACCCATGCGGCAGCATCGGGGTCATCTCACAAGACTCCGGGGTTGACGATTCTGGGTGCTGTTCTAGGTGCCATTTGCGGTGTGGCGGCGATTTTGATCATCCTCCTTCTCTGGATGAGAGCGGTCCGGAGAAGAAGGGCACAAAGAGAGAAACAGGGCCAGTATCAGGATGACAAGCGGAGAAGCGATGAATTCAACCATGAGGAAAGGGGCTTAAAGCCGTTGTCTAAAGCCGGCCAGCCTATGGGGAGAAGCCCGGTACCATCGACAGTGGTAACCGAGGCAGATAGCACGGCCATGTTTGGTGGTAGACCAGATCCTAAACATCTGATCCGGCGAGTCTCCTCAGATCGGGTCCAGTCCGCAGCTCGCGGGTCTGGTTTAGCGTTTGGGCAGGCCTTGTTCAAGCGCGACAGGGAAAAAGGCTCGCTCACCATCTCTAAACCGATGATGCCGAATCTTGGCGACTACGAGGCAAGACCCAGTATCGAACTAGGCAGAGCTACTCCTGCCGAAGAAGTAATCCCCGAAACAACCCCTGCGAGAAAGGCATCTCAGCGGAAGACCAATGAAGGCTGGGGAAAGTATTTCCAAGGAGAACCTCTTCCAGGTAATCGGACAACCTTTGTCTCGCGCAGCTCGGTAGGCACGACGCGCAACAAGAGCGAGTTCTGGCCGGGCTCAGGAGTACCCCAGGACTCACCCCGATCGCCCAAATTCGTCTTGCGAGACAGTGCTGGCAATCGGCTTGATACGCAAAACGTCGCCGCGGGAAGTCCTAGTCTAGAGTATGGACCTGTCGACGCTCAAAGTCGAGGCTTTCAGGCGAGAGTGTCTAGGGCAAGCTCGGCCGCCACCACGGACACCAACTATGACGACTACGAAGACGAACAGGTTGACGGAGCATTTTCTAGTGGGATCCCAGCCAGCATTCATGATACAGCTTGGACACCTGTCGGCAACACGTGGTCAGGTCCTGCTCAGCGGCCCTTGAAGCCATCAAATAGCTACCTGGCGGCGCAAACACAGGCCAACGCGTTGCAAACCCCAGCATCGAATGAAACGGGCGACAGCTCAGGAACTCAAAACTCATCCATACCCTCTTTTCCTCTGCCGAATTCAATGCTGTCTGAGCCGCCAGCCAATGGAGCAAAATGGGCCGGAGCAACACAGTCTACTAGTCAGAGGGAAGCTTCGGATTACTTCAGTCACAGCCGAGCACGCAGTGGCACTCCCGACAACACCGACATGTCATGGCTTAATCTTGGGACGCCGCCACGGTGACTATCGAACCGGTTCTCACGGATGCTCTATCAATTCCTGCTTGATGATGTCGCGCGCAAACCTGGTGCAGGTGCAAGCGCAGCCAGACCACATGCGGCGAGGGTCGACGCCGTTGAGGGCCGAGATGAAGAAGATGTCATAACAAAGACGCCGAGTCTATTTCGTACTCGATCCACTCCTCGACGAACTCGAGAGTTACACTACCACCCGCTTTAGGGACAGGGCCGAAGACAAGAGAGTTCGATTTGGATCGATGACAGTGTCCCTGCATCACCGACCATTCCTCTGATGGCGCGGGTGGTATCCGGGCGTTCGGAGCTCGAAAGGAGCAAGAGGTTGACTATGTGAAGGGTATGCAGCACAGCAAAGTTGGGTAATGATACTATCCACTGTCATTTTGGGCTATGTTGTTGAGATACCTATGTTTCTCAATCAAGAGCAGAGAAAGAGAAAGAGAAAGAGAGACAGATGTCGAACGTTGGACACCTGGGAGTTGGATGAACGAGATGTTCCAGATCCGGGGAGGTAATGATGATGCCGTCATGTATACCAATCAGTGTAACAGTAACAGTACCCTGAAGGCATGATAATATTTAATGAATCCCACAGATTGGCATCCCCAGTTCAAGTTCGTCATTGTTAATTGTAGTATTGGATCTGGCAGTGTCTTACAGGACTTTCTACCTAGCTGAGTACGCTAGATACTGGCAGTAGATGAACTGAGTTGTACCACGAAGCAGCTCGCCAGTGACGCAGGTCGCTACCTACAGCACGTCTTATAACTGAATGCCACTGATCGGTGATCAAGGTACTTTACTGTAGTCGTCGGCGGGCCCCTCTTCTAGAAGGGCATCATGATAGGATATTGCCAGTAAGTCCTGGATTTCATGGCTCCTTCGGAAGGAGTTGGTTGGCTGATGACTAGTAAAAGTGAATGGTGTTTGGAAACAGAGGCATGGGCATTTTGATCCGAAGATCGCCAACAATTAATGAAATAGGAAGCCAGTGTGTCTTTCAAAGAAGCCACAAATCAACGGCCAGATAGGAAACGCGTGTGCTTCAAGCAGGACCTTTAAAAGCAGTGGTGGTAGTTGTTGTGACTTGGTAGTTGGATATAAAATGGTAGATGCCGCGAGTCTAATTGGCCCAAGTCGACCACGCACAAAAGGACGGCCACTGTTGCGTGACGATGGCGACGGCGCCACGTGGGGGAAGAAGTGAGTGACCACTTGCAGAGCCAGCTAGGTGCCAGTGCCAGTGTAGGGGAACCGTGCTGATCTAGACGATCGGAACTGTTGAGCTGATCTGATCATCCTCAGCTGATCGACGGACACGGCACCTAACGACCCTGATCAGCTGTGCAGCGTGTAGACCGATCCTTTCCGCGATTGCCCGCTCACAACTCGTATACCGTACCTACAATGTACTTCAAGTTCCAGATACTGCCGAGGAAGTGAAAGGGCAGCAACCTTGAAGCGGCGGTGACAGACGCGTTTTCCTAGCGTGTCAGTGTGGCATGACTCGCGGGTAAAAGGATAGATCGTACAATCTATTGATCAAAAATTGAACCTACCAGGTAGGTAATGCCGATACTGCGTGTCATGTTCAAGTTGTATGAAAGTGATTTTATCGAGGCTGTCGTGTACCTGTGCTTCTATTCCGGGGGTGCAATTGTGGGAGGTGTAGCGGCCATGTGTCGCAGGCCATCGTCATCTATTGGCGAATCCGGGCGGGTGGCCATCATCAAATTGAACGATTTGCCCGTGTCTCTCGGGGGATCAAGGCGCGTCATCGAGCCTGTCGCAATCCGCCCTGAGACACACGGGTGCCGCCTGACCAGCCCGACTGGAGAATTAGGGCATGAACCCCGCGGCTTGAAGCACCCACAACGGCCTGAGAGATGGGCCTTTGGACCCTAAAGCTTCCGATCGAAGGTCACGGACACCCGCCCCAGCACTGGTAGGACACTAATAACTGTCAGACGGTACTAAGAGTGCTAGCTGGCGCCTTACCCGGAGTTAGTCCATATGCGGTATCCAGCAGATATATACACTGTCGAGTTGAGGAAGAAACTGGATAATAGGTACAGGCTCTGTACTGCAGGTGAACGTGATGATGGGTATACCTGCTAGAAAGCTCGATTGACACCAGTCCAAGTCGGGTCGTCGCAAGAACTTCGGTACAGAATACCAGGCCAGGAAGCAGCTGGGGCCTTTGTGTCCGGGGTTTGGATGGCTTGCTGGACTACAGCGTCTCCAAGGACCTTCTCGATCTCAAGTCTGGGTAGTGCATCTTCAACCGTGATGCCGTAGTCCACCGCCTCCACTGCCGCCCGGATAGCAGGCCGGAAATCGATCAAGACCCCATTCCTGACCAGTCGAGCCAGACGCGTGATGCGTTCTGCTATACCAGGCGAAGTGTGCAATGCTATGGCCGTCCAGACCTCGTGAACTTCCGACTCTGATCTTTGGAAGGCACGTAGGAGATCTGCTGCAGCGTCGGCGCCTTCCACCTCGAACCGTTGAGGTCCATTGTATCGCTCTGAAGCACCAAGGTCGTGGCAGATGCATGCCACAAACAGCATTTCGTTGTTCAACTTCAGCCACTCTGTCATCTCCTCCTTCTCCGCCAACCATTTGGCGAACAGGTACACCCGTAGACTGTGATGGACAATGGTCAGTGGCAGGGCAGACGCCGCAAGATCAAAGGCAGCAATACAAATCGGTGTATTGGGGACGTAGGCTCTCAACCCATCTCGATCAGAGGAGCCTGAGCCGGTTGACGGTGTCCCAGGTTGTAGACCGGGTGTTGCGGAATGGCCGCACATGGTTGCAAGGGTTGAGACAACTGGCGTAGCAGTGATATGTGTTGACGTCGTTGCTGTTTACCACTCTTGCTTGGACATCAGTCGTGTACAACCAACCTTAGGTACGCGAGGTTAGACCGGAGGCGTTAGCGAGAGACTGAGGATACTAGAGAGGTAGTGTACAGCGTATCTAACGCAGATAGGTTAGTATTGCAGGAACTATCCACTCCTCCCCAAAACCCCCCTATTCGCAACACCAGTAGAGGTGTTTTTGCCACCGCAACACGCATCACGAATAGTAGCAGTGGGCACTAGCACCAGTACCAGTGCCAGTGGTAGCAGCTGCCGCCTCCACTGCACCGGCCGTTCCTCCTGCGCCCGCTCGCTCCATCGCCTGCTGCCAACTTGACCCGTTCTCCTCTGTCTATCACTCTCAGCCAAGTCCAGTCATGCGTTCCCGTCCAACACCCCCAAACTCCATCGTGAACCATCCAACCATCCAACGCGCCTCGCACACACGCACACTACTCACCACACACATTCGCACACTGTCGCCTTGCAACCCACCCCCGCTCCGTGTTATCAAGGAATCGACATCCTCTTCGTTTCGTCGCTCCTTTCTTTCTTTCTCCTCCCATCTTCCTCGTCGCCAGGGAAGATATCGCTGCTCAGAGACCTCCGTTACGGTTGTCTCTCTTATCGCCTCCGCCTCACTCCACAACCAACGCACTTGAGCTCCACCGCCTGCGACGTCGCACATTTGGACTCACTCGACCTCTGCGCAACCTTGCCGAACCAGCCGAAGCCTACCTGACGGTTATCTCGCTGTCGCATTCTGCTTTGAAGACGACGTCGTGTGGTGAGTCATATTACACAGCACAGATCTCACCAATATTCCCCTTATCTACGCGTCGCGCGATACCGTCTCCTGCTATACAGACGGCGCTGATTCATTTTCCGTCTCGTCCAGTTCACACGACCTCCATCGCAGATTTATCATGGCTCCAACCACGGTTTCAGCCCTAGGCATGGCCCTCAACGGCAAATCCGCATCCGTCGACATTCCAAAGCCTCGTGAGGCCGTCCATGGCCGGGACAACTTCACTGCTGTAACGGCCGGCTCCTCCAAGAAGCATTCGGGCATGTTGCCTACTCCTCCTAATTCCATTTCTCCCAACCTTCTACCTCGCGGCCGTCGAGCAAGTAAAGCGGCTGGGCCCCCGTCGCCGAAAAGCGCGCCGCAGGTGGATTCAGATATCGATTTGCAAGATGCGTCCGATAAGCCACAACATACAGCCCTGAGCGCCGAGGCACTGGACAGCTTGGGTGATCTGGACAGCGCTGGGGCTATTACCCCGAGCATGTTGGCCAAGCATCACCTCCCTGATATCTTGTTATCCCACGGGCCTTTGGCTATCCGGCACATTATGGGCTACCTGACGACCTCTGTCCCTGGCTTTTCTAGGATCACTTCGGCAAAAGCCCGTCGCTTGGTCGTCGCCGCCCTCGAGGGCAAAGGCTCTGGTCTGGAAAACAGCGGCCGCGACAGCGATGTCATGTTTGAAAAGGTGGGATGGGGGAGGTGGGATGCGCGCATCAAGGGTCAACCACAAAGGGAGCGTCAAACCTCCGTGATAACACCTCCTGGCAGTTTGCCGTCGTCTTACTCCCAACCTGGGCTTCAACTTCCCGGCCAACGGACCTGGCGCACCGGGTCCGAAAACCTAGGGACCAGCTACACCGGCAACTCCGCTGTCTTCTCCCATGAGGAAATGGATTACGAAGATCAGGATATGCTGGAGCATGAAGCCGACAAAATGTCCTTAGACGATGACGATGACAATGGCTACGTGTCATCTGTCGCGCCGGAACCCCTTGACGAGGATCTTGGAGACGGCGAAATCACGGACGAGGAAGACTGGGCGAGCATAGGTGCCGAAGCACTGCGTGCACGTTCACTCCCAAACACTGCCCACGTCGGTTCTGGCCCTGGTCGCCTGTATCAGCCCATCGCAACGTACTCGTACCAGCCAAGATATCGATCCAAAACCCCAGCAGATGTCGCTCACACAGCGCCGAGTAAACCGAGACAGCCCGAGTTCACCAACCCATTTTCGCTGCCGGCTGGGGCGGCCATGAATGACTCTCAGGAACGAGCTGCTGTCGAAGCCCTGTTGAGCCTGGGCTCTATGTCTTGATGCATGTGCTTCGAAAGCACGAAATCTCGGCCTAGGGGATGTTTAATGGGCCCGGGGTTGAAGTTTCTGGGCGCTGCGGGTACGGCTTTTTTTTATATATATTTGATATTCTACACGAACGCACCTCTCACCGCAAGCTTAGTGACTGGGTAACGCAACCCAGCCGCTATGCGACCTCTCAACTTTTATTATAACGCTTTACTCTTACGAATGAGTCGACGACCTTGAGCCAGGTGGACTAACTGGCTCGGTATGGCGGCGTACCGTTTACCACGTTTTGTTTATTTGGACATCAACGGTGTTGGTCCCTTTACTACGTCCGAGAGCGATGTCACAACACGGCATGCCGCCTTGTTTGCATCGGATGTTTCCACGCAGGGAGTGATGCCTTCTCTATGTCTTTCCCTTCAGCATATTTCGTTTGTAATGCATGTTTTGGTACCACGTGCGCCGCGAAGGTGCGCAACAGGACATTGTCGGAAATTGGTCAAGAACGACATTTTCCAGGAAACACACCACAGATGGACCGTCAGCAAACAACTCGTCCAGCAGAACCTCGGCATGACCGGTCATCTTCATTGATCGTACTGGCATCTTATGATCTGCAGCTCTGTCATATTTAGTTATCGCACGGAGCGGAAAGTTGCTGGCTAGGACTTTTGTTTCCTGCATTATGTGGTTTTCTCGGCCCCTCAAACTTGAAAGCGGCTCTCGGCAGACACTGCCGTTAGCTGCCACTATTGATATTGATGTTTTCCTTTGTTTTATGAATTGGCCAACGAGGGTTGGGCCATTGATGGCTGGGAAACGCCATGGAGGGCGTGGTCTGGCTCTGGTCCACTGGATATGAGCCTCAGGAGGCTTGCTAAGAGATGCATAGGTGGTCCAGTGAGACACACAGAGCACACTCTTTGGAGAAGGATGAGGGTTTTGACGGGAAGTCCAGAATCGGAATCCTGAAAGCAAAGAAATTGAAAAGAGAAAAAGAAAACAGACAAATGCCTCGGACGGACAAGGAGGTGGCCTGAGATGGCACCGAGGACAGGTATCTCGGGACGAGGCGCGTCTTGCTTTGACTTTCTTCTTCTTTTCACTTTCACTTTGTGGATATACCTCGTGAGGTTACATGTTACCTACTAGGTAATATATAGCCTTGCTTTTACTGGTAGTGCGCTTGATTGATGCTTAACACTGTTGAGTCTCTCAGCTCGCTTCTGGGTAAGAATCTGGGTTATTAAACAAACGAGTCTCTTTTCTCTCTTCTCTTTTGATACTTTTTTATGTTCTTTTTCTGTTGTGGTTGTCCCGTTGTGTGTTCAGTCTGTGACCAGTGTTCGGAAGATCAAGTAGGCGCCCGTGGCCCCTCTACGACATTCAAGTTGTAGTTCCATTGCTCTGCAGGGTTAAGGTACCGTCTGTCGCAGTATACCTCAACTACTAGTACTAGTAGGTAAGAAGCAGAAAATTCAGTTCATTGTGTGTCCCAAGTTAAAATGGACCTACAAGGAAGCAAGCGGTGCCGTCAGGCTTCAGCAACGATTTCATTTTCTCCCTAGCTACGGAGAATATGCAAATCTGTACTACTACTGTATAATGATGGCCCAACGCAGTGTTTTGGCCACTACACGATCTGCCAGACCAACATGTTGCGGAACATGTTTCTGGGACGCCAGATATCTCGTCTGGTGACGATATCGCCACCATTTCCAACGTCCCTGTTCCTTTCGTCAACGACGATAGGACCCGCGGGGGGCACATCCACCACGGTTGGATGACTGTCGGTGCCTTCGGAGAGAGGGGGTTTGGTCTCTGATGCACGCGTTCTGTCCTCCATCATCATCATTGTCTGCTCTCTATCCCTCTGCGTCTTGCTTGCTTCCCACTTCATTTCGCCAACTTTCCAACCTCGTGCGAACCACAGACACAGTGCTGCTGCGAAATACGTGAGAGCGGTGAAGATCTGGGGAGGAAGGTAGATCCAGCTGTGGCCGGTTTGCCGTCGCAGTTCCAATGCGATGGGTTCCGCGAAAGTTGTCGGCGGCACCATCAGGAGCCACGTCAGGCTGAGGCCAGCGGGTAGGTCTTGAAGGCCCAGGATGTCTGCGGCGACCGGAGCAATGGTCGTCCAGAACGTGCCGGCCAAAGACCCGCCCACGATTGCAAAGAAGCACAACAAGCCCATTGGGGAAGAGACCACTTCGGCCGGGATCCAGAATGCAAAGCAGAAGATACCACACAGAAAGGTATAGAACGTGGCTAGGTTGAGACGACCCCAGCGATCCGAGCTGAGTCCAATGAAAGGCCGACCAAGCATTTGACCCAGATTGAGGATTGCCCCAAGTAAGGAGCTCTCTTTGGCATTCAAGCCTATCGAACGACCGTAGGCTGGCAATGAAAAGAGCAGAATGGTGTAGCCCAGCATACTGAATAATGACCAGCCCTGGACTAGTAGAAATTCGGGCCGGCGGAGGATTTGGGTGTCCATTGCTTTATGTCGAGCTCCCGTCTGTTTATTTCTGTCTCGGATAAGATTCGCAGCCGTCAAATTAACTGCTAAGGTGCAGAAGCCCAGGATGCGAAATGCCCAGGGGAGACCCATGGTATCGATTATGCGTTGAGTGGCAAGACTGTACATCATGCCGCCGAGACCTGAGCCTGCCGCGGCGATGGAATTGGCGACGCTACGCTTCTTCCTGAACCATTGCGGGATAATGCCCACAGATCCGACGAACAGAAAGCCCATGCCCCATCCGAAGCAGATTCCCTGGGCTAGGATGATCTGGTATTTCTGCTTCGCGAAACTGGCGCCGAAGAGTGACAACGTTTCGAAGAAGATACCTAGGTGCAGGCATACTTTCGTCCCATAAAGGTGGATGACATGCGTGGCCAAGGGTGCGATCAGAACAGCTTGGGAGATGGACAGACCGCCAATGAAGGCGTACGCCAGGGCCGACGTATTGGGGAAGTAGTTGTTATTGAGGTAGTACGACAGAAAGACGCCATATGTCGAATTGACTCCCCATGTGTGCCCTGTTCATAATTTAGTTAGATATCGTGGAGCCTCCAGAATGATGTGACCTGTTGCGATGCGATTGCGTGATTGTACTAGCATGCCAGGAACCATCTCTTCGCCCCCGGATTTTGAGCTTGATCAGGCATGGTATGACACCCAGCCGAGCCTTGCAGATCCGGGGACGTCGAATGAGAATACAGAGTTGTTCTTACCATTGATAAAGAAGTTGCAGGCTACGCAGACCCAACCGTATCCTCCATCCGGAGGCGCATTGTCTATCTTGGGAGGCGTGGGATCGAGGTCGACAGTATTCTCCGATTCAAACGTGTGGCGCGGGGGGTGGTCCTGGGAGCCGCCAGGGTGTGTTTCTGAAGGCGTAATTTCTGCCATTATCCATGCTTCCACGGCTTCTCACTCTTCACAGCTTGGACTCTTGACAAAAGGAAAACATCGAACAACGGGAAACAAGAGCAGAAGGAAACAAGTCATCTAGACTGGTCAGCAATGAAATTTGTAGGGGAACGGCAACATGACCGAGGCAGCCCCGCCGGAATAGACCACGATATAGTAGTATGTATTCGCTGGGAGATGGATGCGGACCCTGTTCATTGAGGACCGTCATAGTGCTTCGGGCTTCACGTTCAGAGCCCAGGTGGTAGTTGTTGACTAAAAGGAGACTGTTCGGGGACTTAGGAAGTCCTAGTAGTGAGAGGCCGCTGAAGCTTGGTATTTTGATTGGACAGTGAGGGAGGCATGTCTCCAGGAAAGCGTCTGGAGAGAGCGTGGAGATGGAACGACAGAACCGAGAGAGATGCGCGATTCGACTGCGAGAGTCGATGTCCGAGGTCTGCTCTATGCTCCAAGGGACGAACGCAGGCGGTCATCTCCACCGACTGCCGTGCCGTGCTCCCGGAGAGTCTGAACGGGTTTCATGGATTCATCACTATCCCAACCATACATGTAATCCTTTGCACGGAAGAATCGTCGAGCGATGGCATCATAACAGAAGTGATGATGCCGATGGAGCCCGTCGAGGAGTTGATTGAGAGTTGGGGTGGGTGTGCCCGTGGCTGCAGGGAATCGTGGCCTGGAGCTCCGGGGAAGTTCAAGTTGCAGGCTGCACTGCATCCTTGCGACCGTGACCTGCGCGCGTTGGCCTCGCAACCGCTGTCTCCCTCCCGCCCAAACAAAGAAAATGTTGCCTGCGCTGCACCATCTTCAAGTGGACGCGATGCCCGCCTGGTCTCCGTGTCTACGACGCCAACTCCAGCTTGAAGTCGAAGACTGCCGTCGGTATAAGTTGATTTCTGACTCTAATATCACTTGTGGATTACTATTGTTATCATCTCCAGCGTTCGACAACCCTACGATCACTTACTCCCATCAACTGAAGCCCATCATCGTATCTTCCTCTGCCCACCTTGCCGCAACCCCTCGGCAACCCCTTAGACGCTGAAAACCTACCGACGCTGCTCCTATCCATGGTCTCTCGGTAATCAGCCTGAATGCTCAATTATCTACTATGTTTCACAAACGCAGCAGTTTAGGCGGAAGAAAGGTGTCGCCGCCTCAGCCGACATGCATGACCGCCGAGCAAAAGTGTACGTTCTGTGTCTCTTCGTCTTTGCTAGCCAGCAATGTCTCTCCAAAGAACTTCCAAGTCACCATACTCACTGAGCCGTCTAGCAACATATCTTGAAAGCCTACGAAGTTATCGGCCTGCACGACCAACAGGTTCTCGTCCACCTCCGTTTCCCTCCAAAACCCATGCCACATCAGTCTCGCAAACCAGCCTGATACGCTCCGATTCTGCCCCGAGTGTGGGCTTTTCCGACAGTGAGAGCCAAAGAGATGGAAACACCATCGACAGTGAACACCAGCCAGCCGTGCACAAATCGGTTTCCTTCTCCTCCACGTCATCGTCCCTCAGATCTAGACCACTAGCACGGCCCCCCCATAGCGAGCTGCCTGTTGTAAAGGGCAGAAAGGTCTCTCCCACAGCCATTGTACAGATCCCACACTCAACCGACGACAACACGTATGTCGAATCATCCACACGAAAGTTAGAGAAGGAAGAGGCCCACAGTCTTCGAGAAGCACTGGAGTTGATTGACCACAAGGATGACGAAAGACGCATCTACGAGGCCGCTCAAAACGAAGCCTCTGATCTTGTCTGGAAACACCAAAACCCAAGAGCAGCCGAGGAGGAGAAGACTGCCGCCTATGGAAACCCTGATCTGAAGATGAGAAAACGAAGCAGTGGATTCCGACAAGCCAGTGGCACTCGAAAGGTCTCGTTTCCCAACCCTGAAAGTCAGATATACGAGGAGCCTGAACAAAAGTCGGAACCCTCCAACGCCTCGGTCAAACCTCCGAGTACCACAATGCCTCTGAGGGTCAAGTCTCGGAATACACTCCCTTGGCTGCGGAGGAAGGTTTCTGACAAGACAGAAGCCGCTCCCCTTCCAGATGCTCCGAAAATCGATCGATTTGAAATCCACAAGAACCCCCCCAGTCAGTCACATAATGCAGGATACAGAGCCAATACACCTCCCCCACCGCCAGTCATTGACGTGATCGAGGAGGTGGATACGCCAAAGTCAAAGGGATCGCTAGAGATCAGAAGTGAAGAAATACGAGCAGCCACGAGCATGAAGAGGAAGGACCGAAGTCCTAATCTGCCGACGCCCACTGCCGTCAGCGACCAGGTCGGCCGACCCATTGTCAGTTTCAATCCAGCATGGAAGCCGGCTGGTGACTCGCCCAGGGCAAGTCGGGAAATGGACAGGCCGGTCATCAATTTCACCGAGTCCCCCACGACTGCCAGAGTCAGCGAGAGGCCTTTGCCTAAACCTATGCCCAACGTTTCTGAAGTGACGACTGTCTCTGCCCCTACAGTTCCAACAATCAATCTTCCAGATGATGAACCATCTCAATCACCAAATCCAGCAGTTCCTTCGTTGACGTTGTCAGCCCCAGCGGTGCCAACAATAAACCTCCCGGACGATGAACCGCAAATTCCTGTAATCAGCATAAATGACGACTCACCACGCCAGCCGTCGGTGCCGACAATCAACGTACAGGGGGAGATCAAACGACCAACGAGACCACTCCCCCAGCCCTCCTCGGCGAGTAGTGCTGTCAAACCTACAGTCCAAAAGAGTTCATCCGGCCGTCTACCCTGGCTCTCTCGCCATGCGATGCCCACAGTATCATGCTCAAGCTGTGCACTACCCATCTCAGGTCGCATCGTCACCGCATCCGGCTCGAGCACCAGCAGTCTCAAAGCCCGCTTTCACCCAGAATGCTTCTCCTGCTACCACTGCTCAACACTACTGGAATGCGTGTCCTTTTATCCGGAGCCAGACGAGCGACGACTTGAACGCCTTCGAAGCATGGGCATCGACGACCCCAACTCGGCCGAAGCAGCCAACGACCCGCTCCGGTTCTACTGTCACTTGGATTTCCACGAATTCTTCTCCCCGCGCTGCCGGTCCTGCAAGACCCCGATTGAAGGCGAAGTCATTGTGGCCGCCGGCGCCGAATGGCACGTCGGCCACTTCTTCTGCGCCGAATGCGGCGACCCCTTCGACAGCACCACGCCCTTTGTCGAGCGCGACAACTACGCGTACTGTGTCTCGTGCCATACGAAGCGCACCTCCGCCCGCTGTCGAGAATGTAAACAACAAATCTTGGATGAGTTGACCGTCGAGGCCCTGGGCGGCAAGTACCATGAACGCTGCTTCGTCTGTTTCGAATGCGGTGGTGGATTTGGCGACGAGGGGCGCTTCTTCGTCCGCGACGTCGACGTCAAACCTACTGATAAGGAGCTGCGCAAGGGTATCACCCGCAAGTTTGAGGAGAAGCCCGTCTGTGGACCTTGCGAGGAGAGACGGCTGAAGGCCTGGTAGTGACTATTAGTAGTCGTGGTGGTGGTTCTATCCTACCTACAGTAAGGTAACTGACAAACCTACCTGAGATCTGTGTAATGTGATTGATGTACTACTGTAACGTCAAATTTATCAAGATAATACAGCGAAACCTGGCGTATGAATGAAGGAACGAGACTTGTTAATAAATTGGTATTGTACTACTCTAGTACATTATCGGACGAGTTGACCTGGCGATATGCATTTGGGATTGGGTTCGGGTTCGGGTTCGGGTCGGGATAGGCGCAATCAAAGAATGTTCTGTTCACTTTTACAATATAGTTGTTCTACAATCAATATGTAGAAGTAAGTCAGGGCTTGAATGCTTGCTTGCAACTTTTCTGAATTGTAACCGTACAGTACAATGCTCGCTCGCGGTGCTGGGTTGACCAGGACCACTCGCGCTCTAATTACCAAGCGTCTCGTCTCGTTTCGCTCAAGGTGCCTGAAATAACGCGCGCTCGCTGTCTGTCCCTGAAAGTCTTTGGGACTTGGAACAAAACAATCACTGATACTCGTTCAGGGGCTTTGCTTGTCCTCCGACTCAGAGGTCTTAGCCCTTCCCATTGGTTGATCCCCTTTTCTTCCACGATTTCCTCCCCCTGGCCTGCCTGCCTACCTCCATTTCCTCCACGCCCTTCGATACCACCATTTTTTTTTTCCTGCACGCCTCCAATCCCTCCACCCAATTTCAAAAATCAATCCAACTCCGTGGCTCCATGCTCGAGTCGTTCAAGTGCTTGGGAATCATAATAATCGACGATATCACCAACTCCCGTAACATGCAATGCTCCACTCCGAGTCCCATAATATCAATCACGCCGGCACACAGGGAACACGAGACGTTCTTGATCCTCCGTGTTCAAGAGACCCCGTGCAGTGTTGGTCGTTTCTCTCCACGTCTAATTCCATAATCGTCAATCGTCATCTCACTGCAAGTTGCGTATGCTAAACGTTCAACACGTTGGGCTGTATTTCGTGGAAGACCGTGGCTTTCGACAAACATCACCTCGCTTTGTTGCCAGGTGGCTCTGCAAAACGGACCCTGGTATGGATCGTAGAGGTAGAATAAAAGTCCAAGAACCGGTATTGCAATATCCCCAAACAGTGTCAAAAAAATGGGATCGCCCAGTCTGACGCAGTCCAAGGGCAGCAGTGGCCTGCTCCGTCAATTCGGCGGCGATGTGTCGTAAGAGCCGTTGGTTGGACCTTCAAGATTTGTGCGAGTCGTCCTTAGGCGAACCCTGAGCGGCAGGCTCAGCCTTGAGTCCTTTTTGCTCTCGCTCTTTTTTCTTGCGCTCTTCTTGTGCTTTGTCTTCGTCGGCTACCAAGATCTTGATGTAGATGTTTTGAACTTCTTCGCTTGAGATACCTCGGTTTGGCCAGTACAACTTGGCATATTCCCTGTTAATTGTCAGCGTTGCGGAAAGACGCCATTTGAATGATTGAACTTACCAGAAGCGCTTTTCCACAGCTTCATGATTATCATCAAGCTCAGCAAGTTGCTGGTTGATGAAATTACCAATGTCCCTCAGCAAATTCCTCAACTCCGCAGCTCTTTCGCCCGGGTCGGGTATGGCGCTCTTGGTGGATGCCTTCATCTTCTTCAATTTCTCCTTGACGGGTTTAAACAACATCACCATAAGCGGATCGACCTCCGGCGCGGTGCCGTTGGTATTGTTGGTGCTTCGTTTGTGATCACTTGCATTGGCATGATTGCTACTTCGTTTGTGATCACTTGCATGCTTTCCGTGGCGAGCCTGGCCATGGTCATCGCGATGTTTGCGATCTTTATGGTCTTTGTGGTCTCGACTCTCACTGTCACGTTTACCATGTCCATGTCGGGCGTCGGAGCGGGGAGTACCGTTTCTCTCGGAACTATCGCGATGAGCTTGACTGGTTCGATGTCGAGGCTTTTCCGAGTCCCGGTTAACCTTGCGATGAGACCCAGGTGCAGGCGATTCAGTGCCCGTACTCTTCTCAGCACCATGCTTCTTGTTGTTGCGATGATGGTTTTCCACCGCTCTCTTGGCAGCGGGATCATCCACATACTTGCTCTTCAGCACCGAAATGAGATAGTCGGCACGTCGAACTAGGTGGACAGCACCAGGGGATTTCACGTTCTTGTCGCTCCCTTTCTCTCGTTCGGCCTTCTTGTCAACTCGATGCTCTTCGAGGAAGAATTTATCCTTGAGATCAAGGTCAGGATCGTCACGGATCTTCTCCCAGGCACCGTAGCCGTGGCGAGCAATGCCGACACACAACATACCATCTTCCCGAGCACCCCAAGAGCAAGTATACCCGGCATTCTTGGTTGCTTCGGGAACACGGAACGATTTGAAGTCGGGATTCTTCGAGGTGACTTCTTGCAGCAGCCGCATCTCGCCCGGTCGTTCGAGAATCGTCTCGGCGTTGATCCGCTTCACCCCATGCAACTCAAAGAGGATTGCCTTTCTGTCCTTTTTGGTAATGGGTCGATTCGCGGTGCGCTCCAACTCGGCCATGCGTTCCTGCTCCTCTTTGTAGAGCTCGAGTGACTTGTCCCATATCTCCTGCATGGCGGCTTTGACAACACCCAGGTCCCTACCCCGGAGACGCGCTTCAGTCAAAAATTCTTCCTGGCGGTCGTCGATCGATCCATATCGGAGATGGCCCTTGATGAGATACCGATACTCTCGCTCGCTGAGGGGTCGGGCAGGATCAGCCTTGAGACTTTCCTCAGAGTCGCTGTCTGACTCAATCTCTTTCTGCCGCTGCTCTTGACGCCGGGCCTTGCGAGCTTCCCTGTCTTCAACTTGGTGATTGCGGACCCTTGGCTTGTTCTGTTCGATGACTTCTGCGAGATATTTCTCCTCGGCTTTGCGCTGCTCCTCGGCCTTGATCTCCTCAAGCTGTTCTTTCGGAATGATGTCGTCCCACGACAATTCATCCACCTTGACATCGACGAAATCAAACGTACGTAGGAACTCTTCTCCTCCGTCTGCCTCAGTGCCATCGGGTTGCTCAACCTTGTAGTCTTCGGCGCTATTAAGCACTGCATCGAGATCAAGTTCTTCAAGCTTCTTCTGATTGTCGGTCTGCTCGAACATCTTCTGTCCGCGCTTCTTGAGAATGCGGGAGATCTCACTGGAGCTGCCAGGTTCTCCAACCATGGCATTGCGTCGAGCTTGAGCCTTCTCGTCAGTAACACCACGCTGTATGGTCAAGAACTCCAACATAAGTTTGTTCCGCGCACGCTCGAGGATCTCTTCCTCGACAGTCTCCTTCGAAACCAATCGGTAGACGCTGACAGGCTTCTGTTGGCCGATTCGGTGAGCTCGGGCCATGGCTTGCAAGTCTGCTTGGGGATTCCAGTCGGAATCAAAGATGATAACGGTATCGGCAGTCATGAGGTTGATGCCTAGACCGCCAGCTCTGGTGGACAGTAGAAAACAAAAGTCGTTGCTATCAGGGGCGTTGAAGTGATCGATGGCAATACGACGGGGAGCGGCGGCGATAGTGCCATCAAGGCGCTGGTAGGCGTGGCCTCTGTATTCCATGTAGTCACCGAGGATGTCGAGCATTTTGACCATCTGGCTGAAGATCAGCACACGATGGCCATCGCGTTTGAGCTTAGTGAGCAACTGGTCAAGAAGCATCATCTTTCCACTGCTGGTGACCAGAGCGCGTAAGACTTCATCCCGCCGAGCACCCTCCGGCACCAGGCGCTCTTCAGCACTGGGAAACATGAAGGGATGGTTGCTGGCTTTCTTGAGTTCCATCATGATGTTCAAGAGGGACTGCTTTTGGCCTTTGGCGCCTTGGTTCAGCGCAGCATAGTTCTTGGTGAGGATATTCTTGTAATATTCCAACTGGATGTCAGACAGCTCCACCCGAATGATCTTCTCGGTCTTGGGCGGCAAATCCTTCTCGACTTTCTGTTTGGTTCTTCGAAGCATGTACGGCTTGATGTCCTCGGTAAGTTGCGCAATCTTGGCACTAGCCTCCTCGGTAGTCAAGTCCATGTTCTCGTCAATGTTGACGACCCCTGGATTCAAGAAATCGAACAGAGCCGATAGTTCACCGAGATTGTTTTGGACGGGTGTGCCTGTGATCAGCAGACGAGCGGGTGCCTTGAATTCGCGCAAGCGGTCGTACAGTTGGGAATCCCGGTTCTTGAGACGATGGGCCTCATCAACAGCCATGAATTGCCATTTGATTTGGTTCAAGAACGAAGCATCATGTAAGACGTATTCGTAGGTGGTGAGGAGAACATGGAAGCGAGGGTGGCGGACATTGCCGTCAGGCAACAGCTCATAGTCGCGGATAATGTTTCGAGAGTTCTGGTTGCCGTTGTAGATGACATAGTTGATATCAGGTGCCCACATATCGAACGTGTCTGCCCAGGCTGGCATCGTTGAGAGTGGAACAACGACTAGGAACGGACCCTGCTGTCCACGGTTATGTCTCAGCCAGCTCAGAAAAGCGACAGTCTGCACAGTCTTGCCCAGGCCCATCTCATCTGCGAGCACAACATTCTTCCCCTTTACCCAATTGTAAGCGAGGAAATTGACGCCAGTCATCTGGAAATCTCTTAGAGTACCGTTCTGGATGTAAGATGGTTGTTCACGCATGGGTTGGAAGGCTGATCGAGTGGAAGGATTGCTCTCGGAGGTGTTAGACTTGAAATCCTGATGACTGCGGTTGATGTAGCGATCAATCTCATGCTGGGCAATTTCGCTGACGAGACTCGAGGCCTCCCATGTCGCATTATCATACGACAGGCCCTTCCACTTGACATAGTATTCAGTACCGTCTTCGCCATCGCGAGCGCCTATAACTCTCTCGACATTTTTGTGTTCCTCCAAGGCGTCCAGATATTGTTCGCGGTCGAGGATCCACTTCTCCTTGTCTTCCGGGGCAACGTTAGGGTCGTTGCGGATGCGGATATCCTCCTGTAACGTCTTCTTTATGTAATTCTCCAGTCGGCGGAGACTCTTCACGCCCGCGAGTGACTCCAGAGTCTCCCACGTGGCATGATAGTAAGCCTTCTGCTGCCATTTGATCAGGAACTCGTAGTCTTCCTTGGAATGCGACGGGGTCGTGACATCGGCCCTCAGACGGTGATTCAGGATCATGTCAATAGCCGGGGAGTTGTCCTCTTGGCCAGTTACCCAGTAGTTGGGTGTCATGGTATCAGGATCATCCTCTTCAAACATGTCATCATCATCGTCCTCGTTGTAATTAGACACTCTAGCGGCTCGGCGGGTGGAGAATCGAACTTCGGCGTGGGCAGGTGTGAGGCTCTCCGCAGACTGCAACAGACGACGGCGTTGTTTCTTGGTCAGCTTCGCACGTCGACCGCCATACGCGTCAGAAGAAGCATCGGAATCGGAAGGTGTGTCAACTAGAGGAGTGGCCTGCTTCGAAGATCGTCGAGAGGTTTGTCGCAAACGCTTTCGAGGACGAGGAACGACATCTGAGGCGGAATCCTGGTCATCGGAAGATTCTGCCATGTTCGGCACAGCACGAGCCCGTCCACTTCTTCGCAGACCGTAGATCTCGGGGTTCTTTCTAATGTAGTCCTCTTCATCAAGCGGTTGCTGAGCCTTCCTCTTCGCAGGTCTGACAGATTCGTCCGACGAGGAGTTGTGCTGGTCAGACTTGGCGCCGTCCGCCTGTATCGACATGTCCATCTCGTAATCACCATCACCCTCAGGTTCTGGCTCGTCGGATTGGGAACTCGATTCTTCGTGGTTTAGGTGTTTTTCATCATCGCCATTTACTTCGACACTTGGCGGAGATGTTTCGGCAGCGAGAGGTGCTGCTGGTTCGGAAAGATCGCTCTCGCTGTCCGCGTAGGTGGTTCCGTTCTGCATGATGGCTGCAGACCGTTCGGTAATGCTGTCAAAGGAGAGGGAGGGTTCGGAAATGGTGGGTGGAGGTTGGTGAACGAGAATGGTAGAGGCTGTTAAGCAAAGCGTCAGCGAGGTAGGCCACCAGAAGGCTCCGGGAGAAAAATGAGAGAAGAATGTGATAATTTGCAATTACGCGATTCAAACAACAGCGAAACACCGCGTAAGCAAGTCTCTCAGAACAGACAATGGTCAATATAAGATGGATTTGATGACGAGGCGAGACGACGAGATGATTCGGGATGAAGATGGCCGATGACAACCGGGCGCAGTCTCCAGCGGGAATCTGGCGAGACAAACAGAACCAGCGAACAGCAGAGTCGAATTCAGTGTCCCAAGTATCCTGTCAAAGACAGGAAACAGAACATATTCATCTCAACCCGAGCGTGCTAAGCTTGTGTTGCAAGGCCGAGCAGCCGCCGAGAAATGACACAGGACTGCAAGATGATACAGCGGAAGCCACAGGAAATAAAGGTCACTTACACTCCATCCACAGTAGGAAGAGCCCCCTAGGCGCGTGTCTAGAACAGTGGAATGTTCTGGTGTTGCTGTTGTGTGTAGAAGAGTGGTGAGAGAGGAAGGGTGGTGTAGAGAGTTGGGATGCGGAAAGATGAAAGGTACTGCAGTGGTTATGGGCTCACGAGGCTTTCTTGGGGTAAAGAGTGTGAGGGAGGGACTCATGAGGACTTGCCCTGCCGTACACCGCGACCAATTCTGGCGGCACCCTGCGCTGTGCTGCGCCGCAGTCCCTTGTGATTGGCTGGATTCGAGCGAACCGCAGCCGAATGCCAAGCTTCGATCGCACCAGGCCCTGTATCACGTGGCTGCGTCGCTATTTAAGTCCCGTACGGTGAAGTAGACGCGCCTGAAGACAATAGCGCCCAATAGGACGGCACGGCGCGGATCTGATTCAAGTTGTGCGTGATTCACCGTATTTGTATGTCACTCGCGGATTGTCCTGCGGCGGGTCGTCCAGTCATCCACCCCGCATTTGATCCAATCAAACAATGATGAATTTTGATTTTGAGTGTGGCTATTCAATCTGCCAGTTCATTCATTCATTCACTGTCTTTTCTGCTCACCGCAACCTCACTTAACAATCGCTGCTACCCGATTGTTGGGCTCGAGTCTATTGTTGCCGGTGACCCCACGCACACAAGTTTGAAGGGAGCAGTTTTGCCTATACTGCCCGACAACCGACTGTGAACAACCGTCCTCGCCCACATTCGGTAGCCTCTTCTGCGATCGCGTTCAAGTTCGATTCTCGACACAACAGGCACAATGTCGGACAAGTTAACCAGGTAAGAAGCGGAGACCATACGGTTCTCATCAACCAGGGCTGACCTGATTCAGGATTGCAATTGTCAACAGCGACAAGGTTCGTTATTTATACCGTTCTCTTGGTATTGCCGTCCGTCAAGTTATATTAACAAGACTGTTTTCGCCCTGCAGTGCAAACCGAAGGTGAGGGAATTCAAAATAATGTCCAAATGAGCGGTTGGGCTGACTGGTCCTAGAAATGTCGACAGGAATGCAAGAAGTCCTGCCCTGTGGTTCGAACCGGCAAACTCTGTATCGAAGTTACTCCCGAGTCCAAGATCGCCTATATCTCTGAGCGGCTGTGCATCGGTTGTGGTATCTGCCCGAAAAAATGCCCCTTTGGAGCAATCCATATCATCAATCTGCCAACCAATCTTGAGACTCAAGTCACCCACCGATACTCGGCAAACAGTTTCAAGTTGCACAGACTTCCTATGCCCCGACCTGGGCAGGTCCTTGGTTTGGTTGGTACCAACGGTATTGGCAAGAGCACGGCCTTGAAGATTCTCAGTGGCAAGTTGAAGCCAAACTTGGGAAGATATGACAATCCTCCGGACTGGGAGGAGATACTGAAGTACTTCCGTGGATCTGAACTGCAGAGTAGGTTGTGGACTGGGCTGTGTTTCGTGGCCGGCCGCTGACGCTGTGACAGACTACTTCACAAAGGTACTTGAGGATGACCTCAAAGCCATTGTCAAGCCACAGTATGTGGATCAACTCCCGCGCGCCATCAAAGGTCCCGTCAAGACCGTCAAGCCTCTCATCGAAGCCAAGTCTGAACTAGGCAACCTGGACCATATTATGGATGTGCTTGGTACGTTTAGGCTAAGACTGTATAGAGGAAGAAGATGCTAATCCCCTCCAGAATTGAGAAACGTTGCGGATCGAGAAATCGGCCTCCTTTCTGGTGGTGAGCTGCAGCGGTTTGCCATTGCGCTTGTCTGCGTCCAGAAGGCGGACGTTTACATGTTCGACGAACCCAGTTCGTACCTCGATGTCAAACAGCGTCTGAGTGCGGCCAAGACTATCCGCGAGCTGCTTCGCCCTGACGACTATGTTATTGTCGTGGAGCACGATCTCTCTGTTTTGGATTACCTTTCCGACTTCATTTGCGTTCTCTACGGTAAACCCGCCGTCTACGGTGTGGTCACTCTCCCTGCCTCCGTGCGAGAAGGTATCAACATTTTCCTGGATGGCAATATCCCCACGGAGAACCTGCGTTTCCGTGAGGAAAGTTTGACCTTCCGACTCACGGAAGCCGGTGAGGACTACATGGTGGATAAGGCACGTGCTTTTGAATATCCGACCATGGAGAAGACACTTGGAAACTTCCATTTGAAAATCGAAAGTGGGAGATTTACCGATTCTGAAATCATTGTCATGATGGGAGAGAACGGAACTGGCAAAACCACGTTTTGTAAGATGCTCGCCGGCATTGAGAAGCCCGATGGCCTCCAGAAGGTCCCTCCGATGAACATCTCCTTTAAGCCGCAGAAGATTACGCCAAAGTTCCAAGGCACTGTTCGGCAACTCTTCTTCAAGCGTATCAAGGCATCCTTCTTGAACCCCCAGTTCCAGACCGACGTCTACAAGCCATTGAAGATCGACGATTTCATCGACCAAGAAGTTCAGAATCTCTCCGGAGGTGAATTGCAACGAGTCGCCATCGTCCTCGCTCTGGGCCTTCCCGCCGATATCTACCTGATTGACGAGCCTTCCGCTTACCTGGACTCTGAACAGCGTATTATTGCTGCCCGCGTGATCAAGCGATTCATCATGCACAGCAAGAAGACCGCCTTCATCGTCGAGCACGATTTCATCATGGCCACGTACTTGGCTGACCGTGTCATCGTGTTTGATGGAAAGCCCTCGGTCAACGCTCGTGCCAACACTCCTGAGAGTCTCTTGACCGGGTGCAACAAGTTCCTCAAGAATCTGGACGTCACTTTCCGCCGGGACCCCAACTCGTACCGCCCGCGAATCAACAAGTACCAGTCCCAGATGGATCAGGAGCAGAAGCTTGCTGGAAACTACTTCTTCTTGGAAGAGAGTTGAAATCCCTGTTTTCACCAAGGGCATTTTTGAGCACGATTACCGTCATTTGGACGGTCACCGCAAACAGCACCACCAGGGAAACCATGACCGCCAGCACCATGAACCATTGCCACCCCCACCCAACAACGATAACTCTGTGGGATTGGACGCAACGGCTACGGGTGCAGTTGCGAAGGCAGGCCGCGGCGGCCGGGGAGTAGCTGGCGCCGAGGATGAGTGTGGGGAAGGAGACGACGACGACGACGACGAAGAGGGCAAAGCAACTAGCGGTTGGCGAATACCTGCATTTGTCATGTCCGCTAGAGCTTTGACATGTGGCCTAAGTGGTCGCTTCCCAAGTCAAAACTGAGGCATAGTCGAGTCAAAGGAACGGAGAGGTTTGAAGATGAACCTGAAGGAGCAGCATGGAAGAGTGCGCTAGGCACAGGAAACAGCAGTAGAAGAAATGAGTTTGGAATCTCATGAGCACAGGACCAACGGTCGAACACACAGGACTAACCCAGAGTCACTCGTTTAGAATCAAAGCCGGCAACCTGCCGTACTTCTCAACCGATCCTCACAAGTCATCGTACCAGTATTTGACATGTAATCGATGAAGATGTGGTGGCTGACCATGTCGTCGGCGCTTGAGCGCTCGAGAGCACTGCGCCTGACAACACCAGGCAATTGTAGGGGTGGGAGCGTAGGCCAGGGAGGTTTTTCGACTTGTCTCCCTGCCAGCCCTCTATATCCGTCCCGCAAGCGAAGGTGACATGAAGGCGATAAACAATCGACACACGCCACACCGCACAGCACCGCACCGTGTATACCTGACTTCTCAACATAGTACTATCTGGCATACAGTACCACGACGCCCTTTTGGCAAGAGCTTGTTTCCTTCACAGGAGGTGATATGTCTGCCGTGGGCATACGGATAATAAAAATCAGTCAGGTAGATACAGTACGTTTATCAGGCATCGTCAGTACAGTAACGCCAGACAAGCCACGTACTTATGGCGCAATGCCACGGTAGCCTGTACCCATGTATCTAGGTCAAATCCAAATCCAAGTTGTTCAGTCTACCCATGCAGCACACCATCATCAGCTGGTGGCGCACGTCATTCTTCAGCCTCACTCATCCTTGCGCCTACCCCCTCTCCGACATACGACTGTAGTAGTAGCATTACACCATTGCAACAACCACCGGCATACAATGTAGTACTAGTATTTATTCCTTCAACAGGATATCTACCTCCATTAAGAGTCCTCTCTCCTTCGGTCTGTCTAATTCTCTTTCTCCTTTGCCGACTTCAAGTTGTCCAAAGTCCAATCATGACCCTCCGTGCCCTCGTTCAAATCATCCTCCACACAACCGGCTTCACCTCATCCACCACTGGCAGCGGGATATTCGATGGTACCTGTAGTGATGACGACTTCTTCAACGAGCCCTCAGCCATGAGACCACCGCGGCTGACTGCTGCTGCTGCTGCTGCTGCCGCTGCCGCACAAGACTCTACAACTACTATCAAGGATAGCGGTACTAATAGTCCAAGTCGAAGTTTAGGCGGAACCAATGGCAGTATCTGGAACTTGAACCTGGATTGGAACTTGGACCACCATGGTCATGATTATTATGGTTCTTATGGTCCATCGGCTGCCTCCTATCAACCAGTGGCAGTCGACGACCACCGCGAAGATGGCGGCAGCAACGCAGCCAACGCCAACGAACAGACGCGACAGGATGTGGCGGCGATTCATCACTATTACTACTATTATGCGGCGCCCAGTGCTTAATATCGAAATCGAGAACATACCGCTCATCAAGATCTCGGACTTCGAACTGGTTGAATTGATGCCCTTAGTTTGGTACATGTACCCTGCAGGACACCTGGTTCTGGTTTGCTTGGTACCCAGGTGTGCATCCTACGACTAGGAGGCTGTCTATCTTACCCCCTGGCCCCAGTCAAGCGCGCACGGAAGAAAACCTCTTGAGGGTTTGTTCTCTCCCAGAGAACGCATCGCACATCTCAAATGCAGTGGACCGCATCGTCACCACGCAGAACGAGAGTCTGCATTGACCCTGACGGTCATGGATTGACGCTACCGGAGACTGAAACCCAGCATCTGGCTGGCATATTCGCAACTTCTTGATGAATGAAAAGAAGACTCGACGCGGCATCTGTCCCCGAGTTTTATTATCGCTGGGTAGGGGGTTGATGCACTCCTGTTGGGCCAATTTGCGCTTCTGCTCTGCCAATTTGGGAGAATCAACGCTTCTGAAGAACACATCAACCACAGCATGGCAAGATACAAGACGGCACCGCCTTTATTATTGTCCTCCATCGGCCACTTGCTGCTTGGCTTTCCACTGGTGGGCCATCTGTAACAGTTTGGACATCTTGGCCGCGCTCTCGTCGTCCGCCGGGAAGACATAGTCGATGTACTCTTCGAACCGGTCCTCCTCGATCTTTCTCCTCTTCTTGACCTTCCGAGGCATCTGTTTCTCGATCTTTTCAATATCCTCGGGCGAGCCGTGCGTCTGTTCGAATGACCGCCAGGCATTCAGCAAATCCACCCGTTCCTCTTTCATCTCTTTAGACTTGAAGAGCTCATGGGCACGCTCGAAAATCTTACGAGCCCGTCTCTTGGCGTCCTCGCTGACACGGGCTTCTTCGTCTTCACCAACTTCCGGCTCGTTGGGATCCGGCACGTTGATCTCGAACCGGGCATAATTGATCCAGACCTTGACGTGGTCGGTCTTGCCGAGAAGTCGCTCATACAACGCCCGCGCACGGTCGTATTCCTCCTCATACTCCTCAAAGTCAATATAAGCCTTCCACACCAGTTCCGGCATGTCCAAAGTGGGCTGGTCAATGGCCAGCTCATAGATGGCCCGCGCGCGGTCCAAATCGTCGAGTCCACGCTCCAGCTCTGCGAACTGGATCCACGCCTGACTGTTGGATGGATTCCATTCAAGCTGTTTCTCGTACAGCGTACGACACCGGCCAAACTCGAACAACTGCTTCTCCAGCTCGATGTAGCCCCGAAACAGTTTGTCCTTGGGGCACATGCCAATGGCCTGGCCCAGCGTCTTCCTTGCCGCCTGCAGCTGCATCTGCCGGATCTCAAATTGCGCCTTTAAAAGCCAGATCTTGGCGAACGTCCATTTCTTATGCGGGATCAGCTTCAGACACTCTTGGTACACTTGGCGGGCCCTCTCAATGTCCTTGTCGGACAGCTCTTCCCATATAGCATAGAAAATCCAAAGATAGATATACCTCCGCCAGTGGCGCTTTTCCTGCGAAGGCGGGATTTGGGCGATGGCTCTCTCGTAGACGTCTCTGACACGCTCGACGTCGCCTCCAGTTTCCTCCAACCTGGCGAAATCGAGCCAAGCATCATAATTGCGCGGATTGGCCTTGACCTGCTCCTCATATTGGACTCTCCGTTTCCCCAAGATGACATCTTCGACGCCCTCACGATTGCCAAACTGTTTTTCAAACTGCGTGTAGGCCTTATGCAACAGGGCCGCACGCGAGCGCGGCAATCTGTCCAAAGCATACTTGTAGATGGCCCTTGCCCTCTCGTACTCCTTGAGCTTCGCCTCGTAGCGAGCGTAGGAAATAAACAATTTCTCATCCATAAAGTCGTCGCCGAGGGTCTCAATGGCAACACCATAGACATCACGGACAAGCTGACTTGTCCCGTTTTCCTCCTCGAACTTTGCCCAGCGGATCCAGTTCCGGGGCTCCGGGTGGACGATAGTGAAGCGCTCGAAGATGGCGCGGGCACGATCGTATTCGCCATACCGTTTCTCCAGCTTGATGTACGCCAGCCACGCGGCCTCGTCGGGCTCCCAGCTCATCCAGCGCTCAAACACCTGCCGGGTTCCGGGAATGTTGCCCAGCGTCTCCTCCATGTACACATATTTGTACCACAGCTTGTCGACGCGGGGCAAGATCGTCACGGCCCGGTCCAGCAGGTTGCGCGCATGGTTGATGTTCCTCGTCTTCATCTCCGCCTCGATGTATCGGATCCAGAGCGCCACATGTGTGCTGTCTACGTCCAATGCTCGTTCAAAGATCGACCGCGCCCGTCGGTATTCCTTCTGCTCCAGCTCCCACTGCGCGTACCGCATCCAGTTGTTCATGTTGATCCGGTTGCGCCGCACATAGTCTTCAAATTCCTTGCGCTTCCGCCCCTGGAACTCGTGCAGTTCTTCCAGGTCCGCAAACCGCTGCGTCGGCGCCTGCACCCCGGGCTCTTGTCGGTCGACGGCCTCCCGCAGCAATTGCTCTGCCGATATCTGCACTGGCGCAGGCGCCTTGTTCTTGACCCGCGGAGGGCCTCTTGACGAATCCATCTTTGCAAATACCTAATCGTGACCACACGGAAACTGAAGATCGGTGCAGACGGGACGAAAAATCCGAACCGTGCTATGACAAAGACGACTCGGTTGCTCGCGGTGCTTCAAAAAAAGAGACTATTGAATTTCGCCCCGCGGCCAAGGGCAGACGCAGGTTCGTACCCGTCCGCAATAGCTTGTCGCCGACTTCTATCACTGCTGGAAGTCGAAGCAGGTTAACTGCTGAGTCCAACTTGAACTCCGCCGGGAGATGTTGTTACTTCTAGTCGTAGCACGCAGGCTGCGTAGAGAAGTTGAAAGGCCGAATAAGTTTAGTAAATGATACGCTAGTAGTAGTGGGGCACTTTAAGAGTTAACTAGTCTTATTATGGTATAGAGACACCGGAATCCGTTAACCTCTATTGTACTGTCACAACTATTCCATGCTATACAATGGCACCAGCTTCATGTGCTTTTGGATGAGTGTCAAATCTCGAGTTCCAATCGCTGTGGCGAGGGATGACCACTGGCATCACCCGGTGTCTTCATTTCCGCCTTGCTATCTACTGCAACAAGAACGGAATGGTCGCGTGCCTAATCTTCGCCCATCATACGCCCGATGTGATCAACACCTATTTCAATACAGGGCAAACGAGAAAGAAACATATTCAGGTGTAGATTCAAAGACATCTCTTTTACTTTTCTGTTCCAACATACACTGACTCTGCTCCTCGCCCTGCACTCAGTGGCTTCGAGATAGTCTCTCCCGACCTCGTTCTTACGCTATGCAGATTACAATCAAAAAGATTCCACCAGATTAGTTTCGGCGTGTTGGTTCAAGCTGATCTCAATCTCGGGATCTGGCTTTTAGTTGATGAAAACGGGGTTGACCGAGCCGAAAGATCACTGAAACAGATCACTCGTCTCTGACTTGATAATGTCTGCGACGTTGTCAGATAATTCGGCAGGCTGCTCTGTGAGGACCTGCTTCAGCTGGCTCTTGAACTCTGGCAGCCTCTCGTGCTTGGCGTCCAAAGCGTTGAGAGCGAGGAGACATTTGGTGGCGAGCAAATATTTCTTGCGGCGCATGTACACCTCAAAGCCGACAGACTGAGCGGCAACTGACTGAGGAGACAGTTCAAGTAATGGAGTCAGGAACTTCATGGCGTCCTTGAGCGGCTCTTTCGTCTCCACCAAAGTCTTGCCGAAGGGGTCAGGATCTTCCTTCTTGTTGTCGGGATCTTCGCTTTTCGGCGTAGGTTTGGCAGCCTTGAGGGCAGCCTTCTTCTCCGCTTCGGCCTTTTCCATCTTTTCTTGTTCCCTCTTGGCCTTCTTAAGCGCCTTTTTCCGATCCGCCGCACTCATCTCGCCGGGTTTACTGGTCCCATTGCCGTTATCCATGATCGGGCCGTGTACGAGGTCAGGATTGTCGGCCAGCAGAATGTAAGCTTGGACCGCTGAGAGGGCCATGTTATGGTAAAACGGATGTTCACGTAGTCGGTCCTCCCATCGCAACATGTCAATGTAGGCACGAATCATGCCTTTCCGCAGTGAAAAATTGTGGAAATCAAACTGATCCTCCTGCCAAAGGTCGAAGATGGCAGAGACCTGGTGGAACCGTTTCAATGCCAGTCCCAGTTTCCGTTGGCGGAGGTATGATTGTCCGTCTTCCGTGAGGTACCACACGCATTGCATATCGATCAAATCGCTTAGGGGGCCGCCAGTCTTGTTTTGGGTGAACTTGCCTGCGGTCTCCAAAGCCTTGTCGTTTTGATCGGCTCGCAACTGATATTTGGCGCACTTTGTGTTGATAGCCCGATCCTTCTCGTCTAATGAGCGGGCCTGGTCCATGAGCTCGGCGGCCTTGACCAAGTCACCCTTGTGCTTGTAAGTCCGTGCCTTGACCGCATGAAAGTCTACCGATTTGGGCTCGAGCTCTATGCATTTGTCGGCATATTCCAAGGCCTTTTCGAGGTTCCGACTGAGCTTGTAGTTGTAATGCTGTGCAAGGAAGTAAAGGGCCGAGGATTTGAAGCGCGAGTCCTCTTTGCTCTCGCCATTCTCCGAGGCTCCATTCGTTTGGGAACCTAACTTGCCGGCCGCATACCCCTCGGCCAATTCTTGGACGATGTCACGCTTCGACTCGTCCATGTACAAGTGCTTAATGTTGGCGAACGTCGAAGGTATGCCTTTTCGCAGCATTCTCTGTAAATAGGCGTCTGCAGCTTGTCTGAAATCATCCCCCGTGAGAACATCTAGAATTCGCCGTCTTGGCAGATCTGCCTTGGGAAATTTGTCTGCTAGCTCCTGATACGTCTTGTGGAGTTCCGAAACCGGGCCGTCTTTCAGTCCCTTGGCCTCGACGTAACCATCATAGTAAGCTGAATCGTCCGGGTTGCGCTCCAAAAGAGCTGCGTAAGCAGCCTCAGCCTCTTGTTTCCGACCGAGACGAGCGAGATAGTCCGCACGCATCTCCATGACGGCCTGAACATCCGGGCTTTTCTTCCCCACCGCCTCCAGGTGATCTAACGCTTTCTGAATGTTGCCCGACTCTGCGATGATGGAGTTCTTGTAGAGAACGGCTTCCCAATGTTCGAGATCAGATCTGCTGGGCTTCGTCTTCAAGGTATCCTCGTAAGTGGAGAGCACGGTCTCGGCGTCCTCGTAATTTCCCGCCAGATGGTGCGCAATAGCGAGGGCGGTCCAGTTTTGCCTGACGCTGGGCCTTTGCGTCAACATACTCCTCCGACTTTGGACGTAACCTTCGTAGTCTCGCATCTGGATTTGAAGATGAGCCAAATCTCGTTGTATAGGCGCCGAATCGGGCTCTAGTCTCAGCGCAAACTTGTAGGCCTTGATGGCTTCTTCATAGTTCTTCTCACTACGATAGAGTAATCCGTAGACGTGCCAGCAGACATGTGACTTCATGTTGTTGTTCAGGGCGACCTTGGCCAGAGCGAAAGCTTCCTCAGTCTGACCTTGCGACCCGATTATCAGGGCTTTCATTGCGATGGTGTCGGCATGGTTGGGATTCTTTCGCAGGATTTGTTCCGCAGCTTTGAGGCCTACGGGAGGATGATGAGCCTCGCTCCGAGAAAGACACAAGGGTCTCACCTTTTTTATATTGCTTGTTCTCAAAATGCCGAACCACCTGTCTGAACAGAGCGGCATCTTTATGGCTCAGTTGTTGTTGCGCCTGAGCCATATTGGGCGGGAAGATTAGGTCTCGGTAATACGTTCAATTATCTGAGAGTCGGTCGATGCGGGTCGGGATGAAACAACAACGCCAGAAGAGTGCAAGCTTAGAACATGTCAACTGAAGCCAACAACAGGACATATAAGAAAAGTGCTGGAATGGCGCTGCGTAGGGAAGTGAAGAGCCGGTGGTGCAGAATCAAGCCGGCTTCGAAGACGGTTGTCCGCAGTTTGCGGCCAGCCTCGTCAGGCTTGGCAGCATCGTTTCCGCCGGGGCAAGTCAGCCTCGTTCTCGCTGCCTCACGCAGCAGGCATTTATTTGGGCGAGGTATCTACAATGGACCACACAATGTAATGATATCAGGTTCAACGCCTCAAGCTATCTAATGTCCGTGATGGTATCATGTAATCCATGCTCCCTACTCCGTCAACAGGCGTACCCCTTAACACTGCCTTCAATTCTGACCCGACTCGGAGATGATTTGTTTCAAAGCGTCAGCGCTTTGTACCAAGAGATCCCTCTCTTCCTGAGCCAGGGGCATGTTGAGAGATCGCACAATTCCACGACGTCCCAGCACCACTGGCAGGCTCAAGCAGCAGCCCAGCTCGTCAACCCAATGGGAGATAGGACGGACATTCCGCTGATCAAACAGAATGGATTTGCAAATGCTCGCACTAAGAGCGGCAATGCCGTAGGCCGTGGCGCCTTTGGCTTCGATGATTTTGGCGGCCTTGTCCTTGGTCTCTCGAGCTATAGCCTTGCGGTCCAAGGTGACGTTAGGGGGCAGACACTGATCCAAGGGCACAGCACCAATGGTTACACAAGACCATGCAACCTGAGTTTGCACGTTAATATACACTTCCGCCATCAAGAAGAGAGCAAGTTCCCTACCATCTGTGTTTCACCGTGCTCTCCTAGTACATAGGCGTCGATACTGCTAGCATCAACTCCTATCTTCTCGGACAGGATTCCCCTCAGCCTCGCGCTGTCAAGGAAGGTCCCACTTCCAATAACTTGGGACTTTGGAAGTCCGGAGTATTTCTGGGCGAAATATGTCAACACATCGCAAGGGTTTGCAACGATCAGAATGACAGTATCCTCGCGGAACGGCTTCATGTCATTCGTCGCCGACTGCAGAATGGCAAGGTTTCGACCCAGGAGATCAGTACGTGATTCGCCTGATGAAGCGATCGTCAGACCAGGGTCAAATACAAAAGTCCAGCATAAAACTGACCATGTCTTTGCTTAGCACCGGCACTGATTACAACAATGTCGCACTGCCCGGCTTCTTTGTGTGTTCCGCCCCGAATCCTGACACCGCCACCCCTACGGATCGGTGAGTGTTTGCCTAGCAGAATAAATGGTGATTAACTGACCCAACAGCGCCATGGTATGTCGTGGCATCTCCTAGATCTTTGACCTGAGCATCCCGCAATGCTGTGTTAGGATCAACAAGCACAACCTCACTGGCCACAGGGTTGAGGATAAGACACAGGGCAATGGCAGAGCCAACAGAGCCAGCTCCAAGTACCGCGATGCGAGATTTAGCGGTAGTAATCTCTGGGTCCATAGCCGGGGGATCCATGATGGTGCTTTGGGCGTATCCTCCACGAGGCTGAGTGATCTTAAGGGACAAGAACGATGACGTTAGAGGCCAATTCAAGAGAGGACGCTCAGTACCAGGAGTGAGTACCTAGGTAGACCGCGTAAAGTACAAATAGCCCGCTCTGAGTGGGAATATACTAGGTAGTCAATGCGTCAGAAGAAAAAGTTGTAGTACTACGGGTCCAAGTTTTACAGGTGTTGAGGTGTTTGGTCCTCAATTGACGGGCACTGCTGGATAGCAGAGCGGGAATATCTGGGGCAGGCGCAGTGCAGGGGGAGTAACTAGCAAAGTATCACGGAGCTTCCTTCACCCGCAGATACAGTGAGATTAGTGCGCAGCTGGTGATATAGCATATCTAGCTGTTTTAGTGCGCATACTATGTACCAGCATGTTGGAATATATGGTGCTGATAGGCCGATATATCCACTCACAAGTAGTGCTAGTACTTAGGCCCTACCTGTAGTAACAAATGTTTAACTTTATCCTTAACCGTTGTTGTAAGTCTTGAAAGAATATGAAAAGACAGGCTGTCCCGATTTGGACTAGTGGTATTGAGGGATTTAAGGTGGCATCTACTGTATAATTAGACTTATTATCCTTTAAGCAACTTATAATTATAATAGGTTATAAGCCCGGGTTTCGCGCTCTAGTGCTCCTCTGCCTAGTAATAAATACTAGTAAGTATTACTCTCTATTTAAAGCTCTAGAGTACCGCTATCGAGCGTTACTATTCTTACTCGAATCGATTTCGATTCGGTTAAGATATTAAGCTCGAAAGTTACCTAATAAATAGCTTAGTGTATTAATCTCGTATCTACGGGCTCTTAGTAGTACGTATAAATATTAGTTGTCCGGAAAGTAGAATTTCTTTTATCCGGACTCGGGTATACCTTTATTAAAGAGAGCCCGTTATTCATCGGGTATACCTTTATTAAAGAGAGCTCGTTATCTCTCGAGTATACCTTTATTAAAGAGAACCCGATATCTATTAGGGTATCTCTAACCGAGATATAACCCGTAACTATCTCTACTACTTAGGTTATCTACTATAAGTTAATTACTAAGTATAGAGCTAACTAATCCCGTATAGTTCTTCTAGAAACGTTATAAGAGTAATAAGAAGGCCTCTAATCGAGGTAGAGAGACTACGGATAACGTTACGTATCTAATAAAGCTAACGTTATTATTTAAGCCTAAGTTACGACCGTCTAAATTAACTAGTAAAGAATCGGGAGCCTTCTCTACTATAATTACCTTATTATTATTAAAAGGTAAGTAACCTAAATAGACCTAATTAAATCTATTAAGCTTAACGCATAAACCTCGCGATCCTAAGTCTTAAAGTTAAGATAATATCTATACTCGTCCTTAATAACTTCTATCTTCTACTATATCTAAAATTATTTAATAAGTAAATATCGATACCCTTATTAGTATAAATAAGATCTTTTAGCGATACTCTCTAAATATCTATATAACTAGGTCTAGCTCTAAAGATATAGCGTCTAAGTATAATAATTCCCTTACTAAGTTAATAGTAGCTGCCCTAGTATACCTTAAGGGCTCTAAGAACTATAAGAAATAGGCCTTTTAGATATAAAGCTATTTCTCTACTACTAATCTCTTTAAACTTATAGAAGGTATTGATAAACGATCTACTATTACTAATCGTTAGATTCTACTTTGGGAATAACATAATAGCGAAGTCGTGAACATAATCTAAACTACTATCGACCTTAATACTAATCCGTATACTACGTTTACTAAGTATAAAGAAGAGGGTATAGCCGTAATCTAGGCCGTATTTAAATAATAATATAGTAAGATCTTATATATCGAATAGTTTATACTATTAAGAGAATAGGATATACTTCGAGGTATATAATTTAAATCCGTTAAGGCGTTAGTAGGTAGACTACGAGTGCTAAATACTTAAATATTAAGTCTAATCCCCTCGACGAGGAAAAGCAATACTATAATAAATATAAAGCTTATTACGCTTTATAATAAGTTAGGCTTTAAGGGCTATATAGCCCGAATAATAGAATAGGCTAGCGACCTATTTAGTAATAAGAATACTATTACGTTTAACGAACTCGTTAAACGCTATAAATCTTATAAAGAGTAGGAGAAGTCTCGAGCTAATAACTTATACTCGGTACTCCTAACTCGGTTAAAATCTATACCTAGAACGCTTACTAAAGGGTAGGACTAATATAAAGAGGTCCTTAACTAGATTACTATACTAGTTAAGAACTAATTAAAGAAGAAATAAAGCGCCCCTCGTAAGATCTATCTAAAGTGTTCTTTCTATTAAAGAAACTATATAGGGGGAGAAGCTGAATATTTCGATAAATATCCTAAAAAGGCTCCTCGAAACTAGGTTATAAAGGACTAGGGCTTATCTATAGGTAAAAGGAAGGCCGAAGAGAGCATTCCGGAGTCTTTAAAAAGAATCCGTAGTATTCTATCTATTAACCGTAAGCATAACTGCCTATCGTCTCTTATTATTAAGCACCCGCTAACTATAGCCTAGAGGATTTTAACTAAATCTAGCTATAGCTTAGTTACCTAATAAGAGAATATCTATTATAATACTATCTCTATATACTCTATATTAAACCTGCTCTCTAATTATTTAGTTATACCTTCCTATCCTACCCGTACTAAGGTAGGATAATCTAATATTACTAATCGTTATATATTCTATTCTAAAAGCCTATTAGTACTATTTAAACTCTATAACTAGATTCTCGATACTAGATATATCTATTATATAACTTTCGATAGGGATATATTTATTAATTATTAACCTAATTATAGCCCTACTCGATATATGCTTTTAGTAAATAGAGGTAAGATACCTATCTATAGGGAGGGGTCTATTATTATCGACCTAAACGTTAGCGGTATTACTATAACTTAATCTTTTCTAGAAGTATAGTATATACCGGATCTCTAAGTAAACTTAGTTTTAATCTCTACTCTTCGTAAACTTAACTATCATCGGCAAAACTGCCACTAGCCCACAGCCAAAGCTAATGCTATAAGAGCCCAGGGAGCCCACGGCGGCTTATAATATAACTTATTAGCCGTAAGTCGCTATACAGTTACTATACAGTTACTATAGAGCGCCTTATAGTTTAGTATATTAGCCGTGGGCTAGTAGTTTAGCTACTCTATTTATTACGTAATATAACGTGATTTTATTACTATAAAATTTTATAAAATTTTTACTTTTTGCCAAGACGCTAAAAGCGGGTATTTCGGGTATATTATAGCGCGCTAACTATCTACGCTAGCTTACTAATAATTTAATATTAGCTAATAAACCTAAGATTTTCGATATAGACGTACTCTAATACCCTATTATACGCTAGCTATAGCCTAGTACTAGTAGTAGTTTAAATCGTACTTATAATTATAAATTAAAGAAGTTACGATAATTACGTAATATAGCGAAGAGCCCATAGCATATAGGCTACGCTAGTAGGGCCCACAGCCTACCTAGGATGCTGTGGGGACCCATGGGCTCAATTTGTGGCAGTTTAGCCCAGGAGGCCCTGGGCTAGCCTGGGCTTCCTGGGCAGGGCTGGCAGTTTTGCCGATGTATATCTTCTAAATTAACGCCAAAGGTAGGGCCTTTATTTAAAGAGTATATAGTATAACGGGTGCTCTATAAGTCCGAATAACCGGGACTAAATAAAATAGTCTCTATCGACTTAATATCTTCACCCTAAGAACGCTGAACGCTTATACTTTCTATATAATAGTAGAGCCTACTTAAAGTATTATCGAGGTCTCCCATAAGGTAACAGCTACTCTTTAGTATCGACGCCTAGAATATATTAGGTATTAAAGACTATTTAGTTTGGCGTAAATAGTAGATAGATATATAATTATAGATAAAATAGAAGTTCCTTACTACGTATATACCGTAGATAAAGCGAAATATTAAACCTTATAACGATAGTCTGATCGTTCGACTAAGCTACTTGAACTTATTTACGTTAATCTGAAGTTCTTGCCTAGGGTAGAACTAGGTGCTCGAAACGAAATATACTACTTACTGATTATTAATAATTATACTCGCTACTAGTGGGTATACTATCTATAATTTAAAAGTTAAGTAAGTGGCGTAATCGAACGATAGCGATATCTAGCCGAGAAATAGTACGAGTATCTTCTTAAACGAATCTACTTAGATTATAGTATCGAATTCTTTAATATCTAAGGCCTTTATAAGGTTAATGGTATTACGGTAACTATAACTATAGACTATACTTCTCGATAGAATAGAGTTAATAAAAGGGGAGGGTTAGTAATTATAGATGGTCTTCGTCCTATAATAGAGATAGCGAGGCTATCTTAGAAACTATAGCCAGAAGTGATATATACCCGCGTCTACCTAAGAAACCTGATACCGACGAGGGCCCTTAAGAATATAATATTCTATAAAGTATAGCTTGGAAGAAAACCTAACTTATCTTACCTAAGAGTACTTAGCTATTCTAGGTATTACGTTATTCCTAAATAAGAATAGACTAAGATTAATAATAGGGTAATAGACTATATCCTTATTGGCTTCGAAGAATATAATCTCTATCGTATCTAGGATATAAATAAATAGAAGATCGTTCGGATAGTAGAAGTATTATTTTACGAAATAAGGTTTACGAGGCTTAGAAAATTATCTCGAGATATTATTCTCGATATCGATATAAATAATAGAGTACTATTAGAGAAACTAATCGAAGCCTATAACTAGAAACCGTAATAATCTTAGAGGGAGTCTACTTCTAAAGATAGAGATAATAAGTAGGAGGAAATATAAGAAATACCCCTTAAACTAAGGGAAGAGCTATTACCTCTATTAAAGGAAGAACTAGTATAGATTATTATAGAAGCTACTAGCGAACTAAAGGATCGGATAGACTTCTAGATAAAGAAATAAGAAGAGTAATTCTAGATATACTAACGTTAAATCTATATAGAGATCTAAGAAATTAAAATATAATAAACCCTATTCTCGAGTATAAATATCTCTTAATATCGAATCGTTACCTTAATAGTAGCTACTAGCCTCGAAGAGGCTATATCCCTTAAAGACGTTTTAGACCTCTTAAAATCTACTATATTTTGGTAAGCCGTGAATAGGTTATAAGAACCTAAATAGAAGGGTATAACTAATGATAAAATTAATTTATATAAGTAGAATAGTATCTAGATAATAGTGCCTCGACCTTCTAGAAAGATAATCCTAATAGGCAAGTAGGTTTTTAAAGTAAAACGAGATATTCGAGGAAATATAACCCGGTATAAGGCTCGTTAGATCGTTCGAGGTTTCGAATAACGCTACGGTATCGACTATAACGAGACCTTTATATCGGTTATAAAGTCTATAAGTTATCGAGTACTATTTATACTAGTATACTACTTTAACTAGTATATCTTCTAAATAAATATAAAGATAGCCTTCCTCTATAGGAACGTCGACGAAGAAATCTATATTAAACTTCTAACGGGCTATAGTGTGCTAGGAATAGTTTATCGACTAAATCGAGTACTTTATAGACTAAAGTAAGCCCTAAGGGTCTAGTTTAAACGCCTAGAAGTATTCCTTACTAAGGAAGGTTATAAAAAGGTTCTAGATAATTATAGTATCTTTATTAGTTATAGAACTATTATTTTTACTTATATCGACGATATTATTATTATAGAACTAGACTTAGAAGAGTATAATCGAATTAAGGCTTATTTTAAATAGGAATTTCAAATATCTAACCTTAGAGAGTACTAAAGCTACTTAGGTATTAAAGTACTTCGAGACCGATAGACTAGTATACTTTAACTTTATTAGAAAGTATACGTTAATAAGATTATACTTAACTAGTTCGGATTATCTACTATCCGACTAAAAGATAAACTAATAGAACCTAGACTATAACTCTTTCCTTTTAAAAAAGACTATACTAATTATAGCGATCTAGTAGATAAGGACTTTACCTATAAATAGGATCGAATTGCTTAGCCTCTTATCTCTAAAAAGCGAGTTCGATATTAGTCCGGTATAGAGTCTCTTATATATACGATAATATTAACGAGACTAGATATCGCCTTCGCCGTCTTATAGATAAGTCGGTTCTACGGCGCCCTAATAAAGGTATACGAAGTAGCTATAGATAGAATCTTTCGATATCTCTAGCGAACTAAGAATTTAACCCTTATCTATTATACTTAGGAGTCTAGCGAATTAATCGGGTTCTTAGATATAAACTAGGTAAGAGATTACTATAATCGGAAGTCTATTTCCGAATATATTTTTAAACTTAGTAGAGTAGCTATTAGTTAGTAATTAAAACGATAAAATATCGTTACCCTCTCGTCTACTAAAGTAGAATATATTAGGTAGGTAAATATAGTGCGAGAGGCGCTCTAGCTAGGACGATTAGTTAAGAATTTTAACTATAACGAACCTAGCGATATTATAATAAAGGTAGATAACTATAGGGCTCTAGTATTAGTTCGTAACCCTATATTTTATAGTAGAATAAAGTATATTACTATACTAGTATATATATAACGAGATAAAGTTAAGAAAGGTATAGTTAAGTTCGACTAGGTAGGATTAGAGGAAAATATAGCCGATAGCCTAACTAAACCTCTCCCTACCGCTTTATTCTAACGCTTTCGGGATAGCCTAGGACTTTAACCTATAAATAACTAACTAAGGGAACGAGGGACGTCTAAATAAATAAGAGATACTTAACGACTAATAATTAACGATAAATAATATCCTAATTATAGAATAGAAAGAAGAAAGTCGTATTTACGTTACAAAAGAGGGGTAATACGAAGTGCTAAATTAGACGCCTAAGTGGGAGTGTTATAAGTCTTAAAAGAATATAAAAAGATAGGCTGTCCCGATTTAGACTAGTGGTATTGAGGGATTTAAGGTGGCATCTACTGTGTAATTAGACTTGTCATCCTTCAAGCAACTCATAATCACAACAACCGTGCACGCTGACGGAGTGCACGGTTAATTGAAGTTCTAAGTCTATATAAATACTCCATGTCGCAACTACCTACTAGGTACTTCAAGTTGTGGTAGCACCATCTTCCCATCTTCACAGGAGGACTCAGACTCAACTTGAATGTCTCCTTCTCCTTCAGTCTCCAGCCAAACGACCATCTTGCCGCTGCCCGGCACTGGAACACTGAAAAGAAATACCTACTTGCCGATGAGATGCTGTACTAGCACTCCGCTGCAGGCTACTCTCCGCTACTAGTATCTCCGCAATCCTTTCATGTCCACCTACCTATTATTACGTAGGCATTTTTTACTATGGTGGACACATGTTCCGTCCTATCATTCTAGCAACATCCGCTGTTAACTGACGTTTGTGGCTGAGACGAGACTCTCGACAGCGATACGCATCGCTAGTCTTATCAGTAGGGACAATACTGTGCTCCTCCTATTCTCTCTTCAAGCCAGCGTTGCTTCGTGCTGTCTTCTTTTGCCGCAGTCAAGGGCGATATGATCCTCGTTACCGCTGAATGCCGCTGACAATATAGTTTTGTTCTATACCTCCTCGTGCACGAAGCACGTATGGCTGATGATGTCGAGCGGCTTACTGGAATCCTTCTTGGGCGCACTGCAAGCAACCTTGTCCATAGTCCTGGTCATCTTTTACGGCGTTCTAGCGACTCAGTTCCAGCTTCTAGACGCGCCTTCTTCCAAAAAGATATCTGCAGTCTGCATCAAGCTTTTTTTGCCGGCCCTCCTCATCACGAAGGTCGGGAGTGAGCTCCACGCTGACACGGCAACCCGGTATATCCCTGTTTTAAGTACGTCCTCCGAGTGATGTCCTGGTGGTTTTGATCCGGTCGCTCATTTTGCAAGTTTGGGCCATCTCCTACGCGCTGTTCTCAATCGCCATAGGTCTTTTGGCCGTCAGGTTCTTTAAACTTCCTTCTTATATTACCCCAGCAATCGCGTTCAATAATACTACCAGCCTGCCACTTCTCCTTGTTGAGTCTCTGGAGTCTACTGGCATACTTAACCGCCTTCTGCGAAACGGCGAGAACATCGAAGAGGCTGTTAACCGAGCACAAGCCTACTTCTTGGTGTGTGCTATAGTGGGTAATTGCTTAACCTTTGCCGTTGGCCCACGCCTTATCGATGGGGAATTTGCTCCGGATACGGACGATGAATCGTACAAGGAGGATGAGGTCCCGGTCCACGGGGAGGAGGGAGTCACCACTGAAGAACACCGCCGAGGAGAAGGTGGCCATGTGGAGCGAGGCCGGCAAGGCTCGGACGACATAACTCCCTTGTTACCCGGTCGGATTCGTACGTTTGGAGACGAAATTGAGGCAAGTGTGTTCCATATTGGAAGGGCGCACTGGATCAAGCTGTCTCCTCGTACGCGCTATTTCCTCACATTTATGTCCGACTTTATCAATGCACCCCTCATAGGAGCCATCGTGGGAGCGGTGATTGGCCTGACCCCAGCCTTGCACAGGGCCTTCTTTAACAACACAGAGGATGGAGGCTTCTTCAAAGCATGGCTTACGACCTCTTTGAAGAACATTGGAGAGCTATTTGTCAGCTTGCAGGTTGTGGTGGTCGGAGTGTCCTTGTCATCCTCGCTGCGTAAGATGAAAAGAGGCGAGGACAGAGGCTTGCCGTGGATGCCGACCGCTTTCATTTTGTTGACTAGATTTGTGCTGTGGCCGGTCCTTTCCATCGCCATCATCTGGACTCTCGCTACAAAGGCCAAAGTGCTGCCTAAAGACCCCATGCTTTACTTTGCCATGATGCTAATGCCAACCGGACCACCGGCCATGAAGTTGGTAGCCATGGGAAAACTCAATGGCGTCCGCGAGGAGGACGAAATGATTTTGTCGAAACTCCTGACAGTATGTACAAACATTTTGAAGCAACCTACCTTACAACTCCTGGAACTGACCTTGAATAGTTGTCCTATGCAGTGTCGCCCATCCTGGCATTGACAGTGGTCGGAAGTCTTTATGCTAGCGAAGCAGCAATGGCACCCTGAAGACCGGTCAAGAGTCCACAGTCGGGCGACTGAGCCCTCCTTTGCATCATCACAAGTAGATGCCATATATACCCACATCTGAAGGAAACAAGAGATGACTCTGGAATCAAGAACAGTATATAGGTCACATGACTCGGGGGTGGACAGCAGTGATCTAGCAAGGCTGGCCTGGTAAGGAGTGCTCCGCCTAACAGCGGACATGCCGCCACACGCCAGCTTCTGATCGTCGGCGAAGGGAGCATCTAGACTCGCTTTGAGGTCCAGCAGCAAATCTACAGCCACGATAGAGCCTGGTCGCTGACGTCGACGAGCACATCCAAGATGACCAAGCAGGAGGTCTTCCAACATCTATCATTATTGTGCGGAAGGTTTCGATTCAGCGGCCCATTTTTGCAGGAAATTAGAAGCCCCATCTGCCCGATCCGCAAGCGTCAACAACATAAAACAAGGAAATCGGGTGTGCGTTATTGTTACAATGGCATTATGCAAAAGCAAAAGGGGTTATTCAAGAACATTGTTAACATCGCTGAACTGAAACTCGAATATGGCCGTCAGAAGCGCCTGGGTTTTAGGCCCTAGGTGAAGTCTTGGGTAGAGAGGTACGCCTGCAGAAGCGAGTGGCACGATGCCAAAACGATCGTTCGGGGCGAGGCCATGGCGAGGCTAACGACGGAAGTCGGAAATTGACAGCAAATTGACAGCAGCCAGGTGCAGTGGTAGCTCGCCATGCTGCGGCAACTGTGAACGAGTGAGCTGAAAAGGTCGACAGACTTCTGACAGAGGAGATCAGGGGCAATCTTTTGGTGTTGGAGTTGCAGAATGCCTGCCGTAAGGAAGATCTTGAAGAGAAGCAGTGCTTGAGGAGAAGTCGACGATGCCTGGGCGGTTACTATACTACAAGAGCGTCTACCACCATCGGTCTCGGTGTTTAACCATAAGGTCAGCATGTCGCTCATACTACGAGTGCGAGTACGCGGCACCCTACAGTAGGACCAGTAGTTGTAGTAATAATAGTGGAATTGTGGATTCTTGGGTCCTTTGCTTCAGACTTCAAATCGAAGTTCAGGTTCTTCATGATGAAGATTCGACCAGGGGCCCAGCCAGGGACACGCCGAGTAGGATTGGCGCGGGCGGGGATAGGCTTAAATTGTGGCTTGTTTAGGTACTTTAGGCGGTGACTCCTGGCCGCCTCGGGCTCCTACTGGGCAGCATTTGGCCTCCCGGACCCAAGCCAGGCACACTTGAGGCACTCCCTAAGGCTTGTTCCTCAACCCGGGGACTGCACATTGACTGGCATGTCTTCGGCTCCGTGCTCCGTTCTCCATCCGCTCTGCCTCGACCCCCGTGGCATGGCAGTGATTGTTGTCTTGTCTCTCCTTTGTGTGATGCTTGTTTTCGGTCCTCCTCTACCAGCTCGGATTCCGCACTGACTCTACACTCGAGCCATTGCAGCTTTTGTGTTTCTTTCTTTGTCACTCTTTTACGGTTGAATCCAGTCACTCTTTTGAAACCTCACTCCAGTCGTTCGTTAACACCAGCAGCACGTTCTGTTGTGGACCGGTTCCACGTCCTTCATTCCTCCAAGCAGTCTGGACCGAACGCTCACGTCCCGTTGACCATTGACCACCGATCCAACGAACCTCTGCAGTAATACACGAGCGAATCCAGGACATCGATTACCATGGCCACATCTTGACGAGCTCGGTGCATATATCATAATTCGTACCCTCCGCATACATCTTGGGGCATCGTCGCCAATTAACATAATGTCCTCAATCGTTCTACCGGAGGATGAGCCGCAGTTCCAGCCGCGGAACCCCTTTGCTCGACCAGGGCCTATACCCGACATCAGGCTTCAAGCCTTGTATGAGGAACGAGCTCCGTCTCTGGTTGCACGAGACGATTCGTCATCCACATCAGACAGCACATCAGCCACTGTGTCTTGTGGGAAACATGACAACTCGGGCGCCTGCGAGAAGTATTATAATGCGGATGGGTCGAACAACACCTTGCCTATCGTGCTAGGGGTTGTTATCCCGTTGGGAATTGCGTTTGTTGTTTTGATATTCCTACACCGTCGCCATGTAAGGAAACTGAGAAGAGAGGATGCCGAAGATAAAGATAAAGCCCTCGATTTTGGGCTGGACGGAGCACAGCAAGGGATGGGCAAAAAGAAGCGCCGCAAGGGACCGGAAATGTCAATGGCTGCTGTGAACAAGGAGATTGGGCGTCAAGAACGAGGACTGTCTGTCGACTACAGTATGCATAACCCGTACCTGTTACCTCCGGAAGTCCACCGGTCTCGGGAGTCGTTACATTCGTTGTCTCGTTCCCTCAACACTGGCGATGACAAATACCGTGCGACTACCTTCATTCCTGACGATGGATCGATACGTCCGCCATCCAGCCTGAGGAGCCCCGTTGACGACTCGTCCAGTTATGCTGGATCGTCTACCCATCGATTCCCTCTCGACTCGAGGCAGAATCTCTTAAGCAATGCACAGGACAATTCAGTGGCATCAGTGGCACCGCCTTCGCGGGCGATGTCGAGGAACTCCGTATACAATGCTCCCAACGATTCTTTGTCAAATGGTACTAGAAATATGCCGCAGTCTGGCAACAACAATCTTCTCGCACCCGCCGCAACCGATCCCAGCCGTGACTCATATGTCAGCACCGCCAGCAGCAATGGCGCGATGAAGGCTTTGAGAGCAAGCAACAACTATCTGGCACAGTACATCAGTGGAGGCAAACGTCCTGAACCGATCGAGAAGGAGTCTACTGCCGCGGCGACCGAGATCACAGTTGACCCGCCCACGGAAGAGATACGTGCTCCACCGCCAGCCATTCTCAAGGATCCCCCAACCGCATCTGCTCCCGCTCCTTCCGTTGAGGAGAACTCAGCGCCGACTATAACTTTGGACCCTCCGGATACGCGCCAGCCGAGACTACAGCAACTCAACGTGATTGACTCCGAGGGCAACAAGCAGGCCTCGGTTGGCTCCAGTGAAGCCTTCGAGAACTTCTCCGGCAGTTATAACAATACACCTCAACCGTCCGATACTGCTCCGACCGAGATAGACCACTCCCACCAAACACAATCAACCGATGCTCAGCCGAAACAGGCCAGCGAGCGGGATTCGGTGGACTACTACGACGAATACGAAGTTTATGGAGATTACCCTGAGCCTGGTTATGAAGATTATCAAGATTACGCTGACTATGATCCCCGCCGACTGACCATGGGCGTGCGACCTCTCCCGCCCGACGACCCAAGTGAAAACCCGGAGCAACGAGCCAATCGCATCAGATCGTTCTACAAAGAGTATTTTGATGAGACTAAGCCGCAGGGCGCTGGTCAAAACGTACAATATTATGACGGCGCCGAGGACTACTACAATACCCCGGGCTCTGGTGCCTATTACGAACAGGGCCAGTACTATCCACCACACCCTCGACCACCATACGCTCCGTCTGGAAGACATCGCGCGACCGTCTCGAATGGAAGTTACATGTCGGGCCCTCGGGCATACTCGTCGGCATCCAGTAAATATGGACCACGCCCTCCTCACATAACACCGAAGAAGAAGTTACCACCACCGAAGCCGCTGAACATTCTGCCCACGCCTCATCTCCTTAAAGAAGACACATTCTTGCCCATCGATTTTGCTCCTCCACAGAAATTCCAGAAGCAAAGAGCCGGGACGCCTGACAGCCTCCGAGGTGGCGTCCGACCGTTCTCTCCTGGTATAATTGCTCATGTTCCGCTGGCGTCATCGTTCGATGACATGGCGGTGATTCCCAGCCCGTAAGTTGTTCTCATTGATCATTCTGGAATCGCCGGACTAACTTTATCAACAGGCACGCGCTCAGAAAATCCGGCACTTTCACCAGTCTTGATTTCGCCCCACCGCAGCGTCCTCGAGGACCAGATAGCATGAGCGAAACAGGCAGCATCCGAAGCAATCGGTCGGCGATGTCGGCAATGCACATTCACAGCATTCGAACTGGAGCTTATCGAGTCAGCCGGATACCGAAGGAGGTCGCGGGCACCAGGGATGAGCTGCAAGCGGCGCTGAAGCCGCAGTGGAATCTTAATCGGTGATGTTCTGGCAAGGAGCGTGCTGGTAGGAGGTTGTTGGTCATATTAGAGGGATGGCGACCTGGGCGACCTGACCATGGGACATGACACCTTTTCCGGCGCATTTGAGCATAGCGGCAGGAGTTTGACGGAGGCACCTTTTTCAGGGGCATGTCTCCCTCACCACTGCATTTGTTTGTTTTTCCCGTGGTCTACTAGCGAAATACAAAAGATGACCACATGTATACTGGGGCAATAGTGGAAGCATATGGACATGAAGACGCCATCAATGTGCTACAGTACTAGAGTCGAAGGTCTTGTTACATAATACATTGTTGAAGAACGATCAATTTTGGATTTGTTCATGGCTTGAAGATGGTTAGAGGGAAAGAGAGCCCTTGGGCCTTTTCTTTTCATCCAGATGACCAACTTGAACCCCGCAGCTAGAGTTCAAAGCTACCGAAGTCTCATCTCGACCAGATTGAGATGTTTAATAAGTGTTTAACTGCGAGAAGTGCGTCGTTGTATATTGCGCAGTCCGCAAGCCATGCAGTGTGTGTCTAATTATAGGTACAAAAGTGCAAGGCCAGTGGCAATGGCAGTGGCAGAAGTGCGGAGATACCGTACCATACAGCACAGACAGTGCGGTACTAGTAGGAGGAGTAGGATCCCGAGGAGTGGCTGCACCCTGCGCGCTGCTGTGCCACTGGACCGAGACACCGCACGTGAAGGCAGCTACTACATTGTAGTACAAACAGACCACTACTACTACTGGCATGGCGTCAACCCGGCTCAAGATTGTAACACCACTGCCGCAGCACAGTAGTAGCGTAGTCCAGAACTTTGGGAGCTTTTAGGTAGAGGTACTTATGAAATAAGGTGACACATTCCATGCCGCATGCTCAAGTACCTGGCATATAACCGCACCTTGGCTACTACAGGCAGCGGGTTGTCACTGGTTGTCGAGATACGTCCCGGCCGATCGGGACGAAGCAGAGCTGCGTAGTAGGTAGGGATGTATACCTACAATGTTGGACACCCTTACCTTTCGGGCTGACAATTGCCCGGGCATGCATTACCGGCATTGGTGGTAAACGGGACAAAGTACGTGCTTGATCGGTATTCGGCTGATTGCAAAAGTCACGTACACTGGCAGCATTGCAGCAGTAGTCCAATAGTATTATGTGCGTGTTTGAGATCTTGTTTGAGGACACCGGCACCTGAAGTCACGGTAACGGTAGCGATGATCAGTGTCTCTCTGGGTTTGCTGCTAGTAAATCTTAGGCAGTGATAACAGTTAGAAGCTCACGCTCGTCGCCTTTCTCCTCCCTTAGGTGCGTGGTACTCTGACAAGGTGACTTTACTAGTCTTCCTCCCGCGCCCTGTTTCGGTCAAATGTCTCTCAGCCTCAATTCCACCATTTGATTTCCCTCCCATCTCTGCCCACCCTCGACATCTCGCCCTTTGACCGCCGCATCTGCATCTGCATCTTCATGTCTGACCTACCAGTACCATTGACTCTATCTGAAAGTCAAATCGTGGACATTTCTCAACCGGCCGTGTTCCGAGATCCTCTGGACTCGGACTGCGCCTCAGCAGGATCGTCGGGCCCCAAGCTCGATTAGCCGTCTTCTGACACCTCCATCCACTTTCCACTCGCACGCCTCCAGGCTCGTCCACGGGCTCCAGAGCAGCGGCCAATCTCACACCCATAACAGCAGCTTTTCCAATTCTCTCCCTCGCGTCCTAACCATCCTTTCAATCGCACTGAACCCTACGGACCCTACCAGGTAGTCACCGCTCGACCCTACTATCTGCCCGACTCCACGCTTTTTACTCCGCTTGCTGCGGCAAGCCTGCTTTCTTCCCTGTCACTACACTGCACAAGCTGTTCGACAAACACAGTATACCATAACAATGTCCGAAACTGCAACAGGCAGTGCTACAGGTACAGCGACAGGTACCGATTCAGGTACAGGTTCTGCTACTTTTACAGGTAGAGTTAGCCCACCTGTGTGTGCTTGGGTTGCCCACTGACCGCGAGGCAGATACCGCGACGGCCACGAGCACTGCGCCCGATGGCTCGATACAAACGAGTATCATCACCAGCACCTCGATCAGTTTAACCACCTCCCCCACGACCACATATACTGTTACGGCCTCGACGCCCGAAACCTCCAGTAATCCTGAAACGACTCCGACGCCGACACCCACGAGCATTTCTTCCGTCTCAATCCCTCCCTCGACGACCGTGGTTGAGACTACTCCAACACCCACCTCAAGTCCGAGCGTGGTAGCTGTCACTGCTACCGTGACTGAAACTCCCTCCTCGACAGGAGGAACCCAGAGTCCTTCCGTCGTGATCGTAACATCAACATATTCCCCCGATCCTACCACGTCGCAAGTCTCGACAGCTTCATCCGCCTCCCGACATTCCTCCTCATCGTCTACGCCGTCAGCACTAAGTGCCTCCGGGTCGTCATCAGGCTCATCTCATCATAAGCTTAGTTCTGGTGCCAAAACTGCCATAGCGGTCATCATTCCCATCGTGGTCATCGCTGCGGCACTCTTGGCAGGTTTCTTTTTCTGGCGGAAACGCAAGGCCCGAAAAGATGCCGAGGAACTTCGTAAGAACGAGATGGCGGAATATGGATTCAACCCAAATAGCGACCCGACTTTGGCCGCCGGTGTGGGAGCATATACGGATAACCAGTCCGAACCTCACGATGATAACAGCGGGTATCGTGGGTGGGGAGCCACATCCTCGAACCGCAAAGCGTCGACCACTCTGGGTTCGAACGGCCTAGCTGCTGGCGGCCCTGCCTTGTCGGAAAGCAGCAGTCAACCGGGAGGATATGCATATCAGACCTCGCCCAATGGAGCCTCCGACCATTATTCGGCCGATCCCTTGATGAATGGACATCCGGAAGGCGGAGATGGAGTGGCAGCATTAGGTGCGGCCGGTGCGGCTGGAGGACTCAGCAGAAGCCGCAGTGGTGCTGCAGATATCCGTCGTGGCCCTTCGAATGCGTCTTCAGCTTATTCTGTTGGTCACCAATCTGAAGCTTCTTCTGATACCCACAATATGCCCGGACCTTATTATCAGGAAGAAGTACCCTACAACATCTACAACGATGCAGCGGCTAGTCATGGCCCTTACGGAGACGGCTCGTACGGTGGTGATGGCACGTACGCCGGTAATGGAGGGCAGCCGGTGATACGCGACGTGCAAGCCCGGAGAAATACTCGAATCGAACGAGCACCAACTTTCCCTCAAACCCAGGGAGGCATAGCGCAAAACTTTTGAACCACTCGACATCTGCATGCATTATGAGGCGTTTACATATTTACTATATTTGCTGGTTGCAGATTTTGGAGTTTTGTGTTTTGGATGGGAGAAAAAGTCTTATCTCCTGAACTCGTCCTTATTTCCCTGTGTTTGCGACACTCTATACCCCGGGTTCTCACCTCCACATGGGTTGGTTTTTGACGACTTTTTTGCATTGGGTGGATCATTGTATATTCATGGGGGAGGCATATCTCCACAAAGTTTTCGGCCATTATATAAATATTTCCTATCACTCCCTACGGACCAGTAATGGAGGAGGAGGACAGGCTCGGATATCTGCGAGCAACAGGATGATTCGAGCAAGTTGAATAGGACACAGTCAGATCCACGGCTGAAGTTGAAGGGCTGCGTTCAATACTACTAGTAGTACTACTGCAGTGAAAGATGATCGAGATTCCGCAGCAGAATAATATGATTAGTCTTTCCAGACCTGCTTAATCATAGTACGATGAAATTGTTAGAGCCCAGTGCCCTATCGACAGTTGGGCTGGGGGCTTAACGATCGACAGGAACGTGGTTGTGGCGGCGGCAGTGATGGTGGAGGTGTTGCCTCTGGTTGTAAAACGTCGAACTTGAAATATTCTTACAAAAACTATATTGACGTTTTGGTAGCCAGGTAGTGTCACGAACCTCAACTTTCTACACCCAAACCTAAAACTACTCACCCAACACCAAAAATCGCACACTGCACAGCACAGCATACAGTCTTCTGTCCTGCGCTCACAACTGAACTCGGACAGGTACACTGTACACTGCGTCGCTGGAGTTCCTCGAGATCCACCTCGGTGGGGTGATGAAGCAGCCAACATAAGGAAATTGAACCTTGGAATCGTTTCACAATCTTACCGCTGCTCGTGCGACGAATTTATCTTGCTGGATCAGAGGAGAGGTTGGGTTTGTCCGGCGGCTGGAGATTGGGGTTGAGCTCGGGCATCGGCATCGGCACCAGCATCAGCGGCGGTATTCGAACTACAACTACTTCAGGTCACGGTAGTAGACTCCCACTCTTGTGTGGGTTTGGCCGCCACAGCGGCGTTGGTGGTAGTCCTGGTCCCTGTACTGTTGCTGCCATGTCTTCAAACCAACGAGGTGGCGGAGGCGGTGGTGGTAGTAGAGGAGGCAGAGGAGGCTCGAATAAAGGTGGTAGACACGCCTCCCACTCCCAGCCTCGCACCGTCCTCGTCTCCAAAGCCCTCTCCCGACTCCTCCGCCACGCGGCCGTGGACGAAGGCGTGCCCATCGACAAGGACGGCTATGTCAGGATGGACCATTTGTTTTCATGGCCGCGGATCCGAAACATGAAGCCGCCGGTGACGATGGGGGAGATTATCGCTGTTGTTCAGGATAACGAGAAGAAGAGGTTTGCTTTGAAGTATGTGCCCGCAGGGGACAGCACAAACGAAGACTCTGCTCGAGAAGCGGAAGCACCCACAACTACATCCACCACCTCGACGACCTCTACTGACGCAAAGTCTGAATCCGAATCCGAAACTCAACGTGCAATCGCCGTCTATGAAGCCACCAAAAACAAAGACAGGACAGACCAGCAGAATCAGGATCTTTTGTCAAAATTCTTCATCCGCGCCACCCAAGGCCACAGCATGAAACTGGTCGAGGCGGAAAATTTGTTGAAGCAAATCACATTGGACGATCCATCTACGATTCCCGATACCGTGGTCCATGGTACGTTCTATGGTGCTTGGCAGAAGATATTGGAGAGTGGTGGGTTGAAGAGGATGGGGAGGAATCATATCCATTTTGCGACGGGGCCGGCTTTGGAACAGGTTTGGGGGTTGGCAGATGCCGGCGGTCGCAACAACGATGATGATGCTGCTGCTGCGAAACAGGAGGATCAAAACCAAGAGTCGAAAAGTAATACTTCTGCAATTGGATCCATCCTCACCAAAAACAAAGTCATCAGCGGCATGAGGTCCGATGCCCAGATTTTGATCTACGTCGATATCCGGAAAGCACTGGCTGAAAATCCGGATATGACGTGGTGGAGGAGTGAGAATGGGGTTATTCTGACGGAGGGTGTTGAGCGGAGGAGTAAAGAAGGATCGGAAAAAGGACAAGTGGATGGAAACGAAGAAGTCGATGGAGAGAAAGTGGATACCAATGCCGATACAACCAAACTCCTCCCTACAGAATACTTCCTCGCCGCCGTCGAGATCAAAAACGGTCTTGGACTGCTTTGGAAGCAAGGTCAGGGCGTTGTGAGGGATTTGCCTGACAATTTGAAGAATCAGGCTTTACCCTTTGGGAAAAGAAGAGGGGAAGAAGGAAAAGGAAAAGGAGGGAGAGGAAGAGGTCGAGCCCGAGGTGGAAATCGAGGTCGAGATCGAGATTGAAACTCGTTTCGAAACTACCGCACTGCATGTAGCGTCGATTGTCAAGACAACACTTTTCGATTCGGAGTGGAAGGTTAGGTCTGGCTTGAAGTTCAGACTGAGGCTTGAAGCTTGAAGTGATGCAAATCGAGTTGATTAGGAGTAAAGTACAAGTACAAGTAAGTACACACACCACTGAGTGATGCCACGAATAGCACTCCGATCACTCACTCACGCTCGCTCACTAGAGTACCTAGATAGCTAGTAGTGATAGCGCTTTATGAGCTCACTATTTGAACCGCAATCATATGTTCTCGACGGCCGGAACAGACAAAATCAGACAAGTTCAATTAATTCCGTCCCCTCAGTTAGTCAGACTTCAGTCACCCAGGTCAACCCACTCAGGCAATCATGTAAAGACTAAAAATGACCGGAGAATGTGGTGTTCTGTTGTTGCAGGCATGTCGAAAGGCGTCTCGGTTTCAAGGTCGAGGTCCATAGGAAGGCAAAGACCGAACCGAACGGCCATGGGGAAAAAAAGGTCAGGTGAAATCATTCAACAAAGCATCCCACTTGACCCAATCGATCGCCCCTTGATCGTAGACCAGATGATGGTCATGGTTCTGATTGCTGTCCATCATCATCAACATCATCTCGAGATTATCGTCGTCGTTGTCAAAGGCGTCGTTGTAGGCGTAGAATGGAGGTTGCTGCATCAATGTATCGAAGGAGTTGATTGGGGACGGCGTCGTTGTGGTAGTAGTGGCGGTGGTGGTAGTGGGCCACGATGGGGGTTGGGATTGGGAGTTTGTGTCTGCGCCCTGTTCTCGGTTTGATTCTGTGAACGGGAGAGGCTCAGGCTCAGGCGCATCGTTGCGGTTGTGGTCCGGGTTGCCATTGCCATTACCACTGCGATATTGCTGGCGTTGATACTGGTGTTGGGTTTGGCCAGATCTCAACCCCGTAGTTGAAGCACCAGGAACACCGGCCGGAGTCGATTGTGACAGTGACGATACCGAAGGGGAGGACGATGAAGACTGCCGTTGTGGGATCCCCGGCACTGCCCTTAAATCATCGTTGTTACCTACCCGCGCACCAACACCTGAGTCTCCTGGTCCAGGTCCAGGTCCGGATCCAGTTCCAGCTCCAGTTCCAACATGGCGCCTTGTCCCTAACGTCGTCATCGTCGTCGTAGTATCACTCAAGACTTGCCTCTTCTGTTCCTTCATCATCTTCTTCCGGCGAGCAGCTGCTCTCTGCTCCCGCAACGTCTCGATATACCACGGAGTCTGCCGTGGCAAAGGACGCCCGGCCTTGCTCAAAGCCGCTTCACGGGCCGTATACGCTTTAAGACACAGTGCACCAATGGCAACATGCAACGCCTTCTTCGTGTTTGTGACATAAGTCGGAGAAATCTCAAAGACGTCACTGACCAGAGCCCAAACATCTTCAGCATCTTCAATCAGAGGGTCAGTCCTCAACGTGTCCAGAATATGAATGAAGGCGTGCCAGTGGAAATAAAAGCCCGCGTGCCATGTGAAACCTTGTAATTCTTGACTGTAGTGGACCCATCGCCATTGTTGGATGGCGCGCAAAGTCAAGTCCCAGACGTAACGACGTTCGGCTGGAGGAGGAATCGTTACGTCTTTCTCACCGTCATTCTGACTCTGGCTCATTTGTTGGCATTGATTTTTCAACCCCCATCTCCTCGGATGATGAGCCGTCAAAGACAACAAACTGACGGCCCCCTGCGCGACCAAAGTAGCCATGAGCTGGACCGGCCTTGTCGGATCACAATACCTCACATACTTTTCCTGGAGAATATGGTCGATATTCCTGATAAAGTCGTCGCGAGCCCTGATATCCTCGTCCGACTCGGGCGCCAGACTATCCAACAAGGTCGTCACGCCCAATCCCGTCCCGCCATGGCGGAGAACGCTCTGGGCACACAACTTGCGCGCCTCGAACCGCACGCAACAAAAGGCCATATCTGTAGCGCGATGGGGATTGTCTTCAGGGAGTGCCGTCATCTCGGGAAACAGTTCGTCGTCGTCCACATTGGCCGGCATCTTGGGGGCGTGTGGGTCGACGTCCAGACTGCGCGTCTTGTTTAGTCCGCTAAGCTCACTTGATCGCCCGTCCATCATGCGCAACTGCCACCAGATCCGACGGCGGATCTCGGCCTCGAACGGTTTCAGGCCTAACACCGTCCCGTCACGGTGCAGACCCATTCCTTCGGCCATGCGGAGTGCTAGCCCCGTCAACGTCCATACGGTGCGCGAGTCGTAGACGTCTCGAACGGAGAAAATGTGTAAGATAAATGCTTGTAAGACCGCGAGATTGGTGGATCCGATGAATCGCGCTTTGGAGAGCGCCGCTTTTGTTGCTGTCCGGTATCGAGAGAGCATTGTGCTGCGTGGTTCGTTGAACCGTCTTCGACACTCAAAATCTTTGAGTGAGAGGATTGCCGTGCTGTAGATGGCAAATAACAAACATTCCAGGCTTCGCGGGAGGCTTTGCAGATTGGGGACTGACGAGGCTTTTCGGACGGCTTTGTCTAGCGAAGGGGCGTGAATTATCTTGGTCAATGGGTCCACGTTTGCTCGGAAAACGTCCCACAACTGCAAAATCTGGTCGCTAGAGGGATGGAGGGTTTCGATGCCGATGGTGGACGGCGCCATACAGAGTAGATAGTCCATGTTGTTGTATTCGGCTTCGTCTGCGTCATCTGCATCTTCGTCCGAGGAACACTCCAATGCTTCCATTGGCTCGGCCAGCTGTTTTCGAGTTAGTTGCTGTAGTGAAGAGAAAGTGTGAGTACTCCGTTGGCATACCTCCTCCACCACTCTTGTCCACAGACCACTAAGAAAAAAGAGTCAGTACCAGGGCGCAGTCTCATGAAAAAACAGTAAAGATAGGTCAAGGCAAGGCATACTTCTCAAAAAGCTTCGAGCGCTTCCCATGCTGAACTAATCGACCTTTGGACAGACCAGAGTCGACGGGTGAGAGTCCGCCAGACTCCGCATTGTCCTTCTGCTCGAGTGGCCGGCCATACTGCTTGAAACGACCCAACAGGACCTGGCTGCGGTCCGTTTTCTTCCTTCGCTGCCGCGGTGCCAATATGCGATACTTGCATTCGGCATTATCTGCAACAGTAAGCCAAGGCTATCACAAAAGGTGTGTGGATGTGTGTATAACCTACGCCTTTGACATGCGGTACAAACAGGCTGAAGCGCATCACACTTGACCTTGCGCATGGCACATCTCTCGCACGAGTGTGAAATCCGGACCTTCGGTGGAGCCGGTGCTCCTCGCGACAAGTCCATTGTCGGCGCCGAATAGTCCAATATGATCGTTCCCGGCCAGGGGAAAGGGACTGAGAAGCAAGCCAGACATGGCGAGCAGAGTAGACTGATTAAAAGCAGTCGATGGGACCATTCCCTTGATGCAAGAAGGACAGAAAAAACAGGCGCCTGGCATGACCCCGACATTGTTCAGCCTCGTCACGGCTGGAGTTATTGATTGGTTGCTCAAGACCCGAGCTGGAGTAGACGGACTTTAACTGGTCAGTCAACCTCCGAGGCCTTACTTAGTCAGCCCTTTTGATCCACTCGCCCTTTGCGCGATATACATTGGTAGACCTTATTGATCTTCGTATGTCACGACATCAAGTGCTTGAGTTTCCTAGAAAGCATACGCTGCCAAGAGTTGCCCGAAAGGAACGCCTTTCATCTTTTATTAGTCCTTGATTTTGGAGGAAGCAAAGGCTGAGGTAGCCCGACTAGTGTGTAAAGAAGCAATCGGTCGCCGTTAAACACCTCGGAAGCCCTCCAGTCGTCAGTCCACGTTCGGTGGTGTTCCCACATATTAACGAGACCTTCAGTCCGTGAATACTCCTTCAGCTTTTCGAGTTCCCCTAGAGACACTAACGCCATTCGTCCCTTATGTGCATCTCGGGTATCGAATATCACAACCGTCATTCACTGGCAAGACATGGTTCACTCCATAACGCCAAAACCCGCAACTCAACAGGCTTGTCTTCGAGAACAAATCAAGCAAACTTTCCCACCACTAGAGCATTGACAACATGGCCTTCCTTCCAGCCCTGGTCGGTGAGAGTGCGTCTGTCATCCAAGATCTTCCCAAGATATGCGATTCGGATATGAGCTTGGCTTGGAATCTGCGGATGGTAATCAGTTAGGGGCTTACACTGACGGAGGAGCTGCAATTTCCATACCTCTGTTTCATCACGAATTCGTTGAGCGAGCGCGGCGACTCTTTGACCCCGACCCAACATAACGACAACGTCGGGTCCTCCGCGATCACTCAGTCGACATCTGACTTTCAGGGCATCCTTCTCGACCACAGCCTTGCCCTTTGCTTCTTTGGTTTTTTCGCTACTGTTGTCTTCCTTACTCGCGCCAACGTGGGCTTCTTCCGCGGCTTCCAACTTTGTGGCCAGTGTGTCCTGGTCATTGGTCCCAAGTACTGTCTGACTGTCCATATCGGCCGAGTCCTCGACGACGTTGACCGGGTCGGATATGACGGGTTCTGGCAATCTGTACAAATTTCCCATTTCGTCGTAGGCACCGTCTTCGAGTCTTCCGGTCGGCAGAGTCACGGAAAGAGCATCCAAAATGCCTTGGGCGTCTACGACGTCTCCTTCACGTAAACACTCTAAGGCTTGCTTGAGACCGCTCCAGATCTCTGGTCTGCCCGTCACTCTTGTCTCAAAAAACTCGTATCGTTCTCTTTCCAGCTGGCTGCGGGTCCACGATCGGTCGGTGCTCTTCCACGGCTTCGGAGTTTGGAGCGGCATGTTGTAGTGGTCGGCGAGAGAGGGCTGACGGTTCGATCGGGATCTGGAGTTGTGGACCGAATGTCGAGGGGTGGAAAGGGCAGATCTCGAAGTGTCTGTACTCTGGTGTATCGACAGTCCGGAAGGAGGTGCAAGCGTGCGTGGATTGGAGTCGCCATGGATGGCAGTCTGGGAGGTTATGGCCTGAGAGGGATGCCGCACTTGAGGAGGACCACTGTCGCGCCCATCTTGAGCACTTTCGGCCTCTGTAGGTCTGGATGTACAGCACCCCTGTAGAAGTTGAGTCCCAGTTAGTAGACGGCAGAGTATAAAGGAAACAGCTGAGGACCATGATATCCAACTACCAGTATGTCTGAAGGGTACGGGAGTATAAGTGAAGCACGCACCATGGCTCAGTTCATCCTGTGGATCAGCCCAAAACAGTAATGATCATACATGCATCCCGCGAGCCCAGGTCCTCAGCCTTTTGACGGTGGGTTGGGTTGCGACACGACGGAGAGAGGCCAAGACAGCCGAAGGTCAATGCTAGACACACGCCAAACGAAAGTCGCGCTGGCAATGGGCCTGCCGCGCAATGCAATGAAAGAGAGGGAGACAGACAAAGAGAAAACGGGTGTGGCGAAATGAGGATGGATGGCGTGCAATTGAAGACGCTGGCACTCCGCAAGACGCAAGACAAGATGGGGTTGGAAGACCATGGTCATGGACGTGGACTCGGATGGGGTCGTGCTCGGCTGCCCCAATGAGGCACTCGCTTGCAGATAGAGCCTCGTCTCTGATCCCACCACTTGCACATGCTCAGCCTGAGTACTTTGTCCACTCAATTCAGTCTGCCGACACAATCTACAGTGTACATCCTCGCTACATGACTCAACTGTTGGCATGAGGAATTTGGATAGATCAAATGTGAAAATACAGCTATTCATCATATCGTATCGCCAGACCATATGCGCCAATCACTCAAGATACCTCCCATGCGGATTCGGTCTATCCAGCCAGTGGCTACAGTAATTGCACCATTCCAGCAAATGATCCCACTTGAGCAGCGAACGACCTATTGCCGACTCATATACACCCCTAGACGCTATACACAAAAGCCCAGCAAATAATACTTCCCGCTAGATATTGCCACAGGTAGTCGTCGGTAGTCGTCAGCGGAATTCAATCGAAGGACAAACTCCCCGGCCCCAAACGCCTTGCTTTCCCTCGTGCTTTAGTTCGAGCTGCTGGTATCTGTTTCTTAAAGGTCAGCCAGGTAGACTCAATGTAGGTCTTTGCAATACTCACTTCTCGCTTTTGGAGTGGAAATAGATCCCACTCACCCTCCCCTCGATTTGATTAAAGCAGATATAGTAAAAGCCTTCGAAGCTGGCCCCCTGAATGCTCTTCAGCTTATAGTCGGGGACGAGAAAATGCTCCTTCCACCGCATGAAAATGTATTCCTGCTGCCACCAATCTTCGTGGTTCAAGGGATAGACAAAGTTGATATTGCGCTTGGCATGCAGGCTGAGTGGCCGCCACGCTGGAAATCGGGCCCAATGAGTCAGATCAGTCTTATCACTGGCACCCCAGGCAGGATCTTTTGTCCGGAAGCTGTACTTCTGGTTCGGCCCGCCGATGATTTCGCCTGTGAAGAAAGTCGTCAATGTCGGGTGATCCGGAGTGAGTCCACAGATCTGTAGATATCCGGACATGGTCGCCTGTTCAATGTCGACCGTCAAGATGGTGACTTCGACATTGTAAATCTGGCGATCCGATTGTTGTGTGCCCTTGAACTTGGAGTAGGGCTGGAACGTCACCGATGGATACTGAGGACGCAGACGCCGGCGCGAGAAATCCCAGTCCTTGGTGTGGCTCGCCCAATCCAGCTCTTGGTCGATTGGGGGGATTCCCGCTTGTGTTGTGGTGCTATCACGATGCCGGTGTCCGTCTTGTCGATGACTCTCTGCTGGAGGTGATGGGATGCCGAAATCGCCATCCTCCACTGTCGTCTTCTGTTTCGGACTGGCCTTATCGGTGTGTTCCTGGCCAATGGCCATCTCACCCTGGCTTCTTGCGAGATCAATCATGTGTGCGGCGTCCGGAACCTCCGCCGAAAGTACGTCGCTCGTCTTCGCCCCAGTCTCGTTGAGTATGATATCACCGTCTCCATCAAGTTTGTCGGTGTCTTTGAGCTCCGGCGTAAACCCGGTCTGCGTGGGCGATCGAAAGCTTCCAGAAGGACTATACAGACTCTCCTCTTGCCTCAGAGACATGCCCGCCGCAGTATTATCGTCCATGGACAGCCGGCTGACGCCATCTTCCCCGACCAAGCCCTGCTGAGGGAGCTCCCGTCCTATTTGACCATCACCGTTGATCTCTGGAGGTGGCGTTAACGGAGCAGGGCATGCGACACCCGCCTGGCCTAAATCGACTCGGAGGGTGCTAGCGGGCGTATTCGATGCATGAGTTGGCATTGAAGTAGAAGGAATCGCGGGTTTATCATATGGAGAGGATCCGCAGAGACTCGAGGCGCGAAAGGACGATTTATAAGCGCGATGCAAACGGGTTAGGAGGTGCGTGATGCGTGGTGATGATGATGGGTGATGTGATGCGGGTCAACAGTGGGAGGCGTATCACCAGAGCACGCGATGCAGCATATATGGCGACGATATAGAGTATAATAGTATGAAGCGCCAGACACAGAGTTAGAAGAGGCGGAATGAGGACCGTCGATGCACGAGCGGTCGATGGAATGGATGAAGTAAGAGGAGTTGTAGGGGCAGCGGAAGCATGACCATGAGCCAAGTTCGCAGGTGAAGCTGGTGATGGATCGATTGATTGATCGATGGATCGATGGATGGACAATGAATCAACTAATAATCGCTGCGATCCATCGCTTCCCCCAACTTCAGCTTGAACTTGAGGTGCTTCAGCCCGAAGCCGGAACCTGGAATTGGATCTGGACCTGCAAGAGGCGCTTTGCGGGGTTCGGCCCCGGTCCCGGTCTCTCTTCACGTTGGAGCTGGTTACTCACATTGATCCCACATCAATTACTGGCATTTGGCCAGCAACAAGTTCAACTTGTACCGTTGTTACTGCTCCCTGCTACAACATACACGCTTCAGCGGCTCGCTCGCGCTATTCAAGTTCCCTTCCATCATGATCCTTATGGTCATTGAGTTCAATATCCTCGATGTCTCTCGGCCCATGACCCATGACCCAGTGGACCCATCATTAGATATCAATCATCCTCTCTTATGGTCGTTCCAAGGCCTGCGTTGCCGGGAATTTTGTGCTTTCTGTCATCGGTGTGCTTCGTGTCGAGCGCCATGCTTCACATCCGCCCGCTTGTCCTTCGCATGCCCGCTGCTGCGACCCATTCACAAGCCTGCTGGCCCGTCCGCAGAATACATTGTCTTCAATCGCATTTTCGTGGCTTGGTGGGGCCTCACGGACACTGTAAACGTTTCCGAACGCAAACTGCTGCTGGCGTCGCCCGATCTGCGTCACTGTTCAATTCCCATGCCGGCTGTACCGAAAAAGCTGTTTAGATTGGCTTGATCTGTGAAAACTCCTGTCAGCACGTTCAAGACTTGTCAGGATATGACGGCGACATACCTTGAAGTGTAGTGAAATTAAAGAAAATACCAGTGCCTTTAAATCCTGGACAAGATAGTAAAACACACGCAGCCCTTCAGGATCCGCCGAATCTGTCACGTCTCCAAGAGAACCAATCTTGGCCGTCTGCAAACCAGTTAATGTTGCGTCTGCTGTAGATCAAGTATTGCTAACGCACTTCGAACTGGATATGGTCACTTCCCAGCCGGATTTCCAGCTCTTGTCTGCCGTCCTTGTTCTTCTGCGGCCACCGGGAGTCATCTTCCTTCATGATCTCGCTGTCTTTGATGATACGCTTGATTTCGGAGATCAGAAGAGCGCTGACGCACACTGGGTCCTTGTAAGCAGACAGCCAGAAAAACAATATCTTGGAAACGCACTCTCTTTGCGAATGAGTGAGTCATTGCGGTAGTTGGAATTGTTGGCGTATCTTGCGGTTGCGCTTCGTCCGTCGCCAACGACTCGGAAGTCAAACTCTGGCCCACGATCAGCACTGTTGGGAGCAAAGCGGCCAAACGTCCTCACCTAAGAATTCATGACCAAACCTGCCTGAGTGACCGGAACTGTCACAGTGGTCAGTATCCCAAAGTACACGGACGGCGGAAGGCAGCATACTAGTAGCGCACGTAAAACGGCTCGTTGATGTTTGTCATGGCGAGTCAGCGCCGCCTGTGTAGTAGCCAAGTCGTGGACAGGAGCGTCGAAAATAGCCGTGAAGATCTGTGTTGTTGATGTTGTTGACTTTATACACTGTACGACTGGGGCTGCGCTGTGCTTGTTACTCTGTAATGAATGTTTTCCGTCTGCGCCAACTTGAACTCGGGCGTGTCTCGAACGTCAACTCAACTCCGATCGACGCCAAGCGCAGTCTCCAGAAGTTAAGTGAACGACAAGACTGCGGCGAATGACTCAACTCTTGTTCATACTTTGAAGTAGTATATACTCTACTGCCACTACTATTGAAGGCCAACGCTTTCGCACTGAACTGACCAGCTGCTTTGAGTTGCCTCGTCGACCTCGGCGGTTTCGCTGCCGTGCAGCAATATCCCCCTCGACATGGCGACCCTCGCAGACGAACTACTCAACGACTTTGAAGATTCCGGCTCTGAGAAGGAAGGGACTACGAATGACTTACAAAATGGCGATGACGGCCATGGTCACCTCCTTGACAACGGTCTTCCGGAGGGAACCCTGATAGACGATGCCGATGGCGAGGATGAGCACATGGCGGAGGAAGAAGAGAGGCACGCTGCAGATGCCGCCGCTGGAGCGGAATTGCAGGCCCTGGACGATGAGGACGATGCGAAAGCCCGAGTTGAAAAGATGCGACTAGGCGGCGTCCGGGACGTGAGGAGCATAGCAGGTCTGATGAAGACTCTGCAGCCAGTTCTCGAGGTAAGCCCATGACACCCTCCTATCTTGCTCTGCCAAAAGCCTGTTTGGTTTACATAAAAAGCGGCCACAGTCCTGACGGTTCGTCCTATCTCAGAAAATCTCCCATTACCAGAACATCCCGCCGGATCAGAGAACAACTACCGTGGGATCTATCGAAGACAATCCGGAATACCATCTCCTAACCCAAGCAAACTCTCTCTCAACGCAGATCGACAGCGAAATCATGCTCGTCCATAAATTCATTCGAGACCATTACTCGGCACGCTTCCCTGAACTAGAAACGCTTGTGACCAACCCGATAGACTACGCCAAAACCGTCGCTATCATTAGAAATGGACCTCTAGAGAATATCAAGGCGCTGGCCGATTCCTCCGACAACCTAGTCGGGCAGCCTCTTCGCTCTGTCTTGGATGGTCCTACGTTGATGGTGGTGACGGTTGAAGCGACCACCACGCGTGGTCATGAACTCAGTGAAGCGGAACTGCAAACGACGTTGCGTGCATGCGAGATGACTCTACAACTAGACCGGGCCAAGAAGGTTCTGACTGAATATGTTCAGTCACGGATGAATGTGTTTGCCCCGAATCTTACTGCGCTTATTGGCTCTCTTACAGCAGCCCAATTACTGAACTATGCCGGCGGTCTGAAAGGTCTCGCCAAAACACCCGATCGAAATATCCCAGCCATGGGCTCGAGAAAACAGAGGCAGAGTGGGCTGGCAACCAATGTTGGCATACGGCAGCAAGGATTTCTGTACCACTCACCACTCATCCAAAGCATCCCCAACGATCTGAAGGTCCAGGCTATGCGTATTGTGTCGGCCAAACTCGTCCTAGCAGCACGCGTTGACAGTGTACACCAATCTCCCGATGGTTCTACAGGCGAGCAGCTACGTGATGACTGTTTGAGGCGGCTGGACAAATTGACCGAACCTCCTCCAAACCGTGGGCCTCGTGCCCTTCCTGCACCGGATGACAAGCCCAGCCGCAAACGAGGCGGTCGAAGAGCTCGTAAAGCCAAGGAGGCTACTGCTATGACGGAACTGAGGAAACAGCAGAACCGGATGGCATTTGGCAAGGAAGAAAAGGAAGTGGGCTATGGCACTGGTGAAGGCACTGCCGGGCTTGGAATGATTGGCATGCAGAACGACGGTCGGATTCGAGCGACGCAAATCGACCGGCGCACAATGGCTAAATTGAGCAAGAAGAATCCCGGCTGGGGTGGCTCCGGTACCGCAACTTCTCTCAACAGCGGCATGAACACTTCCTTGAAAGGATTCGGGACTTCTTTGGGAGGCAATGCTACAACTTTGCGTGCTCAGGGACTTCGAACAACCGGCGTGGGTGCGGGAACGGCTAGTTCGATCGCTTTCACGCCTGTCCAAGGCCTGGAGTTAGTCGATCCAAAGGTCCAAGCCGAGTTGAAACGAAAGCGGGAGGCCGAGAGTGCCGGATATTTCTCCAGTGGCACTTTTACCCAAATTGGCGGAGGCAAGACAGAAGGCGGCTTCAAAGTGCCACAATTGCCTGCAGCCAAGAAGGTGAACATGGGCCCGCCTCCAACACCGGGGAAATAGTCGATGCGGGGGTATCACAAACCTGTTATTCGAGAACTGTGTGCAGTAGTCTCCGGGTGCAGGACACATTGTTCAAAACGAAGGTATGCGGTGCAACAACAGCTGTCACCACCATTCCACTTGAAGCTACCTCGGACACACAATCGGATCGAAAGAAAGCCGTGCGAATGCAGACTTGCTCGCCGGACAGATGACACACTCAAGGCCACCCCCGTCACGGCTATAGGCACCAAGGCCAAACAAGCCTATTTCATTGAGATCTTGGCCTGTTTTCCGATGGTTAACGAAGGGCTTCAGACACCGGCCCTGCGGCGTTCCTGCTCGCTCGAATGGATATAGAGACGGAAAGGTTTCAAAAGTTCGAGTGTTGACTCCGGCCCATTTTATTATCGAACCTTGATCAGCAAATGTGAGTGATAATGCGCATGGCACATCGGTGCAAACAAACACAATCAGGGTGGCAGGAGAACCAGGAGGGATGCAGCCCTGGCAAGTTGAAAAGTCAGTCCGTCACTACCCCAACAGTATTATCTTAGTCTGGCCTTCGTGTGAAAATGGCAGGGCACGATATCACTTAAGGGTGCTCCAAGTTTCCTGCGTTGTCCCTCAACTGCAATGGACTAAGGAAAAGGGGTTTGCAATTCAACTTTTCCCTGGTCAACAGCACATCAAGTTGGAGATTGTAGCCGGGTCGAATATCATATGTTGATTGCCGTCGGCCCGCCAGTCCTCGTTTATGACTTCCGAGGGGTTTTATGTCTCCAGCCAGGGGACTAACTCAGCGTTATTTCCTGCGCGAGCAGCACAGGACAAGTCAGGCCAAGTCCCATCTGATTGAGATAGAAAGGACTACCTATGGCCTCAAACTTTCCTTCCCTGCCTTTCAAGCTGATACGCACTACATTAACTAATCAATTCTTCAATTAATTAATTATTAGTACTAGTCCTAATTTACGCTTTCGAAGTCTGGAAAGGACCGACCTCAGCTCTCATCATGTTGTTCACAACGTACGGAAATCCTAGCTAGGTAGTCGCTCGCCCCGGATCAGTAGAACAGAACTTGCCCTCGTGTAATTAGTTCTCCTCGTCACCCGCCAGTGTGCAGTGTGCCTAAGGAGTGCTGCTCCCCGGCCTGGAATCTGACACACCTTCAAGAAGTGCCAGAACCCCACCGACAAGATGTATGCTTCCCGTAACCAGTATCTCCGTGGCTTCTGGTTCGTCGCTAAGCGCTTGAGCCAACTCAACGGCTTCCTGGATTGTCGACGTAACATGAATCTTGGCCATTTTGTCTGCCTCTGCCCACACTTCTGCGAAGCGTTTTTGAACAGTCAATTCTTTGACTGCCTGAGTACTCGCATTGCGATCTTCGAATTCTGTAACAGTATCTCTAGTCAGCATAGGTAGGGCATGGATACCTGATTCGATGGGATGGTCAGAGATCAAGATGACAAGAAGGTCTCGAGTCTTACCAATTCGATAGCCTGTACTTTTTGCCGTAGCGTTCGTTGAAAAGATGACATGGTCGAAGCGTATACCGCAGTTATTGATCAGCTCGTGCTGCAGCCCTCTGAGGAGCTCGTCTGCTTCTGGGCCCGGTCTTTTCTGTTGATTGAAGACAAGGATGCAGAGGGTGTTCGTGTCACTGCCTGATACCTGCTGGGCAGCAAACCACTGCGCAGCGACTTTGAGGCTATTGACCGTGTGTGCTCCATCAAGACGCCACCTTCTGGGCCCGTCGAATTTCGTCTCACATCTCCCACGCCAGACTGTCTGCTCTAACCCGCCTTTAAACACCTCTGGACGTATATCCGGACGCAATTCTTTCAACCCAAGCTTTTCCGCAGCAGCTACGACAAGAGCAATCGCCAAAGAGATGTTGCCGCGTTGATAGTCGGCGTCTGGGACGACGTTGACATCATATACAAAGGGGTCGATGTTGATAAAGTGTAGGTATTGTACACCAATCTCGAATGCGCGGTTTTTCAACACCTCAACAACTTCTGGATCTTGCGGAACAGAAAAGGCAGGGACACCTTTCTTGAAGATGCCGGCTTTGTGCCATGCGATCTTGGCCAGAGTGTCACCAAGGACAGCGACATGGTCAATTCCCAGCGTGGTAATGCCTGTCACGATGGGCTTTTGGACGACATTGGTGGAATCCCAGGCGCCTCCGACGCCGACTTCGTAGATTGCCGCGTCGACGCCTTCTTTTAGGAATACATGCCATGACATGAGAGTGAGAAACCGGAAATAAACTGGCTTTGTGGGGACGTCTTCTCGAGCGGCAGATGCCGATGCTTCCAATGCGTCCCAGACCTCGAAAAAGTAACGTGCAAACATGTCTTCGGATATGGTTTCCGAGTTTATTCGTATGCGGTCCCGGACAGATACCAAGTGTGGAGAAGTATATAGCCCGATCTTTTTTGGTGTGGAATACTTTCGGCGATGTTGGTTGAGGATCGAGTCGACGAAGGCGCATGTAGTTCCTTTGCCTTTGGTTCCGGCGACGTGGATGATGTTGAGCTTGTCCAAGTCTGAAATCTATAATCTCCATTCTCCAGCATTAGCAAGACTAGGTGTAGGGGATGAAGGCTAAAGGGCCTGAAATTGAATCTGACTTGGAGCCCGGATCTCTCCAACCAAGACTGCATTTCTGTCAGTGCCGTGGCGTCCATCTTCTTGCCTGCTTTTCGTCTCTCCTCGAGCACCGCGAATGGCGTCTGGAGAGAGTTGAGGCAAGAAATGGCGTCCTATTTGTTTTTCCTGTGAGCTGCGTCGTTCTTAATTCCATGCGAGTGTAGCATACATGGTAGCTTTTCATGTTGGTCAAACCTGTGAGGCTGTGATGGGAAATGGAATGACACTGAGAAGCGAAGGAAAAAATTGGGGAGAATAGACCCATGCTCGTTTGAATGCAGTGCCGTGTAGGAATGTGAAAGCTAGGCATCTTTCTTCCCCGCCAGGCATGGACGAGGGCTTCTTCAAGGGTGAAGCTGGACGACCCTTCTCAAGGCGTGTCCGGGGAATGTAAGATCAAATTGGCACTGATGGAACGTATCTAGCCTAATACATTTCCCATCCAAATTGTGAACGCCATCTTCAAGTGTGTCTTGGGGCAATAGCCGCAGGGTCGAGAGATCGAACTGAAGATGTGGTTTCAAAAAGTCCGAAAGTCGCCAGTCGCCCATACTACAAGGGTGAATCAAGCGCTTCAAGTTGTCTGGCTCCCTACCTGGCGTAGCTACCACCTGAAGAAATGGTTCTGTGTCTTGCACAAGGCTGACAGCTCATGGCTTTGCGCCGTGGTAGTGAAGCAGAAAGGGTTGGTATCTGGCACAGCATAGGCGCCATAGAACCGCTTCATATTCAATACTGCGCCATCACCGCCTCCGTTGACTGTGTGGGAGTGACTTCCAGAACTGCTGTGTCTTTCAAGCTGAAACTCCAGTCAAGTAAGGTCCAGGTACAGTACTGTACCACTGTTCAGTTGTAGTATGCGCACCACCAAAGCAGGACCTCGTCACGTGATTATACATTTAACTCTAAAGATTCTACCAAAGGTGCTAGTGGTTAGATAATGCGATTGTAGGCGCAAAGAACAACGAGACTAAGAAACTAGTGCCGGCTAAGGAAGGCTACACTAACGCCAAGCTCCATCTGCGCGTTCACTCGCGGAGTGGCATTTTGGACACTTCTCCGAGTCCCCTGGCTGCGAATGGTTCAAGTTGTCGTCCCAGTTGTTCACAGATTGTGGCATTGCACATACCCTCATAACCGTGGCATTCGACTTTGGTACTGGCCATAGTGTCCTCTAGAGGGGCAATACCGACTTACAGTGTCAGACAATGTGCTGAACAGTCCAGACACAACAATCAACCGACCCGCGCGACCAATTTCAGTGCATTAAACATCTCAGCAACCCCTTGTCGATTACAGTCACAATAGGCGGCGGCCAGACGCTTCGCAACTATGGCGACATTTCTGGACAATTCCTATAGCCTGGTGCACCTGGACAACACGGCCGACCAGCCCAGTCAGCAAGACCTCAAGACGCAACTGGAAAAAGGCAATGATGAGACCAAACTCGAGACCATGCGGACGATCTTGACCATGATGTTGAATGGTGATCCGATGCCTAACCTCCTAATGCACATCATTCGGTTTGTCATGCCGTCCAAGAGCAAGCCGTTGAAGAAGCTACTATATTTCTACTACGAAATATGTCCCAAACTAGATGCCAATGGGAAATTGAAGCAGGAGATGATTCTGGTGTGGTATGCTGAACGCCTTTGTTACTAGTGCACATGTTCCGAGGCTGACTTGTAGAAGCAATGGCATTCGGAATGACCTCCAACACCCCAACGAGTTCGTCCGGGGAAATACCCTCCGATTTCTGTCCAAGTTGCGAGAGCCCGAACTCATCGAACCACTCCTTTCTGCTGCTCAGACATGTCTCGACCACAGACACGCGTACGTGAGGAAGAACGCCGTATGGGCGCTGGCATCTGTGTATCAACATGCCCAACATCTGATCCCAGATGCACCAGAGATGCTTCATACCTTCCTTGTCGGGGAGACTGACACAACCTGCAAGAGAAATGCTTTTGCAGCATTGATGAGCATAAGCCACGAGAAAGCTCTGGAGTATCTTACCAGTGTGTTGGACGGTATCCCGAACACCGATGAGTTGCTGCAATTGGTCGAACTTGAGTTCATCCGGAAAGACGCGGTGCATAACCAAGCAAATAAGGCCCGATACCTACGACTCATCTTTGACCTTTTGGAAGCAAACACCAGCACGGTCGTCTATGAAGCAGCTACGACACTGACCGCTCTCACCAGCAATCCCGTGGCAGTCAGAGCCGCCGCCGGGAAGTTGATTGAACTGAGCATCAAGGAGGCGGACAACAACGTCAAACTTATTGTGCTTGACCGAGTTGAACAGCTTCGTCGGAGACACGAAGGCGTTCTTGATGACCTTGCCATGGAGATTCTACGCGTCTTGTCCAGCCCTGATCTCGATGTCCGACGGAAGGCCTTGAGTATTGCCCTGGAAATGGTGTCGAGCAAGAACGTTCAAGAAATTGTTATGCTGCTCAAGAAGGAACTGAGCAAGACGGTTGTCGAACAGTATGAGAAGAACGCGGAATATCGACAGTTGTTGATCCAGTCCATCCACCACTGTGCCATCAAGTTTTCCGAGATCGCCGCCAGCGTGGTGGATGTGTTGATGGATTTCATTGCGGATTTCAACAACAGCTCCGCCGTGGAAGTCATCTCTTTCGTCAAAGAAGTGGTGGAGAAATTCCCCAAGCTCAGATCTCCAATAGTGGAGCGGCTAGTGTCGACCTTGGGCGAAGTACGGGCGGGCAAGGTGTATCGGGGCTCTTTATGGGTGATTGGGGAGTATTCGTTGCAGGAACATGACATCAAGGAGGCTTGGAAGCGGATTCGGGCCAGTCTGGGCGAGATACCGATTCTTGCGGCGGAGCAGCGCTTGCTGGAGGAACAGTCAAGCGAGGATGCGGAAGTACCCAAGGAACAAGTCAACGGACACGCCAACAAGCCGACATCGAGCAGCTCTAGAAAGGTCCTAGCGGATGGCACCTACGCCACTGAAACTGCCATGACCAGTGACTCGGCAGCAAAAGCTCGGTTAGAAGCAGTCAAAGCTGCCCAAAAGCCACCTCTGAGACAGCTTATCCTGGATGGCGACTACTACCTGGGATCAGTGCTCTCATCAACCCTTACCAAGCTGGTGATGCGACATTCTGAAATATCCTCGGATCAGGCGCGCACCAATGCTCTTCGTGCGGAGGCCATGCTTATCATGATCTCGATCATCCGGGTTGGACAGTCACAATTTGTCAAGGCACCCATTGACGAGGACTCGATCGATCGTATCATGTCGTGCGTGAAAGCACTGGCCGAGTTCACCGAGCACAAAGAGTTGGAAACGTCCTTCCTGGATGATACGCGAGAAGCGTTCCGAGCAATGGTACAAGCGGAGGAAAAGAAACGTGCTGCTAAGGAGGCTGTGGAGAAGGCCAAGACGGCCATCCAGGTCGACGATGTTTTCACCATACGACAATTGACCAAAAAGAGTGCTGCGGATGGGATGGATGAAATGGAGCTTGATCTTGAAAAGGCCACTGGTGGGGATGCATCTTACGAGGATCTGTCATCCAAACTCAGTCGTGTTGTGCAACTGACGGGCTTCTCGGATCCGGTCTACGCCGAGGCGTATGTCAAAGTGCACCAATTCGACATCATTCTTGATGTCCTACTTGTCAACCAGACAAACGAGACACTTCAGAATCTGTCGGTCGAGTTTGCGACCTTGGGCGACCTGAAAGTGGTGGAGAGACCAACCACGCACAACCTCGGCCCGCAGGACTTCCTCAACGTGCAATCGACCATCAAGGTGTCCAGCACCGACACCGGCGTGATTTTTGGCAATGTCGTCTATGACTCTCCTTCCGGGACAGATACGCACGTGGTTATCTTGAATGATGTCCATGCGGATATCATGGATTACATTCAGCCTGCAACATGTTCTGAAACGGCCTTCCGGACCATGTGGACCGAATTTGAATGGGAGAACAAGGTCAACATCCACAGCAAGAGCACGGACAAGACTCTCCGGCAATTCTTGGAGCAGTTGATGAAGAGCACAAACATGACCTGCCTGACTCCCGAAGCGGCATTGCAGGGCGACTGTCAGTTCCTCAGTGCCAATCTGTATGCACGCAGTGTTTTTGGTAAGTTTTTACTGGCCGTGCCTTTCTTGACAGCTTACTGATTGTTCTAGGCGAGGATGCGTTGGCGAACTTGAGTATAGAAAAGACGGCCGACAACTCGATCGTGGGATTCATCAGAATTCGGTCACGCTCGCAAGGTCTGGCCTTGAGTTTGGGCTCGTTGAAAGGACTAAAAGCAGGCACATACTAGGCCCTTCCTGGTTTGTCGATGTTTGGATGATGGACCAAGGACGAGACCGTGATGGTGATGGTCAGCTGGGATTGTGCGAACTAGAAGCATCTGGAGCATCAACGCGCGACTACGACGGAAATCTTGATAAGCTCGAAATGATACAGAGTGGCCCATCAATGCGACAAGAAAAGAAAGACGAGACTCGCCTCATGGTGTTATGTAGTCGAATCACGTGCGAGGCTGAGCAACCAGTACCGCTTACCAGGTATGCATAGTCTTTGGGATGAACCGTACATGTAGTCAGCCTGCAGCTCGTTCCACTGGTCTGACCTGTTCAAGACCCCATCAACCTTGGGTGGCCGTCGCTGTATGGCCACTGCATAGTAGAAAACGGGCACTGCCAAAAGTATTATAAATGTGATCCAACAGTCGGGCGAGGCTCCGGGTGATGTAGTGTCTTGGGAGGGTCGCCAGTCCGCCATTCAAACCAATTTCTTGCAAGTCTTCCCAGCCATCGCATTCTGGCACCGCATCCCAGCTCCGACTCAAGTCTACCAGGTTTCCGGCACCATGTCGCTGCTGGCAGATCTCGACTACCATGCTGATCGTCATGGTCACAATCAGTTCCTACTAGTAGTCCAAGTCCAGCACAACTCCGTACCAGCACCACGTTTCCCGGATCCTCCGCCCTGAGCAACGCACCCTCGAATCCCGCCCGCCGCCCTGGTCACTGGGAGCACAGCAAACGCCGCGGACTTGAAGTGGCCGGGTCGGATCTTAATTTCTTTGTTTCCAGTTCCTACTAACGCGGCGATCGACTGTGAATCCGAGTCCCGTCCCGAACCGTCGCCATGGCGCCGTGGCTGCGGCTTGCCGCGCTACCAGCCTCTGTCCTTGCCCTGATCGTGGCTACCGCTACTACCACCGCCACGCAACACAATCCCGACTGGGATTGGCAGTGGCCGTACAATCTGCCTGCCGATGCGAAATACTACCCGGAGGATGAAGTCGTGATCAAACGAGACATTGCGATCCAACAGAAAATGCGGAGGAGTGGTGCTACCGTCACCGGCGTGAGGAAAATGAGCGGCAACCCGGGCGAGAAGTTCTATCTTGACTACTGGGGGTTTGCGCCGGAGACGGAAGAAGAAGAATATGATGAAGTCATCAATCGGGCAAATAATGCCACGCTCGCCTCGCTCGATGCGGCGGTGAGAGTGAAAAGAGACGCTCCGCGGGCAAAGCTACATTTACCTGGATGGCATCTTTTTTGGAAACGAGGATTCCAATGTCCATCCGGGACGACGGCGTGCACCTCGATCGACCGGCCCAACAGCTGTTGCGCGACAGATTCGACGTGTCAGTTGGTGACAGACACGGGGCTCGGAGATGTCGGATGTTGTGCGCACGGGCAGGTCTGTGCAGGCTCGCTCTCCACCTGTGCTGACGGATATATTTCGTGTCCCAACAACCCCGGCGGAGGGTGTTGTATCCCCGGATATGCATGCTACGACGTTGGCTGTGTGCAGACATCGACGGCGACGCTGGTGAGCACGCCCACGCCAACAGAAACACAGTCACCGTCTCAAACTCAGACACAGACACAGACGCCTTCCACGACGACCGTCACTTCGTACACGACCATCACGCCAAGTCCATCACCAACAACAGCATCAGAATCGTCGAGTTCTTCGTCGACCAGTATCTCGACCTCCACCTCGACACCAACAACGACTCTTACGCCTGAAATCATCACAATAATAAAGACAGTCACCGTCACATCATCATCTACTCTGCCGCCAGACAGTCTGACATGTTCATCAGGGTATCGATCCTGTCCGGCATCACTGGGCGGTGGCTGTTGCCCAACAGATCGCGACTGCGGCTCTGCAAACTGCCCTGCTAGAACTACTGCCACAAGCTCAAGCTCCTCTGCAACCGCAGCGCCCCCAGTCCGTCCAACCAGCTTGACCACGACAGAGACAACGACAGTTCCTGGCAGCAGCAGCAACAGCAGGTCGTCCGTTACCGGCTGTCCGACAGGCTTCTACGCCTGCAGCGCATACTATCAAGGCGGATGCTGTCAAGTCGGCCGCAACTGCGACAAAACGTCTTGTCCTGCTTCTGATAGCACGACCATCGTCGACAACTCTGCAGGTAGTTTGACGATTGTCGCCCCGACAGGTAGTGGTATTACGGCGGTGGGATCGTCGCTCTTGACTGGCTCCTGCGCTAAGGGGTGGTTGACTTGTGCCCCTACTGTGGGAGGTGGGTGTTGTCCGTCGGGATATGAGTGTGAGGTTTCGAGTTGCGCCGTTCCTGCTAGTGTTACGGGTGGTTCGGACGTGGGGAAGATGGCGCCTGAAAATTCAGCTGAACGGAGTCGGTCAATTGGTCTCAAAGGAGTTCTTGGGTGGGCATGTGCGTGGGTGTGTTATTCCTGGTTCACACGCAGGTTGTATTTTTGACATCTGCCATTAGATTGACGAGCGCAAGGGGAAGAGCAGAAGCGGACTGTATATAAGAAATGAAGTATTTCTCTCTCCTACCACCGACGTTTTTCCTGTGATTGTTTTTGGCATGTCTCTTGTCTATAAACACTTTCTTAGGCATGGATGTTCATGACCTTAAGTCCGTAGGTATTACAGGCGTTACTCAGGCAATAGGCATGAGTGGGAGTTCCAGGTATTGTATAGCACAAGAAAAGGACGAGCTTTGTTGATAGATTGTATTGCCAGCCGCGCAATAGGGGAGAGCAAGGCTGTGCACGTATGGCCGGATATCTAAACTATTCAAGGTGGTTCATTGTTGTAATGTGTCCTCCCCAGTGACCCGTCTTGCCAATCGCTTTCAACAGAAATCCCCGTCTGGAAAATTAAGCCAGGAATATAGAGACCAGCATAGAACAGCCCCAAGGCAAACACGGGTCTACAATTTCAGAGTACCGCCGCCGGACTCTATGGTCTGGCGATCCGGTCTCTTGTTCTTCTTGCCTCCTAGGTCCTGGAGTTCGCCCTTCTTATCAATAATCTTGACGTTTCCTTTACGTAGCTCCGTCAGAATATCAGCCTTCTCCTGCTCGGTCTTCTTCTTGCGAGAGACTGTTGTCGCGGCGCCATCAGGTCCAGCAACAGGAGCCTTGCCCTGAGCTTGGGCCTTCTTGATGCGCTCCTTCTCCCTCCTTCGGCGCCGGATCTTTTCCTCCCTTGTCATCTCATCTTTATTGACGCTGACACCGCTCTTGCGCACCACCAGGTCGCGGTCAGTCTTCTCCTCGCCGGGACGATACACCTCTTGAGGAGCGAGCATGCTCTCTTCCGCATTGACACCCATGCCGACAGGCCTGGCATCTTCCATGCTGATGGTAGGTTTATCTTCAACAGTCTTGATCTCAGCTTCGACGCGCTTCGGCTTAAAGTGTAGGTTGCTCAACAGGTCTAGTTGAGCAGAAACCTCCTTCCACAACCTACTAATCTCTTCATGTTGCTTCTTGGTCGCCGCGGATCGTTTGTCGACATATCCTGGGTCTGTCGAGCGTAGATGTTCCTGCTCATACACTTCTGCAAGGCCGGACTGTGGCTTTGTGTCGTCGACTTCCACTCGACCCCGGCGTGTTTCGTTGGCATTACCGAGGGCATCTGGGTGGCGGCGGACAACTTCATCAAACTCGCGAGCGAGGATACGTCGTTTGATCAATTGTTCGATTTCTTCCGAGACTTCGGACGTGACCACAGGAACAGGCTTGCCGATTCGCTCAAATTCGAGATCTTCCTCGATCAGCGAGTTGAGCGGTCGGTCTGCAGCTCGTGCTTCTCCTGACAATGTCCAGTCACGCTTGGCGACGTTGGCAGCTTCGAGGCGGCGGATTTCGGCCGCTATGGCTGCTCTTTGCTTTTCGTGGGTTGACATGTTCTTCATTGAGGGCCTGTCACCATCCGCTTCCGAACCTGATTCCTCATCGGATAGCTCTTCATCGGATTCCAGCAAATCTCGCCGCACATCATTCATCGCTCGCTGCATGTCCCCCTCGATGTCTTCGTCTTGCTGCTGGGTTTGGGGCGCAGGCTGCGTCTTTGGTAGAGCTCGCATTCGTTTTGTCTTGGATAGTTTCTTGGGAGGAGGCGCAAAGAAATCCTCATATCGAATGTCATTTGTGTTGTCTAGACCTGGGATACCATCTTCAAGGCCGTTGGTCTCCTCATCCAACATTTCCTCATCGCTGTCTGGGGCGTTGAGGTCGGCATTCCCGAATGTAGGGCCGTCCTCTTCGTCAGATTCGCTGTCTTCATCGGTAGGACCAGCTTGGTTCTTGCCCGAGCCGCTCGACTTCCCTTTTGGCTTATTGAGGGGCATCGCCAACGGGTCTGCGTCCCAGTCAATCTCATCTTCGTCACTTGGGTTGTCATCCTCGCCCATCGCGTCTAGTTGTTCCAGAAACTGTGTCTGCTTGTTGAAGTCGTCGATGGAGAAGAAACCATCGTTCAGATTGTGGGGGTCAGGGACGAACGTTCCAGGATCTTTGGTCTCAGCCTCAGAAGCAGAATCATCTCCCTCGATGTCTTCGTCTTCGACGTCATCTTCGTCCAAGTCGTCTTCTTCGTCATAGTCTTCGCCGTCCAGTCCCTCTTCGTCTGACAACTCTTCGTCTTCAAATCCGTCCTCAAGAGAATCCTCTGTCTCCTGGCCAGTTTCATCATTGACCGTTGCCACGCCATTGACTGCATCCTCGGCATCAGACTTTCCGGCTACTCTTGCGTTGGCTTGTTCGAGATTCTGTCGGCTAGTAAGATCTCTCTCTATTTCAGAGCAAGCCGCATCAAGGACCCTCTTGGCCTGTTCCCATATCTGCTTTACTCCCAGCCCAGCAGTGTATACCTGGCGCAGTTGCAGGATTTGCTCTTCACGTTCCACGTCGCCTCGTTTCCTCTTCTTCCTGTTTTCATCTCTTCTTAGTTTCTGGATCTCTGCAACGTTTGCCGCTAATGGATCAAGAATATTCTTAACCGTGGCCAACGCCTCGGCGTGTAGGGACGGCGGAGGTTGCAGGAAGGCATGGGACGAGGACTCGAGGCTTGTGATCAACGGGGCCGGGGCAACCGCACTGCTGGCAACGGTAGCCATATTCACGAGCCCGTCGTACAGTGGTGCACGAGTCTGGCAGCCTCAGCTGGTATGCTACTACCAACACGACGTGGTGTTGGTGTCGATGCGTAGGCCAAAAAAACAGCCTCAAGCCTGCGGAGAATAATTTTTTTTCTGCGGCCGCCCCTCAAGACACTTCGCAGCCAGTCAGAATGGGCGCGCAAAAGTGGGTTTGCCAGTGTTCGGAGGCGATGTCAAGGTTGGTTTAGGGCCTGGACGTTAAGCACTGGCAGGCCAGCTCCGGCTCGGTTAATAGATAACGTCGACACGAGCCACAGACCACTCGAGTTTCAGCCAGGCTTTGTTCCAGCTGCATCCACGCCCCCAGCATCCACCCTCTACCTGATTCGGCCTGCCTACGTTGTACAATATTCGTTCATCAACCCCGAGTCTCAGGCTACGGAAATGCATCAACGATAAACACCTGCCTCAGCCTTTGCAGTGGAGTCTCTGCACCATAATAATTCACTTTCACGTGGAGTCCCAGCAGAGTCGGATAATTCAGACGACGCCCGTTGAGGTTCAAACTTTGGGAGCCACTCTCCACCGACTACCGTGCTAGGAAATGAGATGGGGAATGTGAACGGAGAAAATTTTCTGTCCCAGGGTCCGTTGTAGACGTTGGCGGTGGATGCTCTGTTGGGATGTTAAGGTTGTTGGCAGTTGTTGTTGATGTAGTCGTTTCACGCAGATGAATAATAACCACTGTGGGAGTCTGATAGTATTGTTCTGGGAACACAATAATGGATAGGGCTGAATACATTGTACAGCGACAAGAAGCCCTAGACGCCATCCAGAACGAAGAGAAGCCGATCCGGAGCAGCATGTACAGGACCTATGAAGCGGTGATGGTCGACTCACGATTGCAGGAATAACAACAACTTATTACTGCAACTCATCCGGTGCTATTCCGGTGGATACCGAGTAGGCGAGGTGTGCTAGCTAACTGCATTTCAATGTAGGTATCCAGGAACAATAGTATCTGCATTACCTGTAGTTGTAGTTGTACAAGAATGTAGCATTTGGAAGTTGGTGGAGACAGTGATGATAGATAGTTGGATTGTAGCACCTTCATGTACGAGTGGTAGCGAGAACGGCAGTTACCGCAGGCTGCCACACTCCGGCGGCGGGACTGCTGGAGCAGGAGAGCCGGAGGCCAAGGGCGTGTTATCACAGTTACCTAGGTATGATTTTATCATTACTACAATGTTAGTAGGTGTGAGTACAATGTAGTTGTAGTCGTCGCGAGACAATGTACAACGCAGTCCTAGGCACTCCACCCAGCATCCTAAGCCCAAAAGTGCGCTTCCCAAGCCTGAATACGTTGTAAGCCACCCACGACTCCCCAAGTGGCCTCCCTACCAGGTAGCCTCCCTAGCCCCTCGGCCCCCTCCAGCCCCAGCCAAGCACCAGATTTCTTCTGACTCCTTCTAGCGAGGGCAGACCAATGCTCCGGACCGGGTCTGTCTGATTCCCCTGCGCCCCGTTATTCGTGCTCCATTGTTCCCATCATCGTCCCTGGCTCTCCCGCCAACACCTGCATCTCAAGCTGGCACTAAACACCCTGTGGCTTTTCTCTGCCCTGTCATTGACGGGCTTTGAGTGTGGCTCCATTCCAGATCGATAGATTCACATCACACATGCATCTTGGGCTTTCCAAGGCTATGCACTGCACGTCCACTTCCAGGCTTGTCTAGTCGAATGCTTCCTTCCTCTTCAAATGCGCTCTCACTTCTTCTTTCCCGGCAGAACCTGAGTTCTCACCACCATTACTACCATTGACAGCAACAGTATATACCTGTGTCCTCTCCAATGTCTTGATTCCAGCATGGCTATGTTCGATAGAGAGCTGCCGGCTTTCTCCGGTCGTTGAACCTTCCGCTCCGAGTCCTCCTCACAGTGCGCCGACCTTTGCGCAGTTTGTTGTTTCCTCTCTCGAAGAACCCCTGCACCCCGCTTTCGAACCGAGCGTCTACGAGTTCCACGGAAATAACTCTCGTGGTCCCAAATGAAGTTTGGCGAGACCCTCGTCCAGAGGTCTGTGCCAAAATGGGCGGCCTACAACGTCAAATACAATGAACTCAAACATGTTATCAAAGAAAGAACCTCTGCCGGAGCAGCCGTCCCTGTTGATATTCCGGCCCAAGGAAAGTCACGCTGGGAAGAGCTGGAGAACCAGCTGTTCGATCTGCTAGCAGCGGAATACGACAACGTCACGCTCTTCCTGCGCAGCAAGCAGGGTGAGATTGAACGCCGGCTTGCCCACATTGAGAAGCAGATTGGCATAGCCCGACGCGCTGTACAAGACAATGCCCTGGATAAGCCTGTACTACAAGCCCATAAGTACCGGCAACTGGTGAGGGACACTGAAGAGCTCGCCGACGATATACAGAATCTAGCGCGCTTTGCTGCTGTCCAACGGACTGCTTTCCGCAAAATCTTGAAGAAGTACCGCAAATGGACCGGGTCGACCTCTTTACAGACCCGACTCGACGTGGAGGTCTTCTCCTCAAATAAGCTGCAGACAGACTTTTCCGACTATCTACAGCAGTTGTCCGAAGTCAAGACTATCCTGACCGAGGAGCTTGCTGGCCCCATGCTGACCGGTCGACGTCAAGGAGGTCCGACGGACGGAGAACAGAAACGGATTTCCGCCTCGTCCAAGAGATCGGCCATCGCTCAGATCAACAATGCTCTCCTGCGTGGCCCTCTTCCATTTGATGCGGCTCTCCTGACTGTGCCCTACGGCGAGGCCGCCGGCAGCGCCTTCTACTGGATCCATCCTGATAATTTGGACGAGGCTCGCATGCTGCTACTTAGGCATATGCGTGATCCAGCTGGCTCTGCTGCGCACTCTAGAAGAGGTTCTGCCGAATCCCTGGAATCTCGGAAAAGGCTCACTTCTTTCTCGACCGCTAACTCTGCTGTCAGTCATATGGCGGTATTCGACAATGCACAAAGGTACATAAAGGATACCAGCCTCTCACGGCCGTCTCGGATAGCGTTGAGTGCCCATTGGAGCCGTGATCCCGAGGCCGTCGTCACTCTTGCTGGACTTTCCCCTACTGTTTCTGGTGGAACTCTCCTTACTATCAATCGAAAATCACTGTCAAAGGCGCTTCAACGCGATAACCGGGCAGCAGATGATCCAGCCGAGGTGCGCCCCATCCAGAACTACCTATCAGAACATAGAGACATCAAGCCTCTGGCTGAAGTTTGCGTGAGCCGATCACGCTACGTAGGGTTGACCAATTCCAATGAGGTCGCAAACTGGGCGACATTGGATACAAACATCACAGTCAGCCCTGTGGACGTGTTCCAGCTGGGTCAACCACAGCACGACTCGCAGACAGGAGTTGCGTTCCCCTATGCAGTCTTACATATCCGCTGGGAATTCGCGCCGACGCCGGAGGTTGTCCGAGCATTTGACGCCTCTTACTTGGTTGAGCGAGTTCAGAACTTCACGCTCGAGGACATGGCTATTCACAACGTCCAGACCGACCTCCCTCAGCCATCATGGCGTCCACTCCTTGAAAAGGACATCAGGAAAGTGCCCGTGGTTCCTCGCAATCAAAGACTCGGGAGATCGTCCCGGGCTAGACTGAATGCCTCAGATGCTGTTGGTTCGTCTTCAGGGCCACCATCCGCTGATGGACCCCCTAGTATCTTTTCGTTGCCACTTGGCGGCCAGTCTTCCGCAACTTCAGACGAGGGTGGTCGTATTGGCACCCCTGTCACCACCACCAAGTCAAAGGGTGACACATTAACAGGTCGACGACATAAGCAGGGGAAGGCACGGCCTGAGGTCCCGGACCGTGAACAGCCGCCGTCAGGCAGATATTGGAACGAATTTGACGATGGAGACTCTGATGTCAACCCAGGCGACGAGTACGTTATCTACGTTGATCCCAATGAACCAACATTTCCAGGTGCCGAAACATTTTCCAAGACGTTTGGTGCCATGTACAATAGCTTCAGTAAAGGCACTGCGAAGGTGATTTCTTGGCTACCCCTCTCTTCCGCACGGTTGGGCAGCAGCAACAATGGTGAGAGATCACCACTACTCGGGCGGCAGCAGAGCAGCGAAGACCCGGAGTCATCAGGGTCCGATACAGACGAGTTTTACATGCCACAACCGCACCAACGTCAAGATCACCGCCGGAGAGACCGGACCAGAAGACATGGCTCCGGCACCTACCGCCCTCATCAATTCCTGAGTCGTCGACAAAAAGCCCTGGAACGGACGTTGTTTTCATTCTACAGTGGCCTGCTCGCTCTCTCGTACGTTCTCCTGCTCATGTCTGGCATCCTTCTGGCAACCGGCCGTAGAAAAGCATTGGTCGAAGTGGATGCTGGCGTTGTTGCAGGGATCGTGTTTGCAGAGGCTTGCGCTGTCACTGCGGTGATATTGATTTTCATGCGGAAACAAAGATTAAGTGTGGTGCATTGGGGAATCGTGGGAGTCATGGTCGCGAGTATTGTGGTTCTTGGTGTCGCTCTGCTGGCGCTCATGTTTGCCCACAACAGAAGCGCTGCGGAAAAGGGAGGTCATTCAAAGTTGGGACTTTGACGAATGGGATAAATTAGTGTTGCACGATTGGTTATGGGGTGCATTCTACAGTGACACTGAGAGCATGGAAGTACAAGTCATGTTTTGTCCAAGCGGCTGGCAGGTGGTATGCAGAACCATTGTTCACGCAGGAGTCAGCCTGATTCCACTTCGGACCAGAAGGAGAGGCTATTTTGGTACTACCGGCCTCAAGTGCCGGGCCGGTTGTGTTGGTTTCAAAGAGCAGGAGATTGGACACTATACGACACGTTACGATAATGCAGACATGTCAGTACAGCACAGCGCGGTCTCTTACGGCCCGATAGACAAGTATACGATGTCGATACTACTTAGGTACAGGTACCTTCCTCCCAGTGGTTCTTCAGTTGGAGAAATCGTTGAAACGCCAAAGTATGGTCTTCATGGAGCAGCCGCTAAGCAAGGTGGAAGAGCCGCGTCTTAGGTTTCAACAGCCCTGAGCTGTGCAATAATCACCGGGCCTCAGTGTGTTGTCGTTTGCGAAGAAAAAAGTGGCTTAGTCAGCAGTAGTCGGAGGTGTCCAGCGGAGACAAACGGAGACCTGCGCGGGAATTTGTATGCGGCGCAATGCCGGTGTCTCCGGTCGCAGAGTCCTACTTTTCTGACATTGAGCCTTGCAGTACGGGAGTGAGGGCACTTCCTCGCGTTCGACTTGTTCAAATCCATGTCTCGATCAGGTTGGCTATGACACGGGGGGCTGTTGCTCGCAAAGGACTGAGTCGCTGGCTTTAAGCTGCCGTTGTTCGAAGGCAGTCAGACTACCAATTAGGTTGGTCCGCTGGCCGCCTTTGAATGTATCTGGACAGTCTCTGTGGCCTCGCAGCAGCATGAGCGTCTGTCGGTTTGCGGCGACATGTCTGCATGGCATTGGTATTCGTCTACTTCTGTTGGTTCTGTTGGTGGACTTGTCGGTTCTGGTGTCGGTGTCCGGGTACAAGGTCCCGGACTATGTGATTGAATATGGTAAGTACCTACCCAGGTGGACATCATGTCCGACGATGGTGGGAAGCCACTGCCCCATTTTGAAATATAACCAGCACGTTTGTGCGTGCGTTTGTGTTCGTGTGTGTCTGTGTATATGATATGCATGGAAGTCAGTGACTGATTTGTCTCTTTCTTTTGGGGAGGAAACACAGCTCCGATCATCTACTTGCGTTCCGACGACCCGTTCATGCCAAGCGACATCGCCGGCCATATTGTGCATACCCGACCGTTTCTGGGTTTCGAGCCAATACCGGAGACGGAAATCGGTCCGTTGGATTTGAATAACCTGTCGTCTCTCAACCGCTACGGTAATGGCGACGGCAAGGGAAAGGGAAAGGGAAAGGGTGAGAGAGTCTATTTGACGTCCATTGACAATGTCACGAGTAATCCACTGGCTGAGTGGCTTTTGGGCGAGACACCCGATGCGACGACGGGGGAACTGTACAATTCGACGGCTTGTGCGGTGGTAGTTGTGGAGAGTACAGAATCCAAGGAGCACCAACTGGACGCGTTTTATTTTTACTTTTACTCGTTCAATGAAGGCGCGGATATCACGCAGGTGTTGCCGCCTTTGAATCGAATTTTTCCGGATGCCAGTCCTGGAAATCATTTCGGGGACCATGTGGGTGACTGGTAGGTACAGTACACCATGGAAGAAGTTGTGGCTTGTCCTGTGTTGTGTTGTTGCACTGCTTGCTGACCTTGATGTCGGAACAGGGAGCATAACATGATCCGGTTCAAGAATGGAAGGCCGACAGGGATATATTTCAGCCAACATGCCAGCGGGCAGGTTTGTGATTGGGACGATGATGGCTGCTTTTCAAAGAAAGGCCAGAGGGTGTGTACCACCACTACCAGTATTGTGATATTGAATGCATTGCATGGATTCGTTGGTGGTAGAGTGTTAAGCTAACAGTTGTGATCATGGTAGCCCTTCGTGTTTAGTGCAAGAGGCTCACATGCAAACTATCCATCTGAGGGGTAAGCCGTCTTGTTGTCTCTGTTCCGTTCAGGTAATTTCTTGAGGCTAAATGAGAGTGTGGTAACAGGAGCCACGTCCACGACGAAGCCTTGGTCGACATCGCCGACAAAGGACGGCTATGGGACCCTGTCAAGCCGGCTTGGTTCTATAAATACGATCCGGACACCGACACGTTTGTCTCTGCAGATATGGGCACAGACTCAGGTTCTGGCGATGGTGGCGACGGCGCCACCTATCCAACCGACTGGTTTTACTTCCAAGGCGCATGGGGTGACAAGAAATACAACGACTCAGATCCCCGACAGAAAACGGTCCCTTACTTCGGCTTGAAAAAATATGAAGATGGTCCTACAGGGCCCAAATTCAAACATCTTGTTCGCAAGGGGTTGATGCCCGATGAGAAGCCCAAGACTAATCTTATGAAGGTGATGGTAAGATGGTATTTGCGGTTATATGGCTGTTGTCTCCATGGAATTAATCCGTGGGTGGTGGTTCTGGGGACTCTTTTGGTTCTTGCGGCAGGTGCTTTTGTTGTTGTGTTTGCGGTTATTAGGATTCGACGACTGGTCAAGAGACGGTGGCGGCAACGGAAAGATAGGCTTGGAGGTGAGCGGGGGGTGGGGATGATTTCGGATATGAATATCCCGTTGTTAGATCTCGAACGAGTTGATGACGAACTTGAGAGTTGATACATGTGCCGGATGATAGATGTCACTGCAGATTGCTTGGTCTCATACATACCTCGTAACATAGATAGACGTCTTGGATGATTTGTGCCACGTGTTACGAGAGTGCCTCGTGCCTGTTCCCCTGTCATGACGAGGACTACATGGAAACGAGACCATTTTGATATCTTCAGAGACCGGGCCGGCGCTCGTTCATACCTCGTGTCTGGTCTGTGTAACAATGTCATGGTGCTCTGGTCCACAACCAGAGGCATGGCGTCCAGCAGTCGGAAAACCATCTGCTGTGTTGAGTTGTAGACGAGGCTGAGCGGCCATGGTACAGTGCCCGGTATGTGGCTCGCCTGCATCTGAATTATGCCAGTGACCCGCTCCAGATGAAGAGGTTAGTACTGTGCATACCCGGTACTATACCTCGGCTTGGTACTACTAGTAGCACGCGGTACTGCTCAGCTCCAGCAATATCTATATTCTTTGGACCACAATGTAGTCTCCCCCTGGTGCCAACGGCGCAGTGCAGTGAAGTACTCCAGCTACCTACAAGTACTAGGTAGGCATACAACTTGAACGTTGCACTGCAGTGGCAGCACAACTGCACGGAATGCGGCGCGTACAAATTGAACTTGCATGTAATTGGCTCCCAGTCCACGTGGGACGTGACATCATGGCGGACCGCGGGGAGCGGACCGCATTGGACGGACCATCTGTCACCATCGTCCCGACGCCACTGCAAGACCTTTCAAGATCTGGGTTGGTACGCGGCGACATGCCGTACTAGTAACCGCACTGGCATGACACTGCAGAGACTCAACCTTCTGGATCATCATTCTCAGTAGTACTTCTGCTGTTCATGCAGTCGAACACCCGGAAATCACTACCCGCTCGGCTCTGGGCGGACACTTGAAAGATTGCGTATGCGGCGGCGCCCATCATATCATCACATTGAGCCGCGTACTGCGTTGCAGTGTGTACATCGTACAGTATATCAGGGTCCTTGAATCGCACTGCACTGCAACAGGGAAGTCTTTTCCATCTGTCCCCTGCAGTGAGCAGTACTGAGCCTGCGCCAAATTTCGTGACTGCGCAGCGCAGCATTCTATTCTGATCTTGCCGCCTACCTCGCTCTCTATCTAGAAGGCTTTGATCTAGTCTGGTCTTGTTCGCTGAGCGCAAGCAAGACTCGGATTAATTGCGAAGAATCAGGGAAGCAATAGCTGAAGCAGACAACCACCCAGGAAGAGTTACCATCACCATCGACCAAAATTGCATAATCTTATCGATTGAACGTCTACTATGTCCTAGACCTCTGGGACCATCACCACACCCGACACCCCGACACCCAGCCCAGCTCAATTCAACTCAACAACAGTACCTTACTTTCTCCAGCTACTCACTCAACCGACAATACAGTACATACCAACTAATTCCTCTTTCGCTCGAGAACCAGAAATGGCCAACCATAACATCGACGTCGACGCCGAAACCCAAACGACGTCTCAATCTCACGCTCACGAATCCTCCCCCCTTCTACCTTCCGACCGCCGCTACCTCACCCGCCTCCACCAATCTCCCCGCGACTTCATAGCCTGCCACATCATCAAGATCCACGGCGAAGAGTCGCGCGTCTGGCAGATCCGACGATCACTCCAACGTTTTCTCGCAAGCAAATGGGGCCATTACTTTGTGATTTTGCTGGTGGGACTTGACATCAGCTGCATCTTTGCCGACTTTTTGATCTCGCTACATATTTGTGAGAATGCGGGCGACGAAAAATTCGATTACAAAGACTGGCAAAAGGCGAATGAGGCACTGGGATATGTGAGCCTCGCGTTTTCGTGTCTGTTCATGGCGGAATTGCTGGGGAGTGTTTTTGCTTTTGGGTTTGAGTAAGTAGCAGTTTCTTCTCTTCTCCTGTCGTTTGTCGTGTTGGTCCTGTCTGTCTCTGCCTGCTATGCTAGCCAGAAATCTTTCCGTCGATCGCTCAGATCCACTGGATACTTTTGCGGTTGCACGTGGCAGCATTGCGGTGCTGGCAGTACTACAACCACCGTTCGAACCCATTCCCCGTCCACAGAAACAAACGGCTCCGGTCCAACCCTGACTGATTGATGGTTTAACAGCTACTTTCGCTCCAAATTCCACATCTTTGACGCCCTCGTCATCATCGTCGCCTTCGTCATCGACGTCCTCCTCCGCGGCGGTCCGCTCGAAGAAGCTGGCTCCTTGGTCGTCGTGCTCCGACTCTGGCGAGTGTTCAAGATTATTGAAGAGTTTTCCTCGGGCGCGGCCGACGAGGTGGACGAGTTACAGGAGCGCATTGAGGCGTTGGAACGGGAGAAAGAGGAGATACTGAAACAGAATCAACAGTTGAGGTATCGTGTGGGTTTAAACCGTCGAACTTCCAACAACGATGGGGATGAGGATGGAAATGCCGCTGATGGCGGAGCCGTTGCTGGTCGCATGCCGGTCGGTCCAAGTTGATGGGTTAGATTCACCTCGATGATTGTGTGACACAAGGTGTCCACCCCCTCCCCTCTTGGACAAGACGTCCGTGTCACAATATTCCAATGTGCATGTATACCTATGTACTGTATCCATGCAGTTTTGCGGCCTGCAGTGGCGACAGAGATGACTATTACCTTACTTTACACTTCTATGACATGCCAGTGCGCCAGTGCATTGAGGAAAGGCAATGACTGTTATGATCAGAAGGAAACATAATGAGAGATACCTATACTCCTACTCCGCGACAGTATCACACGCTGAGCAGCGAAGGCAAAAAAGAGGCTATACAAATACCGGTAATGATAAGATGTGATTCGTTCAATCTGAGGCTCGCTAATGTGGCTCTTTCTGCTAATACACTCGAAAAAAAGTAAAAGAAAACCTCGGTCGCGGCCGCTTTTTGCGATGCCACGCCGTAATGATAGTCATGACCGGAAACCGGAAATCAAACCCATCCAGGATCATGATGTTGAAATCTGTGAGCTGCACTCGCCGGCAACAGCTGGAACCCTCTGTCCTTAAACCACTAATTCATGATCTTGCTCGGTCACATTCCTCAATGAACCTGTAGATCCCCTCAACACCTTCATAGCCGTTCCCAGCCGCGGACGTTTTATGGCTCTGTCGAACAGAAACGTTGCGAGGCTGGAAGAAGTACATGGCAGCATCACCGTCCATGTCAGACTCGCTTCCGTGCAAGCTGGAGTATCCAAAGGGCGAAGAAGCCCAAGGGTTATGGTCCAGATCTTTGTCGACCATTTCGAATGCATTGTCTGACTGGCTCGTGGCGGAAATATGCGAGTAACCCGCCGACGGTTGTAGCGCCGGCGAAAGCATCTCGTGCCACTCGATTTTATCCCGCTTCACGCGTTTCGTCGCCCGACATTCCTGATAAGAGTCGACACAGACCTCACTGGCGGTCTTGCTGGGTGCAAAGGGGAAAAGAAGCGCCATATCGGTTCCGTTGTGCACGTCGAAATCCTCATCTTGACCAACAAGTCCACGTCGGATGTTTAGTTCTCGACAGAGATTCTCGACCGTGTCTGCGTCACAGCCGGGGAAGCGGACTCTTAAAGTTGTACTGTCGTGCAAGGAGATGGGGAGATCCCCCAAAACAGATAAATGCTTGAGGTCGTTCATGATGGCAGCCAAGTCTTTGAGAGCACGGGCAAAGTCGACGGCGAGGTTGGACATGACGGCGACATTGTTCAAGGTATCCTGCTGATGTCCATGTTCGCAGGAAGCTGCGGAGGGAGAGCGAGGCACGCTGCTCAAGGGACCGACTGCGGTGATGGTCGGAGAAACCTTGAAATCAAGGTAAGACCCCGGGGCATTGGCCGCAGACATGTCCATCATATGCTTTGCTTCATCTTGCAGACTGGACATAGCCCGAAAGCGCTTTTCTCCTGTACGAGGGTTGGCACCGTCAAAACGCACTTTCTGGCCTGACAACCAAAAAGCTCGGACTGCTTGAGATACGTTGTTGACCACCTGTGCTGGAGCGGCCGGCGAGTGGGAAAAGTATCTTGCTCCGCCGACGCGACCACCTCCGAGTCCATAACCGCCAGCCGACCGGCATAAGGCACCGCCAGTCAAGTTGGGTCGGAGAGTAGATGCGAAAGGTGCACGGCCAGTCGACCGTCCAACGGCGGAAGCGGTCCTTGAAGAAGGATAGGATGCTCGCCCGGGCCGAGAAGCGTTGTTACCAGTGCGGGAGGAGAAGTGTCGGATGGTCGTACCGATGGCGCGTTGAGTGCTATACCAACGGTTCTGACTCTGGCGAATTCCAGCAATTCGAGTCGCTGGCTGACGCTGAGAGACACGGGCGTAGGCGGGTTGGACGTCGGCTTCTATGGGCCTCGAGGCTTGTGGGAGTTTGTCCCGGATGAGTCGACCCGTCTTTTCGACGGCGTATCTGATGAGCCTCATGGCTTTCGGTACCAGGAGATGACCTCCTGATGCCGCCATGATGTTTGCACTCACCAATACAACGGTGGACGGATGTTGATAGATGGAGAGGAGGGAACGCTATCAAGTCTGTTGGGTGCTCGGCCGCCCAGTTTGGGGGCCTGCACTGCTGCGTTTGCCACCCATTCCCGCCCCGCAAATACAAGAGTTGACATTCACGTGACTCCACGTGACTACTGACTCGGCGGCCTCGGCTCCGGACCGAAAAAAGAAGTTGAAAGACGTCTTCGCTTCATGTTTTGGACCAGCATTGGAGTGGCATCCTACTACACTGTAAAATGGCGTATAGCCAGCAATCGCCAGCCATTTTCCAACTCAGACAATGCGGTGTCCTCTTGAACCGGAGCTCTATTCAACTCACCTTGCCATATCGGTTCATTCAGAATCGCTTGATGTGGTAGGTTATTGTGCATATTCCGAATATCAATTGGCTATGGACATTTTCGAGCGCCCATCTACTGCGTCTGCAACCGTGCCATGCGCAGGAAACGCAGACAAGGTAGGCCGGAAACTCCCTATGCTTGATTTCACAAATACTTTCTGGATGGATGACTTCTGGGTGCCCTCCGCTTCAGTCGAGGAGCAGGTACTTTTGAAGGCGAGCGCTCCTCCTTTACACGGATCAGAATAACTTGTAGTACAGAGGAGTGCCTGCTCCATCGGATATTGTTCAAAAGTAGCCACATATACGCGGCTACTCCATTCACTGCGACAAAGAGGTTCCTGCCTGGCAAATCTCATATCCTCGTTGACAGTGGTGCCTTCCTTCGCTCAATGGCGGCCGGGTGTCTTCTATTGTCATGTTGGGACCCAGCTTCAATTCCTTTTCCTTTCCCTTTCGGCATAGTATTACTGAGTTATATTTTTAATATCAGTAATATTTTTTTTCAATATTTTCACCATGTCTGATTCTCCATATCCTGCATTCACATTCGTTATGGTGCCCATCGCTATGGCGATCGGGTGGTGCGTGAAGGTTTGGTATGTGAAGTTGAACACCGGGAGGTTTCCAAGGTGCTGACTTTTTCGCAGGCTCGATGCCGATGGCCGACGCTACGAGGTAGATGTGGTAAACCAGCGTATACTCAAGGTCGCCCAATGGGACCATGAGTACAAGATGAAGGCGCTGGGGAGCCCTTCTACCTCGGCGGCGGAGGACGCCGGACGCGGAGAGTCATCCTGAACGCACCCCCGTGAGCCTTGCGATGGGCACCGGGAGGGTGGGCGTAAGTTTTCTGTTCGATTATCTTGTTCACGATTGTGCTGAGAATCTCAGGGGTTAAAAAAAAAAAAAAAATTTTGGATACCACTCTTTTGGCTGCCACTTCTTTGGATAGCATCAGCTGTCTACCTAGCAATGGGGGTTGAAACATAGCACCGGTATGTATGGCACCCTCCAGTCCTTGTGGCTGGGCACAACTGATTAATTCTAGCTTAACTCCAGGGAAAAACCAGAGTGCCAACGAACCACCACTTGCGGCGGCGATTAATACACCACCGAGTCAGCCCGCCGTAACCTTGACGGCCTCCAGCCTCATCGTTCACTTCTGGCATCCGAGCCTGCAAAGCATCAACTACTCAGAAGCAAATCTTCGCTGCACTGTTTTCGCGATGCTCTGAGTGCAAGCTCCTTCTTGACATCATTCGCGAGGGCTGTTAGCTCCTTGGTTGTCATACTTGCAGGCTGGATCTTCCCACTCGCCAGCTTCAAGTCCTTGGCTATGCGCTTGTCTACTCTTTCCCAACTCTCGTACATCCGAATGTCCGACCTTTCCTGGTACGCCCGCTCGCGCTCCTCCCACTTCCATGCGAACCAACCAAAAGGGATCACCATAACCAAGACGGCACCGAGTGTGATTGCCGCCTCCTCGAGCGTCGACATTTGAGGCCGAATGTTTGGCGCCGGGACATTGTGCTGGTGGACGTTCGGCACCCGGAAAAAGAAATCCATGATGCGAAAACAGGAGCGATGAATACTGCCGGGTGTCGATGAGAAGTGTGGAAAGCTCGTTGTGTCAGTGTTGTGCTATGATGCTGCTGATGGAGTACCAACCGGTATGTGGTATATTCGAAGCTCCTTCCGATGCTGATGTGCTTGCAAGCAGGCGGGCGCCTCTGGTACGAACAAATGTGTTCGCCGCAGAGCAAGCGGACGGGTGATCTGGTCTTTTTGTGTTGGATAATGTCGAGGTCGATGGGAGTTGAGGCAGTGTCTGCGTTGCAGAAATGTGATGGAGAGAACCTGGACTGCGAGAGAGAGATGGACTTAAATGTACTTCCAACGTTGCTGGCAGATCCTCAACATGTGATAACTTTGAGGGGCCGATTATTGACTTTTTACTAAGGTCTTAAACGGAGCAGAATCTACAAGCTACCAGACTCAACACGCTTGGCCTCGCCGAACCTCGCCTCATATCGGATTTCAGAGAGTGTTCCGACCAACAGCATATGGAGATCGCTCGGCTAGTCCGATTACCGCATGGTTCTACCGATGATTCTTCATCAAAGCACCAACGAGGGACAAAGCATTCATCCTATCCCAAACGAATCCGGCCGGTGTCCTCACCCGTCATCCTACACCAGGCAGCCATCACAGGGACAAAATGCAACGTGTCCAGAACTCGAACGACATCCTTTCTGGACATGGTGTGCTTCAGTTTATGATCTTCAACGTGGAAATGATTTGTGTGGCAAACGACTTTGACAGAGCGTCCACAGTTCTCGCTCATACACTCCGCGCCCTTCACTCCTGACCGTCCAGTGGGCCTGGTCCAGCCCACCAGCCGCCTCTCCTCATCTCCTCCTTTGTCCAATCTTCCAATTTGGCAGCGAGGCCGACATCTTTTGCCAAGCAACTCTGCCAACCAGCTGGGTCTGCAATCCTTTGAAAATAAGCACCGCTGTGTTCCTTTGTCATGGTCGGACTCCCGACGCAGAAGACGCTTGTCCATGACCCACTGTCTGCGTCCATCAGCCCTCCGATCCTCTTGTACACCGGCACAAGCAATTTCAACCAGGAGGGAAGCTCAGCTCCGACCGCCAAGTTGCTTTCGACCAAGCCAGGGTGTACAACCGCCGTCCAAATCTCACCCTGCCCGGACCTTGAACTTGGCGACCCTGGGCCGTAATGCTTGTGGAGGGTTTTGGCATGGAGAATGTTTGCAAGTTTGGATTGGCCATACCGAGCCATGACGCTGTCGTGGCGCAACGCCGTGTCCGAGAAGTTTATTCCTCCTTTGGGAGCGGAATAATGACCCGAAGATGACAGATTGACAACCCGAACGCTGCCGGGTGGGAGGCTCTGGAGGTTCGGAGCAACAGAGGCAGAAGATGAGCGGTCAGGACCCAATGTGCGAGGTAGTTTGTCTGCCACTGTGCCTCGTATCCATCCTTGGTCATCTCAAATGGTGTTGCCATGATACCGGCGTTGTTTACCAGTCCGTGGAGGGCCGTTTCTTTCTTAAGAAACTCTTCTGCTGCCGAGACCACGCTGGCGAGCGACATGTGGTCTATTTGCAAGAGGGAGACGCGTGCTTGAGGGTAGAGGAATTTGATCTTCTCAATCGCAGCCATCCCTCTACTCTCTGAACGGGCGCAAAGATAGACGTGGGCACCATGTTGGGCCAACCGAGCGACGGTATAAAACCCTCTGCCGCAAAGTCAGCACACTGAGCATCGAGAGACAACCCCCTGATCCACACATACATGCCAGAGTTTCCGCCGGTGACAACGTGCACCTTGTCGCTAAGATCTGGGAGGGAATCAGGATGGAAAGGCATTATGGCAATGGTTCTGCAAGTACAGTCACGACAAGCAGATTGCTAGGTGTTCGTTGCAGAGATTCCCAGCATGAAGCCGGGATGCATCGAGAAGGGCATGGCTCTTATAGACGGACTCGAACTCCGCTAGGACAGTTTACGGCCGCAACCTGCTGTGGCTGAGGGCTCACATTCTGTCTGCTGAAGATTGGGATCCGGATGAAGTCTGAGATTTGGTCCTGCAAAGAGAGGAAGAAGTTGATCTGGTGAGGTTCTATTCCGCATCCAGTTAAGCCTGCTGGTAAGCCATCTGCATGAAGCTAATTAGTGTTTGTTTGGTTAGTGTCACTTTGAAGATCACTCCGCAGTGGCAGCCTGATCAATGAATACCACCACAACAGGCCTCAGCTTCAAGATCAACTCGCACTCAGGCTTCGACCTTGAATTGTACTGTCTACCTGTGCTTGGTATCACCGTCCTTCTTCATCGTACTTCGCTTCGACACATAACGCCCCGACGGAGATCACAGAGTCGGACATCCAGCGGGCCATGGGCTCCGCTAGCCAGTCACAATGGCATCCATCATATGTCCACACCAGGCTAGACCCCAATCCCAGATCCCGCTTGAGAAGATGCCACAGCTGGCCGAAGCTGTCGATCCCGGCGATGACTGGACCGGTGTTACAGACCCTGCCGCTCGAAGAAGAATACAAAATCGGCTCAATGTTCGAGCTTACCGTGAGGCCCATGAGGAGAATGAGCCATTCGCCCAACTGACCGGCACGGCATAGGAAAACGTCGAGCACGAGAAACACAAACTAATCGCCTCAATTCATGTCCGCGCCCTGCCACTAAGGAGACAGAACTTGGAATACCGTGTTGGGCGGAGGACCAACAAGCTGTGGTGCATGTGCCGGAAGGAAGAGCCAGCACTCTCCGCAATTTTCGTTCTGCTTTAATCCCATCATCCACCACACCCCATGCCGGATCCAGTAGTAGGATCATCCTTCCCCTTTCTGCGGACCATCTTATCCCCTTGCTTCAATACAATGCACTCCGCGGCTTATTGGCCAACCGGCAGCTCCTGTTGCCTCTGCAGCCTAGCGCTGCTCCTAGCGAATGTGCCTCCGCCGCTCTACACGTCCTTCCAGATGTCCAGGAGGTTCCTTCGGGAGTCTTACCATTGTCTCTCTACCCGACAACGCTCCAGCGCACAATTCCTCATGAAGACTGGGTGGATCTTATTCCTCACCCAGTTTTACGTGACAACGTCCTAAAGGCGCTTGGTACCTTTGACGAAGACGAACTATGGTCTGACACCATAGGGGGCTTGTTTGAGGGCTTTCCGGCCTCGGAAATAGAGCGCCGCGGCGTTGTGATATGGTCGCCGCCCTGGCACATTGGTGGCTGGGAGGTCACCGAAGGGTTCTGGCACAAATGGGGTTGGTTGCTCAAAGGATGCACAGAGATCCTGGAAGGGACCAATCGATGGAGAAGGCAGAGGGGGAAAGACGATCTCGTCTGGGAGGTATCAGACTAACGAGCTGGGTTTACCAAGAGATACTGCGACCGACACCATGTTGGCACCGTGGCAGGAGTCATGGCGAACCATCTTGTTCACATCACCCGCAGAGCTGCAGAGAACTGACCCCGCAGCGACCACTCAGCTGTCTTTCTAGAAGGGCAAAAGGTTCCGGAAACTGTGGATTCATTCAGCACAAGGAGGCCCTTTGCTCGGCCTGATCGTGATCGTTTGCTGACAGCTCAGCCAGCTCATCGTCGAGCAACAGAAGATCCCGTATCTCGACGGTCCAGATCTTTGGGGATCTAAACTCGAGAAGAGTGGCATCCGCATGGTGATCAAAGCTCAACTGGGGCATTCTAGCATCTTTTGATGCACCAGGTATGACTTGATTTCTACTGTATGAATTCGCTGGCATGGCAGGTCTGGTAAACACGAGAAGCCTGGTCGAGACCACCGCAAGGCCACTGCAGCATCATCATATGGCAGATTACCTGCTTGTGATAATCAGCATGGACAGTACGTGGCTGCCTGGATAAAGCACGGTCAGAACGCCCTGCGCACCACGTTTACGCTAGAGTGACTGTGTCATGCTTTCAAAAACGAGTTATCATAACCCCTCGGTGGCTGCAGAACAAAGCCATATACGAGCCCTGCACAGAGGAACAGACAGTCTGTGCGTCGGGTCGCTTAGAATGTCGGCCTGAATTGCAACTCCTCTCAACGCTCGGGCTGGTGTCTGTCAACTTCCCGTCCTGCCAAAGTTATGGTTGACGACCAACTGTTGGGTACAAGAACCTAGTCTATTTGGGACAAGCAACAACCTTTTATCCCAAAAGTATCGAGCACAGGGAGCACCTCGAACACCTCCTTATAAGCGCAGCTCTGATTCTGTCATGCTGTCAAACTTGTCACACATGACAGCGACAATGACAGCAGTAGTTGCCGCGATCCAGGTTGAAATTCCCGTCTTCCTGGTCAGTCATAGGAGGGAGGAACTATCTACCTGCGATTTGCTTACTGACCGCACCGTGGGAAGATGCGAAGGTATGGTGTTCCCTCATGCTGGAAATTAGCTCAAACACCCCAAAGGAAACACCTATCAATGTCATAATCGAAGCTTCCCCGAACCTTGTCAGGTTGATGATGGCAGCTTTGCTTGGCCCAGCAGAGCACCTTTGCAAGAGTAATCATTCCGAGCTCAAGCACTGATCACCCGGCCTCGGCCTCGACTGGATCGCCGAATCAAAGGGTAGAACCGGCCGGTGAAAATACCCAAACACAGCATCCTGGGGGTTTCACTATTCTGCAGGCTCCGTGGAGTACTCTGGCATTGTTCCCCAAACATTAAAGTCTTGTTTGATGCAGTTTGAAAGTAACTGTCCGTTTGGGAAGGTGAGAATACACTTTACTCCATGCCAGCGTTGCATCAGCATCGTAATGCAAGGGGAGAGTGTCTTGCATGATTAGTACCTGGCGATTATACGCAAAGTCTGCAGCCCTCCGCAGAAAATCCTACCTACGCATAGTTCTCGCCGACGTAAGAAGTGCAGCAGACAAGGTTCCCAGCCGGTTGGCCTGAGACACGTCAACGTTGCAATGACGAGCTCTGCATAAGCTCGAAGAACACAAATATGCAAAATGCACCTGGGTGGAGTCTTTCAAGGTGTCATTTTGACGCCGCCCCAGACTCCAGCTGGGAACAGCAACCAGCGCCCGCGTGATAAGGAGGTCGATGAGAAAGCATGTGAAGGAATCCCTGAGATTTGGGTCTGTGCAGTGTCGCACTCGGAAATGCTTAACTGACGTTGGGTTTGGATGTGATCTGTGGATAGAGTCGATAGAGTCCTTCGCGATGGATCGGTGCGTACGTACGCTTTGGGGGGAGTCAAAGGTCGAGAGGGGAGGTATGTATGTTTTGGTTGTGTGGCTTGCGATAGTCTGATGTGGCGCCAGGGATCATCCTGAAATGGAGGCCTCCAGACATTGTGGCCCAAAGTGCCTGAGACCAAGATTTTGCTCGGCAATCTGCCCATTTGCGAGTGGTCGAACAGGGTGTTTCTAACGACAAATGGATTAGGAGAGGAGATCAAGGAAAACGGTGTGAGTTAACCGGAGCAAGTTGAGCCAGGTACCAGAGATGCTGAAAACACCCCGGACACCAACGACAGGGAATCTGTTCAAAGACGAATCAGGCTTCAACACCTCTTGCCCGCTCGAGCCTAGCGGAAACTGTGATCCCTTGATCCCAGGCTTTGGGGAAGGCCAGGCCGGTCCTTTTGCGCCCAAGATTGAGCGGGCGTCCTTCAACCACATCACTCCCTCACCACCCCCGTTGGCCTATCCTCTCATCAGACTGTTCTCTGATTACTGCTGCTTGACCGCCCAGCTTTGGGCAGCAGATTGTCACGCCGGTGGACTCCCTATCATTCGTTCGATGCTCTTCCCTGACACTTTTGACTTTTCCGGATAGGTCGATCATGGTAGATCCTTGCTCGAAGGCTCCGATCCTCAGGGCAGCCGCTTAGCTTTTCAGCTACTGCAGGACATTTCAAAGGTTACTCTATCCGGCAGGACTAACAAGCGATGGCGTCTCGCTTGTTGGTAGGGACCCGTCGTTCCTTTTGCTGGGTTGCTCCATTTCTTTGCGCCCTGCAGGCTTCTTCGAGCCCAGCTGGGTGCATCTCTTTCCCCAGAAATTCCCTTTCCAGCCGCACGTCTCAAGATCCTCCGCCAAAGAACTCTATGCCCCCCTTTTCCTTGCTTTGGTGTTGTGGTTGTGGTCAGCGTTGCTCCACTTTGACGTGGTCGTGGCTGAATGGATTACTTGGCCTACCTGCAGTTAACCAAGCTGAACTGCAGCAAGGACTATCCGCGGGCACAACTATACGGGCTCTGGACCTGCATCTGCATCTTTTGCTGCGTCTGTTCAAGAGAGATTCAAATATGCTCTCTTTCCCTTGTGTTCTTCTGAACTTCAAACAGCGTTCCTCCTGTGACCCAGCTACTACTACACGAAGCATCACCATTCAATACCAATATCAGCCAGCCTAACGTTGCACCAAGTCCTACGAGTGTGTCAATGTCACAAGCAATGTTGTCACCCCTCAGAATGAATGCTTCAGAATCTCTGTCGTCACATAGCTCGCCCCGCTCGGCACCAAAATCCTACAGCAGATCAGACATGTCTCGACAAGCAGCCTCAAGACTAGTTTACATTTCCGATTGGAAATTGAACAAAGAGTCGGCCCGGGATGAACCACGACTACGACGATTATTGGGCCATCTCTCGGTCAATGAACAAACGACCGAGTTTGTACAATCACAAACACCGGCACCGGTAATGGTGTCATTGCAGCAAAAACAACACGAAAGCAATGAACTCTCGGCCTATCTCCAATATGTCCCTGTGCCTGTGCCCTCGTTCCGGGACTTCCAGGCCGCCATTGAAATCCAGATCGCGACCATGGTGCAGATTACGGCGGCGAGTGCTGCTCGACTGAACTTTGTTGGGAAGAACAATAACAACAACAACCGTGACATGGAAGATGATAGTGACCACGACAGTTATGATGATTACCAGAGTGATGGAGATACCGATACCTCGTCAGCAGCTGGAAGTGATGACAGCAGTGACAACAGCAGCTTTACGACGGATGATACCGATGACAGCCTGGCCTCGTCAGAGTCAGACTGCGGCAACGTCAGCGGCAGCGACAGGCCTTTCAGATCGTCGTGTTCATGTTCCCGGAAGGGAGAGCTTATTGGTGTCTGCGGAGAGCAAGACGATGAGGACGACGAGACTGAGTCCCTATGGGCTCTACGGCCTCTGACAATTGCACCCCTCATGCACATCCATCCACCACAAGCAATCACAACCCGATGTTGAGAGTGCAGGTGCTGTGGCTCTAGTTCGTGTTGATGGTGCATACGTGTAGTATGTTCTTGGCTTGGCTACTTTTCAGCTTTCGTGTTGAGTGCTTGGCGGTGTAGGACTCTCGCTTGGCCTCGGTTACCTGGTATTCTTTTTGAGCGGAGGCGTTTTCTGGGCAGCGCAGTGTCAATGGGTCAGGTAGTGAGCGATTGGTAGCGATTGGTAGCGTTCGGAAGCGATTGGTATGGGGGCATCTGAGCCTCGACATGCAGCGGAAAAGCAAGGTGTTGGGTGGAAGGGATTTACAACTGTACTTATTATGAAGAGATTATGAGGTCAGGAAATATATTGTTATTTTTCTGTCGGAAGCAAAGATTGCCCAGGTCAAACACCCGTAGATGTTGACGGACAATGTGTCACTGGCAGGTCTCCGCCAGTGTTTCTGTATGTTTCTTTCTAGTACTTCCTCCCTGACTGTGGCCCTGTGGGATGGGAATGTTGATATAACAAATGATGAATGGCCCCGCTAATACTGTTGTTGTGTCATCATCACATTCGTGTCAAATGTCAACGCCGTCCCAAACGAAAACTCCAATGGACTCGCAAAAAGATCCGACCCGCCCCAATCAACTCCAGATTATAAGTTTGTAGTTGTTTGATTCCGGGGGTCGTAATGTGATGAGAAACCCGAAGATGAACTCTTTGTGTCCGAGAGTTGATCTATTTTACTTTGATTGGTTGGCCAGAAACTTGTCGACATCCGTCCCCTCGAGGAACCATTTGGAGCTGTCGAGGTTCGAGTTCTTCTTGCTGAACCGGTTGTTCACTCTAGAACCAGATCGGGTGGCCTGAAAGAAACAAAAGATGTTAGCCGTGTGTGACTTGATACTTGTTTTGTGCACCTACGACATGTTGTCCGAGACAGTCAAGTCGATAGGAAGCATCTCCAGCACAAGGCAGAGTAGACTTACTGCATAGGTGACGCCTCCGATGGTGGCGGCCGTGGCGGCGGTGAAGACGCCGTGCATGAGTTGGCGGTCCTTGGGGGCCATTGATTTGGAGGAGTGTGCGGCGGCTGTGGAGGCGTAGCGGGCCATGGGGGTGGTGAGTCTAGGGCCGGTGGTGAGGGCCATGCGGCGGGCGATGAGTTGACGGGCTGCGTTCATTTTGGAGGTTGGTTTTGGTTTTTGGTTTGGAGTAGTAGAGATGTGTTGGTGTTGAGGTCTGGATGGAGAGAAGAGTGTGGTTTGCGGTTGCTGGTGCTGGCTGGTACTTCTGATGTGTGAAGTGCGAGAGAGAACTCTTGATGCTGATGCTGATGATCTGAAAAGCCTACCTGGATCTTGGGTCCTGCATGCCTTTTAAAGAATTCTGTATCCTACCTGTGTTCAGGTTCACGAGCCATATTACCCATGGAGGTAGTGCTAGCTACATCATACCATAGCATGATGAAAGCTCTGCGGCAGTGCCGTGTAAGGGACTGTGTGTGGTATGGCGACAGTCGAGGTAGCACATCACCAGACACTTGGTCTTGCGAAAATCGAATAATCGACAGAAACTATCAGGTGCTGGATGAGTAGATCACCCTACTTTGAGGAGTAGCAGAAGTGTTCCGAACGGACCAGAACGTAGATAGGACCTGACCTGTGCTAGCTAGACTGGTCTGCGTCGGCCGGGGTGGATGTGGGTGTGGTCGTGGTCGCTTCAGTCTGGCTGTCGATCCGGTCGCGTGTGTGAGCTACGACTGTCCAGTTCGGCGGCCTCCGGGGCACTGGCAGACCAGCGCCAGTGTCAAAGTGCACAAAGCGCCACTTCCGTCGAAGCTGCTGAATTGACAAGGCTGAAGGAGAAGTTGAAGCGGGTGGTGGAGCTACAAGCGCATGGTGCTACGATCGACGATCGGCTGGAGATTGAGAAAAGGAAAAGGGACACGAGGCAAGCTTGATATTGGTCAGGCCACCGGCTGTTTTTGCTGTCTGTCATTTACGGGTCTGATACGTGGGTTTCTGGTGCGATCATGCCGTCATTTCCGTCACATCAAACGGGTCTCCTGTCCATCGGAGTCTGGATTGTGGCTAGAACGGGCGATAGGGGAGACTAGTGCTCCACGTGACTTAGTGCTGAGCCTTGCGTATTACCATTGGTTGGTGAGGGACTCCAGCCCCATCGTCAGTACACCGGCGGCGGCTGCGTGGCGTGACACTCGGGCCGGGTTCGAGTTGGGGATTGGATTGAGGATTGCGCTCAATCTTTCGCGGCACTTCCAACCTCGATAACCCTAGACTCCGCCGGTTTCTCCCCTGCTGATACTGACCTGACCTGGTCGACACGGCCTCGATCACCTTACAACTACAGCTTCAACTCCACAGACTGCCTTGGACCATCGACCTTGTGGCCTGACACTTTGTTCTTTGCTCCTGAATCACCAGCCCAACCGGTGTTCAAAGTTGTACCTGTACAGTGCTAGCGCCCCGATCAGAGAGACTCTATACCCGTAAACACCAGCGTCTGTTACCGGCATAACGGGTTTTCACCAATTGAAGCGTGGCGATTGTCTCGAAACGAATGTTCTGAAGCCCCTCGACCCAACCCCGTTCAACCAGCAAAACAAACCCAAGTCAGAAAGGCTCCACGGAAACAAGGTCCGGCGCTTGACACCATGCCGTTCCGTGCGGCTTACAGGCAACATGATGGCTCTCATGACTTTCTTAAGCAGCACACATTCCACGGGGGCCACGGTGGCCAGCCCCAGTTGGCCATTGTTGATCCCGACCTGGACTCAGTCGATTACCACGGGTGGCATGAGATGGACTTTACCACCACGCCCCTCAATGCCACAACCACCACTGGCAACCCAGTACCTCCGCAAAAGTACTCGATCAACATGATGGACACTACCGACGACGTGAACTCGTCGTTGGCCTACAGCGTGAGATCTTCGGGTCATCGTCAGAACTCGACCGCTTCCATTACCTCGGGCTCTGCTCACCAGCAATCTCCCGGGGTAACCAGTACTCTCTCAGGAGACATCTACGGTGCCGTCGGACCCTTTTCCTACTCACAACTCCTCAACATGGACGCAGAGATGTCGCCCATGGACCAGTCCGGCCGTGACTCCAACATGATGACCGACGACAAAAGCCCAAACAGCAACACGTTATCCGGGTCTGATGCCCTCAACACCTCTCCGCCCATTGCCTCTTTGAACCCAACTGCCATTTCTTTATCGTCTTCCAAAATCGATCCGGCCGAAAAATTGTGTCCGTTAATAGCAGGACAAGTCGACAGCTGCCAACCGAATCGATGCGGACCGGATGCGCCATGCATGAACTTCACGACATTGCCTCCGATCGAAGAATGCACGTCAGTACCATGCATCACTCAATCATCGTCGCCCAACGAGACCATGATTACCAGTGAAAGTGTCTCTGTCGTCTCATTACACCAACGACCCAGCATGTCCTCGAGAACCAGCACCGCTACGACCGTTCCTTCTCTTCGTCGATCTTCCGCCTCCTCATCCACCGATAACAACAGCAACATCAATTCCACTCCAATCCAATCTGTCCCACTACCTCCGCGGCGGTCCACAACTGCACGACGCCGGGGCCCTGCCGCACGAAACAATACTGCTACAACAACTACAAGCAGTACAGCCACGACAATGGTTGGCTCAGATGACGAAGAGGATGAGCAACAGACAACAACGACGAAATCCACGGCTCCGTCCAAAGCAGACGCCAAGCAACGGGCCAAACAGGCCCATTCGCTCGTGGAGAAGAAATACCGCGAAAACCTCAATGCCAAAATCGCCCAGCTGCATAACACACTACAGTCGTCACATTATGGACCGAAAACGGGCGAGGAAGGCGAGAGCGACGGTGCGCCCGCCAACATCATACCGGCCTCCAAAGTGCGCAAGAGTGATGTCTTGACCGAGGCCATGAACTATGTCAACCAGACCGAAGTCGAGATGCGACATATGGAGAATGAAATTCAAAGGTTGAGTGAGCGGGTTCGTGTGCTTGAGAAGTTGGTCAGGTGTGAAGACTGCAGTTTGCTCAAGCAGATGGTTAATCTGCAGGTTCAAGCTGTATGATAATAACAAATATGAAAGAGAGGGTTACAAAATCGAAAAGCTTGAAAGTGACAACGACACTGGGGACTCGAAATGGAACTCGAAACTGAAACGTTATCCGAGAATCTGAGGGTACAACCTCCCAACTCGATCGAGCAACTGAGCGAGCTCGAGTAGCGACACCCTGAAGCGAGACTGTCGTTCAAACGTCATATCTATTCCTGACAATGTCTCGGCGCTACATCACAATCACAATTTCACACACCCGCGCCATACGGTTCTTACCCTACCATACCATACTCATGACGAGCGGGATGCTTTCTTGCTGTTCTTTTTGGCGTTGTTGTCGCCTGGTCGCCTGGCAAGGCGTGGCGTTTGAAAGGGTACATACCCATGGCGTATATTATATCAAGGACAGGACAGGGATCCAAGTCAGGCGTATTTTCCTTGGCTAAAAAGGATTGGGAGGGCGAAGGAAGGGAATGAATACTATGTTCACTGTGCATATGCTTATGGATATCGATTCGAACGAGTCTCTCGACATGACCATGTCGGTATCTTATCTACAGCTTGATGAGGGCAGGCCACGGCCGTGGCTCCGCTCTGTAGCAAACCTTCAATGCGAAGAAATGCAATGCATCCCTCATATCAAGCAATAATTGTACGTACAAGACAGCAAAGTACATGATACCTATAAGACTGATTGAGTATAACAACTCGGCTTTTTTGCTATTCGGAGTTGAAGAGTTGCAGTGAGGAGCGGTTGAAACCCCGCCCCCGCCTCGGAGAGGATCTTGAATGATATGCCATACTACCTACACACCTAGATACCCATGTAGTACATATGTACTTGTAAATACCCTCCACATCATACTAGTAGGCAAGATGAAGTACGGCACGGCATAGCATGGCATCGCAAGGTACAGCACGATAATGGCAAAGGGCAATCACCTACAGTAGATACCGTAACACACCATTCTGATTGCATCTACAGAAGGATTATGCTATAATGTGCGGAAGAAGCAAGGAAGATTGAAAAGGACCATGGTGAGTCAATTCATTTATCTCAATGTCTCAATGATGATCATCGATCTTATTTCCCCATCTCTCTATCTCTTAATGTGTCCTCTACTCAATCTCGATACGAATACCACCACCTCTCAACTGCTCGACCTCCTCAAGACTCCTCTTGGGTAAATCAATGCGAAGCAAACCACCATCAAGTCTCGCTTTGAGTTCCTTCATCTCCACATCTTCGGGGAGAGTAAAAGTGCGGCGCCACGGGCCGAGTTTACGCTCAGCCAAAAGAACGGTAGGAATAGCATCGGCGCGGAGTTGGGCCTCGATGGTTTCGCGGGATGGAGTGCGTTCGATGGGACCACCGTCTGCGGAGTCATCTTTGGCCTATATCACACACACACACAAAATCGTTAGTCTCCACTATCTCTACCATCATGAACTACCAAAAACAGCTTCTGTTCACTCACCTTCGCATGTCCGGCTTCTTGAGCCCATCCTTCACCTTCACCCTCCCAGACACGGTCGCCATGCTTGGGATCCAACAGGCCAATATTCTTGGGTCGCTTGACGGAGCCCTGGACTAGCAGCGTGTGCGGGCTCATCCACTGGATGACAATGTCGTTCTTGTCCGTGACGCCAGGGGTTTCGATTTCGATGTGGTATGCGCGCATGGTCTCGCGGATGTCGGTCGCGGGGACCCATACGTTGGCCGGTTTGGGGGCTGCCACGCTCCCTGCCGCGTGCGGACCGCTGAAGTGAGATTGCAGAGTTGCCTCGTGCAGAGATGTTCGGGGGAATTGGAAGTGAGAGGGGTGTGCGTGCGGTTGCACGGGTTCCTGGGTGTGGGGGGTTGTGACGGGCGCACCGCCATGCAGAGGTTCTTCGACCAGGCGGATCACGTAGTTGGCCGGGACGGCGTAGGGGACTCCGGAGGCACTCATGATGAAGAAGAGGATTGATCAAGATTGGCTTTCGATGAGGAAAGGTGTCTTTGGTGTTGTTCGTGCTCGGTGGCAGAGAGTGCTAGGGATGAGACGGAAAGGATGTTCTTTTTTTCTCTCGAGAGAGAGCTTCAAGTTCCTTATACCCGACTCTAGGCTAGCAAGTGGGGGATGTACAACACTACCGTAGTGGTAGATGTGTTCAAATGTGATAGTAGTGGTGCTGGAGCTGGGGTGACGTAGAGGAAAGATCGACCTCCCCAGAGCTGGAGCTCAAGGATGAGCTATGTATATATACATACATGCGGTACCTGTCCGCATTTAGCTTACCTTGCCATGTCAACCCCAACAACGGACGTGAGGATGGTCTGGTCCAGTGTCATAACCCAACTGGCTATAGCCGGTGATCAAAATGCCGCCGGCACAAGCTTACCTTTGGTTGCTCTGTCCAGTAGCTCTTCGACCGCCGGTACCCCCAGCATTGGCAGGCAGGCAGCCAGGCAACGGCGCGCTGCCCCAAACGCAAAAGCGCCGCTACCGACCCGGGTCGACCTCGTTAACCCCAGAAAGCAGAAGAAACGCGGATAGCTAGAGCCCAGTTCTCCACTTGACATGGCTCATTTTTGAGGCCTTTGGGTTTCAATGGTCGAGATGTGCCCATCGGCTTCTGCTAAAAGCTGGAGGTCTTTGGGGCTAAAACGTTTTGGAGCTCTGCCCAGTGTCCGAGGGTGGAGGTTAGGTTGATGTCACGAGCATCCACTGCCAAATTATGCAATAAGGAACTGAGATAGAGATGAGAGCTTCAGAGCTTTGAGGCAACGAGACCCAAAAAGAGGACGCGGCGTCGGAAGCCTCTACTCTGGTTGGTCGGCTGGCTCCGCTTACCCCTGCGCTTTGATGCGAGTATCATGAGATGGTACAATCGTAGTCCTTGGGCGCTAGGCAAGGACAGGGAGTCCGGGGTGCGGCGGCTCGTACACTGCAGGCGAGCTTGAGAAGGACCAGGGCCCGGACGAAGGGGTGCACTGGCAGTACAATGTATGTTGTTTGATGATTCGATCCGGCGGGTAAAGGTTGTGAGGGATTGCAGTGAATGGACTTCGAATTCCTGAATGACGGCCAGGGTCGAAGGACAGGGCTAGGACCAGGGCCAGGGTCCTCCGGCTGCCGGCATCTCCAGCAGGGGGCATAAAAAAACTGAGGACATGACACGCATCGCAGGTAAACAACTCACGGCTGTTTACAGTCCCTAATAATGCCGCCTTCCAGAGTGAGCGATCGGCATGGGATCCTAGACCCTCCCCGCAGCGTCATCAGCAGTTGCCGTGTGCTTGGACTTGGGACTCGAGCTCTCCATTCTCAAGCTGTCCCAGGACATACCAGCGTTGGCTCCGAAGATTGAGGCAGGCATTCACAGGCCGGGCACTGATCCCGTCAAGGTCTCCCCAACACTTGTTGCTCGCAAGACAGACATCAAATGGCTCGCCCAGATAGGGTCCAACGTTGAGGGTCTTGCTGGTCTGGTCTGGTCTTTGCGGTGTGGTGTCGAACGACGAGCAAATAATGTTGTGAGGAGTCAAGTCAGAAGGGATTTTCCACCATTTGCGTAACACTACCGTATCGCGGTCTTGGGGGTGGAACAGGTCAGGCCAATAAACATTCGCAATCAAGCCATAAGGTGTCGTGGTGGGAGAGTCCGCCTTTCCATAGAGCAATCAGAGCGAAAAGCAGATGCCAGGTGGCGTGATTGCTCGATGAGAAAAGACGACATTGTTACCGACGGGAGCATGAAGAAATACTGGGCAGCCAAGCGAGATCGGATCGGAGCGAATCATATGGAAGGGGAGGGGCTCCAGCTCTCGGGCCAGGAAATGTTGCCGATACCAGTGTGGACTGCCTCCAGCTGTGAAGAGGCATATACTGTCATACTGTAGTAATCGGCTTCAGGTCCCTCGCTGGCGGTCATACCTTGTCTTGGGGCATTGAGGCAATATTGAGCTTGCGGCAAATAATGCTTGTAGCACGTTGTTGATTGGCGTCCCTGAACCGTAACCGTCGGCGGGCTTCTTGAGGTGCTAGCTAACGTTGTAGGCACTGGTACCATGCTGGTTAGTCAGAGTTGAAGAGTTGTAAAAAGGATTTCAGTGTAATGTCGCAGGAAGATATAGATCCAAACTCCCTGGCGTACAGGCGGCAAGCTGCCAACAGCGTCACCACTCCTGCAAGGTACGAGTAGAACGACAGGTACCGGCACCGAGTAGGAGCAGGCAGCGGTGACCGATACATAGACGATTCACCTGGTAGCCGAACCAGGTGTCTGTGATGGACCGACGGTAAGGCAACACTATAGCAGTAGCCATGATCTGGATCATGGTTGGTAACCCCTAGCAGGATCCAGTTCCTAGAGGGGACGTCCAGCGTCTGCGTCTCAAAAGGATATACAATGCAGATATCTTGGTGTCTTAGGAGGCAACTAGCAGGAATGAATCAAAGAGACATCATGAATTACGAGTGCCAGTGGTTGAAGATTATGTGTTCTTCGGCGCCGTCATCCTTTTGACGGTGCATACCTGGTATGGTACATATGCTACTTGATATGTCCTTTTGGCCAGCCAACAAGAGGAAGTCTCTCCTGTAACATGTTCTCTGGTGTTCATGTTCAATCAAACGGGATCCCGCCCAACCTCATCCAACTCCTTCATCGAGCGATTAAATCCAGTCAATCCCATCCCATCATTGCGATTGTTTTCCGCATTGCATCTCATGCCCAGACCAGAAACGCTTCATCAAAACGCCAATGATCATTCAGCCCTGTACAGTTGCCCCGTCCCATTTCATTCATTCGATGTGTCATAACTTGTAGTAAAAGGTGCCGCCCATTGGAATGATGATGGCAATCCATATCCATAGCGACATCCCATTGTCCATTTTCATAATTGACGAGCCTCCATATCAGCGACGAGCTCCTCATGCATAATTTCAGCCACCTCATGGGCAGCAGCAGCCTCGAGCATGTCTTCCGGCTCCTCGACGAGACCGTATCTCTCACTGAGATTTTCCACTGGCGTGACACGCTCACAGTGACAATCGTGGTGATATCCGGCCGGGTGGTGCTGATGATGACAAGAAGGCCGAGCCTTGATCGTCATTTGGGTATATGTGTGTGGCGACGTCCGCCCGCTGCTGTGGTGGGCTTCCGCAGAAATAAGATCTTGCGGACACAACCCGGAGTGTCGGCGGGTGTGGTGCATGGGCCGAGTCGGAGTGTGGTGGTCTGGCATGTGGATGTCAGGACAGAATCCATCCCACGACTCCTCGTCTGCGCTGTGGCTGTGTGATCGTGATCGGGTGTTGACCAGGTGTTCCTGCGACGGTCGTCGCATATGGCATTTTGTGCAGTAGGGGGCGTTGTGGCCGTGACATGAAGAAAGCCGGCGGAGCTGGGGATGGAGGCTCTTTGGGCTTTCTGGCGGTGTGAATGAGGCGGCGGCAGCAGCAGCAGCAGCAGCGGCCTTTTCCTCGGCTGGGAGGGCACTCATGAATGTAGCAAAGGGGTCGTACTGGACCATAGTGGTAGTGGGTAGGTACAGTATGTGTTGGTCTGGGTAGTAGTTGTGTGTGTCTTTTGCTATTGGGTTGGTGGATTGAAACAGATGAGTGTCAAAGGGGGTATTTTGCCTCTGCATTTATATTATGCATTTTCTGATATCGTGAACTCAACTCTTACCTCTCATCTCACACGGCATATCCATTACGAAAGCTGCCAAACGTTGGGCCTTCCGCTCCGCTACCTACCAATTCCCTGCTGCGCCCGACGCACGGCACAGGCATGCAGTGGGAGGGGTGTGTCATGGGTGTGTCTCCCGAGCACCATCTGGTGACCGCCAAGTCGAGCGGAAAAGATGGTTTGGATCAAAATGACTGGATGGAAGTGCAAACCACTCGCAGGCGTGGACAATCTGAGTTTTGGGCTTGTTAGGGTCTGGCCCATGTTCCTATCGGCGGCCTCCGGTGGCTGATTCAGGGACCCAACACGCCACTCTGGGGGGTGGATGCCGCCAGAACAAGACCCAGATCAGTCCACCAGCTCTCGAAAATCAACTGCTAGGGGTCCCCCTCTTTACTCATCAAAGCTCTCACGTCCCTCACCCAAGTGCCACTAAAACCGCTCAACTAGCAGAGACTCCGGCTTGCCCAGCCGATTCTGCGATGCTATAGGCTAATTCGTCGTCTACTTGACAGTCGCGGTCCAGAACAATTCCACTGACTTTTACATCTCGTACACATGGACTGGCTATTATGGCTCAGTCAACATTGGCGTTTTGGCGCATCGATCATTGACTTTGCCATACTGCCTACGAAACGAGACCTGCCATGGTAGAACCACATCATTGCAACGCGCGATAGAGTCCCAGATCGCCTGCCGCCTTCCGTGTTACAGGTCAAAACGACCCCGTTGATTCTCAGCCAAGAATCAAATAGAGGCCCATGCAGTCCTAGGTACTCATGACCAGCATGCTGGCGTTCTGCTCGGTGGTTTCTTTCACTTGACGTCAAATCTGCAAGTGATTGAGAAATGGCGCAGTCAACGGTATCAGAGGTATGGAGGTGCTGAGGTTCTTTGAAAGGAGCCTCCAACTAGAGCAGAAGGAGTTGCGTGTGCCATGCACGGTGCCATGTTCAGACAACCCGGGAGATGATGCGTAAGGACAATCTTGTTCGCTGGGCGCAGATTGTCTGATGCCATGTCGCACAATCACGCAACATCTCCGGCATATTTCTCCTTGGCAGGTTCAATTAAGTCGGTCCATAAGCACCAATTTTGACGAGAGTTCTTGTTCGAGGCAAGTCATATCCTCGCTTATTGTTGTTAGACAATTCATTCCCCTGATCGATATGTCGATCGGCTGAGATTATCCGCTTCTGAAGCCTTTGGGAAACGTTTGGGAGGGATGAGAACGCGCCATATTGCCACGAGCGGCCACTTTCTTCCCCAGGTTTCACTGTTGACCTACTGTAACCAAGCTTTCGTGCAGTCGACTCCCAATCGGCGCACGGTGTCCATCTCAAGTCTCGCCACTCATCACGAGTTTGACTGAATGAGACCATCCACGGCAAAGGGTCCTTTTCGGTTGAAGTAGATTGCAGAGATCCATTGCAATAAGTCGAGCGAGATTGTCGTCACCCAAGCAGCTTCGTCACGCACATGAGAACCTTAGTGAACTGAGTACCGTGTATCCGGAGTGCGGGCCTGCGGACCGTTTCATCGTTGAAGCTGGCTGTTTCAATTTTCTCGCTCAACTCAACGTAACGGTGGGTGGCCCGTTTCAGGAAACAGGTGACCAGGTAAATCTTGTGTGGAAGGGGGATGAAAGGTGAGCACACCACATACACCCACGGTCCGTTGGTAAATATGCAGTCTGTACTCACGTCTTGCCCTCAGCTAGATTCCGCACATGCGACATCTGATCTGGGTCGGCAATGGAAAGGTCGCACATCACATCCCTGACAGGTCTTCAGGGGATGGTTGATATTCAAGACTTTGGGTTTCGGAGTAAACGAACCAGACTGGTACTCAAAAAAACCGTGTAGAAGACGATGAGGATCATTCTGAGTTGGGATTACTACCAGCCTTGTATACGGTATTATTGTAGTCCGGCAGGCTGTGGAAGCAGCCGCGAATCAAAAATGCCGAGATTGAATCAATATATTTTCTTCTCGCCCAATAACCCCCAACCACCCATTTGGATTGACTTCATAAACGCGCGCAACTACGACGATTATTACTATTATACTACGTTACAACAGCTATGTTAAGGGCGGCAGAGAAAATGTTCATATTATCGCATAATAGCAATGATTGAAGCCTCTTTACTAACCAGGAAGAGGAACGGGAACGGGAAGACGAGATGTTAACAACAGAAAATCAATGTATTATTAGAACAACCTATGTGAGGCTAGCCTAGGACATGCTCAACAACAAGGTATGTTTTATGTTGATTCATTCATGATGCTTTTGAAGTCGATGATGCTGCAAAAGCCCGACCATTGCTCCTCCATGCTTTGCGTACGACTATGCGCCGCTTCGCTCGAAGTTGGTGAACATTCTGGCCGTATGTCGTGAACGTCATAAGAATATGTCGTTAAGGACGGATAGTCGATGAGGTAAGAAGAGGATGGTAAGGATTGTGTCGAGTCGTCGAGGTGTGTGAGATGGAGGGAATGGAGACCGAGTTGGGCGAGAGAGGGAGGGTTGTATGTTGTCATGCAAGAGTTGAGATCAAACCTCTTTCAGACAAGCATGCCATGCCCTTTACTCGGATGTGATCTGGATCTGCTTGGAGCCCTTTGACTTCTCGAGCTTAGGAACGATGACGCTCAAGATACCGTTCTTCAGACTAGCCTTCACATTGTCCTGGTCGACAGGGTTGGGGAAGGCGAAGCTTCTGGCGAACTCGCCGACCTGGCGCTCCGAGACCCAGTAAGTGTGCTTGGGCTCGGATCGGGCAACTTCCTTGGATCCAGTGGTGGCGACTTCCTTGCTGGACGAAGTGCCCTGTTGTTGTCCTTGTTCGCCAGAAGTCTGGTCTGGTCGCTGGCCTTCCTCGCGGTGGTGCTCGGTCCGGCCCTTGATCGTCAGGGTCTGGTCATCTTCGAACTGGATGGTGACGTTCTTCTGGTCGATGCCCGGAAGTTCACCCTCGAGGATGTACTTGTCCTGGGCCTCCTTGACGTCGAACTTGGGCGCGAACGTGCGCGAAGCCGACTCGGATAGCTTCTGTAGCTCCGAGAAGGTGTCGTTGAATAGGTTGAAGAACGGACCGAGTTCCTGGCGGGACGGTCCGAAGGAGGTCGACAGTCTTGGGAACAGCGCCATTGTTGTTGTGTTGTTGGTTGAGAAGTTGTTTGGAGAGTTGGTTTCGAGCGTTGGTTCGAGAGTTGTTGTTATAGTTCGATGTGTTCTGATGATCTGATCTGGTGAGCTCAACCTAGAGGGAGACAGAGACACAGTTTTATAGCTTTCAGGCAGCTCCTGCTGAAGCTTCTAGAGAGCTATGATTGCGTATGTGACCGGGGGATGGTGCAAGGGGCCGAAGTGGTGTGAACTTTCTAGACACTGCACTGCATGTGTTGATATTGCCCCTTTGGGCTTCTCGATAGTTCCGGATGCGGAGGCCGCGCCGCCTCGAAATTTCCAGACCTCTCGACCAACCATGTCGCCATTCCGGCGCACAAACGGTCTTGGTGCTGAGACCGCGCGAACACTAACCTGTCAATAGGGTCCTCTTTGATACCTACAACTGTACTACTGTGCTTCCATTGTCTTCCGGGTTGAAGCTGCTCCCGCGCTTTGCCGGTAGGCATGAGCATCCAAGGGACCACATCGAGATGGAGCAAGGCTGACGAGTGGCAGTAGCGGTGGCTGTCAAGGCGGGAGCAGTATGCGTCATTACAATGGAGTAGCCAGATTTCAGTCACGTGTTGCCCCGCATCCGTTGCGATCCTGCTGGAACTTTCCGGCACTTACCATGTTAGACCCGGTTTTAGGCCTGCTCAGGGGCGCTTCCAGGCGTTGCTAGCACTCTCAGGCCACGCCTGCAGGCGCCCACCGCCCCTCCGGACGGTTGATCCGGGGCTTAGCGTCAAACAGAGGCCGCATCGCGTCATTACAATCTACGGTATCGCCATCAGGTTGCGATTTACAAGGTACAACTTACAACACTGTAGCACTACGATAGCTCTTAGGAAAGCAGAAATGCACGCAAACAATAGCTGTAATGGCGAGCTTGTCGCGGCGGACGGTAAGAGTGATGGCTCTGCCACCGAAAAGATAATATCAATTGATCCACCCATAGTCCATAGCGCGCTGTTCTCGCAATTGCATATCCCTATTATGAGAGAGGAAAAAGAGCAACTGCATCATCGGGCATGTCCATTGCTCCATGGTTTCAGAGTCGTAAGATCGTTCATTCCCCCCCTCTTGCTTTCCAGCTTCCGAGCTTCCTGGCCAATACCAAGCTCAAGTCATGTTGGTGCCATATCACCCGTAATATCGTGATCAAAAGTCCTGTGGGTCGCTCTGTACAATGTTGTAAGGTCCTGCTCCCACATGAGGCTTGTCCTTTCTCGTCATTTATTTCCTGGACGGAAAATCACCAATGCCAGGCCAGCCAAAGGTCTCGGCTTCGGCCGCATTGTCGATAGCTTCATAAGTCGCCGACTCCGTCCTGCTTCGCTGGGCCGCCTGTTGTTCCTTGGTCATTTTCATGGAGCTCTTCCGTCGAGGGGTGGCATCATCATCTAGAGATGCGGGCTGGGGTTCATATGTACCTAGGCCTGGCCAACCCCAACTGTCGCGCCTCACTCGCTCGTGTGAGGTGGGCCCCATGTTGTTTTCATTGACTTCAGAGCGCTCGCGCGCCTCGATGGCTGGGCTGACAGTCTCGTTGATTTCCGGGTCGGAGGCCATCTCTTCTTCGACGCGCTTCCGCCGCGTCTGATCCTGCTCACGTAGTTTCTCCAGCCGCTCTGCTACCGTGGCTTGGTATTTTTTGTGGTGATGTTCGCTTTTGTCGCCGAACAGCTTCTCGTGTTCTTGGGAGATGCTGCTCCGAATCGAGTCCACAATGCGACCAAGCTTTGAATCTCGGCGCTCTCGGTGCCCTGTTGGGACGGGTTCTGTACTCCTCCTGCTCATTGACGGAGATGCTGGCGGACTCTCAAAGGCGCCTGTGTCAGGGCGCTCGGTGCTGGAGTGTGAATCGCGCCTTGTCATGGTGAATATGTGTTGTGTGTGATGGGGAATATTCTTTTGATAGAGATTCTTTGATAGGATATAGGATTCCTTTGATTGAGGTCTTGCTTGATGTATGTTCAAACAGTATGTTCAGTTCGGTGTCATTGCCGTTCTGCTATGTGGCAAAGCTTTCTTGGTATGAGAGTTATATACAGGCCACCAGGAAACAGTTGCACGTGAAGAGGTATGGTCCCCGGTCGGGACTACCAGAGTTAATTGACAGGGAAACTAAACCGTGCCTAGAGGGCTGGACGGGACTGGAGGGATTCGAGAAGGGAAACTGATAATCAGAGGTGGAAGCGAACTGGTCCATCGGGTAGAGTAGACAACACAAAATAGGATTGGCATTAGCATTACCTTTCCTGCAATGGCACACGAAGCCAGATCAGACCACCACTGGCATCTGCCACCTGAGCATTTGGCCCAATGAGGAGCCGCTGCGGCTGATATCGCGCATCTGGAACCTCAGAGTGTCCGGGTCCTTTCGCAGAAGAGATCGTCGTCTTTCGAGCTCCGAATTCGGTGCTACTTGGTATGAAGATGACACTCACTACAGACTTCCCCACGGACATGCTTCTCTCCGCGGATTGGCTAGCAGTGGTGTCATTGCGCGTGAATGAACATTGTTGTTCTCATGGGAGGTTGAAATTGTGTTGTTTGAGGGAATAAATCGAGGGAAGGTTTCCCGAGCTCAAATGACAGTTAAATGACATGTCAAATGACGCCAAGCACGAAGACGCGTCCAGAACTCGAACTTCAGCTCGAGAACTCACAACCATCAATTGAAGTCTCAGTTCAAGTTGTTCAGGCCTCCTTAACTCGCGGAAATGGCGTGACTGTCTGCTCACTTGCCTTGTGACGCTCCATAAGACTCATTCAGGCCAACTTGACGCCGTATCTGAGGCACTCGCCTCTCGTTGAGCGAACGGGCGAGATTCTTTAAGGCAACATGTCAACGGCCATGGTTCGCCAGGAGAACAAAAGCATCAAGGGCCCCGGGCCTGAGAACATCAAACCAGCGTATGTTGTCATGTCAATTCAGCACGTGTGAGACTGGTTGCAGACATGAAGTTCTGGGGTCAACGAAGTACTGGAAGCCAGTACTTATATGCGCAACCTTGGTCGGCAGCCCGGCATCGAAGTTATTTAAGTACCTGTGACTGATCAATCGAACCACGCTCCACAGTCTCTTTCCGGCGGCCACTCAAGCCAAGGCAGGCAGCGATCCGTTGAAAGGGAAGCCAACCCATGCCCTCAATCATGCAGTAAGTCCATATATGGTGGGAGCCTAAAAGGCCCACCGACCGCTATCATTGTGAACCACTCTCGTTGGCATTGTCTGTGATCGTGTCGGCCGCCCTTGGGCGATCCTAAACCAGGCATGCATGTTTAACACTCATTAAGGCAAGTTCTGATACGGCTCCGTTTTCCTCAACAAACTACCTCGGTCATCAAATCCTCAGGCCATCGTGGCGCGTCTTTCCCATTCCCTCTCGTCCCTACATGGTACCCAAGCTCGACCTGGTCACGCTCGAACTTGATGACCGGCTTGATCGTCCTGACCGTCACACCTAGGGCTTTGCTCTCTCTATCCTCAAAGAATGAGGGATGAAACAGACTCGGATTCTTCTGGATCATCTCGACATATTTGGGGATGGTATAAACCATATTATGGTAAGACCTAATAGCCGTCAGCAACGATGATCCTTGCCGAGAGCACTGCACCACGATCGTATAGAGGCAGTCAACTTACCTGAAGACTTGCTTTCCATTTCTGCTCCACACATCCTGCCATACTTCTTCCGGGTACTCGCCAACCGAGTCCGCGAGCCACTGATTGTAGTAGTTCAAAGCCAGGTCGACTTTATAACTACCGCCTTGCTCTGCTCGGCGCATGAGCGCGCAGAGGATGCCAGTGACGCCGGCCACCCCCGTCATATAATCACTGTTGGGAAATACTGGCGTCACGGCTTCGTCGTCCTTGAGGCCCATGGCTTTGCCAAAGCCGGCGGAAATTCCAATGCAGGCGTCACTGATCTGCTGCCATCCTGAGCGATAAGACCACGGTCCGTTCCAGCCGTAGCAGTTTTCTCGCACGCTGATGATGCCACGCTCTCGGTCCTTGACCAGGTCGATGATCCCTTGCTGGCCAAATCCATATTTATCCAGAACACCCGGTCGATAACCTTGCACCACGACGTCGGCTTCACGAATCAGTGAGCTCAGCTTCCCACGGCCGTCCTCCGACTTGAGGTCGATACTGCAATTCCACTTGCCCCAGTTTAGATCGACATGGAGAGCGCTAAAATCACAGATATTTGGGGAAGTTGCACGCATAACACTGGCGCCGAGCTCGGCAAGACCTCTTGTCACTGCAGGCGCGGCAATGACACGGGTTAGGTCGACCACCTTCAGGCCCGCCAAGGGCCGCTTGGCTGATGTCTGTGGAATGGAAGGCCACCAAGACGCCTTCTGCACCGAATTAGGCACATCATGAATTTCGAACAGCCCGACGTGAGCGTTGGCCTTGCCGTGCTCTGTGGCGCGGAATGAATCCACGGTATTCGCGATTACGCCTGCTTGTTTGTACACATCGGAAGCGCGATGTTGCATCTCAGCCGAGTCGATAGTGGCCAGTTTCGCAATGAACGGCTGCAACGCGTCCTCCCAAGTGGTCAGCTCAGGTCGGTCTTTTGGCAGACCAATGCTCTCCAAAGTCGGGTCTGGATTCATGCTGCCGTGCAAATGGAAAAAGCGGCCGTCCTTCGTGCGGTAAATGTTGGTCGCACACAATCGATAGAGGCTTGAGCTCGCCTGATGAAAGTCATAATTTGGGATCAAAGCGTCCAGCTTGTCCATGCCTTTGACCCCGTACACAATGGCGTTTTCGGTGTTCGGGTTGATTTGCCAGAGCAGCGTCGACATGAAGAACAGCTGTGCGTGGTCTGTGTTGATCTCTGCCCCCGAAAGCTCTACATTGTACTTGCGCTTGAGCAGGGCGTAAATGGTGCATGCTTCCAAGGCCTTCAGACTCGCCGCAGACTCGGCAAAACGCCAGTTGATCGGAATTTGAGGCAGATCAGATCCTTCGAATGTGATGCCAGATGCGAACTCCTGTGCTTCCCGGGGAAGGTATTTGGAAATCTTCGGGTTCTCAAGTAGCCCTTCAATCAGGAGCGTCTTGGACTCTGCTGGAACCGAGTAGCTCTGGGCTGAAGACTTGTCAATACTGCCCATTCTGACAAGACACAGGCCCGTCGTCAGCCTCAAAGATCCGGCGACCCTAGAGATTTTTGTATGATAATTATGCAGCGCTTTCAGGCTGGTGCTGTCTTCGGTCCAGACGTCTGGCCGTTCTCACGAAATGCCGAAGAATGTGCAGCAGAGAGGGAGCCCCAGGTTAAAATGCGGTACGAACGAAGCGCCCGTGATGACAGCTCTTTCACTTTGCGAGACAGTGAATCATAACCATGTAATATGCCCAGGCAGATTGAATTTCGCCGTCATCATTACCCTGACTCCAGCGTCAGGCTGTCGACACCTCATCGACCTCGGTCATGCCTGAAATCCCCTTTGACTCCTCCGGCAGCCCCGGGTCCGACAGAAGCGGAGACACCATGGCACTGTCCTGATGACTAGAGGGACCGGAGATTCTACTGATGTGTGGCATCGTTGGATTGCAAGCCATCCACCACTACCGTACTGTGGGCCTTAAGCGACCCCGGTTATACCAGATATGCGGGGTTTCCAAACCGCTGGGGGAGAGTCAGCAGCCGGGGACCGAGATGGGCTATACTTGTTCATCGCACGAATCAGCGAGATCCCCCGAGTCAGAAGTCCTTGAATCGCCTATAGAAAGTAAACATGCCTCGGAAGTTGGCCATGAAAATCCATCGACCCCTCGGCCCCAGATGGTTCCTACTCACGGACATCTCCAGCAGATATCTGGTCTCCTGCCTGACCTGGATCTAAACAGGTCGTTATATCAGCCTTCTGGTAGACTATCCCGAACCCGCTCACTGAAGGGTGGTGCATCTCGAGTCGTGTAAAGGATAGGGCTGAGCTCGTGACCGTAAACAACAACCAAGGCATCGAGCGGAGACGGGCCCAACCAGAAGCGAAACCATCAAGCAAGAACTAGCAAGAACGGTTGACGCTCACTATCGTCGCAATGGGAGACCCTGGACAAGTTCCTACACCGGCAACGCGGCCATGCCGCATTGCCAACTGCTCAGGCGCGCGTGGTGACCCCGGATACCAGATGCGGCGACAAGCGACCCTGGGTCCCGTCGACTTCATCACCGGCGACTATCTGGCGGAGATGAATTTAGCCGAGAATGCAGAGAAGATGGCGGCCGGGCAGCACGACGGATGGGAACCCTGTGCATGGGACGGTCTAGAGCAGACGCTCGACGTGATCAAGGACAAGGGCATCCGCATCATCATTAACGGTGGGGCCTTAAATCCGAAAGGGTTGGCGCAAAAGGCTCAAGAATTCGTCAACGACAAAGGACTGGGGCTCAAAATTGCCTATGTCTATGGCGACGACTTGATCCATGAAGTCAAGACTGAGTTGGAGAAGACCGGCAAACTGCCGCCCCATCTGGACAGCGAGAACGACAAGGTCACCTTGGCCGAACACGCGACTGACCTGTTGGACACCAAGGGAAAGCCCGTGGTAAGTGCTAACGCCTACCTTGGGGCCAGGGCCATTGTCAAAGGCCTGGAACTGGGCGCCGACGTGATCATCTGTGGACGCGTTGCCGACGCCAGTCCTGTAATCGGTGCTGCCTGGCACTGGCACCAATGGTCCGATGCCGACTTCGACAGGCTAGCTGGGGCGTTGGTGGCCGGCCATCTGATCGAGTGTTCGGCATATTCAACGGGCTCCAACTTCTCCGGCTTCAGTGAATATCCGCTCGAGACGTTTGTGGACTTGCCGTTTGGGATTGCCGAGATTGCCGACGACGGAACTTCAGTCATCACCAAGCATGAGAACACCAATGGTCTGGTCAACGAGGACAACATCAGGTGCCAGTTTCTGTACGAGCTGCAGGGCGGCATTTACCTCAATTCGGACGTCACCGCTGATACGGCCAACATCAAAATCGAACAGGTCGGCAAAGACAGGGTCAGGCTGTCCAACATCAAAGGGTTACCGCCGCCGCCAACCACGAAGCTCGCCATCTTCTACCACGGAGGCTATGAGGCCCAACTCCTGACCAATGCAACCGGATACGCAACGAATGAGAAATGGCAATTATTCGAAATGCAAATGCGATACGCTCTGAAACAAAAGCGCTTGGAGGACAAGTACCAACTTCTCGACTTCCAGGTTCTCGGCGTGCCTGAAGCCAATCCAAAGTCCCAATTCCGAAGCACGACTTACTGTCGAGTGTTTGTGCAAGCCGACACAGAGGCCCTGATCTATGGCTTGCTGAAGACGTTCAGTGAAATCGCCATGCAACATTTCTCCGGCTTTCATCTGTCACTGGATATGCGGACCGCGCTGCCAAGGTCTTACCTTGCCTTCTACCCGGCGCTGTACTCTCAGGATAGACTTAAAGAAGGCGTGGCGGTGTTGTCGCCCGATGGCCAGGACGCTCAAACTGCCGACGCAGACCATCCACCTCGCTATCAAAAGCTGGCGCCACGGGAAAACTATGAAACTGCTCATCCAGTCGACATCGCCTCGTTTGGACCGACACGAAAAGCCCGCTTGGGAGACGTATGTCTTGCGAGGTCGGGCGACAAGGGCGCCAACATCAATTTTGGTGTCTTCGTCCGCCGTCAGGAGCATTATCCTTGGCTGCAGACGGTCATGACCCGGGCAAAGCTCCAGGAACTCATGGGCGAGGATTGGAAAGACGACTTCTTTATCGAGAGGATGGAGTTCCCCAACATCTGGGCAGTGCACTTTGTTGTCTATGGTCCGCTGGGCAGAGGCGTCAGCAGTTGCCGCTTGCTCGACGCCCTAGGCAAGGGTTTTGCAGATTATATCCGGGACAAGGTGATTGATGTGCCTGAGAAGTTCTTGGAGGATGTCGAGGCGGTAAAGCAGCAACGACGAGCCATGCTGTGAATGCAGTGCACTACAATGTGGTATGCAGTGCATAAATGGGGTTATCATGGAATATTTCGAACGTTTACTAGCGCATCGATCCGAAGCACTAGTGTTGGTAGGTGTACTTACAATAGTGTGGTTATCCGGATATCACGGATGTAAAGGGGTACGCACGCTGTATCATTCCTGATCTTTTGCGCGAACTGCCGAGCTGGTAACATATTTTCGATTCCGCCGGACCCCCTGATAGGTAAGACAGGCCTTGTATGGAGCGTGGCGGAGCAAAAGGAGAGAGACTCCTGCAGCATTAATATTGCTCTGCACTACTACTGTGCACTGTATCCTTTGACACCGCTGAAATAGTAGCATCGAGTCACACATCGGCACTTGTTGGTAAATGCCGCAAACGGTGCAACGCAGAATGATTAGGTAAACATCCCTGGCATCGTTATCAGCTGCCAGTGCCTCGGCATGTTACATTGTATAAGTAATCTTGATATGTATGGATATCTTGGACATGAAAAAAAACAGTCCGCCAGCCGCTGGAAACCAATCCCAGAGGCATGAACACAGCCACGAGGCGTGTGGAAACAACGGAGCTGGATTCCTGGAATGGACGATTTGGCAGAGTTTTAAGCCGAGGCTCACAAGGCTGCGGTGTACCCTCTAACTAAATATGGATTAGCTGCCGCTGTGGCCCGCTACCTAAATCCAACCGATGCCAGAAGCCGAGATCCATCAAACTCTGGCTTATCAAAGGGTGGATTTCGAGAACGGGTCTCTTGTTGTTCTTTGTTTATTGCTGTGGACACGCTTCGCAAGCTTTCGGTTATTATCATACTTCCGCGAGATGGTTCAGCAGAAATCCATGTCTGTTGCACAGAAAGTGTAATGGCAAAGGATTCTCAAGCAGCTCCGACCGGTCACGGTAAACAACTTTCTTCTAAAAGTACCTGTCAGCTTATACATGCCATGTACAAAGTTGTATAACGTTGTGCAGACGTCGGAGAATATCACGCCTAAGCGAGCCATTTATACTATATTTTAGCCGGTCTGGACTAGGGATAAGAGTTGTGGCACCCTGTCCACTCTCGGCGTTCGTCGAGTTGGTGTGGAACGTCAGACTTGCGGCCGAAAGAGCCACTCTCCAATCATTGTCACCAGATCGCCAGGCGACGGGAGCACACACCCCGGTCACGCCGGCTACCAGTAACCCATGTCACTGACAGGGCTTTCCCTTGCCCATGCCTTTGCCGCCGAGCTCAGGCTTCGACAGTTACAAAAATGTGATGCAATTGTTTTTCCGTTTCTGGATCCGATGCCAATTTTTCCCATTCACGCTCTATCTTTTCTTATTCTTACTGTAGGGGGTTTACGGCCATTCTATATTATTTTTCTTCCTCCGCAAACTCCAACGTTTCCACCACTCTGTAACAATGGCGGAAAAGGACGAATTTGAAGATGCGGTTCCTCCCCAATTACCGTTATGGCGCCTAGTTATCGACCAAGCTCGAGTCACGCCCGAGGTGCTCAACTACCCATACCGCGGTTCCGGCACAACTGAAGACCCTTATATTGTCACATACATTCCCAATGATCCAGGCAATCCATTCACCTGGACGTCGAAGCGGCGATGGGCAATCAGTTGGATTGTGGCGACGGAAATCCTAGCGACGGCGTTCGCTTCCAGTGCGTTCAGCGGGACGATTCGCGAGCTTATTATCGATTTTCATGCCAGCACCGAGTTGATCACGGCGGGCATTTCACTGTTTGTTCTCGGGTTCGCCCTGGGTCCTTTGCTCTGGGCTCCTCTGTCTGAAATCTACGGTCGACAAATCATCTTCTTCATTACTTTCGGGGTGTTTACGGCTTTCAATGGCGGCTGCGCCGGTGCCAACAGCATTGGGACTTTGTTGGTGCTGCGTTTCTTTGCCGGTGCTTTCGGCTCGTCGCCCTTCACCAACGCCGGTGGTGTCATTGCCGACATTTTTCCCGCCTCGGAAAGAGGACTGGCAATGGGTATTTTCTCGCTCGCTCCCAGTATGGGTCCGACACTTGGGCCTTTCTGTTCTGGATTCCTGGGTGAAAACGAGGGCTGGCAATGGGTTATGGGGTTGTTGACCATTTTCTCCGGTGTGCTTTGGATCGCGGGCGCTCTGTTTGTGCCGGAAACCTATGCGCCTGTCATCCTGCGCAAGCGGGTAGACAAATTATCCCAGATGACCGGGAAGGTGTATACTTTGGAAGCAGACAAAGAAAAGGGTCGGCCGTCAGTCAAATCGCTGCTGCCGACGGCTCTGATCCGGCCGTGGATTTTGTTGTTTTTGGAACCGATTGTTTTGTTGTTGTCTCTTTACATTGCCATTGTCTACGGTAAGTGCAGACCGAACATGGAGGTTCTAGACTATTTTGCTGACTTTTCTGGCTTTTAGGCACACTTTATCTCATGTTCGGCGCCTACCCGATCGTCTTCCAACAACACCGAGGCTGGTCCGAAGGTATCGGTGGTCTCCCATTCATCGGAGTAGCCGTCGGAATGGTAGCAGGCATCATCTTCTCCGGCTACACCAACAAATGGTACATCAGGGAAGCCGAGAAGCATGGAGGCGTAGCGCCCGCGGAAGCACGACTCCCTCCCGCATTCTACGGTGCGGTCGCCATCCCCATCGGCCTGTTCTGGTTCGCCTGGACAAACTACACCTCGATCCACTGGATTTCTCCCGTCATGGCAGGGGCACCATTCGGATTCGGATTCACCATCATCTTTTTGGTCGTCACCAACTACCTGATCGACTCGTATACGATTTTTGCAGCGTCAGTTCTCGCGGCCAACACTGTCCTCCGGTCGTTATTTGGTGCCGCCTTCCCCCTGTTCACTCCAGACATGTTTGACACTCTAGGCATCCACTGGGGCGCATCGATCCCGGCCTTCTTGGCGCTGGCATGTGTGCCCTTCCCGTTTATTTTTTACAAGTACGGCGCCCAGATTCGCGCCCGGTGCGTCTACGCCGCGCAGGCTGAAGCCGCCATGGCCGAGTTGCGCGCAAGAGCTGCCCGGGCGGCTGAAGGTGGAGTGGAAGAGAGCGTGTCTGAAAAGGAAGAGGAGGGAACTACTCCAGGCGAAGGTGAAGAAGGTGCAGAAGCACGCTTCGAACCTATCAGACCGACTAGGACAAATGCCTCTGTCGATCGTGCTTCCATGAGAGGCGGCTTGACTAGAATCAAGTCCCGCTCCGGCAGTATCAGCGAGGCCGCCGGCTATGACTTCAGTCCCTTCGATATCGATCGTGTTAATACCCAGAACTCGATTGCTGGTTTGGATCTGTCGAGGACGAGAACGTCGCTTGAACGGTCGAGGACGCATCGGTCGATCGAGCGTACGAGAACTTCTGAGCGATGATCTGGATCTGTTTTGCAACAAAAGGAGCGTTCGTGTTGAGATGGGTGATTGGTTTTCCAAGATCTTGGATTCGGACGTATTACTGTACTGTACTGTACATTTATTTCTAATGTAATTCATTATTGCTCGTCACTTTTATTTATGGCCGCCAGGTGATGAGCAAGGAGTGAGAGTGCGATGATCTGATATGATCCATGCATGAATGGGACGGTGCACTGTGTTTGAAAAGATAATAGACTTTCATTTCTCTTATTGGTCTTCCGATCCATAAATAAATCACCAGAGAAACATTAGCAAAACCCAATATACTCCTTGTTGTCCGTCCTCGACTCATCGCTTTGACATTCGGTCGGTCCGACTGTCAAATATGGCACCGACAAACCGTCTCAGGCCTCTGACTCTCCCTCGAACTCTCACTCTCTGAGGAGGAGGAGGAGGAGGAGGAGGAGGAGGAGGA